GGTTTTAATTTAAAATAAAATAATTTTAATTATAATTTTATTAACTTAATTTCGAATGTTTTTTTATTAAAATAAACGTATTTTTTACCGATAAAATATTTAAGTTAATTAATATATTTTTATAAATTTAATTAATTTTTTAAATAATTTATATAAATTTATTATCCGTAATTAATAAACTTTTTTATTTAAAATATATTAATTTAATAATTTTATCGGGAAAAATTTTAATAATATAAGTTTAATAAATTATTTTAAATTATTTAATTACTTTATTAAAGTTTTAAAACTTTATAAAATATTAAATTATATTTTTTTAATATTTTAATTTAATTATTTTTTTATAATTCCGGTATTTTTTTAAGGGATTTTTAAACTTATTTTTTAATATATTAACGTAAACTTTTTAAAAATTAATAAATCTTAACTTTTTAATTTAAATCGTTTTTTATTAATATTAAAATTATTTTTTTTTATTAATAAAAAACTAATTTAATTAATCCATTAATAATTTTCCGAAAAATTTATTACATATATTTTAATATACGTTTTTATTTTTAATTATTAAATATAAAACTTTAATAAGTTTTTCCCGTTATAAATAAGTAATTTATTTAATTAAATTAATATAATAATAATAAAAATAAATCGGATTAATCGTTTTAAAGCTTTAATTAACCGTTTATTAATTCCTTAATTATTATTAATTTTATTTACCGAAAAATATTTTAATAAAAAAATATCGTTAAATAAGTTTTTTTTATAAAACCAAGGGTTATTATTATTATCGGAATTATTTAAATTTAATTTTAAAAAATCCGGAAGTAAATTATTAATAAAAAGTTATTCGCCGTTATTTTTATTTTTTTTATTTATAATTAAGTTATAACGCGTTCTTTAAAATTAAATTTACGCGGTTTCCGAAATAACTTTTAATTAAGTTTTTTAAATAAAATTAATTAATAATAAATTCGTGCTGTAAAACTTAAAAAATAAGTTTAAATTAAAATATATAAATGGTTTAACGGTTATTTTAAAAAAATTTTAATTATAAACCGATAAAAAATCCGTTATAATTTTTTTTCCGATAAAATATAAAACCGAATTAATAATTATAAGTTTATTATAAATTTAAAACTTTATAATTTTAATAATAATATTTTTAATATAAATTTATAATTTTTTAAATTATTTTTTTTATGTTTTATTTAATTTATTAAAATAAATATAATATTTAATAAAAAAGTTATTAATAATTTTATTTATTTATTTTTTTTAATTATTAATTTATTAAATAATAACGGTAATATTTTTCATTTTTTTTTAATAATAAAAAAAATAAGTTCGTATAAATAAACCGTTTTTATAAGTTTATTAATAATTTAAATTCGTATTTATTTATTTTTAATAAATTAAATTATTATATTTTAAATTTATCGGGAAAAAATATTATTTTTTTTTTTAATTTTTTTCTTAAAATTAAAAATTTATTTTTTAAAAATTTATATATTTACGCGATTAAAAGTTATTAAAACATTATATATTTATTAAATTTAAACATAATATTTTCGTAACTTTTATTAACGGTTATTAATTAAACGTATAACTTCGATAAAAATATTAAAAGTTTTAATTATATTAAAAATATTATATATTTTTTAATATAATTCGAATATTTAAATAAAAAAATTAATAATAAAATTTCCCGTTTAATAAATAATTCCGTTATCGCGTATAATTATATTAAAGTCTTAAAAATTATATAAAATAATAACGTTATTATTATTAAAAATAAAAATTAAAAAATCATTTTTTTAAAAATTAAATTTTAAATTTAATTTTAAATTTACGGGAATAAATATATTAAATTATATATTAAGTTTAATAAGAAACTTATTCCGCGTATAACATCGTTTTTTTATATAATATAATCGGGTGTAAAAACTTAATTAATCGATAATATAAAATACGTTTTTTAAAAGTAATGATTTTAAATTAAAACATTATTAAAATATTAAAATAAAAAGAAAAAAATTAAAAAATAATTCATTTTTTAAATTAAAGAATATATTATTAAAAAATTTTTTAAGTAAATGAATTTTTATTAATTTTCGTATAATTTTTTAAATAAATAAAAATAATAATTTTAATTTAATTAATTAATTTAAATAATAACGTTAAAAAAATATTTCCGCGAATTTAAAAAATTTTTCGTTTATTAACGAAAAAAGAAAAAATATATCGTTAAAATTTATAAAATATTTCTTATAAAAATTTTAACGATATTTAAAATAAATATTTTTCCGGATAATTATAAAAATATAATTTAATTTAAATAAAATATAAATAAATATTATTCCGGATAAATATATATAATAATCCGGAAAAAAATTTATAAATTAATAAAAAATTATTTATAATAAAAAAAATAAGCTTAAAATATAAGTTTAATTTATATAATAATTTTTTAAAAATTTTAAATCTTTAATTTTTTCCTTTTTATTAAAAAGGGATTATTTTAATTATTTAAGTTTAATTTATTATGTTTAAGATCCGAACTTTAACGCTTTAAACGCCCATAAACATTTTGTTAATTAATCCTGCATATATGTAGTAACCTAATAACTATTCCCAATAACTAATAAACTACTTATTCCAACCTAATAGTCTTATATTCTATGTATGTTGGAGGCATGGCACTTATTGCCATGTGACAAGGCCTAATATAAATCTTTATTTTGAAACACATCAAGTACTAGGTATGTTCTACATAGAGTGTATTTGATCATTGGCGATCATCCCGCTCGCCCTTCGCAGCTAGATTTGATAGGTTTGTCAGTATAACAGAATGAAAGAAGGCGAGAAAAGGGGAAGTTGGGAACTACTAAAAGTACAGTGAAACGTAACCTTCCTCAACCCTCCAGAAACTAGCTTTCTCTCCCTAAGGACTTATCTGTAGTTCTCATCGTTGGGGCCTTGGAGTTTACTCATTTGGACATGATCTAGAGGCAAGCGGTCCTTCCCATGCCCGTCCAACATGCCAGACAGCGACCCTACGACAAATTCCTAAACTCAGGGTCACAGATCTAGGAAATAGTCTAAACAGATAGATTCGATGAAGAATGAAACGTTACTCACCGATGGCTAATTATAAAGACTTATAACGCGCCCAATACGACTCGCTTTCTGCTCATAAAAGCAGCATGAACAACTTCACGTAGCCCTGCAGCGGCTACCAGTATCCTACCTCGATATATATAGATCGGTACATTGCTAGCAAGGCTCTAATAAATGCACTTCGCCCCATCCAACCATGAAGCTGCTCAAACGGGCTTTATCGCAGAGGAACATGTGCTAGATACCAGGGTGCTCACGTGGTAGATAATGGTATATCCGAAAGTAGGTAGATGGTCTGTCCTTATAAATTATTCCCCGACTATTCCTGATTAGATAATCTGGCCGATCGAGATAATAACAAGAGATGCGTGTGTCTGAGGGGGTCGGGCGCTTAATTTAAGAGACTGCGTAGTTACACAACAGCTGCTTCAATGGCTATGGCGATGCCGACGGGCATATGCCGGCGAGGGAACTTCATCAGCCGTGGAGTAACACAGGTCTGACGATGTAGCCCTACTACCTACAGTAGCTTTTAACTTGCAGTGAGGAGAAATGGAGTCCTTACTCACACATAGCTTCAACTGAGTTTTTACTTGATTCGATTGATATCGTTCGACGAACTTGATTCAGTTAATCATATTGCCTTAATAATTAAGATAGGAAGACTAGGAAGCGAAGATGACGAAGGAAGTAGTTGTAAGACAATCCGAAAGTCCATATCATACCTAGAGAATACCGGTCCTAGAGATTCGAGGCTCAAGGAATTAATTCTTCACTAGAATTTGACTGGAACATACTACTAAGGTGTAATACTTGAATTCATAAAAGGGCTCGACCTAGAAACAACGGCCGGTTGTCACAAACATATCATTTACCGATCCCCATACGGTGTACTCTTACGAAATCTTCACGGATTATCTATATTGATTTGGATTCCTTACTATGATGACCAAAGTCTATGTTTACGACAAGTATCTACCTCATGCATATAGCTGGTCACTGATGTAGACTAGCTTTCACAATAACTGCGACATTCTATCTTCACAGATTTATGAGTGTCTCAATATAAGACAATCTATAGAAAAACTCCGTATGATGTGATCCTGGATTAATGTCTTTTAGGAAGCATGTGGCTTCTACATCAACTTATTGACGGAGACTGAATAGGTAGGTAGGGTGAAATGAAGAGTGCTCCTCTTAGAAAAGGGATAAGCAAATAGGGGAGTGGACTTTGATTATAAAATCCTCGATCTTCCTTAAAGTAAAACAGGTAGTACGTTCTACTGCTAATTAAAATGCGTAAGGTTTCCTTCCAACATAATCGTGGTATCATGAAGCTCTTTCTTATTCTTATTTGAATATATGTTCCGCTGTCAAGGGAGATCATCTACTTTAGGCAGGTATTAGTTGACAACCTCAACTTAGATAGCCTAATGATTATGCCCATTCGTATAGATTGAATCGCTCAATTCACACTTCAATTGACTGGATGCCTGTTTAGGTAACGGAGTATTGATTAATATGATCTAAATCAAGTCCGGAAGTAGCTTAATTCGACTGATTCTGTTCGGCTGGGAAGGAAAAGGGGAAATAGGATACTAACAAGGGTATCTTACGATGTGGTTAGTTCCTTTAACAGAAAATAGTCGTAGATCGTATTTATTAACACCTTGGATTGCTTCTAGGGCTGTTATCTTATTTTCTATCCGCATCGTATAGGAAACCCCTGCCCCCAGCAATGTTGCAGTCAAGTTGCTCAGATGTGCCTAGCCCCTAAATACGAGCTTTGCTCCACTCGAGGATCAACACTGTTCTTGGCAGGACATAAGAACACAATGTTTATAAGAAGGTAAATGTATCGCCAATATTTATACCGAGGGACCGTTTCTGGTGGTCCCACGACAGACTCATCCTGCTTCCAAGTCCTTCACTATGAGATGCGCGGAACTCCTCCTGGTAGCGGCCAGCCTGGCTGCTACCATTGATGCCCATATTCTAAAGCCTCTGCATAAGAAAGAGGCTTCTGTGTTGGAAGTTACTCTAACTCCAGCGGAAACGGGCGGTGTTGCTGAACTGGTTGCGACTATAAAAAATACTGGTCTCACAGATCTTAACCTTCTAAAGATTGGAACCCTGCTCGACGAGAGTTTACCTGTCCAGAAGGTCTTGGCAGTGGATGAGTCAGGTATGTAAACGATGAACCCCGTTGAAAAGGAGGAGGAAAACGCTAAGAGATATATTTCCTAGGCATTGAGGCTAGATTCAAGGGGATTCACGCAAGCATTCGCTATGATGCTCTCACAGCTGAGAATTTCCGCCTCCTGAAGGCTTCCGAATCTGTGAGCACCAATATTAGTGCCGCTAGCATTCATGACTTCGCCAATTCTGGAACATACACATTTACGGCCGCCGGAGTGATGCCTGTGGCCTCAGCCGGATCTACGAAATTATCCGGACCTGCGCTCGACTTCCAATCGAACAGTGTCAGTCTACACGTTGACGCGCAAGCAGCCGCTGCAGTGCCCAAAGTTCTAAGCTTCAAACCCCTGGAAGCACGCACCAACGTCCAAGATGGTTGCAATGCTACTCAGTTAGCGGCTAGCACCGCAGCTCTTGAGCACTGCGTGACCCTGGCCCTTGCCGCCGCCGCGGATGCCAAGGACCCGTCTTCAGCTCGCTTTGTCGAGTACTTCAAAACCAATTCATCGGATACGCGGCAGATCGTGGTAGACCGGCTAACAGCGGTCTCAAAGGAATGTTCGACGACCAACTCGGGACCGTCGCGGTACTTTTGCTACGACTATTATTCCCTATGCGAAATTGAAGGGCCTCTGAACGCGTATACTGCGTGGGATGTGGACACAGTGGTTATGTGTCCGCTATTTTACGATACGCTTCCCCCTCTGCCGCAGGCATGCCACCATCAAGATCAGGCCACGACCACAATTCATGAGATGACGCATTGCGAAGAGGTCTATAAGCCTCATACGAATGACTATGCGTATGGTTATAACGAGAGCACCGCGCTACCCGCGGACCGCGCTTTACAGAATGCGGACAATTACTCCCTGTTCGCGAATGGTAAGTGCCAAGATCGAAATAGACGTGATACAATACTGACTTATGAATAGCTGTCTATATGAAGTGCTAGCCGGTACCTGGAGCAAAGGGAGCGATTAGACCTAGGGTAGGTAGGTGGTAGGCACTCGATAGGAGAAGTCATATGATAAAATAAGCCGAACTACATAAACTACACCAATACAATTCTTAGTAGCTAAATAGCTAAATAGACTTCAGTTTACGGATGAAGAATACACATTTGGAAGTCTTAGCACCTACATACCTACCTAATAGGTATCTTGAGTAATCATTATTCACACCGGAACTCCTTCAACTCTTAGCCTAGATGCTTTCCCCTTGCCTGATATGCCGCCAATAGTCCATGATAATGGGTTACCGAATGTTGCACATAATATACATAGAAGCTATTAACCATGATCCATGGGCTATCGTATCATTTTTGAGGTTGCCTACTCAGGCTCATCTGCCTCATCCGCCTCATCTGCTTCTTCTACCTCCTCTTCTTCCTCTTCGCCCGAAGTGCCAGCTGCATTGGAATTTTCGCTATCAGTGTCCTCGGCTCTAGTGTCAATACTCCTCTTCAAGTTTGGGAACATCAACTGCTGAGCCTCGTCCTCGTCTAGGACGTCCTCGGGCGGTGCGTCGCTAAGATCACTTTCATCGTCGGCTGAATCGTGAACGCTTCCAGGAGCTGAACTCATATCGCCCTCGACTTCCTCATCCTTCATCTCCGTGTCCTCATCCACCACTCCGTTCTCACTCCGTAATTCGTCGTTCGCCTCACCGTCTTTTCCTTCCTCCGCGGCGGGTGTTTTTCCGCTAGAGACAGAACCGCGAGACTTAGTGCCAGTAGGCTTTGGGCCTTCTTGGACACGTAGGGCTGCCTGTTCTGCCTTGCGGAGGATATCGGCCCTTCTGATGCCTGTCTTGCGAGGCCGTTGCACCCCTTCCGTGTTCGCCGGGGCCGAATCTCCGGCACCGCCTTCTGTGCCCGAGTTTTCGTGGGATTGTGGATTTAAGAGGTTGCCTAACGGATTTGACGGCTTGGATTCTAATGCTTTTTCGGACTGTCGGGCTTCCTCTCGAAAACGTGCTTGCTCCCGCTCTGCGATTAGAGTAGATATGGGGGGACCTGGCAAAGACTTCCCTATCTCATTATACAGCGCCGTATAACAATCAGTCACCAAATCGTCGATGGCGCCAGCCTTCATGAACCCTGCATTGAGCTTTTTCAACTCGATAATCTCCCGCAACGCACTCAGAGTAGGATGGACCAAGGCTGGGTCCGAAGACCAGTCGCTGATTCGGGAGGCGATGATCTCAAACTCTTCGGGGCTTATCGCCTTGAAGTCGTCTTCGAGGACCGGCGAGATCTGATATGTTTGCCGGATAAGTCGCAGATACGAAATGCAACAAGTCTGCCAGAGATCATTAAAATGGTAGAAGTCGGCGCCTTTCTTGCGCAGACGGCGTAGTAAAGCTTCAAAATTCGTCCTGTCTTTTAGGACGACCAAGAGCTTGACAACGAACCGAACATATTGCTCAGTGTAAACGTGATGTCTGCCGGGCCGCTCCGCATCACATTTCCAGACGTTCATCACCATCGTCTTTGTAAGCATGGACTCCCTCAGCACGCTAAAAGCAGCCATCGCATGGACATAGCCTTGCTCTTCGGAATTCTCGTCAAATAGGATCCTAGCATGACGCATGATAATGCGATGTTGCCAGTTAGACCTATCTTTCTCTCGCAGATGGCTGAGTGTCTCGATGACATACGGCTCCCAGTCCTCTAGGTCGTTGATAGTAACATGTTCCCCATCCTGGACGGCGTACGGTTGACGCTGGAGTATATCAGCCGCTTCCTGAGGCGTTATGTCTCCTCGCATGACAAGCTTGTGCAAAATCGACACGATTTTGTAGTGGGGTTCCAAGATAGGGTCTTGGCCGTGACGTGGCTTTGGTAGTGCAGACACAACCTCGACCGCCCTTTCAAGGGCGCTGATGACCGTCTGCATTGTTGGTCGATCTCGCCTATCTCTGTGGTCGAGGGAGGTTGGCGGCTTTTGGTACATCTTCCAGATGCACTTGGCCACCATGTACGGGTTCCTGCGGCTGTTAGATAGTCCGCCAGCGTGGCTGTCGATTCGGAATTTACTTACTGCCATTGTTTTGGCTTGACCTCCATAGCTTTCTTGAACAACCTAGCTGCGTATTTCCAGACTTTATAATCCTCCATCTGAGAGTGAAGATCCTTGGACTCCACACCAGATTCGAGAATAACGAATCGTTTGTGTTCCGAGTGGTGAAACGGTTCCATCGCAAAAGGCTCACGGCTAGAGGCATACATTCGCATACCGAATTTATGATAGAGATCATGGATGTCATCGACGCATTCCGCGATCGCTTCAGGTGGTGCATTCCGAGACTGTGATAGTGCGAGGGTGTAGCAGTGGATTGCGCTGCGTTGGTACTTCACAAGTTCCGCCCTCTCCTTATTCATCTTATCTGCAGTCCAAAGCACGGATTCATCGAGCTCATAGTCAAAGCATTCGGCTAGTCTGAACCACGCATCCCACTGGTCAGGCGTGAATTGCAGTTGCTGGCGTAAGAACGTGGCGCCGATACGAAGGTCGTCAGTAGCGCCTGGTGTCTGCCTCCTGTTGAGGTCCACGCCCTTAAATTTAGTAAACGCGATCATTCCCAGGAGAAAGAACCACCTGTGCTTGGCTAAGGCGCTGTCCGGGGTGTTGACGGTCACTGCATCGATTGATATATTGCCTTTGAGGGCTTCGTACAAGCGAAGCGGCGGGATGGGCCTCTGCAGAGTCTGATTGAAAATCCGTAGATTCTGTATGAACTGCTGGTTTGATTTAGTTTGGCCGATGGCTTGTTGCATATGTTCTATCGTTGTTTTCAGGTCTGACTTAAGCAAATCTTTCATTGGCATACGGTTGGCAAGGACGGAAACTCTCTCAACGAGCGCGGTCGTATTACGCCGCTCAAGCTTCTCAGGAGGGCATCCGTGATCCTGTACTTCGCTGAGGCCAACGCCGAGTTTCAAGCCGTAGAGGTCATAAAGAACTTGACCGAGATAATCTTCCCAGTTGTCTATGAGGTTCTGTTTTAGAAGTTCAACCCGCATCATCTTGAGGAAGATTTTATTAGACGACTTGCAAAATTTCCTAAGGCCCAAGACTTGATGGATTGCCGCTAGATAGTCTGCAAGGTCGTTATCCGGCGTAGTGAAACCTGCCTTGTTCTGCGCAATACCAGCCTTGAGCATCGTATACAAGAGAGACCAGTTCCTAACTTGCATCTCTCGAAGCTTGGTCAAGAAAGACTGAAATGTTGCGCCACTAGAAGCATGTTGGTTCATGCCAACACGGACCTCATCTTCATACATGCAAGATACGTGCAGCATGCAAGATAATTTTACCAAGGCCGAAATGCTGGACCTGAGATGCTCGTCATCTATGATATCGAAAGCTTTCGCGTCGTTGAGCGCCATCGAAAGCGCCTGTATCAATAATTCGTCTAAGAACTTGAGCATCTTGAGGAACAGAGGGCGGCGTGATTCAGCAGACATCGTCAAATAAGAGTCCTGTTCGAAATCGGCAATAACCATCTCGATGCTCTTTAGAAGGCATGAAAATTGCTTCGTTGTATAGTCGATAGCATTGTATGCATCTCCCAGTCGCGTCCACAGAAATAATCTTAGTTCGGTGCTCGTGCCTAGCAAGAACTTCCAGAGATCCCGCAGACCCTGGTTCGCGGTCTGGGAGATGGGCAACCCAGCGTGACTAGCCGTTGAAGCCTCCGGATTTTCATCTATTACCATAACCTCGGGCGCTATCGAATTAGCCGTTGCTATATAAACAGAGGAAGGATTGAGGACGGGCTCCAGGCTCTCGATTACGGAGATAGGGTCACTGAGATCGCTTTGGAATAGGCCGAGGAAGAAGTCCATAGTTGTGAGTTTAGATATTTCCCTGTCAGCCGCATGAGCCGAGATTTCCGGCATAATCGCGTTATTTGGAAGTCGTATGTCGACAGTTTCCGGTTCTTCGACAAGCCTATCTCGGAGGCTCTTCCAGCATTGAAGAACGTGGTCCCTCGATACGCCCTCTGTCAACGTAACGGCAAAAACAGCAGACCATAGAAATCGGAGGGACAGTGAAGAGTCTTCGCTGTCCGGCCGGTCTCGGCTCATCTGCGAAGCAAAGGTGAACCAGCGACCTAATCTTCCTTTTGTTTCGACACGAATAGCAAAATCCACGGCACTATTGGGGTTTGTTATCCGCTCGTAGACGTCTAGATGCAACTCGAATAACATCTGGATTATGTGGTCGACCATAGCTAACGTCTTGGCCGGATCCTCGGATGAAGAGAGATATTTAAGTTCATATTGCACTCGGTTCCAGATATCTTCGTCGAGATGACTGATCACTTGGACTACGGCAGTTTTCGTAGAATCCGACCACTTGCTCGTAAGATAAGTCCCGCACAGATGGCTAACCCACTCGAAAGCAACGTCCTGGATCGATATCCAGCTATCATTCACCTTTTGGGAGAAGGCTTTCAAGCCTTTGGTTTCGTTGAACATAGGCGTTTCGCGTTTATTTTGAGATCCGGGCTTCGAGTGCTCAAGAAAGGACGAGAAGCCAATAGGGGAGGCCTCCTTCTTATTCAGGACCACCCTCGTACTCTCTTCATGAAACTTGATCAGCGAATCGCGTAGATCAACCATGGCCGGCCGCTCAAGTTTGGCGGTACGAGTAGACGACGCACAAGAGTCGAGAACTTCAGCTAGCCGGTTAAAAGTATCGCGATCGGTAACGCCTAAATTCTCTACCATATTCCGCGTCATCTGGAAGAGATTTTGATCAGCGGCTTGGAATGGCTGCAATTGAGTCGCATATTGCGTGTTCGTGTCCATAACTTCCCCGGCAGTTTCACGGCGTCGAATTCGCTTGCTCCTCTTCTGATCTACCACTTCTTCATCGACCCCGTCGGGCAGTCCAGCCGTAGACTGTGATCGCTTTCGCGAGAGAACCGAAACACTTCGTTCGACCCGCGAGTCTTCTACGGTGTTCCCGCTATCAGCGCCGCATTCTTTCGTAGAATCGCTCTGATCGTCTTTAGATAGCGCTGTAGGCTTATTTTCAAGAGTTACTCGGACAGTGGCAGCTTCATCGGATAACTCCGGCTTCGGTCTTTCAACAAGCATTTGGACGTCATCTTGAGTCTCCGGTATCTCGGGAAGATTCAGCGTCACAGCTTCTCCAGATATACCCCCAGTCGCAACCGAATGCACAAGCGACATGCCTAAATCGGCCCACGAAGCTATGGGAACGTTAATAATCAGACGTTTGGGGGTCTGCTGATCCGCTGCTACTAAACGCTTCGACGGTGCAGGTAAGTCGGTAGGGTTCGGAAGAAATGGGAAAGGGTCAAGATGTTTCATAAGACGGTCCGATATTGATTTTTTGAGGAAGGGTATCATGATCGGATGCGACAGAGCGAGCTTGTCGGATAGAACATTCAGTAATTTCTTCAACTGCTCACCCGCGAATCCCTCCGCGAGGGAGGGCGGCTCAACTTCATCCACGGCCGGGTCATCGTCAAGTTCAATAGCAGATTCGAGGCAATATCGACTAATTCTGGCGCTGTTTAGAAATGCGGCAACACGTGCAGCTCTCCTCCAGAGCTCAGCATCCGATGGATCAAAGTCCAGGGCTGAACTAAACTCGTAAAGCGCCGTCTGAGCACTTGCGAGTACCTTCTTATCTTCTAACACAGCTTTAGCATCTCCCCCAACTTTGGCCAAGTGTTTGATATTATCCAGAGCAAACTGGCCATGATTTTTGTATGCGAGGTAAAGGGTCTGAGGAAGACTGCTACCACTCCCGTCGATATCGCCTTGGGAGTCGTCGAGCGGTTGGGCAAAGGGGACATCGACGCCGAGATGACGATGATCTGACTGTCGTTCGGCGCGTTCGAAATCGGTGGCGCTCTCGGGATAACGGAAGATATCAGATTCAAATAGCGATTCATAGGCTAGGGTAGCTTCTTCGTAATGCTTGGGGCCTTGCGCATGGAGCTTAAGGGCTGTTTGGAAACGCTTCAGGGCCTCGTCGATTTGGATTTCGCGGGTGTTATCGACCTCTTCGTCGATATTCTCCTCGGGCTCGACATTAATGGAAGAAAAGGCTGGCTAATTACATTATCAAAGTTAGAGGGTATTCAGAACCATTAGGTCAAATGCCGTACCATTTTGTCGACGGGTGCCTCTTGCGCCTCTCGCGCTGCGTCTAATCGCTACTACAAGTGGGTAAATCGCATAATGACTAGGCGATTTAATACCAAGAGGACGCGATGCTATGTCAATTGTTATTCAGTGAGGACACAAAAGATAAAAGAAATGCGATTAATCAAGTGTTGGTGATGTAGAGGATCAAATTAAGTTGTGTTGGCTGATTTAGTTGGAGATAATACTATGGGTGTATACTAGGGCGTAGCTACCGCGTGGAATTTCTTTTGGGACGCGAATCATCCATTAAACTGAATCACAAGGCTGAGAAGGAAGCAGGGGCCGAATACCAAACTGCAGCTCCAAATACCTCATCAAATCAACTTATGGAAGGCACCCACAATAGCGCCCTGGCGTTAATGCAAGGCTTGGAGCCCGCTAGGCCTGTAACAGTGGATCCAAAGGCACCAGGGGGTACATCCATGGACGCCTTACCTCTTTAAGGAAATATCTTGTAGCAAAACATTAGAGCCTCGCTATAACGATCAAGGTAGTGTTTTAGTTGGAGTATCGATGGCCTGTGCGTGCCAAATCTAAGAAATTCGTCAATCCAGAACATCCAAACACGAAGCTCCGCCGTCTCTAGACCCGTCATATTTATCATATCAATCGTATCATCTGCATCGAGATTTAATACCTACTTACACAGGTATAGACGGATGTGTGCTCTTAATACATTCGACGCGCAACCCTTCTCTACGTGGTGCCATCCGTTCATTTGATGCTTTCTATAGTACTATGTTCCTGCGAATTAGATCCAATTGTCGTTAATAACCAGAGCAATCTTGAAGATTAAAAGAACAGATCACCACCTAGGTACTCCAACAATCACATCACCGATTACCTAGGTACTCCTTCGAATCAGATTCTGCTACCGCGGCGATGCCTCCACCGGCGGTCCCAGAGTAAGATATCCACCCCGTCCCAATTATCACACCTGCCTATCCTCTCTATCCTCCTTATCCTACCTGGCTCTATCTGGGTACTATGTAGTTCGCTTCCCAGTTAACAGCCTCGATTAGGATCTCAGAAGAGGTTTTGCATGAATCAATTGATGCTCGTACCGAGACCTTGGCGTCATTGCGCGAACTTGGCCCTCCCGATCTGGTCCATCTCCTGAAACAGAACCTCAGAAATACTGGGAAACAGGTACGCCACCTACGCGAGCCGCCGCCAGATAGCCAATGCTAAAGATATGTGTCCAGACTGGAGTATATCACCATGTTACCGGTGTCGATGCCTCCTCGTCAGCTAGTCTTGCTGCCTACATCAACACCCTCACATACAAGGAGCATGGCCAAGTTGCCACCCACAAGATCGTAGAAGGTTTATACTGCTGCTACAATGCCTTCTCCAGATTTGATATGCGCGTCCATGTTACCATTCCCGGTACTGTCGAAGCTTACTGCGTTGACGAAAGGGGGGAGAAGCGAAAGGCGACGGACGAACTATGGCTCGAAACATACCTCTGCAGTGTCTTACGTGCCTATTCGTACGCCGACGACGGAAGCGGCGAGACCATCAGGAAGATTATGGGTGTCAGGCGCTTCAACCCCGTTACCAACACCGAGACCGAGCATCGTTTTCTTAGCGCCGCCGAAAGTCTCTTCTTCAGAGGTGCGTGAGCACCTAGCGTGGGAGCCCGTGGGTGCTATGCTAACTTCGTCCAGGATGGCAACTGGGCTCTGACTCAGTAGTCCAAGTTCCAAATAACGTATCGAACCACCTAACTGCAGGTCTGCTCAAATACTTCCATACTACGGGACGTTTTGCTTCGGCCATCAACCTCTTCGAGAAGCTGAGGACCCAGAACGTCGAAGTATCGTCCCTCCTTGCTAAGGTCTTGTTCATGGGCAACGAAGAAGTGCAGGGTGTACGTATATTATACCAGGCGCTTAAGGACTCACCGATGGATTATGTCATGCTAGACACGCAGGCCGATTTCCTGCTAAAGAAGGCGTTGGCAGCTGAGACCCCGGCGCAAAAGGAGGAGAGGCTCAAGATGGCCTTGGGCTGTGCTGATCGCAGCACCATTGCTGCGCCAAGCGAATTTGGCACGTGGGCAAGATTGGCGCAAGTATATGTTGCCATGGAGGACTGGGAAAACGCACTCACGATCCTCAACTCGTGTCCGATGTTCACTTACCAGGACAAGGATGCCCCAGTTATGCCAGAGCCGAAGGATGTCTACCTCCCTACCTTGCCTGAGACGCGCCTTGAGGAGATCGACAGCGAACCTGAATCCCGATATTCCGAACAAGTAGACCCCAGTTTGCTCAATCTCCGCGCCGCGTCATATCGCGGTACCTTTAAGTTAGCCTACGGAATCCTGACAGAAATGACCGCAAAGATTGGCTGGGACCAGCTCCTGAAAATTCGGAGTAATGTCTTCGTCATGGAAGACGAATACCGAACCGAGAAGCATGATAGTGTCACGCAACCTCCGTCAACAAAGCGAAACCCGAGTACTGATGGGTTGCGCGGTACTCCGGAGCCGACAACTAACGGCGATCATACCGATGAGGAAGATGAAGATGATAAGAGTGCAGTCGATGCCGATTCGACAGCGCCCACTCTAACGAATGGACATGGTGAAGCGAGTAGCGTAGAAAAACCGACCCATACTATTGATCCTGGTGAGGTTAAGGCAGACGGTGATACCGTAAGTATTCCCCTTTTTTTCCTGGTTTCCTCTTAGAAAATCGAAGTCAGTATTAAGCAAATCTACAGAGCGCCACTACCGATGAACATCTCTCACGCTTAAACAATAAGCGCTTATGTGAGAGATGGTTGGATAGTCTCTTCATGGTGTTATACGAGGACTTGCGCGTATATACGATATGGAGAACGCAAATGGCGCAATACAGGGCACAGTCGATGCAGTACAAGAAGTCGGCCGAGGAATGGGAGATTCTAGGCGCCCTAGCGGAGCGTCTTCAGCATCATGACGAGGCAGTCGAGGCGTACAGGGCGTGCCTTGCCGCACGATTCAGTCCGAGAGCGTTATCCGGCATTTTACGAGCTTTCGAGAAGCAGAAGAACACGCGAGACACCGTGGCTGCCGTCATTCGTCTTGTGACATGGCAGTACCGTTGGTACTCGGAGTTTTCTCCCGAACTCCTTCACACGATACGCGCATTGATCGAGGAAGAAGGCGCGGTCAAAGTTCGATCCATCATCCAAGCCACAAGTCTACCGCAGAATGTGTTAGATCTAACTCATCACTACGCCGCATTGTGTGCTACGTTTAGAAGTAGTGGAACAGATGGTTGAAACGCCGAAAAGGGAGGATGCCTTTAGGGATGGAGTGATGCGCCTTCATGATATCCGCGTGTTTGTGTAAACGGCGTAAAAGACAGCTAGTAATACAAGATGCCCTTGCTAGTGTTGCAGGACGAAAAAGAATTCATCGATATTTCCCAGCTCTGTAGGCGTCAAATAGTCTCCAATTCGATGGTCTACGCTCAGCATACCCAGTTAAACTGTCGGACCTAAACTGAGAGCACGTGGTATTTGTGCATAAATATCGACTTAGAATCATCCAATCAAAGCTCACTCATAACATCCGGCTAGAGCGGACTTTGACTGGATACCTGCCAATCGTAGCCATCACTTCGCCCGGATATTCGACGTAGCATTCCGAGATACGGTCCAGTTCTTGTATAACTATCCCGGCATTTCTCACCTTTGGCGTATAAATAGTGGGATCTAGAAGCCCATTAGTAAAGTCGTTTACGACGGACAAGAAGTTATATGGATGCTGCTAGGTTTCTTTGTTCCTATTCTTATCACATCTTGCCCAGTGTCCTCTTATCATTTGTCCAGCCACTTGCTTGTGTCCATTATGTCATAGAATGATGCGGTATTTATCTTTTGTATTAAAGAATATACTGATGTCAAGATTCACCTTGCGAAATAGAATGCTAGGGAAAAGAGGCGCAAGGGATGGCCCACTCGTAACAAATAACAACATAGCTAAATTTCAAACATCATCCTGACTTAATCTCTACTACACCTCGAACTTATTATATATAATTCTAGCTATGTCATTGGAGCCTCATACCTAGGTGTATAGGAATCGATGTGTAAGGGTCACTGATACGTACGTACACCAACCCCTAATGTCAGGGGTTCCACTACATACCTACCTAGTAGATGCCTATGTAGTAGGTACCTAGATCGTGCATAATCTTATCAATCTCATCAATTTCTATGTCCACATTGGAAACGAGGGAGCGAAAGACTTCTCCCATTCCAAACCTTCCCGACGCTTCCAGGCTGCTGGAAAGTAGCCAAAATGAGCGGTAGTTCAAATCTCGATGTCATGCTGGTAAGAATTTCTCATGTTTAATCCAATTCTCTTTTTTCCTATTTTTTTCTTTCTTTTTTGTCTTCTTTTCCCATTCATCTATCAAAATTCATCATATCCCCTTCGTAAATCGTTGCAGTTAGAAAGCCGTGGTCTTGTTCTAATTTTTACTTCTACCCGTTGCTCCTAGGCCGGCGGCGGGGCAGCATTCGTCGTGGACTTGATAGTCTACCCATTGGATACTCTCAAAACTCGGCAGCAGAGTCGAGATTTCATCAATACTTTCGCCGACCCGACCACTAAAACGAAGTTGCCATCGAGGCAGCTCTTTAAAGGCCTGTACCAAGGCCTCGGGATAGTCATAGTCGCCACCTTGCCCGCTGCGGGGACATTCTTCACAACCTATGAAGCGGTGAAATCCTTCATTAGCCGACACGGAGTGCCATTAGGTCTCCCGCAACCCCTCGTTCATTCGGGCGCGTCGGCCGTCGCGGAGTGTGCGTCATGCTTAGTACTCACTCCGTCGGAAGTGATCAAGCAAAATGCGCAGATGTTGCAACAGCACGCCGGTGCCTCGCGCGGGTCTGCGTCGCTCCAAGCATTGAGACAATTGGGAGGCGCCGGCGCGGGATCCAAACTGCTCTCAGGCTACACCGCTCTTGTAGCTAGAAATCTGCCTTTCACGGCTATTCAATTCCCCATCTTCGAATTTCTGCGCGCGCGGATCTGGGGGCGGCGGTCCGGCGTGTCCCAGACTCGTACCGGATTCGATGCGAGGGAGAAGGACAGTTTACTTGAAACCGGCATTATCACCGGTACGAGCGCAGGGTTGGCGGGCAGCTTTGCTGCCGTTATCACGACTCCCATGGATGTGGTTAAGACGCGGATGATGCTACAAGCTGGAGATGACCGAGACGTGAAACAGGGTGCTCATAATCGGATAGCTTCGTCGCACGAAGCCAGTAGACATAATCCGCGCGGTGGATTCGCCATAGCGCGCGAGGTTATTGCGGAGAGGGGCGTCGTTGGGCTATTTAGAGGAGCTGCTCTTAGAGCCGTCTGGACGGCAATCGGCAGCGGGCTTTATTTGGGAACGTACGAAGTAGCCAAAGTTTGGCTCGCAAGGAGAAAGGGGTACGATATTGACGATAAGGACATCCTTTAACCAATATCAACATAAATCTACAACTATCCTCTGTCTTCTCCGAATTCTCGTAGCTAACCCCGTCCGGACCGTCATATATACCTCAACACCTATCTAATCCTCAGCCATCCGACACATACACCATTCTGAATGTTCCCGCAGCATCGCCAGAAGTTGATATTATAGGCTGGCAGAAATTGACATCCTTCAGTATCATTTCGTTGCCGTCCTTATCTTTGCCACAGCTCACATCAGCTTTCCAGCAGTTATACTGCGGCGTGAAGGAGTAGAATGCGTAGGTCCCTGGCACCTGTCTCGAACCTTCCGATGACGATGTGATATTGCCTACAGTTAAAGTAGTCCCCGTCTCGTCCATGAAGCTCTGTCCAATGCTGTAACTTATCCCTGCATGTGACCTGTCATCTACAAGAAAGTCTACTCCGGATTCGAAGGTCGCCTGCCTATGTTAGCGACGGTCACCCTTTTTCACACGTAGTAACTATAATGAACATACCTCGAATCCTGTTTCGCTTGTCCAAGTATATGACTGGAAATGCGACACTGCCGTGCTGAATGATTGACTCTCGCTTACTGAATGTGAGCAGGCAGGCGGAGCTTCGCAGCCCTGTGACCTAGTAATGCCTATCTGTGGGCCATCTTCAACGGTAGGCGTAGAAGAATACGAATTAACGATCGAGCACTTCGGGGCTTCACCAGTCGTAGTATCCTTGGGATTGGTGACATGTTGTTTCTCGATCTCCACGATAGCACAATCATCTTGGCCACAGCAAAAACTAGTGATCAAGTTATCTCCGGGCTTTTCGTTCGCCTCGTCAGCATGTTTTCACAAGGTAAGGGATTTGTGTTAGATAAGTGGAGGACGTAGACGTACCCTTAAAGCTGAATAATAACAGCCTTCTCTGGATGCTCTCACGATCTCATCCCCGGGCAGCTTGTTGAGAACCTGCCATCCTCGTGGCGAATCCTTCATTATAACGTATTGACAAGTTCGGTCTACTTCCTCTAGCTTCCACCATACGACTTGAATCGGTGCTTCGTCTAAAGTGTGGTTCGTTTTTACCGCCTCGGAGAATGTCAGATTCTCATAGTAATGGCCTCCGGCATGGCTGTTCCAGTCTTTGATGGAATAGTCTGTGCGAAGTGTGCTGTCTGGGACCGTCACCCCGTCGCTCCAAACATCAAGCTTTTGTTCCTGACAGTTGAAATCACCGTATGCGACGAAGCCTCCAGAAGCAGTTGCATATGTAGGATATAGCAGAACGAGTGAAAGAAGATGTATTAAAGACATCGTATCGGATATATCTTGTGAGTATCTCATCGGTGAACCGTACTGTTAAGTCTAGGCAGTCGTAGAGTAGACGAAGATGTTTCATAGTAGGGTTAGAAGCGGGTGTCCTCTCTCCTTATATACCTGTCTTCGTGGTCAATTCTATCACAGTATCAGCATTGCGGATACCGATGATATGACAGATTAGTCGATGAACACACAAAACAAGGATCAGACGGTATTGTCTATCTAGTCTCATAGATAGACCATACCGACGAGGCTGCCACTCCACAAATCTTTTTTGCTTCCTGGTACAATCCCTGCCAACTTATTTTCTGGCGACCTGAGCTATAAAATTCTCCCACGCGGTTCTCTTACACAGAATTCTCTGGATGTAATAATGCTTCTACGTTATTCTAGAAAGCAAGGACAGCGACCTGAAGAACTAGGTAGTCCATCGACTATGAATGTATCCACCGTGGTGGCCCACTGTTGAAAGAGGCTATAGCTTCAACTCCCGGCCCATGGTTTGCTACTCACATTGCAAGGTCTAGGGTCCGGCGTGTTATCTCCTGTTTCCCATCTGAGATGTAGGTAAGTATTTCGAAGTGCTCGAGAATAGCAGATGGATCCGATCACGAACCCCTCATCGAACCTCGAATCAACGACGAAGAGCAGCGCCAAGCAAGTCGCTAAGGTATTAACGTGCGTTCTCAAAATCTGGGGAAGAGCTTGGCCTTTTCTCGTAGACGCCGTACCCACATGGAGCATAAAAAGACTATCTCTCATATCAAAAGACTAGCCCTATGTTGTTCACCGAGCATACCGACTTGTATACCAGCTTGGGAGCATCCCAATATCAACAATCGTCTTGAAACAAGATATGACGTGGAAAATGATGTCAAGTCTTCCTGTATATTCTGTTTGAATGCTGGAAACAGGTCGTTCCCCGAGTCTATCCTAGATGTAACGTGCTATAAAATCCGTATCTTGTATTGAGATCGGATTTTAGTCTAATTACAAGGTCTAGGAAGGTAGCTATGTGAGTTTTTTAACAAAGAATTATGTCTTATTTGGTCATATACCTACTCAAGATAAGAGCTGCTTGCTACCTATGTATCGGGTTGCGTCTCTAGTTCAGACAGTAAATATGGAATTCTTACGGGGCTGTGATAGAGGGTCCGTGGGGTCGTTATCCGGCCTTTGGTAACCAACGAGGACAAATACAATCAAGCTGACAAGTCAGAAAGGCTGTAGATGACATAAGTGTCCTTTGTACCAAAAAGGGGAGCCCCCTTATACCGACAGATAGGCACTTGACTGGATCGTACGATTCGCGTTGTACAGGCTTGACTTAACTTCGGTGAAATTTCAAATCACGATCTTTTTCGTACTTGAACATTAAAATATGGAGTCTTTTGACGAATGCGGACTTGCCGGCCGAGTTGCCCAAATTTAGTATTATTTCCTTCTGTGGAAACGGTATGTTTGCATTACTCGATCGGGCCTGTCATCTCGACATTCCTTGTGACCTTGGAGGCGCTAAACACTCTCTCCTACTTTTCTAGTCTGTTGTTTGTCTTTGTTACCTAGCGGTGAACGAGAGATAAGCGTCGTTCTCCTATTTACTGGTAGTTTTACGTCACATTTCATACCTTGCTAGGCATAGCCTCGCCCACGTGCGACTGTGCGGCCTATTTTGATGGCCACAAGCTTTCCCCGTGGGGTTGGAATCTTGATGTGTGAATTCCCACTGTATTTGAATGACCTTCCAGTTATTCTAAGTAGTGTCCTGTTGGGCTTCAGCGTTGGATCCTATTAGAATCAACTTGTAACACTAGCTTCGAAGACACGTAAGCGGGGGTTATAAGTGTTTGTTTTACTTTCCCTACATAACGGTAACTGAAAGGACGATGGACGATATCATCCGGCCAGCCTGAAGGTTTTTGAATCGCCAATCATTGATAACAGGAAGAAGCTAAGAGAGATCATGTAGTTGGGGAAGGAGTCACTAACTCGACGATGATCCTCTTCACCGAGCTGCCTGTATTGTTTTCTATTGTTGAGAGTATAGCTGAAGCTTCACGGAGAACCCTGCAGAAATTAGATATCAACTGACTTCGTCGAAACCTATGACCGAGATGATTCTAAAAGAACCCCTATTGATTGGCTAGCTCGCTGTTATCCGACGGTCTAGGTATGTAGGAGAAAATGCCAAGCATCGCGAACTATCGCGTGATGAATGCTCCTTGAACTCAGGCATTACTTAGAGGCAAGATTTGCCGAGAGAAGTGAAATCCCAAGAATCAGGCGGAAAAGGTTGGCATTGTTAGCATATCGTCGGTGAGCAATTCTCTAGTGATAGATGGTCAGCCGACCTTTTGAGGCAATAACTCCTACGCATGGCCCAACACGCTATGTTTGGTATCCTTCTTTGAGTATCTATTAGACTAAATCATATAGGTGCGATTCGGTGTCAGAGGCGTGCTCGGATCGAAGCTCGGTCCATACCTAGGAAACCTACCGGTGGTTGGTAGGTCACCGGATAGACTAGACAAAGAATATTTGCTTTAACATACCGCCATTCTCGGCAGGGGGGATTGAAAACTCATCAAGCAACAGCATCATGTCACTCGGCAATTATACGCGGCATTTTGGAACATATGGCTTCAATGGCGCCAAAGGGAGTCTTAATGGAATGTGGCGGAATTAATTATCAACTGATCCCACAAGTTTAGAATTCTCTATCGATCTAAAGAAATCAACTATAACCTGAAAAGTGCTTACTTAGATATAATTACTAAGATCTCTAGAACCTTTACAATGGGTGTTTGTAGAACCGATAGGGGCAACTCGAGTGTAGTGTGTTAGATCAGTATCGCCTTTGTCTGTTTATAAACAATTGCAGCCTTCCCTACCTAGGCAATATTATGACTCTCGAGTTTCCCTCTTTGCTCATAGACCTTTGACCCCATTCCTAGCCTCTCAGATTGAATATTAATACACGAAAAGAACAATATAACCCTTCAACTGGCATAAGACTACAGTCTCCGTAAAACCGGTAACTGTGCATTGGCGATAGCGCAGGCCCTTTAAGCCTGTGAGCATTGAGGCTCTCACGGTGATCTTCAAAGGTGTCTAACCAACTAGAAGTAAGCTTTGTGGGTGCCAGTGGAGCTCAGGGGTTGCAACTAAAGGGATATGTTTATTACCTAGCTAGAGAAATCCATCTATCCCAGATTAAAATCAGGTAGTTCAACGATACTAAAATATGGCAGGTATGTGTCGCTTAGACTAGGTAGGTGCGAAAAGGGGGTTTCTATAACCCTTATTTAAGAATTTTAAGGGGTACCCGCTTACGTACATGTCTAGGTGATGAATTTCAACGAGGCTAAAAATTCCCCCGCTGGTATCATTTCTTATTAGACTATCTAATCATTAGGTAGATATGTTAATAGGAGAAAGGCGGATATTTGCTTGCCTTCAACCGAAGTCGTCATTATCGTTAGATGATCCCCCTCTAACATAAGTTACTAAATGAATATTCGCATCTTCTATTCTACAATTATCAAGCACGTGTCAGACTTCAAGTTGGCGGTTTCGGAGGTTTGACGACACCAACAGCCCGGATCAGCCGTGCAGCAATAGTCGCATTCTGCTGGTTTGCAAGGGCAATTCAGGCGGATTGGGCAAAGGTTACATCCGCATGGGGGGGTCGAAGGGGTCGAAGCAGCGAATCCGATCCAATGCACTCCGAAATAGTCGTACCTACCGGCATCGGCGCGGTGCCCAAAAGTGCCTTTCGGCTCTTTGGCTCCTTCACTAACTCCAATGGTAGTGACGGAATCGGCTACTTAGATATAGCTTTTGAGCGGAGGAGCACCCATGGGGATGAAAAGCGGTTTCTTGGAGAAACCAACGAGGTTTAGCGCATGGTAATTGTGACGATCCTTCTGCTTCTGCTTGTGTACCTTATTATCTATGCGTTATCTCGAGACTACCTATCGACTGGGTTTAATGTGCAATATGCTCTGATCTGAACAAGGTGGTAGAGGGATTGGTTGGGCATTTTTGTGCGAGGACTTACGAAGAATGTGAAAGTGAAAGCCTCAAAGCTACCCCTACTATGTAGATAGGTATAACATGTTGAATCCTGATGCATGTTGGCGTGTTACAGTTACTTGCAGAAATGAAAGCTCGCCAATGCACGATTCGTTCATCGCAGCATTGTGTCCCGTCGCTCGTTGAGGGTTGGTCGTCGAATGCCGACCTATCTTTAGTCCTATTCGGCGGTTGCTACCTTGCAGGCTGTCATCTCATCTATCTCTACATATGTGACAGTCGGGGGAAATAAAGGCTGGCCCGACCAAATCCGATTGGTCAATTGGTGTTATACGCACCTAGGTATCGCAGATATGATGGATATAAATGATATTTGGTACATGACAAAATACACGAGCACCTTCAGACCCGTTGCCTATCAAGATCGAGATCCACTTATGAGATTGCGTACTTCGAATATTACCGGTAGGTAAAACACCGTTCAAGTGGGCCGCAGGAGACCACGCGTAGATTGATTAATAGCGGTTATCTACCTGGGTAATTAAAGAGCGAAGGCTCGGGCCCAGGTTCAGATCCAGTCCGGGGTACGTGGGAAAAAGTTTGGTAAAAAGAAAGACCAAGACGAGTCGGTTCGGCCGTATGTAATTCAAGACACATGCATATATATTTACATAGGGAGGTATATGTAAGGAGAGCGGTAGGTATATGTCACTTGCATTCTACATGTATGCATGTTATTAAGCTCCAGATTCCCAATCTTAGTATGTTTTAGATTTGGGATTGTCCTACCTCAACGCTGGCTAAATTGTGGCGGCTCGATGGTATCAACGGTTTGCGGAATGGCGCGATCAGCTACCGGGATGGCTGAGGGCCCAGAAATTTTTATTACCAATTCACCACAAAGAATATCGAAGACATAAGCATGTATCATAAGCATGTGTCCTGCAGCTGGGTCCGCTCGCCATACCGCCGATAGATGATAACTTGAGATCATCTCTGGGTTTGCGTTGTCAATGTGACTGTGATAGCTCTCACTCTCTCTGGGCGTGTCTTTCGTCCCGTTTATGCCGGCGGCTTGGAAGTCTGCCTAGAACAGGTTCGGCTTGCATCCACCTGGATGTCCTAGGGGCTCTTCAGCATAAAACCCACCCCAGACCCCCTTTCGGAGTGGTTAGGCCTTTCGAATGTTGCCGAACAAAAATTGAATTCTCAATACCAACTCGTACTCACATACTATTCCAAACCAGCTATCAGCAGGAGGTATCTTATCAAACACTCCAGTATGGCCTTAGATCAGGTGTTACCACACTCTTTGGAGCTTCCGCATGCATCTCTTCAAGAGAAGGAACCAATAAAGGTTTCGACATGGGAGATAGCGACAGTTCCCGCTGATAGTGCTAGCATCTTCGCGCATGATGGCGAGCACCTCTTCGTCCAGTCGCCCTATACCGAGCAGGAACATCTTCTCGACTTGAGAACTCTCGATGTAGAGAATGCGCTGCTCGCTCGCGCACTTGCTAGCATGCGATGCCTGAGACCGGATTACGCCACCTCCCCATACACCGAGACGTTTAACTGGGACGAGATTATGGAGAATGTGGTACGACTCGTACGGCAACACGATCATAGGTGGAAGGAGACTTCCTTCTTCATCGTCGCTTTTCGATCACAGATCCCGCCTACGACGGTGTACGAGGACCTGGGGGCGCTGGATAAGGTAGCGCATGCAGAAGCGATAGCAAGCGGTGGCTTTCTGAAGTAGGTGCCCGCTCCTTTTTCGGGCCCGCGCCCATGCGGAAGAGGACATTAACAGAGACTAGATATTGGTTCGGGCATCCTGATAAGGACGGCAGAAACCTGGCTACCTGCCTGTGGAGATCGCAAGAGGATGCGATAAAGGGAGGAGTCGGGCCTGGACATCGTAAGGCAGCGGCGGCAACACGGTCGTTGTACTCGCATTGGAAAATTGACCGGCACAGGCTTATCATTCGGGATGACGTGAAAAGCTGGGAAATTATTGACTGGGAATGAGCCCGTAGGGTTGCACCAAGCTGCACGGTGACCGGCTGGCATGGCTCAACTTCATGTGCCTGAGATAGAGGCGACGGGGTGGACGAATGAGATGAATCCGCGGCCGGCGGGCCGTCTATCTCGAGCGTCCGGTCCGTCTCTTTTGCTTGTGATTTCCACAGCAAGGCATGGGTGTATCGGTTGTTTTCCAGGGAGAGACTGTGGAATAGATGATAGAGGATCCTCCGAGTAAGACATGGCTAGATAGGACGAAATGATAATGATAATGATAAAATAGATGCGGAAGTATAGCCTCCCTCTCCTAATCGAGGATTGATAGCCCACGATGAGACTAGCATCGTTTCCCTTCCGGTGGCAAAAATGAGAAGCTGAATTGCTGAATTGTTGGATTGCCAGGTTGCTGGGGTACTTGCTCCCCAGTAGTACTGTAGCACCCTTGAATTCTAGAGTCGATACTGGAGCCAATCCACTTTTGCTGCCAGGCGACGTTGACAGGGCTCGTTGTCGACATTCATATATACGCACGGGACACGGGATTCGAGCATATGACGAAGGAGTAAAAACTGGAAGGAGACGACGTTGCTTTGAGGCTCTTTAAATACCTAGCTATGTTTTATTTGTGGAATGTCGACATGGAAAATGACAACATGAGCGTGGGGGTTCAAACGTGGGATGTTTGTCCTTATTATTATTATTATTTTTAAGTGAGCGATTGATGCCGACGCCAACATGTGCCCTGAAAAACGAGGGTTATCATGCTTAATTGGGTACGCTGCTGTTTGATGCATATAACGTTCTAACCAGTACTTTTCCTTGTGTGATAGAGTAGAGTAACAATGCAGTACTTGGCAAAGACCTGCAGGAAACAATTAACCGTTAATTTACGGTTTGTATTTTTCGAACCATAAATATATGGTTTATCTTAATCTAACATTTATTTATCCGAGCGTTTATAAAATTAAACGATTACTTACATTCTATTGTTAAATATCTTCAAACGTTTGAGTTTCAACAACGGTTTTTAGTTGATGATAGCTTCAATAGGTGTGTGTAACCACTTTGGTATTTGGATCTATCCTGATCTATCCTAGTCTATCCTGATCTAGGTGTGTGTAGCCATTTTGATACTTTGGACCTTTGATCCTAAGGTGTGTGCAACCATTCCAATCGTTCTAGTCTAACTGTTTTGATCTTGTTGTGTTACTTGCCTTAGAGTCTATATAAGACCTAATTCCCACTCACCTACTTACACTCCTTCTTCAAAACTTCAAGTGCTCCAAGGTTCAAAGTCTTTGAAGAAGTCTTCAAAAACAAACCTACCTACCTACCTACCTACTTAGGTCCCACCAGGATCGTCTCCAGGAACGCCAGGAACTTCAGGACCCTTATTTGCCAGCGGTGCTTACTTACTGGTGAGGCTCAACTACATGGCTCAACTGCATGGCTCAACTGCATGTTCAGGTAGGTATTGCAGTCGATACTGCAATTGTAGATTTCGTAGACGTAGAAGGCCTCCTTGGCCTGAATAGATTCAACCTGACCTGACCTGACCTGTTTACCTGTTTACCTGTTGGTCCCAACGTTACACCTACTCCCGTTACTCCCGTTAGCTCCCGTGGCCTTCCCGTCTAGGTACATCTCAAGCTTCAAATAAACGATTAAATATTCAAACGTTTAGGTTTGGATCAAATATAAAAACGCATATAAACGTTTATTTAAAATTATGGTTACTCAGTGGTTTGTCTATTCTCAAACGTTTACTATAAACAAACTGTTAATTAACGGTTAATTGTTCCCTGCGGATCTTTGGACGGTACGTACCAGAGATCTTGCCGTTTCTCCCCGCTTACCTAACCAGTACTCTCCAACCCACAGAATCGAAGAATCGCGCATCCCACTAAAACCACAAAATCTTGACAAGATTCGTAGCTTCGTCACCTTCAACAACCGGACTTTATCTTCCTCTCTACCACAACCAACACCTACAGGACGCAAAAAAGTCAAGCGCTCAATAATTATTCTTTTGCGACCATGGCAGATTCTACAAAAGATGTGCCGTTTAAGACGGTTCAGGTCGAAGCACTGGCAAGTTTCTACTTTTTACAAATTATTATCTATTTACCCCTCCATCAATATTCAAATCATCTTGAAGCGTGAGGTGAAAAAACCGCTAATATCGGGTTCGCGTGTAGGTTGTGATGAAAATAGTCAAGCACTGCTCAAACAGCTTCCCCACAGCCGCTACAGGATCTATTGTTGGCATGGATAAAGATGGCGTTCTCGAGATTACCAACACTTTTCCCTTCCCCACCGTCGATGTCGCAAACGTCGACAGCGGCCACCAGAACGACGCATCCGCCCTCGCTGCTGCCGCCCCACGCGCCAAGGCGAACATTGTCTACCAGAACGAGATGATTCGACACCTTAAGGAGGTCAACGTCGATGCCAACAATGTCGGTTGGTATACGAGCGCCACCATGGGTAACTTTGTGAACTCCAGCTTCATCGAGAATCAGTATCACTACCAGCGTGAGAACGACCGGACGGTGGCACTTGTACACGACGTTAGCCGAAGTTCCCAGGGTGCGTTGAGCCTTCGCGCATTCAAGTTGACGCGAAATTTCATGACTGCCTTCAAGGAGGGAAAATTCACGACCGAGAGGTTAGATCTTACTTAAACCCCATGTGGAAAAAGGCAATCACGGCGCTAACATAGAAGCAGTCTACAAAAGTCGAAGCTCTCGTTCAAGGACGTCCTCGTCGAGTTCCCGGTCAATGTTCACAACTCGCATCTTTTAACCTCCTACCTCCACCAACTACCCTCTACTCCCACAGAAGCGGACTTAGCCATGCCGACGTCACTCTCTGACCTTCAACGCGACCCCATTAAGATGCCTCTTTACCCATCGACCGACATCCTTGACTTGTCCATAGATCCCTTCCTTGAGAAGACGTGCGATCTTCTCCTTGACAGCATCGAGTCCCATTATACCGAGCTCAACAACCATCAATACTACCAGCGACAGCTGGCTCGAGAACAGGCCAAGATCACGGCATGGCAAACGAAACGTAAGGCAGAAAATGCAGCGCGAGTTGCTGCTAAGCAACAGCCACTTCCCGAAGATGAATGGCAACGAGTCTTCAAACTTCCCCAGGAGCCCAGCCGACTTGAAGGCATGTTGAACGCCAAGCAAGTTGAGCAGTACAGCAAGCAAATAGATGGGTTCACGGCCAATGTTAGCGCCAAGATGTTCGCCGTTAGGGGAAACCTCTTGCCGGAGTAAGATTTGCGAAGGGTAAAAAAGGGGGTTATGAAAACGGATGCATGTGGCCTGGCGTCTGGTGGCGTTCTAGGATTTCTAAGGGTCTGTAGAGCTAATTATATCGAGTTTTACTGATTCTATGCCTGGCTTGTCGCCGGTCAGGGTTCATACGGAAAATCAATCGGCCCAAGCAAGTAAAAAAGTGGTTGTTTCAGATCATGATTCACTTACATATAAGCCCCCATGAGAACACTGCCATCAAAACCTGAGGCGTCTAGAGCGAGACAGTCTACATTTGTAGTCAAACGATGGCATACATACGGAGGCAGGTATGTATACGTATATAGGTTTTCTTGAGGTATGCAATACCTAAATATCTACCAAGGTATACGCGTGTGGAGGTATTGATGTACCTACCTATATGAGCAATGTGTATAAAAGTAGCAGGTGGTTTTTCCCGGAAGAGGTACCTTGACGGCCTCACCTTGATATTCCTTTCGTGTCAGGAGTTATCTAAGCGCTCTAAAGAATGACAGAGGCCGATGCGCTTCAGACACGATTGACCTATTAAAAGCTTGTATGGGGCGAGGACGGCGTAATATGAGAAATAATCCGCTGCTCACGGAGTTACTGACTTCCCAACAGTAGACGAAAAAGATTTGCCGAGTGGATAGAGGAAACGGGATGAGGGGCATTTTTCAGGGACCAAATCCTCTACTCCGAAAGTGGCTAGCTTCAGCTTACAATGACCAGCATCAACCACTCACCTACAAGGAAAGAGGGGCTGAGGGGTTGCCCAAAGCTGATAGTAACGAAAAATTCAAAAAGCTCCTGCTCTCCTTACAGGTTACAGGTAGTACCTACCCGTGGACCTGATGGAGTACCAACCAACCATTTAGACCATTCAGCCTTTACCAACTCCGTACTTGCCGTCTTCCAAGCTTTCTTCTTATAACTCTTTTCCTCCGACTCGACTCTTCGAAACTTCCTCTCCTATTCTACATTTTCTTCTCCTCCATAACACACCCTCCGTCTTCTCGTCCCTTCAAATATCTCTTGTAAGTATCTAGCATCTAGCTAAGCATATAAATCCACTTATCAGCTACCTATCTCCGTCGAAGCTGTATTTGCTGACTTTGTCTGACATAGACACCGTTTCCCCCGCCTACTTATCTCCTAGGCACCTCGATCTCATCTTCCCCTCCTTCACCGCTTTTCGTCCCAATTCATCAACCTCCTCAGTATGTATTCTTTTCCCTCCGTCTAAAGAGCTTTGTCGTATGTGACGTCGCAGTATGTTAACGATTGCCTAGCAATGTCTGCCCCCGCCTCCAAGTTCAAGGTCGCCGACCTCTCCCTTGCCGCTTTCGGCCGCAAGGAGATTGAGCTCGCAGAGAACGAGATGCCTGGTCTGATGGCTATCCGAAAGAAATACGCCGCTGACCAGCCCCTTGCCGGTGCCCGCATTGCTGGTTGCTTACATATGACCATTCAGACCGCTGTCTTGATTGAGACCTTAACTTCTCTTGGTGCTGAGGTTACCTGGACCTCTTGTAACATCTTCTCTACCCAAGATCACGCCGCTGCTGCCATCGCTGCTGCTGGTGTCCCCGTCTTCGCCTGGAAGGGTGAGACCGAGGAGGAGTACAACTGGTGCTTGGAGCAGCAATTGCTTGCTTTCAAGGATGGAAAGAAGCTCAACCTGATCCTCGATGATGGTGGCGACCTGACCCACCTCGTCCACGACAAGTACCCCGACATGTTGAAGGACTGCTTTGGTGTTTCCGAGGAGACTACCACCGGTGTCCACCACCTATACCGCATGCTGAAGAACAACACTCTTCTCGTGCCCGCCATTAACGTCAACGACAGCGTTACCAAGAGCAAGTTCGACAACCTGTACGGTTGCCGTGAGTCTCTGATCGACGGTATCAAGCGTGCTACCGACGTCATGATTGCTGGTAAGATTGCCGTCGTTGCCGGTTTCGGTGACGTCGGTAAGGGTTGTGCCATGGCTCTCCACGGAATGGGTGCCCGCGTCCTTGTCACTGAGGTCGACCCCATCAACGCTCTCCAGGCTGCTATGGCCGGTTTCCAGGTTACCACCATGGAGAAGGCTGCTCCCATCGGCCAGATCTTTGTCACTACCACCGGCTGCCGAGACATCCTGGTCGGCCAGCACTTCGAGGCTATGCCTAACGACGCCATTGTTTGCAGTACGTACATGACCTTGGACCCCATAATATTCAAGTAACTAACGGATAATTAGACATTGGTCACTTCGATATCGAGATTGACGTTGCCTGGTTGAAGAAGAACGCCAAGAGCGTCCAGAACATCAAGCCCCAGGTTGACCGCTTCCTCATGGCCAACGGCCGACACATCATCCTCCTGGCTGAGGGCCGACTGGTTAACCTTGGATGCGCAACTGGTCACTCCTCCTTCGTCATGTCCTGCTCTTTCAGCAACCAAGTCCTTGCGCAAATCATGTTGTTCAAGGCCCAGGACAAGGCTTTTGGCCAGAAGTATGTTGCCTTCGCCAAGACGGAGAAGCTGCCTATCGGCGTCTATGTGTTGCCCAAGATCCTGGACGAGGAGGTCGCTAGACTACACCTTTCCCACGTTAACGCCGAGCTCACCAGCCTTACCAAGGTACAAGGCGAGTATCTCGGTTTGGAGCTTGAGGGACCTTTCAAGAGCGACCAGTATGTTTTGCCCTCCCTATTCCCCAAACTTTACAAATGGCTTTGCTAACTAAAATACGCAGCTACCGCTACTAATTTCAGTTCTGTATACGCATTACTTCTACGTACACAGATATCAATATGTGTACTTAAGAGTTATTTACGATTAACTCGCTAAGATTCTCGTAATTAGACGGGATCGGTCTGTGTTTCAACAAGCATGAGTCTACGCACGCATCAACTTGCATTGGGGATACGGGGTATGAGGAATCAAAAGGGACCAGGAGTGCCGGCAGGTCATATTTTTTCAACAAAAACGGCGTTGGCAATTTGATGCATGACATGATTCCCCTCATGGCGTTTGGAGATTTAAAGGCCAAGGAAATGGTCCATTTGATAAATACCTATACAGCTACAGAAGAGAGCTGGGCATTGTCCGTCAACCGGATATGGATAGAAAATAGAAGCAACCTGTGCGCGTTTTCTGTCTATCTGCTGTTCCTCTAGAATTTCCTATCGCCGTGATGACTTGACTGCCTAACGTTTATAAGTTGGGTGTAGCCTTGTTCGACTCAGCACCTAGGTACCCAGAATTATATGCGCAACATTGACCTTGGGAAGGCGGTTGGCAAATTCTCTAACCAATACAACCCCTATCATCCTAATTGCCAAATACCTAGGTGGGCGATAAAATTTCAAGTTATGTGACCCCTTCAACAATATCCTATGGAAAGTCGGCTAGTCAATGCTGGGGTTGACGAAAATACTTGGTACCAAAGGTAGTTTTGTCACTTGTACTCGGTCCTCGCCCTAACATTACCTAATGTACCTAGTAACATGATCCGAAGGCATACATGTACATAAGTACTAGCTTAGACATGTGTTCTGACAGGCAAAAGCATCGGTATTTAACAACCCTTTTAAGCCTACAAGAAAAGTCCTTCCGAAGGAGGTTCGGAGGTCATATTTCGCACATCCCACGCCCCCAACAATAAGAACCTGGCCGCTTATACATCACGGAGACAAAAGCATCACCCTTAAGCATTCATTCTTCCCCTTTTCAGTATGAAATAAATAATATCGCATTATATTCCGTCATGACACGTTCAGTAGATACCTATATACTATACACAACAATAAGGAAGACCGTCTTTTTATCTACCGTGTAGCTCTATGATGCCGCATTAGTTAGGAAGCTCTCTATAAGCTGTCTTGGTTGATCGAGTTCGCATCACGGGGAATAAATAAGTCAAGCCCGACAAGCAAGGGGGAATTCGCCTCGCCCGTCTGGAAAGAAAGCAAAGTTAGTTCCGAATCTCGTACCCAGGTAGGTAAGTAAAGCTCGTCCCGTTGCTCCGATAATAAATAAATTCCGTCTCGGACACCGATTTTTTACCCATCCCATCTTGACAACGAAACGCAGATCGCCTTTATCCTATCGCCACTTTTGTCGCCAATACTCTTTTTCAACACTTATTCGTACACCCTTTTCGGAGGATAAAATAAAGATGTAAACGTAATCTCATTTTTTCTTTCCGTGTTCCGTAGAATGCCGCAACGCCAGTCAAGTCCCTTCTCCTTTGACCTATACGTCATGATATCTCCTGCCAAATACAGCGTGGCCATCCATATCTGATTAGATTAAGGGCGTGGGTAAAAGTAGGGGAAACGGGCAATCGACCGTGCCGATGATGCTGTACGAAGGTAAAACTGCCACTTGGATGTTCCGCGCTCCCGAATGCTATATCAACAAGAATATTGGATTCCGCATGACCATACTAATACATCGCTATAGTAAATATCGATAACTCGGGTGATTTATCGTCATCTTCGAACGATATTGCTTCCAGGAACAATGAAAGCCCTAACGGCAAGTTCAGAGAAGCGGCGGACTACGTTGGTAGTGCCTCCGGTGACTTGTGACTCGTCCTGGATAAATTTGCGGGCTACCGCCAGCTTATTCTTCGGGTCGCTCTCATCCAGGTGTGGAGGCAAGCTACTCTCGAAGTCGGGAGGAAGATTTGGCGCAAGAGCGCGGATGACCGCGAGGGAATAGAGGACATCACGGTTCTCGCGCCCATCTAGTAGCTCGCGTAATTGCCCCAGAATATAATCTCGTTGGCGCATTGTGTCCAGGCCCGGCTGATCCTTCACGCGGAGAAACTCGGCGAGGAAATACCAGAACTTGAACTCTCTGATTCGGTGAAGTCGTATATCAGAGTTTGGGGGAGGTGGCTGAAGCGGATTCTGCTCGAGATAGTCGCCGGACAACAAGACTTCGAAAACCGTCACTCGATTTCTCGCCTCTGACCCATCGTCGGGAGGCGGCAGTTGCTCTCCCATGTTGACTTTGTATTCGGACGCATACACCAACGAAGCCAAATCCCAAACCACTCGGAATTCAAGGTTAGCCGAGTATTGCATTCCGGCGACATTGTTAGCGTCCGTCTTGGCCACGGATTGCAAAAAGCCCGCCAGCATCTCATTGACAGCCGCGTTCGATATCAAGGTATCGACGCCTCGAGGTCTCGTATACCACTCCGTTTCGAAGAACTTCTCTAGCCCGGGAGCGTATACCTGGTCGTACAGGTCTCTAACCTCGGCCAGCTTTTCGCTAGTTAGAGGAGAGTCGAGGGCAGGGGGGATGGCGCCACTCATACCCACGAGCTCGTGGACCTTCATCTTTCGTGCTGGAAAGCTAGTGTAAGCTGACGTTTGCTGCTGTTGGGATGAATACGATGTAGGATGCGAAACAGAGGAATTCAGGGGGACGAACGTAGGGCCACCACCTCCTCTGATAAGACGGGGAGTGTCTGGTGAATAATAATCAAGAGGATTTGGGATGATGGGTCTAGTCGCTAGGAAATGAGAAGTCGACGTACTCGTAGTTGCCAGGGCGGGCTCTAAAGTAGGATCGATAGCGGAAGGGTATTCAAGAGGTTCGCCTTTGATCGTCGACGCAGCTGTTCCCGCGGCTGTCAGGTTTCCGGTGAATGGTGCGGTAGTGGGAGTGGTATTATTAGGTATTACCGGGGGAAGGGTAGTAGAATAAGAAGATTGAGCCTGAGCAGCACCGCCGGGCACGGAGGCGGAAGCAGAGGCAGAGGTGGAGGAAGACACGGGAGGTCGACTCGACGGTGCGGAAGTGGAAGTTGAACTATTCGGGGCCGGTCGAATATTGGTAGGATGTTGTTGCTGCTGATTTTTGAAGATCGGGTCGTATCCCAAACATTCGCGCTTCGACTTTTGGCAATTCTTGCAGACGGGATGCTGTTCGTCGCACTACAGAAGTGACATTCGATATTTAGCAACCGAACTTCAGTACGGCCTGTGCTTGAATACGCAAAATCTGGAAATATGGGACGAGGTAATTTAACTCGAAAAAAACAGAACGAGGGGACGTAGATTACGTAGGAGTGCGTATATGAAATACTCAGTTGTGTGAGGATTAGAAATGAAAAGTGGTTAGATAGAAAAATAAAATGAAGGTGTGAATGAATGTGTGAAGGTGGGATGAAATGAGAGAGGGGAAGTTCCAGGTTGTGTGATAGGCAAGCTTCAATAAGCTTAAAAGCTCTGTTTGGAGTTTTTGGGGTTTGACCAGAGCTTAGGAAGGAGGGTCTTGCTTTTTTTGGAGATCGGGGGCAGTTTCCGGACGATTGACGAAAGCCAATTTTCTGGAGCCAATTTTGACACCTAGCAACATTGTACCTAATAGTTTGGTGCTTTGATGCTTTGCGGCTGGTACGAGGCAGGCACTTGCTTGCTCCGCTCGCAATCGCTTGTCATGCTTGCTTTTGCTTGCCTGCTTGCTTCGTCGGTAGCCCTCTTCTCTCAGCTGGTTGAACCCAAGCCAAGATTCGTTGATGAGAGCTCCGAAAGGTATACAACTGAAGAAATTCCCCAATGTAGGTAGGTACCCTAACTTTACTTGTTCACCTCGACTGTTGTTTCCTTGCTTTTTTTTTGGTTTGTCTTTTAAATATAATTCTTGCCAGTCCATCAATTGTGTAGTCCGTACTGTCCCATTTCTGTGATGATGGGTTTTGGCGAAAAGGGGGATCCACGAAGATAAAATATAACAATAATACATACCTTTATACGTCGTTTGCGACATGTCAAGCAGCCTGTTTTTGTTCGACGTTTGATCTCCTACGAGGACACATAACACCACACGGTCAGTCGCCAGTATTAAAAACTAGAATAATTCCGAGAGGGATGTCTTTATATTCCAATTACCTTCTTATGTCGGCCGCCCAGCACACTACCTGGTCCGCTTGGAGGTAAAGCGTATTGTGGTCTCAAAGCATCCGGAGGTAAGGCGTACGGATTATTCGCCGCCATGGGGACCGGTTGCTGTCCAAAATAAGACATATGCTGCTGCGCCGGCATCGATGGGACCGAAGGTACCGGGTTGACGGGCATGGCCATTGCCATATGTTGCTGTTGCTGAGCCTGTTGTTGAGCAGGGTCGAAGGTGCGCATGCTTGGTAACGCCATAGCGCTGTTTGGAACGCCTGCGCTCGCCCGGTACGCGTCCGGCCCTTGAGCTGCCGGGTTTGCATATCCGTAATGCGCGCTAGTCATACCAGGCGTCGCATACGCCGTCGGAGTCGGGTAGCTAGCTGGTTGTCGATGCCCCTGATGATGGTGAGGTGGGTTGTTCGACATGGCTTCCGATGACGGCGCAACGCCCCCTTGTTGCTCCTGCCCCTGATGTCGATGATCAGGTGAAGCGCCGTTGGTGGCCGCCGTCGCCGAGGGCAGACTGGCCTGGTCAGCAGCGACGGTGGTGGTCGTGGGGACTCTTAGAGGTGAGGCTGTCGTCGACGTCGAGTTCGAGTCCGAATTTGAGTTCGAGGTCGAGGTTGAGGTCGAGATCGAGATCGGATTATCGACGTCGTCGTTGGCGTGATTCGAGGAGGGAATTTGCTGCCTCTGTTTTTGGTCCTGTTCCCGATCTTGATTCTGTTCTCGTGCGCACTCCTGCTCCTGCGCGTAGGCGACTAGTGTTGTCGTAGTTGCATTATTTGGGGATCGTAAATTTGTAGTTGGAGCGCGTGCGTGTGTGTGGAAAGTTTTGACATCTGGCTTTGCCTGTGACGGGAACTGTACCTTTGGCTCTACCCGTACCTGTACCTGTACCTGCCCCTGCGTCCCTTGTCTCTTTTCCTGCTCTTGCGTAGCTTGTGATAATGGAGACTGGGCAGGCGATTGATGTGGGAGGGCATGGGCTGGTTCTTCAGCGGCGGCAAAGACGGGTTCAGGCTGAGGTTGATGAGCCTGTGGCTGTTCCTGTTGTGCCTCTGCCATTTGATTTGATTTTAATTTGCAATTTTTTATGGGGGCGCGATCTGAGCAGGGGCACGCCCGATTCCACGCTGGGCTGCTGCGTAAGGGGGGCCAAGTCACGAAACCCGACCTAGGGCTGGCAGGGGACGGGGACTGGGACGGGGAGGCGTGGTGGACTGGGTGGACTTTGGACGCTCTCGACACCTTCGAACGGTGGGCGTGGGCCAACCAGCCAGTCAGTCAGCCGGCCAGCCAGTCAGCCAGCCAGATAAAGCCAGCCAGCTAAGGTAGCTCTACCTGACCCTACTTTGGCCTACTACCTACCCTGCCCACTTCCTTGTAGCGTATGTATGTATGGGTATGTATTGCGTGTGGAAGTGGATGTGTATGTACGTCTGTAGTGTGTGTGTAGTGTATGGCAGGTAGTAAGGTATGATGATATGTAGGTAGGTAGGTATGGATGTATGTATGTACGTGCCTATGCGTAGCCGAGACGAGAGGAACAAGGGGATCAGATCCCAAAGAAGGGGGGGGTGGGGGGTTCAGCACACGAACATAACACGCACCCATAGGCAAAGGCCAGCAGCAGGCCGTAGGAACGGATGAGTGTGTGCTGCAAGTGGTGCGATGTTTGAGGTGTTTCGACGCGACCCTGGGCCGAGATTCCAGTTAGCTTGAGTCGTCGGCGCATTTGTTGCGTTTTCTCCGTAAAGAGACCACTCCTTGCTCCTTTTGTCCTAGTTTCCGGCCCTGTAAAAGTATTCACACCTGAAGAAATTCGACCAGGGGAACTTGGAAAGAGAGAAAAAAAAAGATTGGAAAGATTGGAGAACGGGGATCATTGAATGGAGCCCTGAGGCTGCTTTGGCGGTCCGTCGTGCAGTGTCGACCGACTAATAACTTAGCGCCAGTACATAGGTACTTGGCTAATGGGCGTATTCCTGATACAGTCCGTCGCACTGTGCGGGACTAGTTGCAAGGTATCCACTTCACTTGCACGTTTATTCCATTATCCCGTCTAGTGTCTCATCGACTACGCCCTAATACGCCCCGAATACTCTTCACTAGCAAGGAAAAATACAGTATCGGGGACACCAATGCCAAACTGTACCAACGCTACGGTAGGTACCCGTACAACTCTCGTATGGCTCGAATGCTTCGTATGGTCCACCATGTAAGTACAAAAAGTCCTCGATTGGACATGGCCGCGGATATTATTACAAAGTATTGTTGTTACTATTGTTGTTATTATTAGGCGCTCGCAAGAAAATGTTGCAAAATGTTGGCCACGCAAACCGATAGATCAATCCTTGGAACAGGCCCTAATAACCACATGCATGCTGACCAAGTCTGACATGATGAGATACGTACCTTCGACACGATGGTGAAGCAGAAGGCGAACGAACGATACCAAGGTGGGTATTAGGGAAAGGAAGAGGAAGCACGTATGGAATCATATGTAACACATATCTGCTTCGAAATATGCCAAATCGCCGTATCTTCAACAAGCTGATATCGTGCGTGTATATGTATATGTGGTAGGTTACCCAGGTAGAACCTAGGCAGGTTATGTAGGAAGATGAATGCGAAGGAGGACCGTTTTAAGAACTTGACGGCGTCAATAGACCGGAAAGGAAGCTCGGTGAGATCCAGGGCATCCACACACACCCTCCAATGATCCAAGCCAACGATGTGTCCGTGCCAAAGTGACTGTGACTTTCCATATTCTGCGCCGTAGTAGCGTGCCTCAGGTAAGTGAGATATGTATGTGCCAACTATGTGCCAGCTTTTGCCAAAGCAGGTGGGATTCGAAATCCACGCTTTTTCCTCTCTCTCCTTTTCTTCACGTCTCTTCTATCTGCAGCCTGTTTTCCTCTCTTTCTGATGACCAGGGTCGAAGGCCAGTGCAGGTGTACATGTACTATGCACCAGGGACAAGAAATAATATTCAAGAAGGGCCGACGACTTTATAAGAGGCAGAACAGAATTATCTGATAAGAGATTAATAAAACATCATCGAGTTCAACGTTATTAGGTCCGATTTTGCAGAAGCATAATAGGTACCTACCTCCTACCGACGACGATTGTAAGTACATCGTCGGACATGGAAAATTGTATAAAAATCAAAGTATCGATCAATTCGATGCTGGATGTCCAGATAAGTACCTGTACATCGTAGTCGATACTTAAAAATAGCAATAGCAAGCTGCAATAAGTGCCCTGGTGCTTGCTTAGTCTACGTCTTATGTAATAAAGGGGTTCAAACCTTGAGCCACCACACGTTCTTCAAGGTTCTTCAACGTTATTCTTACTTCTCCTACCATGTACTTACTCTGACCTGACCGAAGGATTCCATCTGAAATACAACATAACCACACAACCACCACCAACGCGCTTATGTCAATCCTTTTTAATAAATAAGAAAAAACACTCTCTCTTATGTCCGTTTACATATTCTCGAGACGCGTCAGGAACTGGGTTGCAGTTAGGATCCATTGCTTGCTCCGGTCTACACTAGGTACTCTGCTACTGCGCATGCATATCCACCTTACGCTTCTGGTGTGTCTAAGCTGTCGTACTTGCTATACCCATGCCGCTGATATCAACTACATATATCCGATCCTTGTCATTAGGACCTGGGGCTGAGGTCTAGGCTTGCGTGTAGGTAGGTATTCAGCGGGCAAAGCTGGAGAACAGGTATATGATTCTAGCTATCCGCCGACCGCCCGCTAAACGGTAAGGCAAGCAACGAATGTCTTCCCATCCTTCCATGCTCGTCTAATTTTCTTTTCGATTTCACTTCCGGATCAACAGGGGCTACACCTATTCGGGTTGTGTGGCTCGCAGCAACGCGTGGGATGCTCGGTAAATACCCGGATTGCCTCCCTCGCACGAACGGGACAGTAGTATTTTGAAGCTGCTCTCGATTACTCTCAACCCCAAATCTTCAACTTTATCCGCCCTTCATCGACTGACTAACTGACTGACCAATTCGCCATGAGGTCATTCATATTCGAGAATCGTCCTAGTGGGGCCCGGTTCACGTCACCGTTCTTCTCTCCTTACTATTGAGGACATATTCGTGTCGATCCAAATGATCACCCCCATGCTGGATCTAACCGGCGGATTTTCCACCCTCGGGTATCGACTTCTAAAACTATGCATAGCTTATTCAGACTGCAACGGCAGAGCCGTGGATCCCATGAGGTCCCCACGGTAGTATCAGGAACCTCCTTTTTGATGCCCAAGCCCGTCTCCGATGCCATTGGCCGCTCAATTATCAACGAAAAGAAGCAAAGGCGAACGCCATCTATTGGTAGTGACATATCCATCCCTCCTGCCTAGCGAGGAGGCTCAAAATCTGGACCTCGTATCAGCCCCGGCATCCCGGTTTTGGCTATAGCTAAGGGCATATCGTAGCATACAATGCCCTTTCTTGGGGGTCAGCCAGTCTTTCTCCAAAGAAAACTCTTCAATTTGTAATTCTAGCGATGCCTCTGAAGATCCATATCAACGTGAAGCAAGTGCATGACGCAATTTCTTTTTTACCGTCTCTCTTCTTATCCAATTGCTGCAGGGTTTCATTCCGGGGCCGAGAACGGCGTCTCATTCCCTCTATCTCCTTCGCCTCGCTTCTTCATGACCTTAAGCGAAGCCTAGCAACCAGCTTGCATCAAAGAGTATATTCAACCACGACACCGGCCATCTATGCATCGACGTCGATGTGGCAGCACAGGAGACCGGATCCACTAGGAGATGCAGCATCTTAAGTTAAAGGGTTATTGCTAGGTTTTGGCTGATATACACCTACCCATTAGGCTCTTCCATGCCGTGCATCTCGATGGCAGACACACCCAGGGGCGCGTAACGAACACGGCCCAGAACCTACTCAGGCCTTCCCAAGGATAGATTACTTTCGTTTTCTGTTCACGATTTATTTTCCTATGCGAATCTTCACAACTTCCCGAAGCTCAAACTAGACTTCAGCCAAAAGAGTGAACCCATTACGACAGACTGATGATACTGACCGGGCATTTATGGGGAAGCGGCCCGTTAAGCCGCTCCGGGGCAATCCTTACGTAGGTAGGCTTGCTCCCAAGGACACCGGGATCAGGACGGAAATCCCGGCCTCAACTAAATACACGGAATATTTCAAGTTTGAGGTTAATGTTGGCAGATCAAGTTTCTCCAGAGTATTACCGTTGTTGCTGATCGCCCGCGCCCATTCCTGACATAGATCATATCTTTCTGAACTCCATTATCTCGCTACATTTGATATTGGATTCTCCAATACACCAAGAAACGCGTTAATTATTCTGTTAACATGAATTCGGTCCGTAAAGTCTTGGACTGGATAAATGAAAACTTATACTGTTAGGTGACGCACTGGGCATTTCAGATTTTAATAATATCGCTAGCATTACCAACCGTCGAAGAAATCAATATACGGCCCGCAATATCCCACCTGTCTTGGCTAAACTCCATCAAGTGAACTGAACTTAGGACGAAGCCGTGAGAAAAACCGAGACAGTCAACAACACCCAGGTATGCCTTAAAAAGCAGCATAGTTCACCGGACGACTTCTTAACGTTCAGTCTAAAATCATCACCTATATCGGAAAGGCCCTTTATCGGCATGGGTTTCGCGGCTGTTACATCGGAAAGAATACACCATCTCCGGGGAATCCACAATGTCACAGTTTTAATCAGGATCGGAGACATCGTCACAGTACTTGTTGACTATCGTCGAATTTATTTTGGCCGCAGTTAATTGCCAGGGGCAGTCCACGAAGCATAAGTTAACAGGGCCGATATCAACAACACGCTTCTCACCGCAGTGCTGCCTATCAACGAGCCAATGCACTTCATCCTTGGTTGAATCAACTTATACGGGTATTGCTGCCAATTAAGCTAGGTCTTTGGCCTATTCTTTAATCGCCCACTTCTGGATGTTAGTCCCTAGCCCTCAGGGCCTGAGTTGTGCCACGATTTTCGCTGCTTCTATCTCAGATATGATACAACTTGTTCGATTGTCATCTTGTTTTCGCACCTTGTGAAATTGTTTTCCTTCGGGGCGAGACGGATTTGTCGTACCCTAGTCAAACGAGCGCCAAAATCCACCCATACGCATATAATACCACTACAATCTCCGTGTTCGCCAGTTACCGGCATGGAACGACATAAGGTGGGTTCGCCGGGTGCATCCACGTCCCGCCGTGCATCACTAAGGGGTTAAATAGAACCACAAAGCCTCTCAGTTTCTAAGGGACCGCTCCGCGCACTGATCTGTCTCCGCGAGGCCTCACCTCTGGTGCTTGAAGAGCTATAAGTGGTCTCATTTATACGGCCTATCACTACATAGGTAAATTACTAGACTAAGATTACGAAATGTTGGTGTAATACTCTTCTAGGCTTGAAAAGGAGGCTTTGGCCAAAAGGTAATAGAGACTCCGGTATAGATCACTTAACGGAATGCTACGATACCAGGCAGTAATAGGCATCAGAGTGCACCAGGGGTTGACACGTTGCTGATGACAATAATAGGGCCAACTCGAATTAGGCGTTTACTTTTCCCCCTTGTGCTACGAGACCAATATGAGCGTTGTACAGCGTGCCAAAGCTTCCCTACACAATATGCAATCACCGAAATGTCTCCAAGACGATATATGCTTCAAAAACAGGCTTCCGCATGGATCCAGGGTAACGTTATATGCAAGAGAACCTTCAGCAACAGGGCAAGTTTTCATAATAACATGGGTATCATAAATCAATACGTGGCTGGTTTTCGACTCAGCCCATATCCCCTTTTTTATAAGAATTGAGACACTACGGCCCCTTTCTGTCGATCGGTGTTTTGGTTAGCGCGCATGCAACGCCGTATAATATCCAATATTCCTCACCAGCGGCTAGAATATATCTCCAACACCGAAATCGGTTACATGGTATTAGGCCGGATTTCCTCCTTCTCGTCCTTCGGCGACAGCTGAGCCAATTCTAGCTGCTGTGTTGGACGTTCGGAGCGCTCAGGTGTTGCATCGATAGCCGTCGTACTTTTCGTCCCTTGACGTCTAAATGTTTCCACACAGGCGCCGGCGAAGAGCAGGAAGTGTACAATGCTATCCTTAGAATTAGGGGCTCAATTCGAATATTCCTCCATACAGACGGAACGGAGGAAGGGGTGTTACGAGGCTCACATCAACAGACCCAAAAGTGCTACGACAACCTCCATGGAGCGGACATAATACTCGTTATAGTACTTGTATCCATGTCTTCCATAATAATCATAGTTTTCCGGATAGGGGTCGAAGACGTCGAAGGAAAGGGCGAATCCTAGGATGCAGGCCGTTAACCCTATTCCGGCACCGAAACCTAACCAGAGAAGCAGCTGCACGGCCACATGGGCACCCGGGTGGATATCCCGACGGTCCTTTCCTCCCGTATATGCCGTAACGACCTCGATACCGGACCAGAGCAGAGCCGCACCTGCTTGCGGGGCGGTCCAGACAACGACGTAGCTCCTAATCGCGGAATCGGCGGCAAGCGCGATCGAAATACCTAGCACGATGATGCAGAACGCCGTTGATAGCGATATCAAGACAATTCGAGCTCGGGGCCATGTTCGGTTGAAGAGATCAAGTTGCGCCTGATTCTTCTGGTGCTGTAGGTCGAGGTCCTGTGGGGGCTGAGGTTGTGACTGCTCCAAATTCATTATTTCTTGTTCCTATTCGCGCTGCCTCCTTTGTCAATCCTGATATAAGTCCTTCTCGAACTATTGAATACCTAAGCTACCTAGGTAGGTACTCATTCTGGAATGAAGGAATCCGCGAGAGAGAATAATCTTCGATGAAAAAAAAAACATCCAAATCCAAGTTCATTCCATCATGATAAAACAACTTTTCCAAGATTCGGCTCTCCCCTCAAGAATAGGTACCTAGTCGGCCCTTGTCAAAGGCTAGTCGGTTACGCAATCGACGCCTATCTCTATCCCGTTTTCGAATGGAGATAATGCCAAGAAGAGCATAGTCTATTGCGCTCCGGTACGGACCCCTCCCCGGATTTTGGCCTAATCCTGCTGCTCTGTTGGAACTCGCTCAGTTTGTTAGTCCAAATAACTTACATTATTGGACAATTCATTTCTCGAAAGACGGACCTGGACTTCTAGTTACGATGGCCTCGGCGAGTACAAAGAACAGCTTTCCAAACGCGTTTAGATGACAGCATACCCCTTTTAACTACCTACAAACCTGGTACCTAATACACAGGAGGTAGGTAAGTATCCATTCATAATTCGGACATCTCAATACGCCTCTCGATAAATATAAGCGACTCGCCGTCCTGCTTCCGAGTACTTCACGGTGGCTGCGGACTTTAAGTGGAGCTGAAATTTTGCCTCGGATCAGGTAGCCCCCCCAACTACCTACCTATATAGGAATACAATGTCTGCAGCTTGAGATGAGGCAGATCATTCCCGTCTGCAATTTGGTGGCTTCAAACCAAACCCTGTGAGCTCCGTTGAGACACTCAACCATTCGTAAGCTATCCTTTAAAGCAGCTGTTTTTTTATCACTTCCATATACAAGGCCACGTATTGTGCATAGATCTTCAGTGATTTCTACCCATGCTGGTGATCCTCCGTATGTATATGTGTCCGACGGAATGAATATCCGGCTCCAATGAGGTCCGGCTTAGATGTTCGGCACAATATGTAGGTATATGTGCGATGCGCCATCTGGCCCCCTACGTCGCCATAGAGCCTTATCCTCGCTTTTCGGGCCCGGAGATGGACCAGTTGCCCGACTTTTTATATATAACAAGGCCCTGTGGCCTTGCGCAGCTTCTTCCTAACTTGCTAAGAGAACTGGCTACTCCTTTTATTCATCATACACAATTGCCATCTCCTCCGCCCCCATGGATTTCAGTCAATGGGGAACTCCCAGCAAGGAGTGGCTGTCCTTCGCGGCGGCTAACTCGGTAATGCTGGGGATCTCGGAAGACCACCTGCCGCCGCTAGTCCAGCAGACCAACGCCAACAAAGCGCGCGCGACGATGTCAACGCACCTATTCCAGAGCACGGGTCTCAGCAAGCTCGTCGCGACACAAGACCACGTAGTCCCGACCCGCGACGGCCAATCCCTCACCGTGCGCAGCTACCGGCCGGTATTGCTCGGCTCGAAGCCGCTGCCCGGCTACGTGTACTATCACGGCGGCGGCTTCATCTTCGGCGCGCCGGACACGGAGCTGTTCAACTGCGCGTGGCTCGCGCACTCGCTCTCCATGGCCGTCGCGCACGTCTGCTACCGGCACACGCCGCAGGTCAAAGGGCTGACCCCCTGGCACGACGCCGTCGACGGCTTCGACTGGGTCGCCGCGCACGCGGACGCGCTCGGCATCGACGCCTCGCGCATCCTCGTCGGCGGCATATCGGCGGGCGGCTCGCTGACGGCGCACGTGGTGCAGACGGAGCTGCGGCGGGCGCGCGAGACGGGCGCGGCGAACCGCGTCAAGGGGCAGGTCCTCGGCATCCCGACGCTGGTGCACTGGAAGGCGTTCCCGTGGCACCTCTTCGCCGGCAGGGAGAAGACGTCCGTGGTGCAGTGCAAGGACGCCGCGATCCTGAACGGGAGGCGGCTGGAGTTGTATTCCGCGCTCCTCGGCGACGAGACCGACCCCTCCAACCTGACGTGGAGCCCGGCGCTCGCCGCCGAGGAGGATCTGAAGGGGATGCCGCCGACGGCTTTCCTCGTCACGGGCTGGGATCCGCTGAGGGACGAGGCGCTGTGGTACGCTACGAAGTTGAAGAATGCCGGGTAAGAGACCAACCACCCTTACGTAACCTGAATCTACCTCTTAATTGGATTAACTAATAATGTTAATGCCCGCCTCTTTCAGCGTGCGGACAAACGTCCACATATTCCCAGGCCTGCCGCATGTCTTCTACGCATTCATGCAACTGCCATCGCACAAACGCTGGAACGAAGCCATGCTCGCTTGCATGCGTTGGGCGGTAGCTGATGAAGATGGATGGATCGTCGAGAACCCTCCTGTTATGCCGCCGTTTATGGAGGGTGCTGCAGCTGCTACCAGTTCAACGGACCCGGTCACTGCTGGTGCCTCCGAGTCAGACGCGGTAGTAAATCCGGGCAATAGCCTTTAAGCAGGAGTAACGCTACCTCAGATGGTTCTATAGATCTATTATATCTAGGTACGTAGTTAGGTATGTAGCTGAACGAATAATTTATAATTAAGTACCTAGATCACCTTGAATTGAAGTGAAATATTATATCTTTGATATCCAATTTGAAGATTACGTAGACATTATGATCTTGATTCTTCAGGGATTGTACTGGGGCTATTCTTAGAGGCAACATTCAGAATCAGATTCAACAATCCGAGATTCCAACATGCTCTTAGGTATTACGTCAATCCTGAACTGTATACATACCTACATCACTCTTTGCTCTCGAATATCAATAGCTGTCTAGCTTCTTTAGAAATCTGCCTTCTTTTAAGTCTTCCTAGTCTCTCAATACGGAGTGCCCTATAACACTTCGAGTGATATCATTTGACCTTCGTTCGTAAGCCTTCCGAATAGATGAGTTCATTATCTCTGCAGGTTATTTAGCTCACTAAATAGCATTTTCACAACGTTGTGTAACTTTTCCCTCTTATATCTAATTAGTAATGCAGAGGTTGGTTATGGAGTCACCCTTTTCCCTCGTAGTTTTGGGCTTCTGTTAAACTAGATGGTACATTAACCTGAATTCAGGGGGCTATTTGGCCTGAGATAGACCTTTTCTGATCATGCTGTACGTGAATCGCCCGTTGGTAGACTATTTCTGCCAATACATAGGTACAACCTCGTTATCATTTGCTGATTTCGGGGCTTTCTATTAACAAGGGTATTTCTTTTCAACGCCGATATACGGTTAACAGGACTGTCGTTTTATTAGAGCCTATACCTAGCTATGGCGGCTGTAGAACTTGAAGTTTCATGGAATTCAGGCGTTAACAAATGACGTTGGTATCAACCGAGACCAACTTGGGTATATGTGCAACAACAGCAGTAGCTGATATGATACAACAAAATGCAGACAGTCCGAGTCCTCAAGGAGATAGAAATCGAACCCTAAGCTGGAGGACTTCATTCATCGTCCAGTATCCGACTTGCTATATGGCCGAAAACAGGTACTTCGAATCTATCTAGTGTGAGTCTGTACGCTCTCGGGAAAGGGGGAAAAGGGGGATAACGAAGGTCCTTACCTGTCCAGCGTATCCGCATCCCTATACGCACGCAAGGCTAGCCACCCCATCAATCCCAAATCAGCAAGGAAAATGACCCAGCTTAGGAATGTCGACCACGAGAAGATCAGATGTACGATAAAGACGACGGTGAATAGGAGACTCGACTGCCACGCATGAAATCTAAGTAGCACGTTAATAGTTGTAGATAGAAGACAAATTAGTTTATCCCATGACCACTATAATCCCAGACAAGAAGGGGTTTTGGGCTCTGATTAAAGATCTTTAGGCGATCTCAAAATACATTCACTCCTTCTCTTCTGACGACCAAATGCTCCCAGGACGTAGTAGGGAAACCTACCTCACGAAATCACTCTTGCGCTCCAGGATCAACAGTATAATAGCGCCCAAGGGCGGCAAGGCTAGATATGCCAGGCAGGCCTCATAGTCCAACCGTATTCCCAGACTCGTGTCGAACTCGCTCACGTACGCTCCACCCTCGGCCGCGTAACCACCGGCCGCAGATCCAGGTAGCGTAGGTTGCCAGTTTCGCTGCGGCTGGGGATGTTGTAGCGGGGGAGGAGAGGCGAAACCTCTCTGCTGGTTCGAAGGAGAATACGTTCGTCGGTTTTCGAGGGATGCGCGCGGCGATGCTACATTCGATCGCGGAGGGGAGAAAGGTCTGCTGTGCTCCGGCGGGGAGGACTGGTACGGAGCGAAGTCCATCTTTAGACAGCTTTACCTATGCTGCCAGGTAAGGCAAGGCAAGGCAAGGCAAAGTCGAAATGATGGTGAGAAGAGTGAGATTACTTTGTGTATTGGATTGGAAGAAGAACGGGATGACGTTGCGTCGGTTATATTTAGATTATGCGTACCTGCTATTTAGAATTTAGGTTTGGATTTCGATGCTGGAACCGAAACCTTGGAACGCGATTGCGACTTGCAGCTAAGCTCTAGGCACCGAGGTACCTCCAGCTACCACCTGCGCTACGAGATAGGGTAGGACAGCGCAGGGACACGCGAGCATTAGCGTCACGTTATAAGCGTCGATCATATGGATCATATGCAATACGTGTAAATGCATGTATCTATGCATTTATGTAACATAGTGATTCGTTTTGGTAACCAACCTGTCAATATATATAAGATTCTTAGACATTGCTTCATGATATTCTCCTAGCTACCTACCTATTCAATGTTCAGTGATGATACTCAAGGGGCTACGTGGGTGAATAGACCAACAGCTTTTGAGTAGAAGAATGGGTATACAATAACCCAACACGGCATACGCTGGTCTAAATTTTTGATACATGTCCGGTGTGATATACAGACATAACGTGCGTTATACACTCTATGCGCTCTTCCCCCCCTCTCCGCCCTCCTTTTTACCGCCACCACTCTCTTCCTCAAGCTGCGTCCTCCTACCCTCCAACGCAAGCCACAAGCCCTTGCTATGCCCCTCCAACGCCGTCGTAATGCCCAAGCCGGCGTTCTGCAGCATGGAAACGAGCTGCGCCCTCAGACCGTCCACGCCACCTTCGATACCGCCGACCCATCTGATGCCGTCGTTATCGAACACCTTGCCTTCTATCCTCCCGCCCACGAGAATCAGCTTCTGCAACCCGCTCTGCGCCGTGGGCTCGTAGTATCCGGGATTCTTCTTGCGCGCCGGCGCGGGGAAGGCCGGCGGCGAGGGCGCGAGGACCGAGATCGCGGCGGCGAGATGCGCCGGAGACACGACCGGGAATGTTAGAGCTGCGACGGGTCCGATGAGCAGCGGGCTGATCTGACCGTATGCCGAGGTCTCGTCAATCTCGACTTTGGATATGGTTTCGTATGCTGTTGTTGATAAGTCATGGGTGTAGGCGTTCGATTTACCCGGCTGCTCTTCCGCGTGGAAGAACTCGACGATCTTGAGGGCGGTGCTGAAGATGCGCGTCCGGATGACTTGCAGGTCGACGCTCTCCGCAACATTGACTGGGACCCCGCCGTCGGGCCCGACAGCCGGCATGGGCACCTTGTCTAGGGCAGCTTGCAGCTCTCGCCGGACGGCGGCCCACTCGACGAAGGTCAGGTTGTTATGCTGGAAGAACAGGACTAGAGGTGTTGAGCGCAGCAGCGCTGTGTAGGATCGGAGGAGCTGCGATTTCCGTGTGTCGGGTCGTCGTGCGCTGGGTGGTTGGGTCGGCGGGATATAGTCGTCGGGCAGTCTCAGCATTCCATTCGGCACGGAAGATGGGATGGCATAATATCTTGAAAGGGTCGTTGAGTTCTGGAGTGATATAGCTGCTGGTCTTTGAGAGCTTCTAGTCGTCGTCCTTTGGAGTGCTCGACTGATGCTGCTCCGCGCCGAGCAATTGATTCGTGGCGGCATCTTCAACGGGTACGTCCGTTACCACCTCCTATCACCTCAAGTAGCCGTGGTTCCTTGATCCCGTGGTCGTGACCCGGGTTGATCTTGTTTTTCGTTCGTCGAAATTGAATATTGATGAGAGCTTCAAAAGTTAATTCATCCAATTGATTTTCCACGGTAGTGTGGTCCGTGCTCTAAGCCGGGTTCCGCAAAGTAAAATGGTACGTACCCGGAGATATTTCTCTCCAATTGAGCCAGGGTCGTTTCCGGCCAGGGATTCCCCTCCACCCCGCTATCCGATAGCGGGGCATCTGTAAGTCATCCCCTGGCCTGGTTAATGGAGGGAATACTCCGTTGTACGATCTTGAAATCAATATTCACCGAACCATAAGGGGGTGTCTCAGGATCTTCCGAACTCCTTTTTATACGAAAACTGTCCTTTCATAAGCTCGGACATCTTCAATTGGGTCCTCACGCCGTAGACAAACCGCATAACAACTCCTTGAAGCTTGAGAATAAGCTCTCAGGTTTAGATAGACAGACACAATGGCAGACCAAGACCAACCCGCCTTCGTCGACATCCGGCCGCTGCTCCAGCGCTTATGGCCTGACCCAGCCAAGGAGAACGTAACGGCCAAGGAAATCGCCGACGCCCTCTCCCTCATCTTCGTCAACAAGATCAGCCCAGTGCAGACCGGGTCGCTACTAACGGCTCTGCACTTCACCGGCTGGGACCGACGCGCCGACGTCCTCGCCGAGGCCTCCGCCGCCATGCGCTCCCACGCGGCAAGCATCGACTTCGCTGCTTTCGAGTCCGTTATTGCGAAGCGCCGGAGGCCAGAGGGCAAGTATAACGGTGGACTGGTGAGTTCATCCTCTAACAGTTGAGAGCTTTATTCGCATACCTACCTACCTACCTACCCAAGGTATACGCCATAAGCCCGTCAGCAACGTGAATAGTAACACAAACCCCCCCTTCTATACAGTGCGACATCGTCGGCACAGGCGGCGACTCCCACAACACCTTCAACATATCCACCACCTCCTCCATCCTCGCCTCCTCGCTCCTCCTGCTCGCCAAGCACGGCAACCGCGCCTCGACCTCCAAATCCGGGTCCGCCGACCTGCTCATGAACATGCAGCCCAAACCCGCACAGCTGAACCGCATCACCCCCTCCACCATCTCCACCGTCTACGGCGCGTCCAACTACGCCTTCCTCTTCGCCCCCGTCTTCCACCCGGGCATGCGGCACGTCGCCCCCGTGCGCAAGGAGCTCGGCTGGCGCACCATCTTCAACCTCCTCGGGCCCCTGAGCAACCCCCTCGGCTCCGCCATCGAGGCGCGCATGCTCGGCGTCGCGCGCACGGACCTAGGCCCCGTATTCGCCGAGGCTTTGCGTCTCGCCGGCGCCAAAAAGGGTCTCGTCGTATGCGGCAACGAGCAACTCGACGAGGTATCCTGCGCAGGGCCGACGCAGTGCTGGCAGCTCGTCGAGCACGCTAACGGCAACAGCGTCGACGTCGAGCACTTCACCCTCGAGCCCGCGGACTTCGGGCTCAGCGCCCATCCCCTCGACACCGTGTCCCCGGGGCGCGAGCCGCAAGAGAACGCCGAGATCCTGCGGAAGCTGCTGCAGAACGAGCTTGCCCGAGACGACCCCATCCTCGAGTTCGTGCTCATGAACACGGCCGCTTTTTTGGTTGCCGCCGGCGTGTGCGAGGCCGACGAGAGCAGCATGGGGCCCGGCGACGACGGGAACGTCGTCCGCGAGCGCGGGCCGGGAGGCGGGCGCTGGAAGGAGGGGGTTAGGAGGGCGCGGTGGACGGTCGAGAGCGGCGAGGCTTGGAGGCAGTGGAGTGCTTTTGCTGAGGTTACTAATAGCTTGCCTGCTTGAGAGATGTTAGCTTTTGCTACCTACTCGTCTATGAGTGGTCGGTTAGGGGTTTTATAGAAGATTTTATCGCCCAGTGGGTTGGGTTGACTTAAAATAACCAGGGAAACAGAAACAAGCGAGCGTTCGTCGTGGCCGCGGCTGTGATAAGCTGGTGGGTGTACGCGGTATTATGCGAAAATGGGAAAAGATGGGATAGAAGGAAAAGTCTTTCGGCTAGGAAGGGAAAATGAGGGTTAAAATGGGCAATATTATATTCTTCAACCCTACTTAGGTAACTGCGGCTCTACATAAATGGTTGCCCTGGATATCGAGTGAAGATATGGATGCATCAGTCTACACATCAATGCAGGATCATGACCTTCAAGTTTAGGATAAAAGCAATTGCACGGATATATAATAACAGTTTCTTAATTTGTGCGCCTTTTGTTAGCTACTATTTATGATATAGTAGAATCGTCGCCGACTATCTTCAGATAGCCTTAAGCTAATATAGCGTTTGCGATGACAGGGTTAGGATAACCAAGTATATATATGGTAATTGCCTACTTCTCAACTCCTTCTCGCCATGCCAGTATTGAGTCGTTGCGTTCTTCGGCAGTCAACACACGTTTTGAACGTTTCTCGCCTTGATTTGCGACTCCTTGGTCTCTGTTCTCCTGGGCTTTGCTCTCTTGGGCTCTGCTCTCTTGAGCTCTGTCGTCCGCTCCACTTGGTCCTTTACCGCCTCTGTATCCTCCGCGACCTCTGTTTCTTCCGCCTCTACCTCGACCTTGATCACCCCTACCACCTTGATCACCCCTACCACCTCTATCACCACCACCTCTACCTTTCGTATCTCTTGTACCATCCTGATTACCTTTGTCTCCATTCACATTGCCACCTCCTCTTCCGCCTTGATCTCCACCTCTGTTTCCACCTCTGTTTCCACCTCTGTTTCCACCTCTGTTTCCACCTCTGCCTCTACCTCGACCCCTTCCGCGGGATCCTCCTCTTCCACCCCTGCCACCCCGAGGGGGACCTTCACCTTCGTGGCCTTCGGACGACGGTTGCGGCTCTGGCTGAACGGCTTCCTATCTCGACAGCACGCCGCGTACGCTACCCTTCACCACGGTCTGGCCCTCTATCAATCTCTCCCCAATACCTGTGTCACCTCCGCTGCCATCCTGGAGCCATTTCGCAAGCAGATCGTTGCTTTCCTTGGGCTTGACGCTATCATCGCGCGTGCCGATCGTGATATGAGGCACCTTGTTAACACAAGTCCACTTCTGTTCCTCGTCAAGAATTCGCACGACCACGGCCATGATGCGATTGTCGTATACCACACGCTCTAGTTGGACGTCGCATTCACTAATCTTCCCATCCTGGCTCTGGCTCTCGACTTCTAGTGCCGTATATCGTTGCCAAAGCTCCGGGTGTTCCTTGGCTGAGGCGCGGTGCATCAGCGTCACATGGAAAAGCGGTTGAATACGTCGGGTCTGCTGTAATTGCTTATAAAATCGTTGGGTTTGGGGGTCAGTGCCCTTAAACGCTGCCTCGAGAGCCACATTGATATCCTTAGCGGGAACAGATATGGACATGTATTCCAAAGCCTTCTTCTTAGGGGCCTGTGGCTCCTGATTCTTAGCTTGCTGGTTCTGTTTCTTATCCCGTCCTTTATTTCGGTCAGGGATGTTGTGCCTCAGATCCGGTTTATAATTCTCGATTGCAGCCTTGACAGCCTCGTCCATCTCTTCATCGCTTGGAAACTTCGTGATCAACGCTGGGTACTTCCGATGTAATTCCCTGACCACCGTCTCCACATTGGCACGGCTATCCTGAGTAGGATCTAGGTCGATGACTAGATCGAAGCCATTATCTGGATCGCTCTCAGGGTCGCAGGGCTGGAATCTCTGGATAAAATTCTCCATGATCCCAATCACCTTGGCCTCGTCCGAAGCGGCTTGGATAGTCTGATGGTTATCTCCTCGTTTTAACACTCGTTCTCTAGTAATTCTCCTAGTCTCGTCGATATCACCATGGGCAAAATTTAGAGCCACTAGTCGTGCATCCTTATTTTGAAACTGGATGTCTTTGATGATCTGAGCTCGTTCTCGGCGTTCCGAGTTGTTTCGGTCGGCAATGACGACAGGATGTTCTGGTAGGAGCATCTTAACGGCCTTGACCATCTGAGCAGGGCGTTGCTTTCCCTGGATGTTGTCATTCTGGACTATGCCCCAGCCAAAAAGATGGGTCAGGGCGATGCCAACTGTGGTCTTGCCGCAACCAATGGTAGCAATAGGAACAAGGACAATATCCCGAGAAACGGATCCTGATTCGTTATTTCCAAATTCGTTCTCGATGTTAGCCGCGTCCGAACCCTTCATATGCTTGTATGCTAAGAAATCATCACGAAGGGCGATGATGCCGTGGTTCTTGTTGTATTCCTTCCCTAAATTAGAGTCGCCACTGAGCCTTTTACGTGCGTACGAAAGGTACTCTTCCGTAATCTTAACGTGTTTCTTGAATTTGGGAGGTTTTCCGGCGATCAAGGCCTTGGTGCACTCTCGCCATTGCCGGTACAACAAGTACGGTTCTTCAAATTTGTACTTGAAAAACCAATCATTATAGGGTTCCTGTCCTGGGTTAGTGGACATTTTGCAGCGGACGACAAATCCCTCAACGTCTCGGCCTTCATGAGCCCCTGTCTCTGCAACACTCTCCAAGAAAGTCTTCACATCATTGACGTTATCGTATGTCTGAAGTCCAACCTTACGGAAGCCCCATTCATCGGCAAACTGTTGGACACGACTACTAGAGTAGGTCATGAACTCAGGTACGTTGACATTAATGCCGTGAAGGTAAAGGCCGGCCTTCTCTGGACCGTATGCGAGAATGTGCTCTTCAAAAGAATCGTCGCAGAGTTCGGCTACGGCGGTCACGTTTCTACGTCTCAATTCCCGTGCGAAGTCTTGTCTGGTCTTGCCGAGAGTAGCTAGTTGCTTGTCGACCCATCTCTCACCAGCACTTGCGTGACTGATCTCGACATCGCTACGGTCCCCTGTAGCGTGCTTGCTGCACACGAGGAGAGTCTCGTCTTCAAGGCCGCTGATGAATATAATGCAGCCATTCTCCTTTAGAGTCAGTTCGTACGGGCCTTTGGTGTTGGTCAGGATATTCGCCCATTCGGTTTCCCGGACCTCGCCTGTATTGAAGAACTTGTCATAGCCCCTCACTACAATCTCGTGATGACCGTTGCGATTCCTTGTTGTGAATAGACCTCGGGCATAGGTAGGTAAATTGCGTTTCTTGTAATCCCAATCGTTGTAACGCCAAGAATCGACGGTGATACCGTCTGATCCCTTGACCTCGTAAGTGGTCTTCCTGGTCTTGACGGTCTTGTTTCCCAGGTCTCGGACGAGGTTTGCTACCTCCTGGGGGTCTTGCTCACGATATGGTATTCCAGACTCCATAGTTGCGTAGCTTTGGCGTTGCAAAATAGATGAGGATTTGACTTGGCGAATAGCTCTAAACTGAACCCTCTGCTGGGGTCCAGTGAGGCTCCTTTGTAGTGTATGATGTCTCAGATGTAGAGGTGAAGTACGGGGTAGACGGGTGAGGGGGAGAATGAGTTGACGGTTGATAGTGCAGGATGCTCTATAAACCCTGTGGCAAGACGGTGACATTGATTGGTTACGACAAAACTCTGTTTCCACCTGTGACTGCGGTATCCGAAAAAAATATCAACAATAGGCAAGAAGAGTACCAAGTAATTTATATCACGAGTAACTTGGACCTTCTTCTGCGTTGTGTGGTTCGGACGAGTTAGGTACGTCAAGCTTTAGTGGATGAAGAGGCTGTGTTCGGTGGACAAGTGCTTGTGAGCTTGCCGGCATGAGTCACTGAAAGCTTTGCCGTTAGTCAATCTGCGTACTGTATGCAGTGTTTAGAATGATCGTTGATGTATGTACCGTGCAGTGTTCATGTAGGTAGGTAAGTTGTAACATTGAAGGTCTGAAGGTCTCAGTTTCTTCCAAAGTTCAAATATTTGCAGCTAGGCAGGTACCCAGTAGAGCCAGTAGCAGATCGTTCCTGATTAATTTTGGGGTGTCACTGAGGAAACTAGAGGGGCAACCCACCCAAAATGGAAGGCGGTCAGCAAGAAGTACAGGTACTTACAAGTAAGCTACTGCCGCGGGGCAGTCAACGAGGGGCAGAGGCGCAAAGGGATAGAGGGGCTAGCCAGGTTTAGTACGATGCGTCATACCGAACTCCATAAATTTTAATTTTATGCCACCAACTCTTTGTTCCCTTAATTTACGATTCGCTTTACAGATCGCGATGCCTGCCAATCCCTTCCTCCTAGCCGCTGATAATAGTCCGGCTCTACTACCCCTTCTTCGCGAGAACCCAACATTGGCTTCGCAGCAGGATGATCATGGCTACTCTTTAGTCCATGCAGCAGCAAGCTATAACCACCTCGATCTTCTTCGCACCTTGATTCGCGAATTCAATGTGGATGTTAATTTGCGCGATGAGGATGAAGAAACGGCGCTTTTCGTTGTCGAAACTGTCGATGCTGCTCGGATTTTAGTTGAAGAGCTAGGTGCTGATACCGCAATAACCGGTTCAGATGGACATACGGCGCGCCAGAAAATAGCTGAAGAGGGTGATTTCCCTGACGTCGCCGAGTACCTACAGAGCAAGGAGACTTCTAGCAACAACGCCCAAGCCCAGCATCTCACGAATGGAACTAATGGGAACACGAATGGTCCACTGCCCCTACCAAATGGCATCCAAATATCCGATGTGTCTATCAGCGCCGTTGCACCCGCCGAGGAGGAACAGATCGAAGTCGATTCTGAATTACGAAGAAGGATAGAACAACTAGCTGAGCGGGATGACTTTCATTCCGAAGCTGGCCAGGCAGAATTGAGACGACTGATTCAAGATGCCGTCGCAGATCAGAGTTGGGCAGGTCGCAATGTCCGGTCGAGGCAAGATTAGTTCAAATTGACGTGTCAGATGTGGGATCATGTTTCTCAATCATGCTTCTTGATATCCCAGAGGAAATACTCTCCTGGAGAGTTAGGTGGCCTTAAGACGGTGCAGTCTGCACTATCTCCAATGATACCTTTCGGGAATGATGTTACACTCAACGAGAACCATGATTTCGATGGCAGAGCAAGGATGACATCCACCAAGGTTTGCTGAGTCCACTTTGGTGGTATGAATCCTTGCCAACTGATTCGACACAGCTTCTCTTTCCGAACATCCTCCATGTCGCCGGGAACTGCGTAACATGACAAGTAAGGGTCGATCTTATCGTCTGCATCCACTCGTGGGCTATCAAGGCGAACTAGTGACAGCCATTCATATATTTCAGTGGCGAATTCCTCTAGATCTAACCGGTTTTGACTGGAGATGATGGCTGGCGGAGGTTTCAATGACGGAACTTTCATGAAAAGATCTCCGGAAATCCCAGGGGTCGATGTATACTTAGTGGGATAATGCTGTGAAAGAGGATCCGGGACAGGTGCTATAGCTGTCAGCACGTAAATTAGCATGATGCGGTATATGCCTCTTACTCTTAGACAGATTGTGGAAAAGCCAGGTGATTGGGGTATTTAGCACATTTTTGCATGCATATGCCAATCTATCAAACCCCTTCTTGCCGTGGAGCATCGATGGACTTCGAAGATCGAACTGAACAACTACAAGAAGGAATTAGTAACAGTAAAAGTCACTTCAAGCGAGTGAACTGACTCCATCGAGGCTTAGATCCACGTTTGCCCTTTACTCCATGAGGCTTGCCAACAAGTCCAGCCCGCTCATACGTCTCCTTATCAAGATACAGCGTAAGAACGCCTAAAACAATTGAAAAATGTCAGCTATAAAAGACTCGTCGTTTTCTTACAATGCCAAATATTTTAGACTTGCCTTCTTTTAGGGAAAACACATTGTCGGTGCCTATCCTTCCTTCTGAGATCATCATGATGTTTCCTTTAACAAGATGAATTAGTTTCTGAGCCGAAGAACATGGTAGATATTGACTAAAGTTACCTATCTTGATATATTCAGTGAAGAAATCTCCCTCTAGGATCTGTCCGAGTCTCATGATAACCTTGTAGAACTCAGGTGCTTCTCTGCTAGGGTCACCGGTTATCTTATCCTTCACAACCTGCAATAGCTCTTGTGGAAGAATTAAGTCAACCTGCTTTATATTAGCGAATTGCGTATATAGACATATAGGGATTGAGAAATGGAACCTTGTGCACGAAGTCCTGCGCTAGAAGTGCGCTCCACGGTTTCCCCTTGGCTGGAAGCTGTCCAGGTTCAAGATGGCTCATTACACCGTATGTGACGAAGCATTTTGAAGACTGATAGACGCTTGGCGTCGCAAAAGAAAGCATTTTTCTTTAATGGACACCAGATTTCGGTATGCACAGCGCTGTACCGCGCGATAGACAGCAATATTGTATTGCCTAAACGTAGCAGTAGTGGAGAGAAGTTATCAACATATTAGGGATTAAAGAAGAAAAGTGAGCTTTGAAGTTACACCAACCCTGAAGTGTGGAATTAGATGCTATCCACGATATGGGGTTATGCTGGTTAAGTGGGTAAAGTACTGGGTAATTCTAAATATAGTTGCTCTAAACGAGTCTCTATGGATATAAGCAATAGCGTGGTGTATGGATACACTCCTAACTTTAGAACTTCTCCAATAACAAACTCTTTCACGTTCGTAGAACCGCGCGCAAGGTTAAGTCGAACCTGACAACTCAAGCTACAACTACTATTAAGCCTCAGATGGAGCGACTCGTAGACAGAGAAATAACAGGAGCACTTATACTCTTCTGGGCATCTACAAATCGGACTAAGGCACATAACTCATGATGATGTACCTCATTCGTTTTTCTCAGTCTCACGAGACTTTCCGGCTAGCAGAGATTCAGTCACTCGCCATAGTCAACAATATCAACTTAGAGATTGTATTTTATAGCGAAGAGGTAATGGGCACTATCCCGCCAATATATACCACAGCCTTATATGCTCACTACGTTCTCAGTCACCCTTCTGTATAGTCCAACTGCCGTCGGAAGATGCAGCAAAGACTCTCCTAGAGCGCTCTGTCTTGGCGCAAAGCATTCATGAGCACTGGGGTTCCGCCGAGACGTATGACGAACTTCATGCCATTGTGAAGCGTGACACTGCTCACCTATGGGCGCAATATAAAGAAGTCTCGTTCAAAATCAATATAGATGCATACCAGGGTTCTCGTTCAGAGAAGCGGAAGATAGATCTCATCAATTCATTCGCTTACCTAGGGTTCGACGGTCTCATTCTCCTCAAGAACCCGGACCAAAAGTTCACCATCTTCGAAGAATGGGAATTTGATTCCGTACCACGTAACCTACCTAACCCCTTGAAAGTGCATTTTGGCCGTCTTGTCGGTCAAAGTGTGCGGGAGTTGATCAAAACTTATGATCTCAAGAAGCGAGGATATATTAGTACCACATCTATGGATGCAGAACTTGCTTTGGTCACGGCTAATATCGCTCTGGCTGCGCCTGGGAAGATATTCTACGATCCATTTGTAGGTACTGGCAGTTTCCCGATCGCATGTGCGCATTTCGGGGCTCTCGGTTGGGGAAGTGATATCGACGGCCGCAGCGTCAGGGGTGAAGGAGGGAAGAGGAGCCTCAAGGGGAACTTCAAGCAGTATGGATTAGAAAATCTATTGGGGGATGTCTTCGTCAGCGATTTAACGAATAGCCCCGTGAGGAAAGCCAGGATACTTGATGGCATCGTCTGCGACCCACCATACGGCGTAAGAGAGGGATTGAAAGTACTCGGATGTCGAGATCCGGAGAAGGATGCCTGGCTCGTCGAAAAGGGAAAACGAACTTACAAGTATGATACACTCCCTAAGAAATTGACGGGTTACTGACGGGATTAGAAATGCATCTTTCATACCTCCGAAGAAGCCATACAGCTTCACAGCTATGTTAGATGACATACTGAACTTTGCTTCAGATACATTAGTGGACGGCGGCCGTCTGTCTTTCTGGATGCCAACAGCGAATGACGAGGAGCAGGAAATACCTGTGCCGACGCACCCGTGTTTGAGTATCGTAGTTGTCTGTACTCAAGTATTCAATAGGTGTAAGCCTGGCATATATACTTCCGCCAAGGATCATGCTGACACTATTCATAGGGTCGCGGAGATTGATCACTTATAGCCGTCTGCCGGACTCGCAGGTTGACTTATCTGCACTTGTGCAGAGGAAACGAGAGGAACAAGTGAAGGGCCACACGGCAGACGACCTGAACTCGTTCCGCCGTGCTTATTTTAAGGGCTTCAAGACAGAGCAGTCGGACGCGGACATTGCGGTAGGGCAATCAAACGGAGAAAAATGACCTAGTAGCCTTACTATTCCCTTTTCACAGGCAAACCCACGTATACCCCAAATACCCCCAGAGTAGGTAGTGAGGAATGCTTTTCTAATACCAACAAGCAGCCAAGCCGAAGAAACACCCATGATTTTTAGAACTGAAGCTGGAGTGTGATAGTATACGATAAGCTGCGTTGACGTATCCAGGGGCGCTTTAGTCTCATGGTCTATGTCCAAGGGATGCCCAGAGTCAAGACGAGTAAAATGTGCTTCAATCATACCATCCCTAATCGTCGCTAGCACGCTGTCGCCGTACCAGACTTTATTATCTCGCAATAGGAGCCGGATTGAATTCGCTCGATATGCATTTACCTTCACTGGTCTAGTCGCGGATCAACGGAGAAGGAAAAGTTATCTCTTCACAAGGTTCACGTCAACGGCCCGTCACGGCATCAAGATTTCCTGTTAAAATGGAGGCCTCAAAGTTTATGTATCTTCCTAGGTGGTCTAGAGGCCTATTAACTCTACGACCGGTGTATGTTGGCAATGACACTAATGCATATTCCCCTCTCCATCCCGCCTCCAAGGTTGTCTACCTAATCCCCTCTTGGAGATCGATTGATAGCCTACTCTTGCTATGCTCCTGGCACGCGATGGAGATCAGCAGCAAAAATCCATTTATTTGACATGGAAATTGATAACAATTCCACGATTGCGCTGAGCGATCATTTCTCTTGCTGACGTTTCTAGAAAGAATCCCCGAGGCCGCCCTAAGAGACTTGGCATGAGCTGTCACAGCTAATCTTCAATCCGGGGTAACTTGAATGTTACTATATCTGAATATCATGACATCATGTAGTTATCGAAGTAATCAAGTTTGAGGTTGAGTTGAAGTTGTCGAGTATAATCCTCTGTCGATAAAACTGGATTACGTACTGATCCTAGGCAGCTTGGTAGGGTCTTCGGAATGAATATTCATATATAGATGTATATAACACATGGCACGTACTGTCTAAGACATACACATGGTGCCGTCCCCATGAAAAGCATCATGAGAATTCATTTTCGGCATTCCCGCTAAGACATTTCCGAATGCGAAAGTAGCAATGCATACCTGATATAGATGGGTTTCTCATATGTGATATCCATACCTTTCCTTCATTTCTTATACTGCTCAACTTATAACTCATTAAGTTACGATACTAAACTTGGAATATTTCAGGCTTTATAACGGCCGTGGAAAGGTGTGACAGGTGCGTAAGCTAGTCGCAATTCTTTTGTGGCGGTCAAGAATCTTTTAACGTCGATCGCTTATTTATTATTTTCACTGAAGCTAGAAATTAGGTGAGTTGGGAGTTGTCCTTCTACACAACCGTCCTCATTATTGGATGGTACTTGAGGTTATTAGCCTTTTATATGTCCTATACCTGTATCATTGAGGCGTCTACCCCTTTTCTTGAATCTTCCCATCTTTCTTCTGGCATGTGCTTTTACATAACTATAAACACTTAACCATTAACATTCATTAACTAACATCAACCTATACAAGCTCTATTAATAGAGCCACGGCTCTCCCACGCCCCCTTGCCCAGAGTGCCCCCCCTTGTCAACCAGCCAGAAAGCGTTAAAGGTGTTGGGTCCCTTCTCCACCCCCAGACTTATTGTTAACAATTCCTGCAACAAGTCAAGCCGACTTTCATAAGTTTTCGGCGGCTTTAAACCCTTTTACCATTTGAGAGAGAGAGGCCGACTCGATCCAAACCTCGTCTTGGTTTATCGGTTTTATCCCCCTTTGCTCGACATCACGACATATTCATTTTCTTCTCTCTTTCGGTGCGGCCTGTTTATTAACTTTTATTATTCTATTATTCTTTTTTTTATACATTAATTTTATTTTGTACATTTTCCCCTCCGAAAGCAGCATCACAAATAAGGGTTATTCTTGTTTAACCTCACGCGCAGCTCATTTACATCGCGCTTGTTACTCGAGATAATTCTTATAATCGAGAGAGAAGGACAAAGGCAAAACCCAACCCATAATCCTTCATCGCCACATACATCCACACATACACACACCTCAGCATGCCTACCCCCTCTAATAATCCGCCTCCTGAACTCCCTCCTCGAACGCATAGCTCTTCATGTCCCGATCCGGAAGAAGTGTCTCGCAGTAGCTGGCGACCCGACCAAGATGGCCTCGAGATGAACATCGACGGCCAGGAAGTCGATGCATCATCGCCCGAACCCGTCAGTGCTCCACCACCCGACGCCGCCATCTCAGATTTGCTTTCCGCCACCGAGTCTCCTAGACCGGACTCGAGGAGCGGAACCGAACCCACTATTCTCTCTTCTGACCGCGCCGATTCGCCATCCGACTCCACGACCACAACGTACAAGCCGACCGATGCCGACGACGATGCATCGGCCAGGGGCGATATGGATGCCTTGCCGACCCGGCAGCGGCGGCGCGTCACGTTCGAGGCCGCCTCGCCCATCGGCGCGGACGGCGAAAAGCTAGAATACGGAGCGGCGCCCGGTCGCTGGCACGAGGATGCTTATGCGCCGTCGATGGGATTCGATTACTCCAACGTTCGAGTACGTCAATGCGCCCCGATGAATATACCTCTACAAAAGTGATGAGCAATGGCTGACTTTGCACAAGATAATACCTACCTCTCCGTCGTCGTTCCTAAGACCGGGAAGCAGGTTTCACGGCACCCAGCAGTCGGAACGACAGGTATATGATGTCCAGGTGGAAATCAAGTATGTCGACCTGCGAGAATCGTTCCTATGCGGCTTTCTTAAGATCCAAGGTTAGTTTGATATCCTTCCCCCCATTCATTTTACCTTACTTTGCTATGTCGCTTGACTCGTCCCCGGTCATTCTAAAGTCGGAACAGCCGCTCACACGAGTGGACATTTAGGTCTTACGGAGGACAACCCGACGCTTACGACGTATTTCGAGGGCGAGCTCATCGGCAGCAAGTACGGCTTCATCACGAAGCACGAGAACTGGGGCGCGACGGAAAAGATCGACCTAAACCACTGGGGCAAATTCTCGGCCTTCCGACCGTACTCGAAGCAAGTGCGCAAAGGACCCGTCACGATCCCGAACTTGGCTCAGCGCGAGAACATCTTCATGCGCTGGAAGGAACACTTCCTGGTCCCCGACCATCGCGTGCGCACTATCAATGGCGCCAGCTTCGAGGGCTTCTACTACATCTGCTTTAACCAAAAGGAGGGCAGCGTTAGTGGTATATATTTCCACTCGAAGAGTGAAAAGTGAGGTCCCATTTCGTCCAAACCACTCATTTCCCCAAATTTTGCATTTATTATATTACCTATGTTTGCTTCATTTATTACTATTTTATTTCGTACGACTATTTCATGTTGTAAGCAGGGAGCATCGTTACTAATACCGCATATCAGGTTCCAACAACTAGAACTTAAGCACGTGGAAGATAAAGGCTGTTTCGGCGACATTGAATTTCGATAAATGTCATTCCGCCCTTTTTCATCTATGGATGAATGAAGACCCTTCGAGGGTTTTAACGTAACTAGTAAATGGGCGTTTGGCAGCACACACACACAACACGACCGCCCACTCCACCGATAGTAAATAAGGGGCCTCGATCGCGTTGATGAACTATATTGAGTAGCATCTCGATTTCGTAACGCAGAAACGAAAATAGCACGGAAATCGAAATCGGGAAAAGTCTATCAGATGGAGATTTAACCCTAACTGTCTCCGATTCGGGGACATGATGTTCATGACGAGAATAGTGGCATTTCACGACTTTGCGACCAGGGGGTATATTGCAGTTAGGAGGTCAAGGCCGTACTCCGAGTGTACATAATGATGATCATAAATTTACGCATCTGCGCATCTCCCTTCCCTTTCTCCTCACGAGATGGGCTTGATCTTGAAATGGAGTGACGTTAAGCTGAAGACGAGCGCCTTGAGGTCCTGCACTAGATAGTAGAACACTCTTAGTCCTTCAGGGTCTGCCGACTCGGTCACATCGATGAGTGATCCAATCTTTGCTGTCTATGTTCCATTTGGTGAGGTTAGCACTGGTGGTTCGTAGCAGTCGATTTATTAACTTGCGCAAGGAGGGAAGCATAAGCATACCTCGAAGGATATATGGTCATTACCCAGTCGGATCTCCAGCTCCTGTCGTCCGTCCTTGTTCTTCTGAGGCCACTTCGCGTCATCTTCTTTCATGATCTCGCTCGTCTTGACAATGCGCTTGATCTCGTCCACCACCAGCGAACTGACGCACACTACTTCCCGTTAGCCTTACCCTAGCCCAGACTCTTACTCTTCACGGAGGAGCGAATAGAAAGCGGTCGGAAAGAGGGTAGAGGGAGGGAGACAGGACAAGACGTACTCTCTTTGCGGATCAGACTGTCGTTTCGGTAGTTCGAGTTGTTGGCGTATCGCGCCACGGCGCTTCTGCCGTCGCCGACGACTCGGAAGTCGAACTCTGCGTCGCTATTAGTTGTCTTGCATTGTAGGTGTGTACCGACAAAGTCGGTCGAGGGGGAGCGTACCAAGGAATTCATGACCGAATCGACCAGAGTGACCCGAGCTATAAGGATCAATGGGTCAGTAATCTACTTGTTCTCTATTTGTCGAACACCGGCTTGGACGTACTAGTATCGGATGTAGAAAGGTTCTCCAGCCGTAGCCATATTGGCAATGAATCGGGATGTCGCAGGTGTTTCTTGTTTGCGTATGAAAAAGGTGTGTTCGGACCCGCGATTACCTCTTTGTCGAATTGGCGACGGTGCTAATTTCTTTCCGAGACGTCTCTGATTTTCGGATTGTTAATTGTTGCGACTCTGCAAGTAACGAGGCTTCACTAAACAAGTGAATTGCAGCTGGCAGATCTAAAGTTTTGGTGGGGCAACAATATCTAGACTGACGTGGGGAGCAGGGATGTGAAAGCGGTCAGTGATTTTAGGTTACCGCGTCTTGTACTTCCAGTCTTCTAGAGGTGCAAGCCACAGGTACGATACTTAGGTACGAACACGTGTGCGGGCCTACGGATCATTCTGAGATTGGGTTGAGGCGGTTGGAGGCAGGTCTTTCACAAACGATGGCCAGGATGGCTAATCTTCGGTAACGGATTATCTAATTCCATTAAGCATTGCAGCCAATCATGTGTCTTGATTCACTAGGTCCTATCCATTTCAGGAGGGACAGATTTCTCGTGTAGGTATTGTATTCTTTTGTAGTGCGCCGCTATTTTGATATTGGGCCAGCCTGTAATTAGCATCACCTCCAATTAACTTACTATCTTCAACATTCCCACCGCACCACCCGTACCACAGCTATTCTTGACGAAGCCAAAGCCACTCTTTCTGGGATGCATAATTGCATTGGCTTCCTTAAACCACCCCTTTAACGTCAACACCGTCCCGTAACTGTCCAATTCTATTTCATATCTTGAGCTTCGACGGAACATCACACTCTCTAATACCAACACCACCCAACTAAGCTCTCTCCAACCGTCCCAACCGTCTTGTTCCTGTCGGCCAGCCTACCTACTTATATCCTAATAGACTCAAGTTTCGTCACGCGGTCGGGAGCCGCAACAATCGCCCAGCATGTCGACCTTCCTTGAAAATGCCTACAGCTTGGTCCACCAGGACAACACGGCAGATGTTCCCACCATGTCAGATCTGCGCATGCAGCTAGAGAAGGGCACAGATGAGACAAAGGTTGATACCATGAAGCGCATCTTGACCGTCATGTTGAACGGCGATCCCATGCCCCAGCTTCTCATGCACATCATCCGATTCGTCATGCCCTCGAGATATAAACCCTTGAAGAAGCTATTGTACTTCTACTATGAGATCTGCCCCAAACATGACTCGACCGGCAAGCTGAAGCAGGAGATGATTCTCGTCTGGTGAGTGTAGCTCTAGCCGCGTGGAATTATTGTTACGAAGGACTGGGTCACTAACAATATCCTACCTCATCTAGTAACGGTATCAGAAACGATCTTCAACATCCCAACGAGTACATTCGAGGAAATACGTTGCGCTTCCTATGCAAGCTACGAGAACCTGAGTTGATTGAGCCTCTACTTTCCTCAGCTCGAGCCTGTCTTGAACATCGTCATGCCTACGTTCGAAAGAATGCCGTCTTCGCTATTTCTTCCATCTTCCAACACTCACCGTCTCTCATTCCGGATGCCTCCGACTTGATCGCCGCCTTCCTCGAGGGAGAGAGTGACGCCACTTGCAAGCGCAACGCCTTTGCTGCGCTCGCTAGCATTGACCATGACAAGGCTCTGGTATTCTTGAGCTCCGTCTTCGAGGGAATTCCGAACGCCGAGGAATTGCTACAATTAGTAGAGCTCGAATTCATTCGAAAGGATGCCGTCCAGAACTCTCAACATAAGGCTAGATACTTGAGACTCATCTTCGACCTTCTCGAGGCCGGAGCTTCGACCGTCGTATACGAAGCTGCCTCGTCGCTGACCGCACTGACGAGCAACCCCGTCGCGGTCAAGGCGGCTGCCGCCAAGTTCATCGAGCTAAGCATCAAAGAAGCCGATAACAATGTGAAACTTATCGTCCTTGATCGGGTAGACCAGTTGCGACAGAAGAATGAGGGCGTGTTAGACGACCTTGTTATGGAGATCTTACGTGCGCTATCTAGCCCTGATATTGACGTCCGACGGAAGGCACTTACTATCGCGCTGGAGATGGTGTCAAGCAAGAATGTCGAAGAAGTCATCCTACTACTCAAGAAGGAGCTTTCCAAGACCGTCGATCAGGAATACGAGAAGAACGCGGAATACCGACAACTGCTCATCCACTCCATTCACCAGTGCGCTATTAAATTCTCCGAGGTTGCCGCAAGCGTGGTGGACTTATTGATGGACTTCATTGCTGACTTCAGTAACTCTTCCGCTGTCGACGTTATTTCCTTCGTCAAGGAAGTTGTTGAGAAGTTCCCCAAGCTACGGCCATCAATCGTTACTAGGTTGGTCGACACTCTTAGCGAGGTCAGAGCAGGAAAGGTCTACCGTGGAATTATTTGGATAATTGGCGAGTACTCGCTCGAGGAGAAGGACATCAGAGATGCGTGGAAGAGGATACGCGCCAGCTTAGGTGAGATTCCTATTCTTGCCTCCGAACAGCGCTTGTTAGACAATGTGGACGGTGACGAGGAGAAAGAGAAGGAGCAAGTCAATGGCCACTCGAAGCCCACAGCACCGTCAGGTTCGAGGAGAGTCCTTGCTGATGGCACGTACGCTACCGAAACGGCCCTCACTAGCAGCTCGGCAGCCGCCGCAAAGTTAGAAGCTGTCAAGGCTGCCCAGAAGCCTCCGCTACGACAGTTGATCCTAGAAGGCGACTACTACTTAGCTGCTGTTCTTTCGGCAACCCTCACCAAGTTGGTCATGCGTCATTCGGAGATCTCCTCGGATCGAGCTCGAACAAATGCCCTCAGGGCCGAGGCTATGTTAATCATGATCTCTATCATCCGTGTCGGCCAGTCACAATTTGTCAAGGCTCCTATCGATGAGGATTCGGTCGACAGAATAATGTCCTGCGTCCGATCCTTAGCCGAATTCTCCCAAAGGAAGGAGCTGGAGACTGTCTTCCTCGACGACACACGGAAGGCATTCCGAGCTATGGTTGAGGTTGAAGAGAAGAAGCGAGCGGCGAAGACGGCCTTCGAAAAGGCTAAGACTGCTATCCAGGTGGACGATGTCGTGCAAATCCGACAACTCTCCAAGAAGAATTCGGGCGATGGGACGGACGAGATCGAATTGGACCTTGAGAAGGCAACTGGTGGCGAGTCTATGACCGAGGACCTTTCGTCGAAACTTAGCCGCGTTGTCCAGCTCACTGGATTTTCTGACCCCGTCTACGCCGAAGCATATGTTAAGGTACACCAATTCGATATCGTCCTTGACGTTTTATTGGTCAACCAAACCACCGAGACGCTCCAGAACCTCTCTGTTGAATTTGCCACGCTAGGTGATCTCAAGGTTGTCGAGCGACCTACGACACAGAACCTTGGCCCGCACGATTTCCATAACGTACAATGTACTATCAAGGTGTCGTCTACGGATACCGGCGTCATCTTTGGCAACGTTGTATATGATGGAGCCCACAGCACCGACACTAACGTCGTTATTCTCAATGATCTACATGTCGATATTATGGATTACATCCAGCCGGCGACATGCACGGAGACGCAGTTCCGCACAATGTGGACCGAATTCGAATGGGAGAACAAGGTCAACATCAACAGCAAGGCCAAGAGCCTTCGGGACTTCTTGGAACAATTGATGGCCTGCACGAATATGAACTGCTTAACACCGGAAGCTAGTATGAAGGGTGACTGCCAGTTCTTGAGTGCTAACCTGTACGCCAGGAGTGTCTTTGGTAAGTTATCAACTTCCACCACGTGTCTGGCGGCATTGACTAATTATTTATTTCTAGGCGAGGATGCGCTAGCCAACTTGAGTATAGAAAAGGAAGGCGAAGATGGACCAATCACTGGCTTCGTCCGCATAAGAAGCAGGTCGCAAGGATTGGCCCTAAGCCTAGGCTCTCTGAAGGGATTGAACAAGATCGGCACCGCGGCCGCTTGATTCACGCAGGGGGACAAGTTAAGAAAACTGATAATGTTTGCACTCCGGGGGTCGTTGAGATCTTGACCTAAAAAGTTGGTACGCATTTGCAACACTGCCAGACGAGCGTGTGCTTGAGGGAAGCCGACAGGCCAGTTGTAGTGATATCCAAGGCGATGATGATGTTCCGGGTGCGGCTCTCTGGTCGAGATAGCATGGATGAAAAACGTGGTGCTGGAGTACCTCGATGTGGATTAGACAATGCAAATTATTTTACAACAATGTGTCTATTGTTTGACGTGATACTATGCATTCTGGAGTAACTACTTGATTTTTATGTAAATCCTCGGCATCCATGAAACCATATTGATTTTGATATTATCTCTTAAGCCCTGCTGGAAAGCAAAGGAAGTACCTATTCACAGGCCATGGACCTTTAGGACAAAGTGGTCCGTGTAAGTCTTAAAACGCCACCTAGCTAGGTGCTTTGGTAGCTAAGCTTGCTGTTCTATTATTGGAAGAACCGTGAGTGAGATGCGCAGGCTACCTCATACCTCATCTCAACCACGGTACGCACGGCATGCGACGAATAAGAGCGGGCAATATGCCAGTCATAAACATTGAAGCTTGCCTGCCTACATACCTAGGTACATATTGTACGACAGCCATGTTACGACAAGTCGTTAAACAGCTTGGCGTAGAAGCTCGGCTCCATCTCGAAACGGCCGTTGATGTTTGCCAAGCGACAAGACTTTCAACTTTGAACCCTTACAGACAAAGTTCCCTTACAAACTCTCCACATGTTTGCTTCAGATTGAGATGAGACAGACATATTAAGACGCGCTTCTACCCTCCCGATTAGGAAGAATGTTGCTATCGTGAGCTTACGGTGTGAGGCATATGCGAAGTTCTAGACGCAAACTCCTTCTTTATTAAAATCGCTCAGATTCGGCGCATGCATGCATGCATGGCTCCCGTCTGACACTGGATAGCTGCAACGTCGAGCAGCCTAGATTGGCTATGCTCAGCCCCGTCACCCGCAGAATATATGTAAATGGCTTACTCGCGGTGACCTGGTAGGCTGGAGGGGGGACAAAGAAATGGTTAGGCCTCAATGCGGGAAGGCGACCGGTAAGGGGATAGATGTGCCGGGTGTTGCAATATGGGGTGCATAGGATATCCCATACCATCTCCAACGATCTACCCTACCTACGTAGGGGTTTAATCTAGGGTTTAACCCAGGATATCCAGATGGCAAGGAAAAAGAGCCTCTGTTCTGTTTCGTTTCTTCGATGTTTTAGTAAAAGACAAAGCTGTATCATGAACTACCGGGGTATATTGTGTTATGTATTGGTCGAAGGTTCCAGGGGGAAATACCCCCAAAGGAACCTCGGGCTGGCCCGGTAGCGCGGTAGACCCCTATTTATTTCAGGTGATTTATGGCGGTTTATGACAATTTATGGCCTAGTTGAGAGCCGTGTGGCTTTTTATTTACCGTACAACCTTGGCCTAGGTAGCCCACAGTGACCCCACGATCACACGACATTGCATATGCGCCTCGGTGATCTTTCCCCGCTTTCTCTCTTTTGCTTTGCCATTCCGTCTCTCTAGCTTCGTATGTCGCATCGTTCCATCTCGGCTCATGTCGTTCGAAGCTGGCGAATCTAAACCGGACGATCCAGGGAAAAACATGACGATATTCAAGCTTTTACGTGGGCTAAGCTTGGCCAGGTTTCGCTTTGCGTCTCCAAATCGTACATGGTATTAATACTTCGACGTTGCCTCCCAGGGGGTTGGCCTATGTCTGTTCGTTCTATATGTACTTAAGACCACCTACTCCTATATAACTAGTCTTCCCAGCCCACCCCGAATCTGTCCTATTCTAGTATCCCAGTGACCTAGATACCTACCGCTTCAAACAATCTTCATCGATATAACAATAGAGTACAAGGCTACCCTTAATATTAAGACACAAGCCTTCAACGACCTACCTCATATCTTACACAACCTCCCCAGTACATACATATTACACCTCTCAACACAATAACAAACATGCCTATGAACATGACCCCGGCCCGCCCATTCACGGCTGCCTCGCCCGTCCACCCGAGCTACCTCCCAGCTCTCCACAAGTCCGGACGCATCGAGAGGGGAATGTAAGCTTTACCTACCTACCTACCTACCTACCTAGGCTCGACGCCACATACCCACCCACCCACCACCGTCACCATGACATATGCACTAACAAATAGCAACACAGCGCTACCGCGGCAGTGGCAGCCGTAGGGATCGGGTACGGCCTGACGAAATACAGGGCCATCAAGGCCGAGCAGTGGCAGAAGGAGCACCACGTCGAGCAGCAGCAGACGTTCCGAAGCGCGGAGATGGCTCCCGCGGTGGCCGTGGCGACGCCTTCGCACCGCAGCGAGGCCGTCGAGGCGCTTGAGAACGCGTACGGCGAGCGGTCGAACTTGGCTGAGTTGGAGGCTGCTGTGGCGACGTATGAGTCTCGGCGGAAGAACTAAGCTTATATCGTCTTTCATGGCATGACCATTATCGTGGGTTTTTTGGAAGCGGGCGTCTGGGTTGGCTAGGTAGGTACCTATGGGATCTTAGGTATCGATGGAGTTTCGGGTGATATGAAAACGCATATGGCGATATACGCCAGGGGGTTATTGGGGATGGGTTTTGTATGAATGGGCTTGAGGGGAACTCGCCTCGGCTTGATGTTTGATGTAGTCAAAGACTACAATTGATAGCAATTCATCTCTGTTGAATTCAACGCACGTCTCTTGCTAAGAACTTTAAGGAGAGTATCCCCGGAACCGATCTACCGGATGGTGCATGGTTTTGAAAATGCAAGTTGAAAAGAATCAAAGGTAGGTAAGCAAGTATAATATCAAGCCGTATGATTAGGTACCTAATGAAGCTGGATTTATGCTTCTTGAGACGGAAGCTCGCAGGAGGTGCTCGGACTTAGCAGATCCTCCGACGCGCAGAAATCGATCTGACTCAGACTCCCACCAATTTCGTCTTGAACCAAGTAGAAAGAATACATTCCATCCCGTATATACCCTTAGTAGAAGAGAAAGATAACTGAAGAAATGGCTGAGGAACGGTCTCTTAGAACATACCGCGCGAACTGCCATTGCGCAACCTACGTGTACGAGGTTAATCTCCCCGAGAACATCAAAAACGGGTTGAAATTCAATTCTAGTTACTATAGCAAGATTGATGGTATATACCAGTGTACTCAAAGTAGTGACGACATCAAGTTCGTGAAGGGTGATCCGGCCACCTTATCGAGCTACAACTTCGGAGCTGCTAGGCATCAGGTGAGTCAGCTCTATGTATTCGCATATTAAGACCGTGATGGTCGAGATATAATAAACTTTGCTAACCATCAATTTGCCATAGTTCTGTCCGAATTGCGGTACCCATCTCTTCCGAGTTGACTCCAAGACCTATGTAAATGTAAGCCTAGCCTACGTACCGCTCTGTTTCCATTCTCCAAAGGGTTGAGTTTGACATCAAGTCATCCTAGATTCGTGCTATCCAAAACATCCGCGTGCGGGATCTAGATACGAAATCGTACGTTACTTCGATCTCGCCTTCATATCCTTTTGAAAAGGAGCTTGAACCGTGGACTAAGCTAACTTGAACTTCCGCTTTCACTAGTATTGATGATCCGGAACCAACAACTTGGACTCCGCCTAAATTCACTGGCAGTGAACCTCCGGCCAAGATCGAAGATGCCAAAATCTATACGGGCGGTTGTCACTGCGGAGCAATAACCTTAGCCCTGAAGTCGAAGCCGATTGATAGCACATATGAAGCGAGTCTACTTGAATGTGACTGTAGTATATGTACTCGGGTACTGTCCCCATGTCCCTTTACTCCCTTTATACGCCACCTTACCTCCTTTCCTATTATAAGACTATGTCTGTCACTTACGTAGGCCTACTAAAACTAATACATGAGACTAGAACGCGTACCTCTGGATCTACCCATCTAAATCCCAAGTCATCATCACAGGCGCTTCTAACTTCGGATACTACTCCTTCGGCCGCGGGATCTGGAAGAAGTCGTTCTGCAGGACTTGCGGCGTGCCTATCCACAACCACATCGACGACTACACGCCTGAGCAGATCGCCGAGCTGCCTGAGGATAACCGCGAGTGGGCTGTTGATCACTTGGACTGGTCTCCGATCAACCTAAGAGTTTTAGATGGAGTTGACTTGGACGAGCTGCCCGTTCGGCGCATAGAAGGGTCTAAGTTCGGAAAAGTGCCGTATATAAATCCCTGAATACTCTTGTTCATGCGCAAGGATGTATTACAATCATATGATAGTGCTTGTTAGCGGAAAAGTAATAGTCTTGGTTGCATGGAGACTTCAAGCAGTCAGATATTGGTAGTTGCTAGCAAAAGAGCAAATGGCATGGGTTTGAACCCCAATACCAAGGTAGATAGATAGCTATGGAGTCAAGAAAATATCGATATTAAATAACTCATATGATGGTGGGTATGGGCTTTGCAAAATAACAAAAAGGATTTGCAACTCTTAAATAATTAGAGAAATCGAAAAAGAAATGCATCAGCCGCGAATCGAACGCGGGGCCCATCGATGGCAACGATGGATTTTACCACTAAACCACTGATGCCTCTAGCCTCATTGAGTAGTCTTAATGCTTCAGTTAATAATATTATATATATATATATTACTTTCACGTCATTTGTGTGCATACCGTACCTTAGTCGATGGGCCGGCTATTTTAGGCGTAAGCTAATCGGGACTGGGTCGGAGTTTAGTGAATTAAGCGTAAGTACTACTTAGAAAGTTAAAGAGTACAATTACGATCTATCTACATGTCGTATACAGCAATGCCGAATAGCGATGGGGCTGCGGATCTTTTGAGAATAATGCAAAAATATTATAGGTTCTCCCTTGATTAGGACTAGGAATATCATCTCAATTCAGTATAGGGCAAACCCACTACTTAACTGTCAAGCGGCGAATTTTCATTGGCGCGCATACCATGTGATTTGTTAATCGATACGCTTTAGCATCGGATTAGGCAAGTCTTAGAGTCGTTCAGGTGCTATTAGTGAACTAGTATATAGAAGTATCGCGAGATATTCTAGATGGAGACGTACCCCTTCAAACTAACTTTACCTATAGTTCTGTTAATTGTAGCTGTATAAATAACTAGGTATGTTTGGTGACTGTTTGACGTTTGGGAATAAAGTCGGGAACATACGCCAATGGCGTTGACAATCTCAAGAATGCATGCGGATGTCGTAATCCGAAGATATCCAGACGCAACTGCCCAAGCGGTATGGCGATGATAGGAGGGGGTACACACCCACCCCCACTTGAGTAGGCAGGTACAACTTGCTTTGGCGGCGGATATGTAACGCTTGAACCTTGTCTAATGCTCTGATGATGATAATGTGGATTTCCCATGCGTCATATCCTACCACTTCCTACCTACCTACAGGCCAAAGAAGGGAAATTGCATGTTTGGCCATGTTCAAACTACCTGTACTAATAGAAGGAGCTAGAAAAAAATACTACTCCGGGACGGTCCCTCCCCGCTTGACAGCTTCCATACAAATATCTCGACACGTCTTCGTTCTAGTGCCTGAACGTTATTTCTTTCTCACTAGAACACACACATACATCTTTCGACGTAGATATTGAATCCCAAGATGGCGGAAATCAAGAACACTAGGTAAGGTTTCTATTGCTCTGCTCCCCCCCTTTTCTCCTTGGTTCAACTTGAAAGTGTGGAGAAGTTCGAACCTCAAAGTGTCACCCTCTAACACCTTAATAGCAAGACGTTCACGCTCGCCAGCGGCGACAAGATCCCCGCTATCGGCCTAGGAACGTGGCAGTCTCCCAAGAACGAGACTGCCAAGGCCGTCAAGCACGCCCTCTCGGTCGGCTACCGTTACATCGACACGGCCTTTGCTTATGGCAACGAGTCCGAGGTGGGAGACGGTATCCGCGCTTCGGGTGTGCCCCGTGAGCAGATTTGGATCACCACGAAGCTCGACAACCCCTGGCATAAGCGAGTAGCTGAGGGCATCGACGCTTCTCTGAAGAACCTCGACGTTGACTACGTTGACCTGTACCTTATGCACTGGCCTAGCTCTACCCGCCCCGACGACCTGAAGAAGCATTATGATGATTGGAATTTCCTCGACACGTGGCGTGAGATGCAAAAGCTGGTTGGCACTGGTAAGGTCCGCAACATCGGCGTGTCTAACTTCGGTATCACCAATCTCGAGAAGCTGTTGAACGACCCTTCTACCAAAGTAAGCTAGCACGATGGGAAGTTAGAATTGATGTGGAAGCTGACCATATTATTAGATCAAGCCCGTTGTCAACCAAATCGAGCTCCACCCCAACAACCCCTCGCCAAAGTTGGTCGCGTACTGCAAGGAGAAGGGTATCCACCTAACTGGCTACTCCTGCTTGGGTAGCACCAACTCGCCGCTCTACAAGGACCCGACGTTGCAGGCCATTGCCCAGGCCAAGGGCAAGACGCCTCAACAAGTCCTTCTTCTCTGGGGAATCCAGCAGGGCTGGGATGTCATCCCCAAGTCTGTCACGCCCGAACGAATTGAGAGCAACTTCAACATTGACGGCTGGGAGTTGACGGCAGAAGAGATTGACAAGCTGAACCACCTGCCGGATCGCTTCAAGGTTTGCGGAGACGATTGGTTGCCTATCAAGGTCTTCTTCGGCGATGACGAGTAATTTTGAGACCTCAAATAAATGTGGCTCGCGTTATGCATGTTACGCATCTAGACTAGACGGATAGATCTTCAATGAGTAAAAACACCGCCATCATGTCGTCCTTGTCCTCCCGTCGTGCCACTGGTTCCGTAGAAAAATGAACAAAATCAAAGTCGTATTTCATAACTTTCCCTTCCTAGCCTCCTCCTCTAGCACTAGGGCTATATTCATTCTCAATTTTCCCGCTAGCACCTCGGCCTCTTCGTCATCCAGCTCTTCGCGCGTACCCCGCCCGAACATGGTAAAGCTCTCGTTAAACTTCCCACTGGCGCGGATCTCGGGGCGCGGGATCAGATGGTAGTGGACGTGGTTCACCACCTGCGCCGCGGCCGCGCCGTTGTTCTGGACGACGTTCCAGTCGGGCACGCCGGTGGCGCGGACCAGCGCCGCGGACAGCACGCGCAGGTACACGCCTAGCTCGGCGGCTTCGGCGGGCGTAACGTCCGTTAGCTTGGGCCTGTGGGCGCGGGGGCACAAGAGCAGGTGCCCTGTGGATAGGGGAAGGATGTCGAGGAAGGCGATGAGCGTTGGCGTTGAGAGGACTATGAAGGATGGTGGTGCGAGCTTGAATGGGTTTAAGGTTGAGGAGCTTGAGGGGGGGTGTGATGGGTCGTAGGCGCTGAAGGAGGTGGATATTTTGCAGAAGGGGCAGGGGTCTGTGTCTGGTGGGATGGCGCCGGGGTCGAAGGGGGGAGGGAGTTTGGTGTCTGTCATTGTTTTTTTGGGGGGAAGGAGGGGGGTGGAATAGGATTGGAGGAGCCGGAGGAGCTGGAGATGCTGTGGCTGGAGGTCTGGCGGGTTGATGTTGGACTGAAAGGTTCGATATATTCTGGATGTCGCTGTTCCAAGATTTATCTACCTGGTATAAGATTCCATGCTCAATTAGATAGGATGGATTATATATATGTATATGTGTATGGTATGTATAAAGAAATAAAGTGAGGAGTTTAAACAGGTCTGCAATTCGAAGTCATGGCGAAGTGTTTAATGTTAAGTGTTAGTCTGAGACGTCTCAAATCTGACGTATCCGAGCTCTACATTTCCAATTAAATGCTCGATTGGTAAATGTCGTGCTACTGCGGTAAGGCAGGCAGCGGCCCCGCATTTCGTACGTTTGGTATCGTTATCGTTATCGCCGATCCTTATCAAGGACACCGCCTACCTAGTACGTACCTATCTTTCAACTTTAATTCTGCCGCCCCTCGCTGACTCACCGCCTTTTTTTGTCTGTTCATCGTCTGCAGTTCCCGGCAAATTCTATCCCAGCTTTATCATCATAACAGCAAGCTTTCGTCTTTTCGCATCGATTCCGGCCAGTCACTTCCAAACGCCAACTGGATCCATAGATCAAATTGACATCCTCTCGTTTCGGTTTATTTAACAACACTTCCACTTCCGACGCCGACATCGTCTACTATCGCGACTTTGCGAATAAAGATTCTACGTCTACACCCACAACCAAGGCCTTCAACGAACCACCGACATCATGAGTGGACCGCGCGAAGAGTATACCATCCCCACGTCGCAGGGCGGCGCCGCCAGCTCCCAAGGTGCTAGCCGTGGCAACATCTTCGACACCATGGACCCCAGCGCCGGCCTCGCGACGATGCACTACATCTGCGGCGACTGCGGAACCAAGTTCCCGTTGAAGCGTAACGATCCTATTCGGTGCAAGGAATGCGGTTGCCGTGTTCTTTACAAGGAACGCACGAAGAGGTAACCCTATTATGGCTATGCTGCTTTGTCTACTACCCATTTTTAAGGTACGAGGAACTAACGTATACTTGAATAGGATGGTGCAGTTCGAGGCCCGATAAAGGCCAATTACAACGCCTATAGTATCCTGAGCCTCGAATTAGACGCCAGGGGAGCCAGGCATAGCAACGAAATCTGGTAGTACTACTATGGCTATCCTAGAGGCAAATAATTTGTGAAATGGACGAACGAGTGACGGAATGAAGTGAGACGCTCGTCATCTATAGATGAGAGTGAGCTCAGCGGTCTACTCTCTTCGACAAATCTCTCGCCAGGTCTTCTACTCATGCAGGGTGATACCAGAAAAATCTGTACCAACAGGAAATGCATGCTCTTTCTTAATAGCCTAAGCAAATTGGAGTTTGGGAGTTTCTAGGAATCGAATCAATGTAATCTGAGATTTCTCAGCAAATCGGAAATTTGGTATCATTGTGCGCCCCTATGCCTTATACAGTAAAGCTGTGAACCCATGTGCCTTTTCATATGCCTTTTGATATTGACCAACACCCGTGATTATCCCCAAAGCTTCGTGTTCAATCTAGCCCTACCTTTGCGTGTGTAGGAACTTCGCAAAACTTGCATCACTCTCCAGCGTTGACTCGTTCGCATCCGCCATAGCCGCCTCGTATCTGGACTGTAAGCCATCGCGGTCATACTCATCATCCACATCAGCGTAGTCATCGTCATCTTGGTCGTCGCTTCCCTCCATATCTTCATCGTCGTCGTCCACCTTGGGCAACCTGTCTATTGCGCCACTTCGGCTGTTGTCCGTACCCATGGACATGTCCTTCATCATCTTGTCAAGTTCTTGCTGTCGAACCTTGCGCTTCTGTTCGTCGCGCTCCTGCCTCTTGCGCTCGAGTTCGGGACGGTAGTCCTTCTTGAAGTCCTCTGCTTTTTCTCTCACCGCCGCGAAGAATTCGTCGATACCGGCACCTGTCATGGATGATACCCCAACCACGCTAAGATGGGTGTAGAACTCTTCCAGCATTAAGCTCATGGAGTTGAGTAGGCTGCTCATGTAGCCGCTACCAGCGCCCTCGCCCTCCACGCCACCAAAGGCGTTGGATCTCTCGTCGTTCGACAAGGCGGCCTGGAAAGCATCGTAATCCGTCATCCACTCCTTGGCGAAGCTGGCATCCTTGACATCCGTCTTGTTGAATACCAGGATCATGGGAAGTTTCGTCTTGTAGAGGATGGAGCATGCGTATAGCATGTTGCTCATGAAAGTGCTAGTGGAGGCGGTTCGCGGCGTGTCGATGATGTAGGCGATGACGGTTGGGAAAGTAGAAGCCAGTGACTCGAGGAGGATTTGACCTGAGGCAGACCATACGAAGACTTCGATTTGGCCGGCTATAATATGGTATATGAGTAATTAGATCATCACTAATCTTATAACTCATAAAGAAGAGTACATACGCGTATCAACAAGAATATTTTTGATAGGCTTCTTAGCCGGATTGGCCGGGTCAGGCCCGGTGCGCTTCTCCAGCAGATTTAGAATCTGGTCAACCTTGGTAGAGAACAAGTTCAGGGATGTGAGGATTCCGCCATTCGGTCCGAGGTTATACTGCTTCATGACTTCCTTGTAGTTAACAGAGTCGCGAATGTCGATATTACTCTCGAAGGGTACGTTGAGCACGGCCGGGTCCAGGTTGATGACGTAGGGAGGCTCGCGTTGGCCGTGGAGGTGCGCGTTAATGCGCTGCATGAAGGTCGTTTTGCCTGATCCGGCCATTCCTACACATACGATGGCGACAGGCTCAGAAGAGCTTGTCGTGGACGATGGTGTGGCAGTGGAGGCCTCTGCCGACTCGGATGTCGATGTAGAAGCCATCTTTTGTCGCACACTAGCAGTGGTATGGCGATCGGAGCTGAGAGGTTGTATGCGCGACTGGAATCCTTGACGTTGTAACGAAAAGAACAATGTTGAAGCTAGTAGAACTCTTAACTTCAGAAATGCTGAACAGGTGCTAACTTCCTATCCCACTTGACTGATCGGCAATGATTGCGGGGTGGTGGGGCAAAATTCAGCTACACACAAAATACCTCTTATTGGTGGAAAAAGTGAGTTTCTTATTGCATAAATGTAACGCGTTACATGCATGTAGTCCTAATGACGTAATACACGAAATACGTAGGTAGGTACCTAGGTATATATAGGGGTTAAGGGGTTAAGGGGTTAAGAGGTCAATGTTCTACTTTCGTAACGATTGTCCAATTTTCCCTATCACCACACTCTGTCTAAACATCGTTTCCCATTATCTATAATTCAACCATATCAAGGAGTCATAACTTTCCTGTGAGTCTCTCTCATCCAAAGGAATGCCAAATGCCGATTCGCGCAGTTTTCCGGCTTTCGTCTTCTCCTCGTTTGCTTCTTCATCCCTTCCAAGTTTCGTCAATACCATAGCTCTCCGATACATCCCTCGTGCTCTAGATCCTGCTATTGCTTCATCATTACCACAGGCTTCTATCGACTGTCTGAGATGATCCTCGGCGTTGATGTACTCCCCCTGTTGCTCGAGGATGCAAGCTATCTTGTAGTGTGATGCTGCGGTAGCTTCATGCTGTCCAAGGATGTCTTTACGAATCCCAAGCACTTCATTGTGCACTTGAAGGGCCCGATATAGGTCGCCAGCTGCACGGCAGATGTTTCCTTCAAGGTAGAGGAGCTTAGCGACCGGCATACTATAGCGCCCATAGTGTTCTTCCCATAGAGTTATGGATTTTTGAACAGTCTCTTTGGCTGCTTCTATCTGGCCACTCAGATAATGGCAGTGAGCGATATTTCCAAATGACTGACCAAGCGTAATGTCTCGGGTCTCGTGTGGCTGCTGTCTTATATCGACCGCTTTTCGATGCATCGATAATGCTGCTTCATATTCACCGTTGGCTGTTAAGATATTGGCAATGTTGTTGTAGGCCCCTGCTACTGTGAGGTCGTCTTTTCCGTAGAGAGACTCGTATATGTCCTTGGTCATGTGTAGTTCATTCAAAGCCAAATCGGACTTATTCTGGACGGAATATATGGTACCAGCCGTGTTGTGCAGATGTGCTTCGACCGGAGTCTTCGCAGAACCGCAGTTCTCCAATCCGACTTGAATCAAGTCAAGAGCATGATGGCCAAGGCCGCGCTCATCCATATACCAAGCTGCATTGCTTGTTAGTTCGGCTAAGTCCGAAAGAGGTGTCAACTCTTGCTTGAGTTCCCCGTAGTGGGACACCAAGGTTAGAACTTGGCGCAAGTATCTCTCGCACTCAGGCCAGTGCTTGACCATCAGGGTTCCGGCATTCTGTTTAGGGAATATCGAATTTGCTAGGTAAACTGCAGTTTTATACGCCTGCAAACATTCGACCTTATCCATATTCTTGTACGTCGTCTCCTTGACTAGCCGATGCATAACATAGCTATCAATCTCGCCTACACGTTTGATTAGTGCCCTTTCCACGAGGCCTCCGATGGCTTCAGATATTCTGTTAGGATATTAGTGTGCAGAGAAAGTTTGTTTTATCATGGGTTTCGTTACTCTTCTTCTCCATTCGGGGCCCCAGCAACAGCTCCTGTGGCCGTATCGCTCGATAGGGGGCGAAGTACTTCTACAGGAATTCCATCCGGTTGAAAAAACGACAGGATTTGAAGAAGGGCCTTCGAATCTCGACTCAGTTTAGAAAGTGACAATTCCCATGTGCTGTTGATTGTATATTTATAATAGAATGTCGACCCTGGCCTTGCGATGCCGTTATATTTCTGGCTGAACTTTTCATACATCTTTCGAAACTCATCTAGAGACATTGCCCTGGATAGTATGAATGCCGCCATCTGGTTGATTGCGAGAGGCAGACCTCCCAGCCGGTTAGAGATAGCTTCTGAGTCATGGTCAGATCCGCGTGTCCCTGGTACTTTTGCGATTAGCGAATATAGAAATGCGGATCCTTCTGCGGTACTGAAAGGTTCGATGCCGATAGATGTCGTTGCCATAGTAAGTAATGGGTTACGAGTTGTCATGATAATAGCGCCTTGGGGCCCAGATGGCCAGTACGTTTCAAGTTCTGCTTCTTCGTCGACATTATCAAATATTAATAACCAACTCTCATCTATTTCTATCGATTAGTCTTTTATTATGTCCTTCAAATACCTATCATGTGCACAACAGGAGTGGGCTACTTACGAAGAGAAGCAAGCCAATCCAGAACTAGCTGTCGGGATGATTCAACGTTGCTACAGTTAGAGGTCGCAACAAGACCGGCTCTTACGGCAATCCTATGGTATTCTTCTGCAAGTTGTAGTTTCGAAACGGCAGAGACCCAGAGAATTACACTCCATGATGATGTGTTGATGTAGGCGTATTGTAGCGCTATTTGCGTTTTACCCACTCCGCCAATTCCGTATAGCGCGACTGCTTTCTGTGATGAAGAAGCACTGCTGTCATCTACTCTAAGAAGCTTGTCTATCTGTGACAATTCGGTTTTTCGCCCGAAGAATCGGGGATTCTGTGGAAACGGTAGTATGCGAAGGGAGATTTGGGGTGTGTTGGACGTGTTTATGGTCTCTAGCCTTTTTAGAATCTCTGTCATTTGTGAATCCGTTCTACGTTGGTGCCCAGCTCGCAATTTGGTCTTGATGTGTGAGAGTTTTTGGCTGACATCATGCTCTGTTCTTTCGTTTACATTTTCAAGCTGTTTCCAGGCATGACCGGCCAATTTATCATGACGTCTGAGGCGGAAGAATTTGAAAGAACTACATAGGAATGTAGCAATACAACTGAGAGCCTCCTCTATAGCTTCCGCAACCTTAGGCATCATGACCGCCCCTGACGTGGCGAGAGTATATGCGCTTGATACGGGGCGCTGTAGTTTTGCCACCAAATCGATATAATTCTCGACAACGTCGCTCTTGTGATTTTGAGAAACTAACTAATAGAAGAGCCATCAGTTTCTTTCTATGTCATCGTCTTCTGCCAAATGGGACCTCTATCGACTTTAAACGCACCTGAATAGTACAAATGAGTAAGCTCCATAGGATTTTACGGATGGTAAACTCCGAGTTCCTGATAGTCAGGGTGGTGCTAGGTGCTCGGATATTGTCGCATAATTCAGCGTGAGATTGGAGAAGACCCCTTATCCGGGATTGAAGTTGAAACCCTGTGATACTGACGGATATAATACTCCAAGCGGATTCCTGCGTTGGAACATCGGGACACAGCATGAGTGCTTCAACGTCCTCTTGCCTTAGGCTTGATTTGATGAATTCTCCAAGTCCGGTCCAACCCCCTCGGCATATCTGTGTTGTCATCGTGGGCGTGGCTTATGGGGTAATGTTGCATTATGCGGTATGATGTGCAGCATTGCTTTTGGATCAAAACTACCTAGAAAATCCTTCACGGCACTTAAGCAATATATAAATTTTCATTATTATTTATTATTCTATCTACTGACAACGAAAGGCTCATGTCGGACAATTTATCACATTTCAACCCGACCAAACGCTTTTTAACATGAGGACGCTCTTCGAAGAGAATGGCCGTAGGGTTGCTAATTACATGAGGCTCCCGGGGATATAGGTAGGTCTCACAGCGGCGAGGCAATGCGACGGCGCTGGCGGCAAAATAAAAGACACACCGGTAGAGTCCCGATGATGGCTTACAGCCACCATGTGTCCCCAAGACAAGCAGGGCTGCCTTGCGAGAAGCACTCGGTGAGACTGATACCCCTCAGATTCTCGCACATTTGGAAGCTATATGGACACGATCACAGCTGGTGCTTCCCCAAGGTGGTAAATTAATGGTTACATGTGCAATTTTGCTGGGTTGTAGAGAACACGTTGGATGGATGGCTGATGTGGTCATGTCAGCTTGCTTTCATCCCATTTGACCCCCATCCGCAGAATTTGCATTATCTATCTATGTCGGTAGGGATTTGCCACGACAAGACGAGGCTCTGCGGCATATAATTCTCTCAGTTGTACTGATACTTTACATTTTCAGTTCTAAGCAATATGAGGACTCATTGGCTAGTGAGCCTTGATGTTACACACTATCCATGACTCTCATTCCTCGTCGAAGTCATGATTTGAGTGACGAACCCCCGGCTCGCTACCTTGGTGGCAATAGGGTCCCAATGGTAGAGACAGGCACCAAGTTGTCTTCTTGAACATGGAGGCCGAATCGTCCATAGCATTTTTGTCTCCTATGAGGCTCTATGAGAGGGAGAAACCATTTTTCTCTAACATACCTTTCTTTGAGATTGAAGGAGCTCGCCAATCAAACCTTCGCACGCTCCACGAACCTGTCACAGTACATGATATTCGAGGCAAAGAAAATGCCTACACGCTCGAGCAGAATGGGTTCCAGCTTGTAAAAGAGGAAGCCTTTGGAACTTCCAAAGATTTTGAAGACGATTCATGGATTATGAAAGAGTACGAGCCTAAAGTCAAGGAGATTATTAAGAGAGCTACTGGGGCGGAAAGAGTTGAGATTTTTGATTTTACTGTGAGTTAATACATCTGGTACTTTCTTTCCTTGTATATTCCAGTACTTACCGAGTCATCTTTGGAAGAAACGGAAAATGATGCCAGGTTTCGAGCCGGGTTCGTATGGAACTAAATCAGCGTCTAGTCCAATACCCACAGCGCATTGCGGTACGCATATTTGCTTTTCTCAGTTCCCTGTTTAGGTAACATTCTAATAAATCTCGCAGATAATACTCTGGGTAGTTGTCTAAGACGTGTTATGAGAGATATGGGCGATGAGGCGACAATTCTCTTGAAAGAACGGGTTCAGATTATCAAGTAAAATTTCCCACATGTGTATTCCTGCAACACTAGCAAATTGACGATACTAACTTCTTTCTAGTTTATGGCGTCCTCTTAGCGGTCCTATCAAAGACTGGCCACTTGCCGTCTGTGACTACTCCTCTATCGACCATCGGGATATGATTGCAACGGATATGATATTTCCGCATTACGATGGTGAAGTTTTCAGCATGATTCACAACAAGAATCAGAGATGGTTCTACTTGAGTGACCAAAACCCAGACGAGCTTTGGCTACTCAAATGTGCTGAGACAGATCAATCAGTAGGCATGGCTAAATGTAAGAGCCTACTAAAATCGTCGAGGGCCTATTTAATCACTAAACAAAGTAGTATGCGCACACGGTTCCTTTCGAATGAAGAATCTCCCACTCGAATTCACTCCGCGTGAAAGCATCGAATTTCGAACCATGGTGTTTTTCCCTAGCGTTCCCAAGTGACTACTACCCAGGGACATAGGAGATGGATAGGGAGGTACCTAGGTACGTTTTAAGGGGGATAGGGGACCCACAAATTGAGCCCCTGAGTCAATTCACAAAGACAACGCTGGACATCGTTTTACCATCAAAAAGCCTTCATTCTGCGACAATATGATTTCTCATGTATGTCAGTTATCGGCAACGGTAACTCCTAGTGGCACCTATTAAATGCCAAAATATTATTCATAAATTTTTAAGTCATGTTCATTAATCGTTGACTACCAAAGTGACATCAAGTATCATGTAGGTTATAGGTAAGAAGCTTCAACGTCCGTTATCCACCTTGATGATTCTGACTAGGCGCAGCACCTGGCATTCCGCCGGCTCGAATCCATTCGATCTTCATCCACTGACCCCACGGCTTACTTCTAGGATTATCGCTATCGAATGTCCAGCTAGCCCATGGCCTATTCCCGTGGTCGTCATGCATTCCAAGTGCCTTTTCTTTCCATATTTTCCATGGCTGTAGTTTCTCATCGGTGTTGGAACGAATCTTTTGAAGATCGCCAATTTCAAGGTCGGAACTGTTCAAGGTACCCCATCGTTCCACGCCTTCGGTGTTAAATACGCAGTGGGGGTTTTTGTCAGACATGTTTCTAGTCTAGTGATGTTAGTCTATATCATTTGCAGATATTTCCAAACTCAAATATGTATCAAGACTTACGCGTATTGTTTATTATTCCGTGCGAACTTCGTAGAAATTTGCTCGAGTAGGTAAGATGCCTACTATGTTTGATGGATTCCTATAACTCTTAACAGGAGTAGTGCTTCACATGAACAAAAACTAGCCCTTCATATTAATTAGGTAGGTATATGATACATATATGCAATCATATTAAGACTTGAGTGTATTTGATACTTCCACTTCGCCCACAAATCGACTGATAACAGAGGCGATCATAACCGTTGATGTGAGACCGGTGAATGGACGGGCATGCCACAGTGTTGTTGATTGGCCTAAGCTGTGGTCATTATCCTACACTTTACCATTAATTACGCACTTTGATAAGAATTAAGCGGCATGGTTGGACACGGTTTTCCTGGCTTGAGCCCCAAAGAATATCATGGGGACAGACTTACGTTGGACACATCCCGTGTTCGGCATATCCTGCTTAGGTAGGTACCTAAGTATCTGGAGTTGATATTGTAGCAGAAGTAGAGCCTCAAGTGAAACTTTGAAAGCTACAATGTGCAAAAATATAGCAAGTCTAAGCGCGTTGATCTTATACTAATTGAATATTAACAGCGCGCAAGCCGCGGAAAACTGCATCGCATTATGTTGCCCAATGCGATGTTTTTGCTTTTAGATTTTCACCGCAACTAGCGACTTGGAGGCTATGTACGTCGGTATCAAGTATTCAGAGATGAATACATGTCATTGATTTGATTTAGCCACCGATATCTGTACGCCGGCCAGGATACACTGCAGGATGCTGACGAGAAGGCTCGGAATCCCGATCACGATGACTGCCCAGAATGTCCACCAAGTATGCTTACTTCGACGGTCCATCCAGAGGTCACGTATACCTGTAGGTCTCATTTGGCTCATGTAAATTTGGACTCGGAGAAGTTTGTCTCCGAAGAAGGGTAGATCTTCATTTGCAGAATAAACCTGCCTTTCTTTGGTCCAGGTCAAGTCGTAGAGCTTCTCTAGGCACAAGGAGGCCAGAACTTTAGGGCGACTGAGGAACTGTAGATGTTCATCCACGTGATTGAAAGATCTTAGAAATTGTCTTCGCGAAGATGCTTTTTGACCAAACAATATTCGATATGTGAGGAGGAATTCTGTATAGTAATCTCTCAGTTCGGTATTGGATACAAAGTCATCGGAGACGTCTCGAGTTTGGTTCAAACTGATGTCGGTGTAAGAATTTCACGAATCCTTGATCAGAACTTGAGACACATTTAGTATAGGTAAAACTTACATATCAATTAGACACCAATGATCTGGTGCTGTATTCGAATGTAAAGCGCGTAGTTGACGATCTATGATGAATGGAAAACGGAAGAGGTATAAAGTGGGCGGTTGAGGTTCGAAGCATAAATGGGAACTTAACGTTACTGTCCATTTTATCCTAACGAAGCCTAAAATCATCAAGGTGTGGGCATTCACGTCTTCCACGTAGATACTCATTATCCGTGGGGTTTCCGTCCTAGTCTCGATTTGTTGATGCCCAATCCCTTCTTGGATAGAATAGGGGTATACTGCACCAAACCCGGCCAGGAATTCTATGAAGTTAGTGCTTGGTTGACGATCCTGGATTTGGTTAAAGATCCCCTCAATATCCTGAGATATCTGGCTGTATACATCGACTTTGTGCTGACTTCCGACATTGATGCCTTCGTAGATGTCCGCATTTGGGAGGTAAAGGAAACTCACAAGTCCAAGGCTTGTAAATATTGCATGCTCAACAAGAAGGTTCTGGTCCAGCGTGAGGTCCTGAGAGGTCAAAATGCCTGACATAAGGATATGAACTTTACAAGAATCGATGGATATTGGCGCGCTCAAATTCCCTCGCACATGTCTTGCAACAAGCATAATAAAGGCGAGGATATTCTCTTGGTCTCCTGTAGATGCCAGAGGTGCCGCCCAGGGAAGCGTAAAAGTCTTTGCATGATGTTGGACTTCCTTTTGCAGGTGTGCGAGATATGTCTCACATTCGGGATCAAGGAGGACTTGATGATCAGAAATTTCATCATCGCCGATTATGGCACGTAAAAAGTTCGCGCGAGTTTCCTCGGAAGTATACCATCTACCTAGATTCCACAGTGAGTAAAGAAAGACATACAACACTCAATATTAGGTAGAAATCTTATCCAACGTACGCTTCAGAGCTCTTTTAAGAAAACTTGCCTTAGGGATACGAATCCCCATAGAGTAAGGCATGATTATAAAAGTGAGATTGTATCAGAATGATTCATTGATGAGATGTGGCGTACATGAAAAAAAAAAATAGGTTCGTGTGTCAACAGGATAGGAAGACAAGTAAATACCTAGGTAACTTATAATAACGTTTCTCCAGACTCGGCAACACTTTTACCTAGGTACCTGAGTACTTACCTTGTAGATTTGTATGAGGCTGAACTTGGATGACTTAAGTATCCATACAGATCTCATATTTAACCATAATGTGAGAATTGATGATATCTTTGGGGGTATACAAGTATATGACATTTACATGATTCAGGATACTAGGTAACCTGACATGTAATCCAAGTACCTCTACATGCTTCAATTTAAGCCATGGCGCCAATGTATGACGGGCTACATAAAACAGGTTGCAGTTTTCGTTGTGTGGGGGTTGTAGATATGGGAGCCTTGTATAAATTTCTCAATATTTTATAAGACCGGATTGCTCCAATACTTTCTTGTGCTCATAATTCTCATTAAAATATTTCTACGTTGATTTTCAACCTCTTGTGAGAAGAAATGCTCTGGGAGCAACCATTTATCCAAATAGGGGAGCGCTTCCTCTATGCGAACGCTAAACCCGACGTCCGTCAAGCACATTCTCTATGTATGGTAACACGACAGCGCTGATCAAATTTATTAGGTAGATTGGAGCGAGGCTAGGTCTGACGTTCAGCCTGTCACTGTTCTAGCAATCGACGAAAGTGGGACATCAGCCAAAGATTTGGACGACAAGGCCAAAAGCTTCCTGGATGAAGACGATGTCTTTTGCCCTCTATTCTTGCAAAATGTGGTATTTCTCTCCGATAAAAAACAATCATTAGCCGAAATTATTGGCCAGTTAAGAGAGCTATGGTCAACAGAAACATTCGCTGTCTTGGATCGAAACCGGGTTGTTGCGGAGGGCCCCTATTTTCTGACTTCACGGGGTTTGCATCGGGCTTGGAGGCTATATCCAGACCCACTTGATTGCTTTTCTCTTTCCATCACTGCGATCGACGATAGGTAAGCTCAGAATCTCTCCAATTGTCGTTTATAAAGGCTTATCTGCGTACCTAACTACCTAGCTATGTTCCGTTCCCATGCACGGTTACTGGAGGGTTGCATCCTACCATCGCCGTCCCTTCCAGACTACATCACAGGCCGACTGAGGAGAAACCCCTCAATGGACTTCGAATAGCGGTCAAAGATATCATCGATATCAAGGGAATACGAACATCAGGGGGAAATAGAGCATACCATGAACTTTATCTTCCTCGAGATCAAACAGCCCCAGCGGTGGAAAGGCTAGTCGGCCTTGGGGCTATCATTGTTGGCAAAACTCGAACAGGTCAGTTTGCCGTTGGACAAGATCCGGTAGATTATCTGGACTACTTTTCCAATTTCAACCCCCGCGGTGAAGGATATCAATCCCAGTCTGGTAGCAGTGGTGGAAGTGCTGGAGCCGTGGCTTCTTATGACTGGCTTGATGCAGCACTTGGAACAGATAGTAGGTTCATCACAAGGCTTTCCCTTGGATACTACTGATGATGTGATCCGTAGCTACCGGTAGTATTCGGGGACCGGCAAATGTCTACGGTCTTTTTACGATGAGACCAACGCATGGTGTCTTGCCAATGAAGGGAATCCTTCCCCAAAGCCCGTGAGTTTCGATGCAATATCCCACTTTTCAGCTCTGACAATAGATTCTAGTGAGATTCTGGATTGTCCAGGTATTCTATGCCGAGATATTAACCTCTTCCAACGAATTATGAACTTATGGGATCCTTCTCTTAACTTGAAAGAGCCCTTCAAGGTATCTTGATTTTCTATTAGAGGGTTACATGAATTAACAATAGCTAGTTTCCAAAGAGGATCCTCAAACCCACGCGATGGTGCCATTGGAATACTGGCTATCCATCCGTTAATGAGCATATTGAAAAGTTTATTACTGATACCAAAGACTTCCTCCAAGTCAACGAAGACCCTATTGACTTCAATAACCTATTTTTAGCCCAGAACCCAGACGGAACTGGTGAGAACATGGACCGATACTTGTTATATGTAAGATTCGTTCCGTCAGATTTAGACCATATTACGTTTATTAACTGACTTGTGGGCCCTCCCACACTGTATGATCTACGATAATTACCACTTCTACGATTCCTTCCGTGAAGAGTACCAAAAGCTGAACGATGGGAGGTCACCATTCATCGAGCCCGGTGTCCAATTTGAATGGTACGTTGTCCGAATTTGGCAGGTTGGAGTACAATTGACATGTAGTGGCGCAGGGACGAAGCAAAGAAGATATCTAAAGAGAGGCGAGCGGAAGCGGGAAGAAGAATGCTATTCTTCCGCAAGTGGTTTGAAGATGAAGTGATGAAGACAGCTGGTGATGGAGGTTCTGAATCCATCATCGTACTTCCCACCGCTAGGGGGTTTGGTCCACGCTATCGGGATACACTTCCAAAGTAAGTTATCTGCTGATATCAAACTAGGTAGTTTCTAACCACATACTATTATAGTAAACGCGATTATGATGATTATGAAACTCGACATGACTGTATCAGCGTCTACGGAGGACTCCCAGAGATCGTGTTGCCAGGTAAGTGAAGGGCGTCCATATGTAAGTCATCATAACTAACATCTTCAAGTGGGGGAGTACAAATATTTCTCACGTATATCTCAAAAAGAGGAGAGCTTACCAATGGCTATGTCTATCATAGGGGCCAGGGGTAGTGATGCGATGCTCATAGAGCTTGCAAAGAGATTACTTGAGTATACTGGAAGACCAACGTCCTTGACAACGGGATTCCAGGCCTTCTCTGTCGCATCAGTATCATCCACAACTCAAAATGGCACGACGAATGGAATTAAAACCACTTCCGTAGCTAAAAATGGCCATAGTATGGAGTAGGAATGGAACAGTGTTTTCCTGAGATAATTTTAGGCATGGAAAGCGCAGGTGAAGTTATCGTGGGAAGGGGATTATAACATTTCATTAGTACCTACTCATATTATCCACCATTAATAGAGAATTCACTGTTATGATATCGCATATGCGGCCTGCTGCTGGGGATATTTGTGGAGCTGACCTATTCAGGGGCTCACTTCCAGATAGCCTCCTGATACGGGCTAACGACCCCTATTCCCCGATATCTACTCACCCTCGCGATCTCGACGTAGACATCTATCTTTATGGAAACTACGGAAAGGGACCAATGACTGATTTGGAAGAATATTGACGTTAACTTTGTACAATTGAATTACTCTGATCGTCTCATGTTATGATTCCGCACGTTCGTGTAAATGAGTTAGGATCTAGCTCACAACAACCACATTGGGGGTCGCAAGGAATTAAAGCATTCATCATATCACATTCACGAAGATTAGGTCAAGACAGCAAAAACTTGAGGTGGCCGAATCTCTCATTATCTCGCCCCGACGAGGGCTTTAGCTGAGCTAACTATCCGCTAGGGACAGGTCGTTCGATTTTTTACCTGGGCCAGTCGTCAAGACTAGGTAGAATTGTCATTTTGTTTGTTTTGTTTTTCTCGTGATGCCAGCTTCTTCATCGCGCTAGCAGAACCAATGCAGCTTCACATGCATATACCAGTCTCTCCGTTTCGTTCGTTACCTTTTCCGCTCCGTATTTCTCTCTCCTCGCGGGGGGAGGAGGATAATCTACGGAGCGAGTGTGTGCGTTTGGGACTTTTTTTTTGGTATTTTTTCGGTATGCTGTTCGTGAAGACATAGAAGATGGATGGCGGCGAAGAGGTGCGCCAGCCCGTGGTGCATTATTCCAATTTGTCCTCCCGGCTTGCCCTTTGCGAGTCTCCCGATTCTTGACAATTTGGTGGTATCAATTTGCGCCGTATGCAAAAAACACTCGCTTTGTGGGGGAAATTCAAAAAAAGCAACGCTGTGAAAAAAGACAAATATCGCAAAGTTGTTGTTGAGCCGCAAACCTTTCCCCTTTCCCAAGCTCCTCTAGACCCGTTTGTTTTGTTTCTTTCCTTTCGGACTTTTCGCCCAGCGAATAAGCTAAGAAAAGCAAATCCCGCGCGAAACCGTCCATGAAAATAGTCCAAAACGCCTGAGTTCGAAGACCTGAGAAAACCGTGGGTATACGTATGAATACATGAGTTGAGTAGGTGCGTGTTCCTTTGGGTCATTAGAGATAGGAAAGTCATGGAGAGGACGATATGAGCAAAACCATGTACGTTCATACCCTCTCCTCTCCCGGAAAATAAAAACATCATCAAAAATGGTTGGCCAACCTCGACAAGAAGTGGAGTTCGTAGTCTCCCAAATGGTGTCCCAATCTGACAACTTATGATCTGGGAGAGACTGAGTGGAGGGAAGAAGCCGGTGACAAGGAAAAGCAAAAATCATTCTCCCCGATGACTATTCCGTTCCTCGCCAAGGTAAAGCAGGTTAAAAATTCACACTCGAACGCCGTAGTATTCCTTCCCATGGGACCGGATAATTCAGTAGACACATGTTGTTACAGCAATCCAAGAGCTCTTCAGATCGTCTTCGGAGTCCGAGCGTTGCTCATGTCCACGACGTCGTCGAGATGGTTGCACATGGCAACGAATAGGTCGAAGAATAGTTTGCCGCCGCGTTCCATCTCCGCTTGCATGGTTCCACTCCTCTTAAACGTCTTGCGACATCGGATGATCAGGGCGAGATAATGAGCGCGCAACCGCGAGTCCGTGTCCGGCGTGTTGTCGTAGGCGTACTGTGCCGACCGAAGGATCGTTCCGACGTCGATGCCGCTCTGCAGACCCTGCTTCCGGAGAGACAGGCGCTTGAGCTCCTCGAGTCCGAACCTGTCGGCGGCGCAGTAGACGACGGTATCCCGCAGGAGATACTGGCCCACGCTGGAGACGTACATTGTGGCCTCGACGGCTCCGCGGCCAGCTCGGTTGTTTTCTGAGGGGTCGGGTGATCTGACGGCATCCTCGAGCTCCCAAGAGTTTCGGTGCTTGTTGTGCATCAAGCGGGGGTAGTAGTCACCCTTGTAGAGGTACTCGAGAACGGCCGAGAAGATCTCTGGTTCTTCGTCGGGAAGCGAAATCCTCTTGCTCTGCGCCTCGAGGTATTGATCGCGGCAGGCCCTCTCGAAAAAGGGCGACTGGCTCAATACTTCCTCGTGCGCCGCGAACAGTCGCGCCTCTCGGCCCACCGTGAGGGTGACGATGGGAGAGGTGAGGGTCTTCTTAGCTGGGAGAATCTCCTCGAGCGACCGTTGTAGTTTCGCTAGCTTCTGGGGATCCCGAACCGTGTTGTTGGCATTGTTGCCGGATTTCTTTAGCCTCGCCGACTTGTCGACTCGGTCCGCGGACCGGAACGAGCGCTTGAACATGGCGGCGGTGGTAGTTCGTAGTAGCGAAAGAAATCGAGACAGCGTGTCGACGGAGTTTTACGTCGTTTCGGGTTCGGGATATACGAGAATTAATTGACTAGAGAGCGACGAAAAGAGCGTATAAAAGGTGTTTTCGGGATTCCGTAGACTTAGAGAGTGAAGGTGGTGAGAGAAAGTCGACGCACAATGAAAAAAGGATTGACAGGGGTCCGGGCGGTATCCCAGAGTCGATTCGAAGGGGAATAAACGAATGTATCTGGGAATATCCTTGGAGTAGCTTTGCGACCCTGATGGTTGTGGTGGGGGAGGAAGAACGAAAAGAGGGGGGAGAATTAAGGGGGGGGGGAGTTGACGATATTTATATTTTCATCATATTTTAGCCGCATACCCTCCTCTACGCTGGGCATTTACAGGCTTCCTCTACTCTCTATGCCGCCTTGATTTTTTTGCGACCTTCCCCAGGCTGGTTTGGCTGCTTGGCCGGCATCCCACCCACCATTGACAGCGGCAAAGACCCCGGAACACCTTAGATCCCTGAATGTGCATCTTGATTCGCTAAATTGGGCCTCAGATCATCGCGCCGGTTTGCAGTTACGGTACTCTGCTGCAGTCGTGTGCAGTTAATATGAGCCCTGATTCTTAATAGGTCATGTTCGAAGTGTGAATCTTCGTCAGCTGCAGTGCGACCTCATCCTCTAACCAGCCGGGCAATAAACATGCAGCAGAGCAGGTCCAAAGCAGTAAACAACACGACGAACCGCCGGTGTCTGCCTGGCTTCTATGTCCGCCCCGTCGTGGATGCGACGTAGACTGCCCAAGGACCACGCCAATGACTCCAACCGACCGGGAAGTTAAACAAGGCACGATTGGGCACGTCGCCACGTGGGGGTGGGAATATTATTTACTTATGTGAAGCATCATTACTCAGGTAAATGACTGACAGCGCACCGTCGGAATACTGTACCGAAGCCAGGCTAGAAGTGAGGCCAAACTCTCCGATAACGAATCTTCCAAAGTATTGGGTCGGGATCATTCAAGGAGAATAGAAGATATCGTGAACCGAGGTTGTTGTGATCGTGGCATGGGACAAATGGCGTACCTGTAGGAATTGTGATTTCATCAGATCTTCAGTGGCTCCCACAAACAGCACGAGCTAGCCGGATTGGCGAGTTGGCGGTAATCCAAGCTTGGCTTATCATGCTGCAGTGCACTGCGAGAATTGGTGCCTTCGCCATTGATCCAAATCGATCCATTGGTGTCTTCAGCGAATCGCAACCCGTTATCGTGTACCTCGCTTATGATTAACAATATGCAGAGAAGGTTGTATTGGTGAATGAGGTTGAGAGATTCTGAGGCCCTTCTTAGGCCCCTTCTTAGGCCCTTGAAACGTTCCGTTTCCGCATTTTAGCGTGGGGTTGGCCCAAAAAGTCGGGAAAGACACGACAGGGATACTGGTGATGCATTAATTTCGGGTTAAAGCAATGACGATATTCAACTACCGAGTCACCTTGTGTGAGGCTTGCGATGACCCATGAATCATGAATTCGATGTCTCATTTTAGGTTGTCTCGTGAAACCACCATCTATCTCATCCCCACGCGTCAGTCATTCACATGTATGCCTAGGTGCTTATTTAATCCCACCACCAATCTCGCACTCGTTCTGTGTGCCATAGCGCAACTATGGCCTTCTCTAAGTTATCTTCGGGACCGCACACTACTCATTGACAGCCTTATTATAAGAATCAACCAACCGGATCACTTCTCGTCGTGAGAGAGAAGGCGACCTCCTGTCTGTCAAGAACTAGACCGGGATGGTTTCGCCGTGATAGTCTCGCGCATCGCAATGAGCCCATACATGTACGAAAAGACTACCGTTCAATCGATGTTAGCCTATTTCGTGACGACGAATATTCCTTATATGTTGTTAGATGCTTACCTCCAGGAGATACGGAAATGAAGACGATACATGTCGCAATAATGGCCCCCGGCATCTCCTTCATGATATCAGGGTCAAGGAAGAAGAGTCCCGAATGGCCGGTGATAACTTTTCCAAGCCCCGCCCAGCCAAGATACGCACCGCTACAGAACATGACACCAGCTATATGAGCTGTGATTGGCTGCAATTTAACATTCAGTTAGAGAACGGTTGCAAAGTTGGACATTCCCAAGCGAAACTCACAGTTTGTCGGCGAATGCTATTGAGGAAGCCTATCTCGATGAGTGCAATAATCGACGTTATGCTCCAGACGTTGATGATGCTGAATGAGTCGATAGGTTCCAACTCAAGCAGCCCCTTATCTGTTACCGTGGTAAGTACTTGAGAGTGGCTAGGATGAGACACAATTAACACCTACTCGGGAATCTAGCTGTCGAGTTGCGGCTCAGGAGGTCGCCATGAGAATGTGGCATAGAAGGTGGCTTGAAACCACCATGCCCACAAGGCACGAGACAACCCCAATAAACCAGCGTGTTCATGAAAGGGAAAACGTGGGCAATGGTATAGAACATGCTGAAAAAGAACCGACGAATAGGACAGGCTGCCGTATTTGGCGGGGAGAGGAAACGAAGAATATGAGCTCTGAATTTGTGTCCGTGGCATTCATCTGGGTCGATCTCTATTGCCTTGGGGAAAATAAGGTGCATGGCGGTCCAAAGCTGCGTTCGCCGTCCAAGTCAGCAAACCAGGAACCTTCACCGCTCGAGGCGAGATTAGACCTACTGTCACCAGTAGATGCCACGCCCATTGTGTACAGAAAGACACAGTCGAGAATTGGAACAGTATACGCCAAGGTGTATGTATGTCTTCTACGCCGTCGAGCTTGTATTTGAGCGAAACACCAAACACTGCTGAAAGATAACCGGTCAAGAGGAGACGGAGTAACAGGAGTAACCTCTGGTCGATGATACGCCACGACGAATGACAGGCTCGAAGATAGATGGGCTATTTGTGATTAGATTATCTCATCAGTAAACGCGACGTCAAGAGGCACCAAGGGGATAGATGTACGTGGCTATCTGATGGGCCAGGTCGACCTCCATGGTGTCCCGATTGGCCTGGATGACCAGAGCTACTAGGAGAGCCTGATCTTCCTTGGGCTTGTACTGGATGCGGAAGGAGAGGTGTTCTGTCCGATGTCTCCGACATGGTGGCGATGGTTTTATAGGATTTGTTAGCTCTGAGGTGAGAGTAGTCGATAATATTCTAACGAAGTACACGCAATGCTTGATAGGTTGTTTCTGAGGTTTAAGGTCAAGGTAAATATAGGAGCAAGTACAGGCCATTTAGGCTTGAAAGAAGGGCGCGTATGAGAAGATGAGCGGCTCAGAGTGGATGATGAGACGGGGTTGAAAAGGAGAGAGGGGATATTGGAAATAATCAGTCTATCTTCTAACATTGTCAGGAAAGCATGTTCGACATTGTATCGTTTTATGACCTTAACTTGAAGTAGCGGCCAGGGGGTAATCATGGGTAGGGAAGGCGACTGTCGATTCAAATTGTGACAATGTGTTGGGTACTACTAAGTAAAATATCGTAGCTTCTTAGTATAATCGGATTACTGCTACACACTACCCATATGGTCTCCCGAGTAGTTTATTGCAGCTACCTAGTTATGAATATAATGAGAAGTAAGTAAAAAGGTGCTTTCCTTACTAAGTTTCATAAGATCTCGTCACTTTCAACATACGCATACATTGATATCTCTCGATTATGTAACCCATACCCACATCACTACCGGAACTAGCGTGATACTCCTGCCTAAAGAAGTCAAACTAACACCAACACGGGTTCTCATTGGCTACTAACCTTCTCCAACTTCCAGGTCCCGTCAATTTCCCGACAGCTGCCGCTTATCGATAAGACGCTTACCAGCAAGTTGAGGCCACTTTCAACTTGAAGCTCCCATCATCATCCTTCGAACAGCTAAGCCCAATTGCAACCCATCTCTCCAAGCTGGCCTCAAAAATATCGAGGCCGGCAAACCAAACGCCGCTCCTTCATATACCGATACCTTAATACGAAACACCTCAACATGCTATCCGGCCTCCAAAATCCGCGGCAAGCAGCCGCCCAGCTGCTCAATTTCGCCCTCATCCTCTCTACCGCATTCATGGTACGTCCTGCTCACCCAACACTCCTAACCCCGTGCTCAGCAATCGTGCGCCCTTGTAACCTTACTAACTCCTCTACCAAAAAAACAAACAGATGTGGAAAGGCCTCTCCGTCTTCGCCGACTCGCCCTCGCCCATCGTCGTCGTGCTCTCGGGATCCATGGAGCCCGCCTTCCAGCGCGGCGACCTTCTCTTCCTCTGGAACCGGAACCTGCTAGCCGAGACCGACGTCGGCGAGGTCGTGGTCTACAACGTCAAGGACAAGGACATCCCCATCGTGCACCGCGTCGTGCGCAAGTTCGGCACCGGCGACCACGCGCGTCTGCTGACGAAGGGCGACAACAACGCCGCCGACGACACCGAGCTGTACGCGCGGGGGCAGGACTACCTCGAGCGCAAGGACATCATCGGCAGCGTCGTCGCGTACATTCCGTTTGTGGGCTATGTGACGATTATGCTGAGCGAGCACCCTTGGTTGAAGACTGTTATGCTGGGGATCATGGGGTTGTTGGTCGTGCTGCAGCGCGAGTAAATGGTGGAAAAATACCTGGGGGAGGCGTCTGGAAATTGCATGCATGCAGATTTTCGGGATTGACTTTAGCCTTGGATCTATTCGCGAATAAAAATACTACGATCGAATGAAACGGTGCGACTTTTGGCAGCTCTGCCACTTCTTGTGACTTGACCCAGCACGATAACGTCCAAGATGCGTCAATCTGGAATCGGGGTATGCTGGTATGGATGCCACAAGGATATATCCTCATTGCCTAACGGTAGGTAGGCACAAATGGTTAGACAACTCTATTCTCGTTCCTGCAGGTCTTACTCGTCTAGCCTCTGAAGAACAATGAGCAAGTCACAATAAGTTACGACTTACGTGAACTAATACACTAGAAACACACCAGGAGACAAGTCCATCACACAGAAAGGCATGTGTTACCCAGGAATAGAATCCATCCATGGATTTGTTCATATCTTCTAGCTATGGCATTGTTGAGTTACATCATCCGAGACGGCGACCAATTAGCAACATTATACACCATCTAGTAGTACTCTTCTTCACCACCGCCACCACCATCATAGTCTTCTTCTCCATATCCTCCCTCCTCATTGTAGCCTGTGTCATCATAACCGGTTTCATCGTAACCTGGCTGTTCCTGCTCGTCATAATACTCATCGTACACTTCAGTCGGCTGCTCTTCGTACGCTTCCTCATTCTCATCCTCTGCGCCTTCGTTGTCATCGCCCTCGTCAGCTGGAGATGCTGCATTGCCAGGAGCAACACTGCCAGCGGGCGTTGCAGCTTGAGACACCACAGAACCAGGTCCACTAGCCTTGGTATTCGTGAAGAGGCTCTCAATAGCATCGTAATTGATTCGCTTGGAGTAGGTCGACCGATTCTTCAACACTTCACGGGCCGCTTCGCCCGGTGTGGAAGCTGGCGTGAGCTGGCCTTCTCCAATTCGTGGTTTTTTTACGCGATTACGTTTTCGCTTCGGAGGACCGAGATCCTCCATCTGCTTGCGATAGATCTTCTCCTGCTTCTTGCGTAACCAGTCCTTGTTCGCGTTGATCCAGATGCTCTCCTTGATCTTCACTTCGTTAGGTGATAGCTTGCAAAATTGAACCTCCGGGTCATTTGCAAACTCATCCTCGCCAATAATCTCATCCATCTTAAGCTCTCGCTGTGGGAGTAGAGAGCGTGCCCATTCGGCTTTGATGTGCGCTAGATGCGCGGCTGTAGCTAAGGCTTTGCTATGTTCGTCGCTGTGAGGATCGTTAATCACCTCATTAATCTGTTGTTCTAGGACTGCCTCATCGCGCTCCCACTCGTCGTTAAAGGTCAGTAGCGGTTCGGCAGGCCCCTTCTTACGGCCACGTTTTCGAGTTGGCTGTACCAACGCTTCCTCATCCTCTTCTTCTTGGTCATTCTCAGGCATCCCTTCGGATCCAAACTCTTCGGCCAAATCATTCATTGCTTCATCAGCATCTGGATTCTCGGCATTGAGGCAGTCGGCAATATCTCTAGCGATGCCCTTCCGAGCCGGCTTGGGTATTTTCGAAGGGTCGAATGGAGCAATGAGCTCTCTTCTCTCTGTGTCATCGAAGGATCTAGGTAAGTACTCTGTAACTTGACGCAATTTGGAAGTGTCGGGGGGTGGGCGAGGAGGAGGTGGTGGTGGCATCTCTGATGTAGTAGACGAAGCTCTTGGTGTAGCAGTAGAGTCGGCTGGTGCGGGTGTTCCGTAGACCGAGCCAGATTGATCCTCTTCCTCATCGATGTCTTCTATACGTCTCCGCTTTCTCACCCTGCCATCCTTCTCCAGTTTCTCTTGCCATTCGGCGGTGTTTCTATAGAAGGCGGGTGGATCATGACGTGACTCGAGAAATTCTCGATTGAGGAAGTCCTCAATGGTTAAGTCACTACTCTCTGTAACTGTGAACTCTTCGAGACGTTGCTCGATTGTAACCGTTGTAACCTTCACAACGTAAACAACCTCCCGCACGGTGCGGCGGAAGTTCCACATTCGCGCCGCCATAAGAATGCAAGCTCCGCAAATACCAGAAGGCCGGCGGCCCATAACCATCCAGTCACGGCCCATTCTCTGGCATAGCCGGATTGCATCGGCTGCGACCTTGTTAGTGAAGTCGCCGAAGTCGAGCTTTGAACAAAAGCGATAAATGAGATCTTCGGGAATAATAGACTTGACATTGTTGTTCTGAAAGGAATAAATGTTATTTAAATCCTTGAACACATGTCCGAGTTCGTAGACGTTGACCTAACCGATGTAAGCTAGGGTATATAAAAATAGATGGAGGTTGGTAAGTATTGAATGGCACTTACGTGAACTAACTCAGCAAAGTCGATGAGCATCACTTTGCAACGATCCTCTCTTCGACAAGCTGTGTAGAGGCAGACGGGGACGACCTTGTCCATTCCTCGGCCTTGTAGCCAATTCTCCTCCATGACGAGCTTGAAGATCTGGATGCCAGCGTCAACAGCGTTCGGAGGGACCTCCTTAAGCTGATGCGCAAAACCGATCATCATGTTCCGCGCTATATGGCCAAGTTAGTCGCCGGAATATTCAAAATTATAGTATGGAATTTTGACGTACCTTCACGAATAGTTCTCTCTCGAGCATCAGTGAGTCCACCACCAAGGCGTCGATACTGAGGCCCCAAGTTCCGACTGACAGTACCTTGATCGGCACCAACGAAACTACCGTGAACAACAGCAGCACCAGACGATGATTCGCCGAATTGGACCTCGGCGACGATATTAGAAGAGTCAAGTTCACGACCACAGGCAGAACAGAAGCCATCCGTGACCGGAGCAGTAGGGTTGGGACAACCAGGATTCGGGCACGGCTCTCGATCTGAAATGGCGGGTTTTTTGCCGGTAACAGGTGTCGGAGTGGGACTCAATCCCATCGTTTCCATGCGATTTCTCTCCAACACCTCTTTTATGCGTTCACCAGAACCAGTTCCCCTTGGTCGGAACTGGACTCCACTCTTCCTAGCCCCCTTGAGGGGTTTCAAAAATGATGACATGATTTCCAGTAGTAAGGAGAAGTATGATACATGAGTAAAAGTGAATGGATATGAGTTTACTAGTGTACAGGTGAGAACGGGTAGGGGTAGTGTATAAAAGGGGGTTGATATGAGTGGTTCATATGGCGACGATGATATCCAGCTTCGCAACCCCCAACGGGGATGCTACTGAATCAATCGCTCAATTGAATATCGTGCGATTCTTCCAATAGCGATTCGATTCGAGTATGCACGATTTGAATGGATATATTTTTAATTTTCAAGACCGATGCGATAGTCGCCGTTTATATGAGAACGGCTCGTAAATAAAGTGAATGAGATGAATGGTGGAAACGGGGGATGTAGTCGAGTAAAAAGAATCGAAGAAGTTTTGTGGGTCCGGAAGTTGATGAGGGAAAAAGAATGGATGGTCGAGAGGTCCAGTGGTCAGTTAGCAAGGTGAAAAAGATTTTGGTTCATCTTGCTAAAATCCTGCTGACTCATCAATTTTGACATTCAAGTGCAAAGAAGGGGGAGTTCGAACTATCAACCTAACAAAACTTGCTTTTCCATTTTATTCTTAACAAAACCATACTAATCATTACAACAGTCATAGATAGGGAAAACTCGTGCAAAATTAGTCATTCAAAGTTACAATTGGAATGATAGGAGAATGATTGAAATTCGAACACACCTTTCACATGCATATGCTCAGTAATCGAATATTCTCCACGAGCATATTGCTTTAAACAGCAGTAACCCATTTTTTCGGGTGCCTATTAGGTATTTCGTCATATTAATCACCAAAGCTTCAACCTTCATTACCCAAACCAACACATAGCCAAAAATGGACGGTCTCGACGAATTTGAAAAAACTCTTGCTGCAGAGAAAGCCGAGAGGGAACGTTCCGACGGAAAGAGACATCACAAACATAAACATCATCATCGACGAGATCGATCAACTGAACGCGAACATGACCGCGATAGCCACCACAGTCGTCGAAGATCGCGTGATCGTCGCGAAAATGAGGACGAAGATGGGCATCGACATAAGCGATCTCGCCATTCAAAAGAAGATGAGCGCCATAGCAGACGCAGACATCATAGAGATGATCGCGACGATTCAGATCGACGAGACCGCCATAAAAAAACATCCGATCCTAAGGAAGACTTACCGTTACCCGACGAGGAACTAACTGCGGGAGACTTGGAGAAAGTAGAGGGAGCTACTTCAACACAAGTCCGGGACTCTTGGATGACAGCCCCATCTGCGCTTGATGTTGATTACACCCAGAAAGGCTCTAAATCCTCCAAACCTCCCCCGCCTCCAAGTCAGGCGCCGCAGAGGGAGATTCACAAGCGCGAGATAAATGCGGCTCAGTTACAGGAGTTGAACAGTGGAAAGACCATTGACGAGATCGAACTACCAGCGCAGCACGAAGTTAGCTACACATTTGGCGACAGTGGATCGCAATGGAGAATGACCAAGTTGAATGGTGTCTACAATACTGCGGAACAGACTGGGAAGCCTGTGGATGAGATCGCATTAGAGCGGTATGGCAGTTTACGAGACTTTGACGATGCGCGTGAGGAGAAGATTGAGATAGACCGACGCAAAGTTTACGGCGAAGGCTACGTGGGCAAGGAGAAACCTAGTGGCGAACTATTTCAGGAGAGGAAGCTGAACCAGGGCGTCCACGAAAAGCGACAAACTTCACCGGCACCGACAAATCTAGACCAAGGTGCTGTTATCCCTGATGATGCATCGGCTCACGTGGCAACACAAATCGACCAAACCACGCTAAACCGGCTGAAAGCTCAGATGATGAAGGCAAAGCTGAAGAAGGCCCCGGACGCAGCCAAACTAGAGGCAGAATACAATCAAGCAGCCGCAGCTTTTGCATCAAAAGGCCCGGAGGCAGTTGTGCTCAACGTCATGGAAAACCGTATGTTGGCGGGAACTCGCGGAGAGGCCAAGGCCGTGGAGACGAAACGTGGTCGTGAAAGAGGACTGGTGGAGCAGAATGAAGATATGTCGATCGAGGACATGGTCCGCGAAGAGCGGCGAACACGAGGCCAGGGAGATGGCATACGCCTAGCCGAGCGAATTGCCAAGGATGGCAAATTCGACGACGACCTAGAATACATGGACGAAAACGCCGAGAAGCTGGCCAAGCGTGTGCAGAAATCCGAGATTAATCTCAAGAATCAGGCAGTGGGCGAATTCCAGAAGATCAACAAGATCCTAGATAACTGCCAGCTCTGTCATCACGAAGACCGCAATCAACCGCCGATCGCACCTATAGTCTCGTTAGCAACCCGGGTCTACTTAACACTACCCACGGAGCCCGAGTTAAACGATGGTGGTGCCGTCATCGTGCCTATTCAGCATCGAAACAATCTGCTGGAGTGTGATGATGATGAGTGGGAGGAGATTCGCAATTTCATGAAGTGTCTGACTCGGATGTACCACGAACAAGGCCGGGAGGTAGTCTTCTACGAAAATGCGGCCGCTCCTCACAGACATATGCATGCCGCTATGCAAGCGGTACCCATCCCCTATGATCAAGGAGATACTGCTCCGGCTTTCTTCAAGGAGGCGATGCTTACGGCGGACGAGGAGTGGTCGCAACACAAGAAGATCATCGACACGGGAAAGAAGGCACGAGAAGGACTAGGCAAACTCGCTTTCAGACGATCTATCGCCAAGGAGATGCCTTACTTTCATGCATGGTTCACGCTGGATGGAGGTCTAGGCCACGTAGTGGAAGATTCGAATCGGTGGCCCAGGGGTGACCTATTCGCAAGGGAGATTCTGGGTGGTATGCTTGATGTCGAACCAGATGTCATCAAGAAGCAAGGCCGATGGCACAAATCTGACACGCGGGTCGACGGCTTCAGAAAGCGCTGGAGGAAGTTTGACTGGACGAGAGTGCTTGCCGATGGGTGAGGTCTCATCTGGGAATATGCGTGTTTTCTACATACCCTTAGATACGTTGGATGGTGTATGAAGTGTTATGAGACGGAGCACTGGGAAAAAGGTCTAGACCGTTACAATACGGAACAAAGTGAGGCAGCATGTAAGAAGTCGTATATAATTGAGTCAGCTGCTTACCATACCACGACCTCTAAAAATCATGTTACTTCAACGAGAACCCCTGCATCTAAGTTGTCGTAGACTGTCTTGTGTCTTGGATGCATCTTTGACGTACCTAGTACCTAGGTACATATTCCAACCTGGCAAGGGGCTATCAAATGTACCCGCTTATGAGGCAGGGGCTAAAACCACCCCTGTCTGACCGGATCTGAAGACCGATGCGTGTGGGGCAATGAGGGGCATTTTCTTTGTACTTGCCCCGCCCTGTCCGCCTCAGCTCATACGAGAAGTCGTAACCCAGTCAGAGCTTAGGAGAAAGCTGCCTGGGCGAGCTGTATTCCGCAATGATATCATTGCTACCCAGCTGTTCTTTCCAACCGCTGGAACACCTTGAGGGCAAGCACATTACCTAAAACCAGCATACTTTTGAGATCTACATCTTAGTATCTGCTAGTTTATGCACCTACTTTAAGAAGTAAAATAATTAAATCCCATCTCAACGACGACCAACTCGATCTCTGGGAGCTACGAAGATATTTGCGCATACAAATAGAAGGAACCGAAGACCAACCGTCACGATGGCTACCTCACAGAAGCGCATCACCAAAGTAAGTATCCGACTCCATCGTGCAAACCTTCTATTCTCTCAACAAACCACCACCAAACCTAACACTCCAACCCTCTCCCCAGGAACTCTCCGAATGCGTCAACAACCCACCAACCGGCATAACAATCAGCGCCTCAGAAACGGACCTGCACAGCTGGACAGCAACCCTGATCGGGCCCCCCGGCACAGTCTACGCAGGCGGAATCTTCACGCTCTCCATCGTCTTACCAACAGACTACCCGTTCAAGGCGCCGCAGGTAACCTTCGCGACGCGCATCTACCACCCGAACGTGACGAACGACAGCGCGGGCGCGATCTGCCTCGGCATGCTGAAGCCCGAGAACTGGAAGCCCGCGTCCAAGATCCACGCCGTCCTCGACGCCGTCCGCCAGCTGCTCGTCGAGCCCAACCCCGACGACCCCCTCGAGCCCCGCATCGCTGACGAGTTCAAGAACGCGCCCCGCGAGTTCGAGAAGACCGCCCGCTCCTACGTCGCCAGGTACGCCGCCGTCTCGAAGAAGTAGTCAGTCCCCGCCGGTTTGGTTGGGGCTGGGAAAGGGAAAAGGTTTGAAGATGATGAACGGAGGGAGGTGATGGGGATAGATACCCTTCATCTATCTAACATCTCTCACTGGGTACTAGAAGAGTGCACAAGTTTATCCTTTAGATCGTGTGAACGCAATTACTGTGTCGATGACTGGTTATGTTCCGAAGAGAAGATTGGTCGTGGCGCATATCAAGAACCAGTCACCAAAATGCGTAACAAGCTGATATCTGGGAAGGAGAGATTTCCAAGGGCATATCGGGACGCCCATAGTAGGTGATTAATGTTATGTTTTACGACATACATTCCCGCAGGAAGTATCTGGGTAGCTAGGAACCGGGCAAAGGAGGGGACACGACGATGAATTACGAACATAGATTCCTTGCTAAGTTGATCACAAGTTCTCACAATAGCAAACGGTCATATTCATCCAACACTTTGTTGTATTGATACTGTCCCTGGAGCAAAGTTTCGAGGCTGATCCTGAGTCAGGGGCCGAGTGGTTTTGCAAATGTTCGCGCAGTTGGTGAATGCATGTTCTACGCCGCCAGATTGATGCTATATAAACCCCTTTCTAATGCAATATGCACTCTAGTTTTCCTAACCTTGCCAATGCAATCCCATACGTGGATAGGTTCCGTTGATTGTGTTGATTGTCTCCATATTGCCTTCACCAAACCAGTTTGGTATACATGCAAATTCTGTTGTTCCACTCGCAATAAGATTCCCTGGGGCTCCTAGTTGTCTTCTGACGCAGGCGAGAGAGCGGGTTACTTGTCAACTTCCAACTTCCATAACGTAATGCGATGCCCATATAATTTCCATGATGTCCCTAAACAAATTCCTTGGCCAGTCCTGTTCTGATCATTAACACAGGTGACCGCATGCTAACTTCCTTATGGTATTTCCTTGCTAAAAACAGAACTGTCGTATCATGATATGTCGTCAACGCCAATACATGCATGCTAAAAAGAGAGAAAAGAGAAAAAGTCGACATGATGGAGACGAAATACAAGATCGCAGATACCGGCTGCGTATGTCGAATTAATGCGCCACCATAATGTGATTGTGAATGGAAATGTGTCGCGATACAGTCGTCCGAACAGCTGGATGCGAAGGAAGATAAACAAAAGAGATATATCGTGATGATGGCGATGCTGTATGTTGCTGGGGTTATACTATTTCGGCAGGAGTCGGCTCCCTTTCTCTGCGCCGACCAAAAAGAGTAACTTTTCTCTTTATGTCTGCATCGGCGCCCGGTACATTGAGGTTATTTGCTAACTTCTCCCGCTCGGCTTTGACCTGGGTTCTTCTTTCTTGTCGCTTCTGGTCGACTGTCTCCTGACTAAGGTGACCGAAACCGTTGCGGCGTCTGAAGCAGGCCTCAATCAGCCCGTTGGCATTGATGAGTCGGCGAGGGATTGTCTGAACCACCTGGAAGATCTCCATAGGATCTGCCACGGCCCTAATCTCACCTTCGCCGATCTTGAATATTGCTAGAGATATTCGGAATAGAGTCTTCGACCCCTCGTAGAAGAACACGTCCCATACACGAAGGACACTCTCGATAGGTAGCGTACCGATGAAGCAGCTCATAAACCAAGCAGTCATGCACAGGGTAATAGGTGGTAGTCGTGTCGATTCGGACTTGCGTCTATGCTTCCAACTCTTCGGCCATACAGCATCCGTACCGTCCAGCTCACCTCCAATCTTAGCCCACACCTGAGGCATAGACTCTCGTAGCGAAGACATTAATACTCCCAGGTCGACGTTAGCACCTTCTAGACTTGTTTCGTGAGTCCCTGGAAGATACACTCTCGTTATGATGTTAAGTAGCCAAAAAGCATGTTCCTCGGTTTCCACGAAGAGTAACAGAAGGCCTGCTAAGAAGTTCAGTGACTGGCAGTAGCCGATTCGCGGATTATATATGGCGAATGCATGCAGAACACGACGTAGGGACGAGATCATCGGCATTTCGGTAAGCGTGCTTGTGCTCCCGTCATCCTTAGGAGATTGAGGATTGTTACCCCCAGAGGTATTCAATGGCCGCGAAGAGCGAAACTTGACGTTGTCCGGAAAGGTGCGGTGCAGATCACGCTCGACAGCCTCGACATCGACATCCTTAGCCTTTTGTTTTAAAAGACTATCATACATGCCTGTATGTTTCGAAAGGACAGCCGGACCGCCAGCGTAGTAGAACCAAGCCGCCCCCCTCCAATCAGGGGGGATGCCCTTGCGTACAAACCGCTTCGTCTTGTTCGATCGGGGAGGGAATCGGTTGGGATTGTCGGTCATGAGCCCATGCTCCCTTAAAAAGGCAGCCCACTTCTTCCGTCGCCTAGCCAGATACTCGGTGTATCCTTGATTCCAGTCATCATACTGTTCTCGGGTTACGTATTGATTGCTCTTCTTGAAACCATAGCGATCTCGCTCATCGTCCTCCTCGGGAATCGTTAACTCGGTCGGTTGGCGTGACGGCGGAGAAGGCATTGGGTCGTCTTCTGGCTCGGACTCGATGGGATTTAATTCAACAGGACCGTGTTCCATGTCTTCTTCAATATCTTGCTCAGCATCGGGGTCTTCGAGGATACTTTGAGACATTTCCTCCAAGGCCTCTTCAGGCAAGGAGTCGCGTACGGATTCTCGCATGGATTCTCGTGTGGAGTCCTGTGTGGAGTCTCGTATGGAGTCTCGTAAATCAGGAATATCAGGGTCACGGAAACTAGCGGCCGAATCTTCTGTGACTGGACTGTTGTCCGGTGATTCAGGCATTGGTAATAGATCGGTCATCGCCTCCAGCATAGCGGTCTTTCTCCTACTCAGTTCCGATTTTGCCGTCGGAGGCCTTGAGTCCACCATATCGTTGTTTTCTTCCTCAGGAGCCGAATCATCGTAGAATCCTCTCTCATACATGCCCATCACATCATCGATACTAAAATTGTCGTCCACCACGCCGTAAATAGAATTTATGGAGCTATTTTTAGTTGCGATGCTACTCCTCTCAGTAGCCAGTGTCCCTGGTCCCGTTGATGCTGTAAGTTGGGATCGATAACTGGCCCTGAGTTCCTCGGTCGGCAACGACGCCATTCGGTGCATGGGATCCCGAGTGAAGGCCGGCCCGCTACTTTCGGCACGATACGAGATAGGAGGCCGGCTAGTGGAAGGACCTAATTGTCGACCTCTGCTTCGAGGATGGTCCCGGCTGTACATATCAGGAGGAGCCCGAACAGGAACAGAGGCGAAGGTCACAGCAGACAGATTAGAGGATATAGATTGACCGCGTTCTCGGGGCCACGACATGGCGTGGTTAGATGGTGTTTCGAGATGATTTGTCTCAGCTGTGGAATGATTGGTGGGCTGAGCTTCGGGAACCTCGCGATTAGGTTGCTTAATGCTCGCAGTTCTCGGCCTAGAGAAGTTATCGACGCGTGATCCGTCGGCGGTAATCATTTTCCTAGGAGGTGACATGGGAAATTCATCTCTGGTTGGAGAATTGAGGGAATTGGCGTTGGAGTGGAGGTCATCGGTCGCGTTCGAGTATCTGCTATGAAAGCTGCTGACGGCCGGAGAGGTAGCAGCAAGGCCTGTAGGTCGGTCGTAGCCTAGAGAATCCCACCTGGGAGATAGTGGTGGTGAGTGAAGTAATGGTTGAACGCGTGAGTGCTCGTCTATTGTTGGACTGGAGTGCGAGTACAAGGTAAATTTTGTCGAAGGGGTGGAATTGATTGTAGATGGTGTGTTCCAAGCAGTTGTTGTAGCGGTATTAGCTTGGTCGTCGAATTCATTGTCCTCATCGGCGTCGTAGCCGTCGAGATAATCGGATTGTATGTCGTAGTAGCTGTAGTTGCTGTAATTGCTGAAATTGCTGTGGTTGTAGAAGTTGTGCCTGTAGCTGTTGGCGTTGGGGAAATTTGAGCGAACCGGGGTCTGTTTCGAGTCATGGGCTGTAGAGGCGTGGAGTCCAAAGTCCCGGACCTTCACGCCACGGTCTTGTCTAGTGCTAATCCCAGCTGATGATACATCTGATATTAAGCCCGATCTCGAACTAGGTTGTGTCACACTTCCATCATCCCCGGAACTTCTCTGATGTCCATGCTCTTGAGCTTCAGAAGTTGTTGACATAACTGAATCGTCAAGATTGTCGGCCGTGGTAAATGTTCGCGCCATTGTTCACGGCCAAGGAATTTAGAGCTTGGTAGCTCTCCAACGCAAAAAATAGACTACCACCTCTTCCCCCAATTTCACCAATCCAATGCCAATGCACTGCACTTCCACTTTGACTTAGCACCCAAGAGCCGGGAACAAAAAAGCCTGATCCAACGTAGTGTCAAGTCCTGCAGGGAGAATAAAGAGCGCTGCCAACGTTTCCATCTAAAGTAGGTGCACTTTCAATTGCATGTATATGTAACAGACGTCAATGGTAGAGGAATCCAACCTGAAGGAGTGTGGACGATTAGACTATAGTGAGTATGCACGCACGGGTGTGGTCCTAAGCACTCCGAGACCGAGTTTCGAGACAGTGGTGATGATCAATCGAACGGATGAAATGGTCTAGGGAGGATAGGTGTTAGGGTATAACGAATGTCGTGGATGGAATTCTCCTAGCATTGACGGATGATAGGTAATCGAAGATTTAAATTTAGGTGTCTTCCATACCGGCGGCTGTTACTTGTCAATGTCGTACAAGTGGTGACAAAGTGGTGAGGAAAACGGCCGTTTCTGGAGAATATGCGTATGCGTCTTCCCGCCTTGTTGGTGTAGGAAGACTCGGGCCAGTTGAAAGAAATCGGGAGTCGACCGTGTGCTTGTCCGAGGTACCCAATTTGTTGTACCCCGTTCTTGTTATTTGGTGGTTTCGGCAGTTGAGACAAGAAGTTGACAAAATGTGCAGAATAAAGTATGGGGCTATCTTGTTTGTGTGTTTTGTTGTCGAAGGTTGACGATGGTAAAAGTTATCGATGGAAAGTATGTCGGTAGACAGGAAAAATGGAGATACCAGTTACCCGTACCCGTACCTGCCTTACGGTAACTGAGGTTCAGAGGCTGGGGACGAGCAGGGACGAATTAATTGGAGTGGATGTCTCAGCTACCTCCGCAAGTTTGAATAGTGCGCAGTGGTTTCCTAGTACCTAAAAGTATAAAGACTCCTGCAGCAGTCGTCCATTCGAATTAAACATGCAGGTGCAAGCAGGTATCAACTGCGCGACTGCATCTTCAAAGAGTCGGGTCAAGGATCAAGGTCTATGTATGTAAGTCCAATCCCGCCTACTTCCAGCTGCTGTAACCTTAACGCAGCGGTAGGGTCAAGGTAGCCAAGGTTTTGACGATTGCTTTTTGTTTCTTCCAATTAGATGTCGACGTTTGATAACTTGCACCAGCAATTGAAGCCGCCACACAAAAAGGTCAGGAAAGCCAATGGCAGTACAAGAAAAGAGAACACACAACTTTATGAATCACACGAAGACGCAGAAAGAAAAGAAAACAGAAGTTGAAAATTGAAAAGATTTTTTTCTTACTCATTCAGTACCTAGGATTAGAATTGTAGAATTATTATTCTAGCCTTACCCGGAGCCTCCGCTCATCCCGTAAGTGCCAAAGGTAGCCACTATAATCGAAGTACCTAGTCATCGAAATTAATTTTAGCGGATGCGGGACGGCTTATGATCCGCCCATTGGACAAGGTTGTTTTGCGGGTACGAAGCCGGTAGCTGTCATTGGCTCAGCTTGGCTTGGAAAAACAAAAAGGGTAACGAAATGGAAGGAGAGCTGATCAATTAGGCTGACATCATTTTCGCTCCAGAACATTGCAATTTCCCAAGTTTGTCATCATAACTTTCTAGGTTGTGAATTAAGAATATTACTTCACAATATTTACCCAACACTTAATATTTTCCTATTTGTTCATAATGTGAGCAGGCAAGGTTTGTCTGTTTGTATCCATTCGGATATATAATACGCACGTATTAACTGTATAGTAAGACTCCTACAACAAGACCTAATAGGGTCATTATTCCAAGGTTCTGTCAAGCGAAAAGGATCACTATTAAATCCCTCCATGGCAACATATCATCACATTGTCAGACTGTGCGAGCTGCCGTCCACAGTTCATATGCCACATGCCACATGCCATAGTCCAAGGTATGAATCCACAAGCCCACATCGGATTTTATATGTGTTCATTTGCATAACATTGAAGCAGTAGTAAATGCATATGCAGATACTAAATGTGGGTTAATATATATGTACGTAATCTCAGTCGTGTAATTCAACGTTGGCAACATTGACAGGAAGACCTCGCAATTTGATTCCTATAAACGAAACATGCTACAGCTCATAGAGCCTCTAGTTCATTGTTTCAAAACTTTGTCAATTGAAATCTCTGTTTTTAGGTGCTAAACTTCCAGGTAGACTTTGGTTCGGGTAGTGAGTACCTGGTTTAGACTGGTTTAGGTGGTTCCGAGACTATGGATCAGGGGCACAGCTAGAATAGCAAGTCCACTTTATCAGCTAACATGTACCTAGCTGCCTCCCAGCTGCCTCCTTAAAGGTGCCTTCTACGCAGTACTTGTGCGAGGCGGGTACCTGCCAAATGTCCAACCATTCAATCACCTTCAATTGTCAGAGTGTAGGTAAGTGCAATTACCTACTAAAACTTTACTCAAGTACCTTGCAGCTACCTCGTCGGCCGACTCCCCGGAACCCGGATTTAACCAGGCTCAGTAACTGATCTTCATCTCACAATCATCAACGAAGTAAAAATTTTCACTTTTATTCGACTTCAAGATTGGCCATGCCGTTGGTAGCCTATTGACGATTGACGCTATGAGACGTCTCTGCATACATACCTCTTCCATCTTAACATGCTATATTACTCAGTAGAAGAAAGCATGATGTGCCAATTCCTCTGTGTCCCAAAATATTGCCACACCTTCATGCGGTCTCACGTCCTCATTATCATCATGATGGGCCACGGCAAGATGGGGAGTGAGAGAATAAACGACAATTGAAGCTTAACCAGAATCGTATATTCGACGCGTATCCTACGCGTTCCCCTGATTCTTGGCTCCTTTTCGCCAAACAGCCTATCACGATACGCACCAATCAATATCACAATCCCTTGCTAAAGGAATGTTCTTGTCCAAGTACAAATTATCAAGACTTGTCCTCTCTTGGAAATGATGCGGGATACTGTATCCGATCCCCGCACACGGGACATGCACCGCCGCTGCGACCGTGGAGTTTCTCAACCGTATTCGCAAGCTGTGATAGTGGACATTCGCATGTCATTCAAATTACAACTAGCATAATATATTCCGATCACGTCTCGGAGCAAATGTCTCGTTAGCCAGTAGATGCAGATGCAGGATGCATTGAGGGCAAGTATCAGAGATAAGTTATGTCTCTTCTCGTTTAACGCTTAACTCTTTGACTTGTCACAGCTTCGATATGTCTCGATCAATTATTAAAGAATATGGCCGTGGGAGACATTCCGGTCTTTTGTTATATTTACGTGGTAAAAAGAGGGAAAATTAGGTGTCCCCATTGGAATACAACAAAGACTGCGGGTTTCTACACTAGCTTCGAGCTTCATCGTTCACGGATAACCCAAGGTGGCTTATGCTATTAAAAAATGAGGGGAAGGCTTCCAAGTTGGGGAAGACGAATGAAGTGGAAACGGGAGAAAGGTAAGAGGTGTGGCTGTGATGTCTGAGCTTGAAGCTTGCTCTTGCGCAATCGTCATCAATCAGTCAAATTGGTCGAATTGACCAAAGCTACTAAGCCCGATTTTTCGCTATTTCGAGGAGCTTCCCGAGCCCGATCGAGCCCTGGCCAGAGGATGGTCCGAGTCCCACACCATCACTTGCAGCGCTCTCGAGTGACTTTGGTGGCTTCTTGGACGGACGCTGCTAGTCCACAATGACGGGCACCCTTCAAGCCCTTTCTGCAACTAAGGGGGAAGTGGGAAGAGGAGTGAGAGAGGCTAAGGTGGGCGGCGGGCAGTACCTAGGTCCTAGGCAAAACAATGTGGTAGCATTGTAGTAGCAAGCAGCAAAGCAAGCAAAAGCTTCCAGAGCTCCCGTCCGGCCCCCTCTCCATTCGCTCTATTCGCTTTTCGCATTCCCCCCAAGCTCCCCCAGCTACCAGCTTACCGGACCCCTCCCTCTCACACACACTCGACGCTTTGCTCCCCCCTTCCTAAGCAGAGCAGCCTTTCCCCAAGCACAACGGCCACCGTATCCCTCCTACCACCCCCAGCTTTCCCCTTTCCCTTCCTTTTCTCCTTCTCTTTTTCTCTCCTCCTTTCCCATCTTTTCCATCGAAAATCCATCCGATTTTCCCTCCTACTCATCAAACCACCGACTTGTTTCCCGGTCCCGCATAAAAAAGTCCCCCTCGACCCAATTCCAAGCTTTAAAACATGACTTCTCGAAAGAGGAAGCAAGACGAGGAGGAGGAAGAACTCGTCGCACTCCCCAGTGACGAGAGTGAAGAGGAAGAGGAATAGTAAGTTTTTTCTTCTTTGAACATCATCGTGGCTTGCCAAGACATTGTCCGAAGCTTCGCGATCTGGAAACATCGCAAGAATATCTCTTGTCGCAAAAGACGTGACGGCATCGCATGGATGTTGTGCATTGTCGCGCATATTGGCGCATTGTCGCGGACATTATATTCTCACTACAGAGTTGTCCGATTTCGTTGAAATTTCGACTTGGGGAAGTTGTACCAGGTGCTCTGAAGAACATTGGCTGATCCTTTACTCGACAGCATCTCGGAAGGCGAAGAGGATGAAGATGCCGACGATGCCGAGGAAGATGAGGAAGAATATGACGAAGCAGCCGAGCCAGAAGAAGAAGAGGAACATAGCCACAGCAATGGCAATGGCACTAGCAACGGCAATGGTGTAAAGCGTAAGTTGGAATTGACATGCCCTGTCTCTTCGCCATAGCTAATGAATTCAGACCCAAATGCAGCTGCACCAACCGAAGCTCCCCCGAAGAAGAAACTGAAGACGGCCAATGCTCCCACCGAACCTGTTCCTGTCGTCAACAATGGCGCCGAGGATGACGGTGAGGAGGATGAGTTTGACGAAGATGGCCTCGGGGAAGAGGATGAGCTCGAGGGCGAGGGCGAGGAAGAGGAAGATGGATTCGAGGATGAAGTTGAAGGTGAAGGCGAAGGCGACGAAGAGGAGAATGGTGTCGATGAACCTAAGAAGCTAGGCATCGATGTGGACGCGCCCGCCAAAGGAAAGGCCCAGGTAGCAACCGAAGTTGCCGCCAACGGTGAAGAGGCTGAGGATTAAACACCTCAGCATCTCACCTCGGGCAGCCCGGGCCAGAACATCAGGCATCCTTCCTATGCCTAATCCTCACACCGGGCCGAGATCGTGAGCCGCTCTAATTCCCGCTTGAGGCTCTCGTTTCTTCGCCACCGCCTATTTCGCATCCGTTCTCGCGTTTTGGAGGTTGCCTTTCCTATGTCTTCCTAGCTACATGTTTCCTAATCAACGGCAATAGAAGGATTCTTGTGTGAAATCTGAAGCACATTCCATGGAGAAGATCAGAAAAGGCACTGCCCTCGTTAAATCTCGATAGACTTTAGATATTGCAAGTCGTGATGCTATTCAACTTTAGTGACATATAGGTAGTCCTGGCGCTTCTGATCATCACATAGTAGTAACTCGCAATGCAAAACAGGGAAGTATTACGGCAACGGTAATGCATAAATTATACCTAAGTACGTAAGATACATAATCAAATAAACCGAGAAGTTAAATGAAGCATCGTGGACCGGGTTGCGATGCTCTTTTATGTCTCATCCATGCGCTTCCTCGATCTACCTACCCCACATCCCCACGCTTCTCTCCAGGACCCTTCGAGCGTTGACAGTTGTTCATCGTCTTCCGGTTGGTCGCACACACGACCGACCCGACCAGTGGATGCGGCCTAACGGGGAGTAAACGAACTGAGATTAGCGATAGAAAGGCACGCGACCCACTCGCGATGAGAGCTTAAGATGGGTTGGGTGGATGGGCTGGAAGTTGAGAGATAAGCAGATACCTACCTAGACGAATGAGTGCGGATGAGGCTGCTGGTTGGGTGGTGGTGTTGAATTTGGGCGTTTAGTACCTAGCTATTGAAATGCTACTCTTAACCTTAGATCGTTCGAAAATAGACCGCATTGGTTTTTCCAGAATTACCTACAAACCAGGTTTTTGGTGCGCAGTTTGCCTCATGTACACATCTGGGAATTTACTACTAAATTTGAGGTTTTACAAAAGGATTCTACCCAGCATCAATAGGACTTAGCACAAGATTACTGATGGGCTTATTCGAAACGAATGCGTTCACGTAGAAATTCATGAGCAGGTGTATTGAATAGGTACCTCGGTGGTTAGATCGCTATTTTATCAAGCATGAGCAAACATAGCACCCATTCTAATTGATGGTAGCTTGCTTTCTACAACACCTACCTACCACCTAGTTAACAATACGACTATCTACGAAATCGCCATACCATCAATGGTCGTATGGACTTGATAAAACATCCACTTTTCACTGCAGCTCAAGCCTACTAAATCTCCGGTTCCTTAATGTATGGTAAGTAGAACTGGGTATTCTAAGCCTACTACCAACAATGCCATACCTACATACATACTAAGGTATTTGGAAGGATGTGGCGCATGCTTGGGGACGTACCAGTATGACACCGCTCTTTACTTTCAACTAAGAATTCCTCGACATAAGTTGATACCGAGTAAATATGTGTATTTGATGGAAGGCATGTTCTAATTTCTAGATGATATCCAAGTGTGCAGTATGTATCTGTTAAACATTATCAGGTATTGATGTGCATTCCTCCAGTAGAAACCCGCGTCTACACACGCAAGACGCGGTAGGAAGAGGGAAAACAATGGCGGATGTGAAACAACGATAATCATCGACGTGATCTTAATACTACCGGTGGTGGTAGTGGGATGAATGACATAATGAAGATCTACCGGAATTGCATTCACTTGAAGAATGTTGAAGCAAGGGAGATTCCATCAGGTACAATCCAAAGTTGTACTACGTAGCTGTAGATTCCTAGGTAATTATGAGCGTGAGCAAGATGGCTCTACATAGTAGATGATATCCCAACTGATCGACGCCTTGCAGCTAATAGTCTGCTCCGGGGTGCATTAAGAGGTACAAACAAGTACATCTACAAAAGGCTACCTCGATTTATTAGTGCTATAAGGTATAGGGTGTCTCAAGTGAAGCTATTCCCCCCGAAGTCTTCGGCGGGATATCCCGGCAAAGAGACACGCAGTGCAGTTTACGCCGAGTGTGATATTATTATATAGCTTGCATTCCAGCCGTTTAGTTAAGCGCCCCCGCCGTTGCTAAGAAAAATTTACGAACTAATAAATGTCTCGGGGGAACCACGCAGCTGGTTTCACTAATTTCTTAGTGCCGCTCGTTTAAAGTGCTGTGGCTTTCGTACTTTTGATGTTGAGAAACGATGCCCAATCGCGTTTGAATGGTGCTCGGATTGAGACAATATGGTATTTCTGCATCTTCCAAGGTTGTGGGGTGTCTTCAGTAATAGAAAAAGTCGAGTATATCACTAATGCATGTGTAATTGACCCTATGCTGGTTTCACTGCTTAAAGAAATCCGTGGTTATGGGAAGTTGGTAGCTTTTGAACTGCTGGGTATCTAATCAAAAACGCCCCTTATTATGCTCTCTGATTGCCAAGGTTGTTATTCATATATCCTCATAACGTCTTCATCCTTCTTCGGCGTCCATGGCGTCGTGTCGTCTCTTGGCGGTTCTGCCGGCGTGACGGCCTCTCAGAACTGAACCCTTGTTACCCCGATCGTCCATCAAGTTTTTCATCTCGGTACGCGAGTGGCGTTGGGCTTCCTCAACGCGGGATTTGAAGACCATCACCTCTTCCTTGTCGGTCTCGTATTCATCTAGCTTCTTACCCAACGCGGCTTCAATCCGCTGATAGATCTCAATATCATACTGCGTGACTAGGCTGATGGCTTGGCCGGCATTGCCTGCACGTGCTGTTCGTCCAACTCGGTGAACGTATGTCTTGCCTACGTGTCCCAATTAGCTGACATGAAATTTGAGAATTGCATACATAGGTCGGATTGACTTACTGTCCTGGGGCAAATCGTAATTGAGAACGACATCGACTTTCGGTATATCCAAGCCTCGTGCGGCAACATCAGTTGCTACCAGAATATCGCGAGACCCAGACTTAAACTTATTCAGAGCACCTAAACGCGCGGATTGTGATAATTGTCCATGGAGAGGAATTGCGCCGAACCCTAGGAAGCGTAGCATAATTGCCACCCTCTGGGTTTCGTATACCGTTCGTGTGAATATGATAGTAGACCTACCAGTAAACTCGCTTGCAACAAGGAAAATCAAGTATGGGTCCTTGTGCATATGTGGGATAAAAATGTAGTATTGCTTCAAAGTCGAGACAGTTTGATACCTGTTGGTGTTGATACTGACACGCAGAGGGTCCCGCAAACTGGCCCTCTGCAAGCTCTCGACCTTTGAAGACATCGTGGCGCTGAAGAGGAATGTCCGCCTCTCTCTCGGCAGGAACTTTAGCAGTTTGTCAAGTATAGGACCGAAATCCATATCTAACAGTCGGTCGGCTTCATCGATGACTAAATATTTGGTGTTCGACAGCTTAAAGCCCTTCGTTTTCTCAAGGTGATCTAGCAGACGTCCCGGGGTAGCCACGACGATATGAGGCTTCTTTGACAAGGCGATGGCCTGAGGAACCATATCCAAACCACCGACAATAACGGCGCATCTCACTGATATGGAGGCACCGAGAGCATCTACTGCCTGGCCAATCTGGGTTGCCAGCTCACGAGTTGGGGCAAGTATCAGCCCAAAGAAGGCCGAGGGCTTCTCGAGAAGCGCTTGAAGGATAGGCAGGGTAAAGGCAGCTGTCTTTCCGCTGCCGGTTTCAGCGAGACCTATAAGATCCCTATTCTGTAGAGCGAGGGGGATCGATTGCGCTTGAATGGGTGTAGGATGTTTGTAGCCTAGTGAGTGACATGCTTCGACTAGAGGATCGACAATTCCCTACGGAACACCTTTATGTTAGAAGTATGCCTAAAGGTTAGAAGGGAGTATTGTTGCATACTAGATCCTTGAATGTCTTCGGAGCAGACTCGATGGTTGAACCCTCCTCAAGAGTCGCGGAATCGTGGGATTCATCATGAGTCTCGTGTGCCTCGGTAGCTTCTGCATTGGGCGACGTTTTTCTTCGTTTAGCGGAGGACATCTTGGATATATTTCCGGTGCTGTATGTGCTTGGTATATTGCGTGTAATAGTAGTTTCGTCGTATTTGTTGATGTTGCGTGAAGTATTGGGTTTGCGATTTGGATGCGAAAAAAGTGAATTACATCCCGCATCTGCGAAAATCCCGACCGCTTTCTTTTTTAGTGATCTTATCTTATCGCCGAGGAGCCCCACAAGGTATAGAGTACATGGCTGTAATCGAAGATTTCGCCGTTCGCACTAGTAGCCGATACTTGAGATCTGCAGATAAACTTTTTTTCTGCCCGATAAGAAAATAAAAATTGAAGCTTCTTCCAATCATTTGTGGCGCCCGTCGCAAGATTACATGAACATTGACTTCTTCACCATTGTTTAAAAATTTGGAGTCGCAAGTATACCAACAATGGCCAAGAGTCGAACGAAGAAGCGCACCCATGTGGGCGCCAATAACCCTAAGCATAAAGCCCCTCTGGTAGGCCGCTCGGCTATTCAAGATCCCAAGAGCATGGTTATTCGAATCGGCGCCGGCGAGGTTGGATCTAGCATTAGTCAATTGGCAAAGGATGTTCGTCAAGTCATGGAACCTGGTACCGCTAGCCGTCTAAAAGAGCGCCGCGCAAACCGTCTGAGGGACTATGTTACTATGACCGGTACTCTCGGAGTCACTCATCTCCTTCTATTCTCGCGATCCGAATCTGGCAATACCAATTTGCGCATAGCTACGACTCCACGCGGCCCTACACTACACTTTCGTGTTGAGAAATACTCGCTTTGCAAAGATGTGCGCAAAGCTCAGAGACATCCCAAAGGTGGAGGGAAAGAATATATCACACCACCTCTTGTAAGAACTTCCTGCACTGATTTTGTCCCGTAAATCGCTGACCACTGTCTTTACCTTAGTTGATCATGAACAATATCTCTACACCAGGAGCGGATGCAGATTCTAAAGTTCCGAAGCACCTTGAATCTCTCACCACCACTGTATTCCAATCTCTTTTCCCACGCATCAACCCTCAAACTACACCGTTAAAATCGATACGCAGAGTTCTCCTCTTGAATAGGGAACCTGCTAAAGACAAAGACGATGGATCGTTCGTACTTAACTTTAGACACTACGCTATTTCTACGAAGCCTGCCGGTGTTTCCAAGCCGCTTCGCAGACTAGATGCTGCGGAGAAGCTTTTTAGCGCTAAGAACCGAAAAGGCGGCGTTCCAAATCTGGGAAAACTGGAGGACATCTCCGAATACATGATAGGCGGCGAAAATGGAGAGGGTTATGTGACAGATGGTACTAGCGGAAGCGAAATGGACACGGATGCCGAGGTAGAGGTATTAGAGGATGCGCCGCGTAGAGTGCTCTCGGCCAAGGCCCGTGCGGCCAAGATGGAGAACGGAGATCAAGGTGCGGATAACGACGAAAGAGTAGAGCGGCGACGTGTCACCCTCGTCGAGCTCGGTCCTCGCATGAAATTGCGCATGACCAAGGTCGAAGAAGGATTATGTTCCGGCAAGACGATGTGGCATGAGCACATACATAAATCGCGACAAGAGATACAGGAGCTCGAAAAGCGATGGGAGCAGCGCAAACAAGAAAAGGAGGCTAGGAGAAAGGAACAGAAGGCCAACGTTGAGAAGAAGCAAAAGGAAAAGGCTGCGAATAAAGCTAAGAACGGCAAAGGCGGTGAAAATGCCGAGGAGGACGACGACGATGGCGACGATTATGACATGGATGGTAATAACAGTGATCTGTTTGATGAGATGATGGAAGAGGATGAGTTGGATAGCGAGGGATTAGCAGGTGATGCAGAAGAAGCAATCGGCGAGCAAATGGATGAGGATGAATGGGAAGACGAAAGGGAAGAAATCGCAGACGAACACTAAACTTTCCTATATCTTCAACGGGATCTAAATACCCCACATAGGTATGGAGTTCGGCGCATTGCATTGATGCTGTGTAATATCACGCCTTCTGCCGGATACTCAACGGACTTTTACTCGGTGAATGAAAATACCACGAGGTACTGATACGCTTCAAATCGTGCGAAAGTCAGGGATCTTGGGATACTTCTGCTCTCACTCCCATATCTAGACCGGAAAGGCCATTAGGTAGAGTGAGCTAATCTTACAGGCTCAGGTGTTGACAGAAGCAATTCGGTTCCCACGACGTTGTTCATTTGATCTAGGACGGTGGGTTAAGTAGAAAGGGGCCGTGGCGCACGCATACGGCTTTGTTCCAGGGGTAACTTTTATATCTGACCTACCTAGTTGAAGATGGAAAAATGTAAAACCTGTCTCATTCCTGGGCTTCCTCCCCTCTTATTCCAGAACCCTATTAAACTCTCCTATGCGTAGTGTTAAGCTGCCTCTTAGGCTTTAGGGGTAGGTAGGTTTATAACTGTTATGGCTTTAGAACTCAGGTAAAGACGTGGTAATGTGGGTTGGCGGATTCACTCTTATCGGCCACCCTTGGGCCTAAAATTGGAGTTTGACTCGTTGAAGTATTTAATATTTGATTTCTGGTTCAAATTACTCCTACCTATTCACCTAGCCAAGGGGTAAAATTATGAGGAATGTGATTCTTCGCAAGACAGCCTCAACGCAGCGCTATCCTCTGGCTTGGAGGAATAAAATCTCTAAATAGAGTCCTAGGTAGGCACATTCAAGTTATGACTATGATTTTTCCCTCTCGACTTTCTAAACTCCACACAAAGCTTCCACGATATCCCAGTGAACATTGTTGAAGGCGCCCAATATGGCTCTGAACATCTACTGGACCGGACTGTTGATTCTGTTGCCTATAGTGGCTCTCTTCATTAGCCATAAACTTATCTTACGACTAATCCGAGTCAAGAAGCCGAAGAAAGAGGTGGTCTCTCAAAATGTGGAAGCTAAGAAATTTCGTAGAATATTCTTACGTGTCTACCTAGTTGTGATGGGATCTGAGTGGCTTCAGGTGAGACGAGATGATTCAATTTCGATGGTTTAAGCTCACCCTCTAACCTAGAGCCCGTATCTCTATTCGCTGTTCCGGGACGAGAAGGGATTTGATGAACGGACAGTTGCGATTCTTTATGTCGCTACATATCTCTCTGCAGCAGTTTCGGCGTTTCTCACGGGCTACATGGCTGATAAACTTGGTAGAAGGACGGCGTGCTTGATATTCTGCGGAATCCATTCACTCGCGTCCATATCTGTCAAGTCCAACGACATCAGAATTCTAATAGCGGGGAGAATATTGGCTGGGATAGGGTTGAACCTTCTCTGGACCGTTTTTGAAAGTTGGATGATAACCGAGTACAAGTCAAGGAAGCTCGATCAGAGCTCATTCCCTTTAAGTGCTATGTTTAGTACAATGACCAAATACAGTTGTATGACAGCAATCATTGCCGGGGTTATAGGCTACTGCATCGTCTTGGTCTTGGGGTCGAAGACTGACACGTTTATCGTCAGTGCGGTGAGATTTATTCCTCACAAGTTTATTTTCTTCGTTCCACGACTGATTTCACAGCAGGTCTTAGACGTTTGCGCTGTCCTGCTTATGCTGTGGACGTGGAACGAGAACAAGGGAACGAATAGCGGCGACTCTATCCCGAGCGAAGAAGAGGGGCTTAAGAACGACACAACCGATGACACGATTTCTAAAAGGACGACAGGGAACTTGAAAGACGCGAGGGTCTGGGTGCTTAGCTTCGCGTCGTGTTGCTTCGAAGGCGCCATTTTCATCTTCACATTTTCTTGGCCTGGGACTTTACAAGCGGCACATGAAAAGGCATACCCAGGAAACAGCAATGTGATTCCATACGGTGTAATACTCGCCACGTTCATGGCTACGATGGTTCTTGGTACGATGATATTCGGCTTCTTGACTAGAAAGGTAAAATCGGATACATCAGAAGAAGTCACCGTCCTTGGCGCCATTTTTCCGACATTGTTACTTGGTACAACATTCTTCGTGGGCGCATTGAGCTTCTTTGTTGCTGCGTTCTCCAAGACGGAGTTTCATTCATATTTGGCGTTCTTACTGCTCGAATTATGTAATGGGGTGTATATTCCAAGCATGGCATATCATCGGGGCCTGGTCGTCAGCGATTCTAGGAGAGCCATGACATACGGGTTGATGAATATTCCATTATTCATCTTTGTCGCGATTGCGATATATGCTACTAGCAGTAGTGGAGGTGAGTTTACCTTAGATGTTTCAAGAAGATGAATAACTGACAAGGCTTAATATATTAGAACAGCGACAGACATTGTTCGCATCATCGGCTGTCTTGCCCCTAATTGCAGCTTTAGCTGTTGTCCTGGGGTTTGGTCTTCCGAACATCCGTTCAGGATTCTCGCAAGTTAAGACGGACGAAGCCGAGTCGACGGAGAAGGATGTATTGGAAGTAGAAGATACGAAATAATAAAGATGCATATACTACTTTAATGGCTGACCCCTTGACCCCCTGACCCCTGATTCTTCTCGTAGCGGGGTGGTGGTAGATAGGTAATGACTTAATCTCTTGGAGCTTGGAGCTCAGATTTTCTCTTCTACAACATTATTGTCTGCTCCCTTTTTATGATCACCATTCAATCATGAAGGAAGCTTTCCCCATCGTCGATGACTTTTGAAGAGAATTTTCATGCTTATTGTGCGATCTCCTATAAGAAATATGACATTGCAAAGAAATAACAACACCAATCCCACTCGTACATTTGGATGAACATCCCACAACCCCTACATAACCAGTAATATTCCCTTGGATCCCAAATATCAAATTAGATTATAAGAGGTTTTAAGAAAAAATTTAAGTGATATTTCATTAAATCAAGATTCAACGTCGCTAACTTCTACCTCCGTCACGGTAACAACGGTGCCAATCTTGTCCATGACATCAATGGTGGGCGGAGACGTTAATTCCGAGTCGGGCTCAGAAGGAGTACCGGAAGAGCTAGGCTGCTCAGGCGACAGAATGGGACTACCTGTTGTATTTGGCGAGGAGCTTGTCGTCTGTTCTGGTGTCTCCATCTTAGCAGCTGCCGGTGTTGGAGCCTCTTTCGATGCTGAAACGGCCTTCTCTGGCTGCAAGCTGGGCATCTTATCGAGTGCTGTCTTGACTAAGTCGGCAATAGTGCCACCTCCCAATATCTTGAGCGTAGGTACATCGACCTCTAATTCTTTAAGGAACCAAGAGCGGATGTCGACAGCTACTAGCGAGTCCACGCCCTGCTCCATAAGGGTGAGCGAATCGGCAACTTTCTCTTCCTCGGGGATGCGGAGCATGCGCTTGAGATGCGATAGGAATGCGTCGCGGCTGATTGCGTACACCTCATCTTCACTCTTGGCGTCCTGTAGCTGCACCTTGACGCGCACACCGGCCTTGCCTCCCTGCGTCTTGGCGCCGCCGTTGGTGTCCTCGTGTAGGACGAAGTGGCTGAATCGGACATCACGCTTGTGCGCCTCTCTGACATTTAGATCCGCAGGGACGTAGTTGACGCCCATGGCAACTTGTGCTTTCACCTCGGAAGACTGTCCGGGGCGACCCGAGAGAACGGCCTCCGCGAAGAGAGTGTGTAGGTCTTCCTCGCCGATGTTGATATAGCCGATCGACTTTATATAGTCGAAATCGAAGGTGTCAGAGTGCGCTGCGTATCCCACGCCAAGGACGGCGGGAATGCTGATGGTAGATCCGGGAACTCCACGCTTACGTCGGTTGCACATGAGGGAGCTCATGTAATCGTTGGCGGACGCATAATTGCTCTGGCCACTCCATCCGATGACGGACGAAATGCTGGAACAACAGATGAAAAATTCAAGCGAGGTATCGTCGTAGAATAGCTCGTCGAGGAGCTGCGCGCCTAGTACCTTTGGCTTGGCTACGCGGACGAACTGTTCATGCGTCATGTTGCGCAAGATTTCGTCGTCCAGGATCATGGCGCCGTGCATGAGACCACCAACGGGTGGAAGCGTGGCTGTGATGGTCTTGTGGACGGAGCGAAGGGATTCGGGTGAGGTGATGTCAAGTGATACGCTCTTGACAACAGCACCGTGTTGTTTCTCCATATCTTCAACGAATCTTACGTTTACCTTTGGTGTACGACTTGTGAGGACCACGTAACGAGCTCCGTGCTCTATCATCCACCTCGCAAGCGATTGCCCAAGCTCACCTGCCATGCCTACGAAGAGGTATGTCCTATCGGCACGGAATAAAGTCCCTGAGTCAATTGCTTGTACCTTAGCAGTCACAGGGTGCTTAGCAGTCCAATCTAAAACTGTCAACGCCTCTCCGACGGCTGCGTGATTGGATATATTTTCAAGTGAAATGGGCTCGACCGTATTTGAACTCGATACGCGAACTCCGTCCCATGCTTTCTTCAGGGGCTGGGCCAAGTTGGTCTCGGAGAATGATTTGGCCTCACGGCCTATTAAGGCTTCCTCGGAAATTCTAACACACGCTGGAGGCAAATAGTCCACAAGTACGTCCCTGACGGCATCCGATTGAGTGCCGCGAGAGAAATGAATGAAGACGGCGGTTGACGTTGGGACTAATGATCGGATAACGTGCTGCGGGAAGTGAGGGTGGAGAAAGATCGAGTGACTGTTCTTCTCTTGTCCTAATGTGGCGGTTGTGAATATCGTCTTGATATTCTTGAAATTTGCCTTGGCTTGTAATGCGAATTGCACTGCCGAGTCTGCTTCATTAACAAGCAGAGTGGCCCCTTTAGGAGTGAGCGACAAGATTTGCTCGGCAACGAGGTTCGCAGCAACTGATGCGAGTGTTGAAACTGCTGGTATTTCAGGGAGTGCGATGCAGTTATGCGCTGGGATGTTCGCAGGGGACCTATTGGAACTGGATAGAGCAAGAACCACGTCGCCATTCTGGACGTCGACTCCTACGCACAACCTGAAGAAGCCGGCAGTGCCGACAGCAACGCTTTGGAGTAGTGAATGGGTGATTCTGACGGTGCGGTATTGTGTCACCGGTATTTGGTTGTGGGCTAAGGGGGATACCTTTCGTAATTCTAAAGCCTGGTCTTGGTCCTGTCCAGTTCCTACGAGTTCAAGAGCCTCCCTGGTAGGGTTGACTGCCGTAAGGACGTCCCTCCTTCGAGCGTTATATCGCTCGTTCTTCTGCGTGTCGGGTCTGAGTCTCGTAATAAGTTGCTTGCCCTCACTGACGAAGACTTGGGACTCTGTAGACCACATTAGGTCGTTGTCGTCACCCCAGCGGCGAAGAGCAAGCTGCCTCAGTAACATCTGCGCCAGGTCATCGGCTGTGCTGTGCTCGATACCAGTGTTTGGGTCTAGGTCATAAGTCTGAGCTGTCATGGTGGGATACTCCGTCTTAATTGTGTTGATGAGACCTGTCATCATGTATTGGTATGGATTATCCTCTCGCGAGCCCTGTGTCAGCCAGACCAAGGTGCCCGCAGCAGCGAATAACGTCTTTAATCCTTCAAATTTGGCCTTTGTGAGGTTCTTCAGGTAGGGCTCATCTAGGTCTGTGAGGGAGAGGACGGTAATTGCTGCTGCATTGGCCATTGCGGAAGAGGCGAACTCTTGGATGGTGTTGAAGAAATGCTTGTTGCGAAAGCGGTATGAAAGAATGTCGCTGATGTCTCGGCCAAGTTTGTTGACGGAGTACGTGCTTCCCCCGATAATGGCAAGATTATCGGTGTTTATACCCTCAGGATGCTTTTCGACAGCTAGAGGATTACGTAACATTGAAATCTTGTCGTCTACCGCCTGGGCAACGAAGACGCTGAAGGGTAGCGACGCGCTGATGTCCGGCGTGACCGTGTCAATTCCTGCAAACCCAGTATTCTTCAACGTGGAATCCCACTGGTTTAGATTAAGCAACGGACCCCAAGTACGACCTGTTTCGGCCCCAATCCACCAGCCAGGTAGGGTCCCGACTGTCACGCCAGTGAATAGCAAATCGGTAGAGGTGAGCTCGCCAACGACCAAGAATCCACCGGGTTTCAAGAGCCGACGAACGTTGGCCAAAGTATTTTCCTACAAGACAGAGTCAATACGTTGCTAGAACGGTCTTTAGGGGCTACGATGATCAACTTACCATATCGACTGAAACGTGCAGCACATTGACAGCCACAACGACGTCGTATTCTCCCTCGACGTATCCTTGCTCCGCCGGCTCTTTTTCCATATTGAACGTCTTGAACACCATGCGGTTTGTCTGTTTTCCGAACCGCTCTTCGGCGGCCATGAAAAAGCCACTGGAAATATCCGTAAATGTGTAAGAGGCATAGGCGTCGCCGATAGAACCTAAGATCGCAGAAGTAGTAGCTCCAGTGCCAGCTCCAACTTCGAGGATGTTAATTCCTGGATAACGGGAGGAGATTTGGCTGAGGATACGAGCCAGCCAGCGGGTTGTAGGTCCGGCACAGAGAGCATTCTCCTCGTAGAACGCGCGGAGCATGTCATCCTTGTTCATGTATTCTAGCATCGAAGTCCCTTCGCGAATAACATGCTCCAAGTTATCGCCGACTGCTTGAACGAAACGGATATCTAGACGATCCTGGTATTGGGCTAAGAGGCGAGTGATATCCTCGTAGGTATCCGCATTGCATACGGCAGACACCTTGGGAAGCTCGCCGCGGCTAACCATGCCTACCATGCGGTCACACCATTCCAAATAATGCTGATAGTGTGGGAGGAGGCCCTGACGCTCCTTGGCGGGAATGGCCTTCGAGATATTGCGAGCGTACCAGTAAGAAATGCGATCAACATCTTTGTAGACTTGAACCTCATAAGGTGTTAACCTCTCTCCCGCTGTCGAAAGTTCTCCGTCAGGCGAGGCAACAGTATACTGGAAGTTAGAGAACATGGGCAAGTCATCCTTGGAGCTGGCCGGGCTGAATGGTACCATTGTTGCGCCCTCCATCTGCAAGAACGCGTGTGAGCCATCGTCGGCATTCAAATAGATGTCTCCTACGATCTTTGAACGGTCCTTGCTTCGAATGTACGTCTCGAACTGCATAGTTCCCTGTTTACCACCGTCGCCTAGTGGAGTGTAGTACGGGTTGATGATGATAGCGGCGATGGAAACAGGGACATGAAGTGACCAAATCTGCGGGTCACCTGGATAGGCCCAAGCCGCAAAGACTGTCTGCAAAGCCGAATCTAGCGTTCCGGGGTGAAGGACAAGATTATCCTCCCACGCCGACCCGGATTGGTCGGATAGGGTGCCTACACCGTAGCCGAGTTTGCGGCGGAGGTCCGACAGTCCTTGGAATGGCGGCGAGTATCCGTATCCAACGCCAGAGAGGTTATCATAGAAATGCTTCCCGTCAATTTCGACCAAGTCATAGATATCATTGGCCTTGGTGAGAGGAATTTTGTCTGGCTCGGGTGTAGAAAATTGGCATAGAACTCGCCCTTTGGCGTTTAAAACGGTGTTACCAGAAAGAACTGAATAACAAGCCCATTCGGCGGATATCGCCGCCTCTGTCGTATCGACCGAAGAGACGCTGAAAATGGTCTCGACGCTGGAGTCGTCATCGTCGAAAGTGATGGCTCGACCAATCTCTACATCGTTCAGTTTCAAGACGCCGATCGGGGTATCGGGTCTGTTATCAAGGGCAACAGCTTTAATGGCTTCAGTCGCCATGCTAACATAGCCCGTAGCGGGAAATACCGTTTGTCCCTGTAGCATGTGGCCTTTAAGCCAACCGATTTCCTTCTGCCGCAGGACATTGCGCCACGAAATCTCGCCGGGAGTGTTCGCTTCTGCACAGCGCGTCCCTAGAACGGGGTTGGGAGCATGGGAGATCTTGCGATTCTTGAAGTGGTTGGCGACCCGACTCTCCGTCCAGTATGCCCGGTGGTGCTCGAATGGGTAAGGTGGGAGGTCATCAATAACGGTCTTATTTTCGTTGCCGGATAGAAGGGTTTGGACATCAGAGAATTGCACGCTGTCGAAACCGAGCTGAGTCCAGACGTAGCCTAACCCTGCACTTAGCTGCTCGATGTCATTCTGGCCTCTGGAGAGCAATCCGGTGTAAGGGATGTTGCCGATTGTGGCCATAGCAGGTCCTTTAAGAGCGGGGTGAGGGCCAACTTCGATAGCAAGGTCGAAATCTCCAACTACTTGCGTAGCCTGCGCAAGGGCCCCAGCAAACAGAACGGCGTTGCACATATTGTCCGCCCAATATTGCGCAGAAAGTTTTTCTTGCGTCATGACTTCACCCTCACGCACACTAGAAAACCAGGTAGTACCGTGGACATCGTCCTTGGGAGCCGTGAACCCGGCGCTTTGCAGGGAGGCAAGATACGGGCCGGCAGAAGTATTCATGTGTGCGCTGTGGTAAGCCGTATCAACCTTCAGCTTCCGCGCAAACGTATTTCGGGACTTGAAAAACTTCTCGGCTTCGTCGACGGCGTCCTCGTCGCCGCTTAACGTAATACTGGAACTCGAGTTCACGGCCGCAACCTGCAGCCGACCTGCGAAGTCCGCGGCGCATACGAGACGAGCTTCGTCTTCCGAAGTACCTACGGCTATCATAGCACCCCGAGGGCGATGCGGGTTGGGGCTCGAGGCGAGCTTCGCGTGGACGCCGCGGAAGTACGCGATGCGGATGGCGTCCTCGGCGGTGACTAGGCCGGACGCGTAGGCGGCGCCGATTTCGCCGGATGAATGGCCGACGACGGCCGTGAAGGAAATGCCAGCCTCGCGCAGGATGTCGACTAGTATTACTTGTACAGCTGTGCATAGTGGCTGGGAGAGCGCGGCTTCTGCGATGCGCGACGTCTGCTTTCCGGCGAGCAGCTGGTCCTTGAGAGTCCAGGTCGGTCGGTCTTCCGGGTTAGGCAGGCTTTGCAGAGACGCGTCTAGGTCGTTAATGCGCGATGCGGCGAAAGGAGACGATTCGATGAGCTCGGCGCCCATGCGCGGCCACTGGGCTCCCTGGCCGGTGAAAACTCCTAGGATCTTGGCTCTTTGGGGTGTGCTGTACCGGGTGCTGAGATCGGCTGCGTTGTCGCTAGCAAGGTCCTCCAGGGAGTTAATCGCTCCCTGGACGGTCGTGCCGGCAACGGCTTTGCGATAGGTTAGCGTGGAACGCCGATGCTGTAACGTGTACGCGACGTCCGCGAGCGACGCATTTGGATTCCCCCTTAGGTAGTCAAGATGCCACGATAACATGTTCCGGAGCGCTGCCTCGGAATGGGCGGAGAATGTTAGCGGTGTGAAATGGAGGCTTGAAGATGCCTCGACTCTGGCCTTGGGGATTGGAACATATTCTTCTAAGATGGCGTGGGTGTTCGTGCCGCCGAAGCCGAAACTGTGATGTGGTTAGAATTTACAGATTCAGACTTCAGAGTTGAGGTCAGGGCTAGGGTTGGACCTACCTATTGACGCTGGCCCTCTTAACCTTGCCATTTTCAGTTGGCCAGGCTACAGGAGTAGTAGGAATAGCGAGGTTTCCGAAGAACGGCGCTACTTTAGGATTCAAACTGTGAAAGTGGAGGTTAGGAGGGACGATGCCGTTCTTGAGCGCCAACGACGTTGCAATGACACTTGCTACTCCGGCCGTTCCTTCGGTGTGACCGATAACTGTCTTGATTGAACCGACTAGCATCTTGTTCTCACCGTTAGCTACTGGAGAGCCAGAAGGGAAGAAAGCTGTTGATATCGCGTTTGCCTCTTGCGGATCGCCAGCCTGAGTGCCGGTGCCATGGGCTTGAAAGAACTGCGGCCTGTCCTGAGGATTATTCACAGGGTCAAGGCCGACTCTCGCGTAACAGTCCCGGATCAGCTGTGCCTGCGCCGAGCTGCTAGGCATGGTGAGACCGGGCGTTCGACCGTCTTGGTTGACGCCGGTCTCGCGAAGGATGCACTGGATTGGGTCGTTGTCCGCGAGTGCTTGGGATAGCGTCTTAACAAACACTGCCGCGATGCCCTCACCGCGGGTATAGCCATCTGCAGATGTATCCCACATGGCACAACGACCGCTAGGGGAAAGCATGCCGAGGCTGGCTTCGTTTATATGCATGACTACCCACCCTTTGGTCAATATCAAGCTTTTGACGTTATAGATGTGGAGGGGTCACATACCAGGGGTCAGAATCAAATTAGCGCCTGCCGCCACCGCCATCTTGGATTTACCGCTTCGGAGCACTTGCACAGCCTGATCCAAGGCAACCATACTGCTCGAGCAAGCCGTATCTACAGTCATACTGGGTCCGTGCCAGTCGAAGAAGTACGACAGTCGGTTTGCTAGGATACCCCTTTCCACACCTGTTACGGTGTAGCGAGGAAAGGTTTCCCAATCGCTTGTAAGCATCGATTGATAGTCGTCACACATCAACCCAACGTATACCGCCGTGTCGGAGCCACGGAGCTTCTCCATGGGTTGGCCCGAGGCGCAGAGGCCATCGTATACAACTTCCATCAGGATTCTCTGTTGCGGGTCCATGGCTTCTACCTCAGCCGGCTGGATGTTGAAAAAGCCGGCATCGAACTGAGCTACGTTGCTTCGCTCCGAGTCTTCTAGCCAGTAGGACTGGGTGGCATTCGTGGTGCCATGATGGGTACCGACCGGGTGGTAGAAAGCGTCCACGTCGAAGCGGTCTGCTGGAGGCTTCTTGCTCAGATCCTCGGGGTTACGAAGTAACGACCAGAGCTTGGAGGGAGTGTCGGCGCCCCCGGGGAAGCGGCATCCAAAGCCTATCACTGCGATGGGTTCTAAGAGCGTATCAGCCATTTTTGCAAGATTTTTCGAGTATGGACTGGTGGATAAAGCAGTAATCGAAGATGTGGCAATAAGTGGCACGGAAGGAACTCAGATGCAGAAGTGTGAGACAGAGTTGATGTTGTTGAAGTTGTACTTGGAGTTGGACAGAAAGGATGAGCTCTGTTGAACGGAGGTAAGTGACCTGAAACAGAATGAGGCCACCCAACCTTGAATATAACCATCATGAAAGTTCGCGCTCATAGATTAGAAATGCAGATTCCATGCCTCGACAATGGTTTCCGTTCGGAGAATGTGATGAGCTCAACACGTCTAGAGTGTAGGTAGGTGTCCGAAGAGATACGATATGACGCGTAGCCAAGGATTGGGTCAAGATTCGGAGCTAAGTTGATACTTTGATATTGAGGCTGAGGCTGTTCAGAGCTGATACAGCCTACAGCTCTCTAGCAAGCGCAAGGCTAGATACAGCGAAAGTTCCCTACCTGTACCGGAACCAAGCTACGGGAAAGAAAGTCTCCGAGAGTCCACAAAGAAATCCGGATGGATCTTATTACTAAGATAAGGCGAACGAATTATCGGAATGTGGTGATATCCCATGCTTACGTGCTGGGGAGGATTCTCCGAACAGCCTCTTTTGGCCAGATACGAAATGGGCAACTTGTCGGCGACCAATGAGTCTCAACTATACTACGAGAGCTGATATGTTGCAATGCATATCTTGGTGCCGTATGGAGGTTGTTGGTGTTCCATGTGCCTTAGCTCCACGTGGGTAAGAAAAGTGCCGTGCCCCTTCCTTGATGCATTAATCCCTGCTCTAATAGTCCTAGGTAGATAGAAGTGATGGGATATGTATCTTCGGTCCTATTTGATATCATCAGAAACCTTGATGTCGCACAATACTTAGACCCGTGCAGTCTACTCCAGAGATTTGGTAACCTAGATAGAATACCTAGGTAACTACCTACAGGCATCATTTGACTACCTACCTAAGCTCGAGTCGGTAATAAGTCTACGCTAAATTTAGTATGTGTACCTAGGTAGGTATAGTATAACTACCGTACCTAGTCCTTTGAAAATTTTTTGATGGTAAAATACGCAAGAATAGAGTTATGACCATGATCTTGTTGACTCTTACTAACTAACCCCTTAAAATCTACCATGCTATAATATCCCTGCTCATTCTATTTCCCTGTCATATTATCGCTGTCTAATGCTTGTTGGAAACCCTGTAAACCGTTCTGCTATTCAATTGCCTCAAATGCCCAATTACTCTATTAAATTACATCTTGACTTGAGTCTTTGCTCGGAGCCTCTCACCGAACTTGTAGAACAAGATCGGTCCCGGGACAAAAGCCAGCGCAAGGAAACCCAAGAGCGTGTTGCCCCATCCATATCCAAGCCTGTCGTACATTGGAGGCCCAGCTAATGGTAGAAATGTACTAGCCATGCTTCTCAAAAGATTGTTTGCGCCTAAGGCTGACGCAGCTCCCGCGGACCCAAACAGGTCAATAAGGTAGAGCTGCGCAGGCATCTGAACATCAATCAGGAGCTGTTCTTGTATGGTATCTTTGGGGATCGATAGAATGTAGTCACTTACAAGTACGAAATAAGCACCGAAGCCGGTGATAAAGGTGCCGATAATAGGTACGATCCAATGTACCTTGTATTCGGTTGTCCATCCGTAGAGAAATAAGCCAAGGCCCACAAGGGGACTGAAGGCTATCATAAGGAGCAGGCGATACTCCGGTCGGGGCTGCTGTATGCCCTCTTTCTTCATGCGGGAAGCTTGGATGCGATTACTCACTAGAGTGAATGTAGCCATAGCCGCAAGAAGAGCGACGCCAAGCCCAAGGTAGGTCAATCCGGAAACGGTTGTGGTGAATCCATACTGTCCCTCAAATACAGGAACGAATGTAGTAAACAGCAAATACAAGGTGCCGAACACCACTGCAACATACAGGGAGATAACAAGTAGAATAGGAGAGCGGAACAAGAGCATTGTAGGACGCACGAGGGCCTGGATGAGGACCTGTTGGGGTGTGACGTTGGTCCGGGTGAGCTTCGACTCTAACTTAAGATTACCTGTCGCAACTCTGAGGCGGTCAACCTTGCGCTCGAGGATGATCTTTGGGTGAGTTTCACGCATGAATATAATACAGGCGATTTCAACGGTGCCACCGAGGATGACGAGAAACCAGAAAGTCCATCGCCACCCTGCGCCGCCTGCAATGAAGCCACCAAGCAAAGGGCCGAGAACCTAAGAATTAACACGTTGTTAGCAATAGGCAGGATAACGGGGATAGGTATACAGGCATTAAACACTTACAGGTCCTGTAAGAGGCCCTAAGCTAAATAAAGCCATCGCTGTGGCCCTCTCCGCAGGCGCGGTGAGATCGGCGATTGTACCGCCACCAAGGGCCATTGGAACACCGCCCATTGCTCCAGAGAAGAATCGGAATACCATGAACTGCGTAGTTGATTGGCTTAGAGCCGTACCAAGGAGGAAAGCTATGAATCCGATGACAGCTCCATGGTATACCGGTAAGCGCCCGTACACCTCACTGAGTGGTGAGATGAACATAGGGCCCAAAGCTAAGCCAAGGACATAGATGGTGATAGCTAAGGTGCTTAAAGTATCCGACGTGATACCGAATTCTTGGACAATTTGGCTAATGCCGGCAGCGCAAGTGGTTGGGCCCATATTCCTGAAGAAAGAGTATGACATTAGCTGGAAGCTCAAGGATAGCGCAAGGCGAAGAGATACTTACGTTACTAACGCCAGCAGCGACACTAGAACGATATGTCGCCATTTCTTTCCGCTTGTCCAGTCGTGCGGATTGGAAGGGTCATTCAAATCCCAATCAATGACGTTGTCCGTCGCTGGAACGTCGTTAACTGCGACTGGAGCGGATGCTTTCTCCAAGTCTGATTCTGCATTGGATGACATAACTTAGGTTGATAGCTTTAGATGGGATATATCATGAACTGAAGAATTGGATAAGACTCAGGATTTAGACTTAAGATCTGTTCCAAGGACTGAACGTTTGTAGGATGATGAAAATGAATACCTACACATCGTACATGGTAGTAAACCACACTAGACAGGGCACCTTTAAGATAGAGCATCGTAGACAAGTCTTAAAGGGGATAAAGGACGGAGATTGGAATCCCACCCAGCACGACACTTGTTCGTCCATGGGGCAATCGCGTGTTGTCCCCCATTCTCGGGTTATCGAAGTGAAGGTTACAATCGATATCCCTGATACGCGTTGTTCTAAGTGATTCAAGCTACGGAGATGGAGCGGACGGGGTGAACGGAGTTTGCGTTGTAGACGGAGGGTCCATGGACGGAACGGTGCGGGGCACGGGAGATAGATGGAAAATAGGGGGGAGGGCTACGTGGGGCAGTCACGTGATCGGAGGATCGATGGATCCTCCGTGTGCACCACTTTTTTGCACGTATGCACCGTAAGCATGCATTAGGCGTTGGTAGAACACTCATGTTGGTAGGTATGAAGCTGATTGCAAAGTTTAAGTACTTTCCCAGCTAAGTATAGGGTTTAAACTCAAATACACTTAATACCCATAATAAAGCTAAGCTTGAGACTTTATTTTGACCCGTCACTTTCTAGGTACCTAGATACATAGAATAGGGGCTCGGTGCATCTATTGGGATTGCAGCATCGTAACAATCTGGGCACCTAGGTAACAAAGGATCAAGGCGCGACAAAGGAAAGGAAGCAAGTAAACAGCATATGTACCTAACCACTAAAATTCGCATGTGCCAACCTTGCCCCTGTATTACAGTATGCCATATGGATTCTAACCATACATGAAACGATCTTGTCGTGATTTACGACGAGAATACTGATATGGCAAAACCAGTTACAAGCGCTGTGCCAATTCGCAAGAGTGTTGTAAATAGGATATCACCATTTCTCTACCACGCACCTCACTTATCAGAAGTTGAAGCCGAAACTACCTGGGTACCTAATATATCGGGTGCATAAATATTTCCGTGTAAAGCCAGAATTGGAATTCAGCTATTCCCACGAACCCTCGAGGGCGTAGATAAGTGAGAACACTACATTAGCGAGTAAGGTGCCATAGTCTCATCTTTAATGGTACTACGTGATGCCCAGGCGTTGGTTGAGCATTAAACGTGTTCCATGTTCTCGGTTAATGATTACAGAGTACATACGGCCCGTACAGGAGTAGTTTGGTTGGCCGGCGTTTACGGAGGATACTATTAATAAGCCACTATGTGGTTGAATTGTGCTTTTCAGGACTCCTGCCCATGTTCTCGGGTAGTACGGCGACGCGGCTAAGGCAATCGGATCTTTTAAGCTCATCTTATACCACGTGTATTGCCACGCTCTCTTAGACAAGGATCATAAGCCTCATACAGGTCTGTTGGTAAGCTAGGACATCTCGAAATCCCGAAACATGATCTAGGACTGGCTGACTGCCATTTTGAAAAGTAACGACTCGGCTCGTATGTCAAGGATTGGCAACGGTTGTCATTATCTTGGATTCGCTGATTACTACGCATACCCATAGGATGATGCTGAGGCAATCAGTCCGCACACATAGCCGAATCCTAAGCCCGTCACCAACACTTAGACAGGAACAACGCAGCGAATCATCCTCGTATCTGGAGTGACACAAGACTGGTTCTAGGCACGGTGGGGGACGGGGCTTCGAACTGGGAAAAGGATAGCTAATTTATATCTCGATTCCGCCACAAGGCGTTTGCACGACACGAGAGGGCGGACTGTTCAAGAATTGACCCTGGTATTTTTACAATTTGTCCTTTCTTACCTAATTTCTCCTATGTGTGCACATATTCCCCCATTATTGCTGCACTGTAACCTACCTGTACCGCCTTATATACCTAAACCAACCATCATAACTGCATCGTTAGCAGCGGATCCCACGTTTTGCAACACCTCCCTACCTAACGCATCTTTTGCCATGGAAACACCCAATGCCCCGCTGCGTGCGTCTTGTGATAGATGCCGGGCTCAAAAGCTCCGTTGCGTTCCATCATCTAATACGGATTCTACCGCGCCTTGTATGCGGTGCTTGAGGTTGAAAACTCCCGTCATGTGCACATTTAGCCAAAGACTGCAAATGAGAAGAAGCAGGAAAAATACCAATAACAGCGACTCCGAGACCCGGCCTACTCACCGTAAGGAGAAAGAAAAACCATCGTTGCCTGGAATGGGTACATTTGTGTTGCCCGGGCCTCCGTCTCCGGAATCGCATCAATCTCTTCATTCGCCGCGAATTGATACCAAAGACTCCACTCCTGAGACAGACGGAGACACCCCGATGATCACCCCGGAACAGGAAATACCGGATTTCTGGTCACACGAATCCGCCTTACTTCCAGTTGGCGAGCCTCCTGAACCGGTAGATGGTACCCTAGGAAGCTTTCCAGAATATTACAATTTCGATCTGGCTAATTTGGATACACCGGAGTTCCTGTCCGAGCTAATCGGTGCTTCTGACGCGATTCCGGCCAACGTGGATTTTAATTTCGACATCGACAAGCTGACCTATGAAAATTCCGCCAACCCTCTAGTTGATCTCAGTGGGCTGCTAGCTGAAATGTCCAGTTACGGGAGTCAATTGCTCAAGTTGGCCAGCTGGGACCGCGACAATTATCCGATTGGAGACGCAGTGTTGTTATGCCAGCGTTTTCACACCATTCTTTTCGGCTATGCCTATTCTGATGCAACCACGGCGGCCCAGAATAAGGATATGCCTACAGACCTACTAATAATTTCATGCTACCTGATCCTCACGCGCATATACTCTTCCATATTTGGCTATCTAATAGAGCACATTGTGCGAATGCGTGAGCTCCATAAGTCGGCTCATAAGGAACTAAGCCCATCTCTGCATTATCCATTCATGGGAGACATGCATTCATATCGAGGACTCAGCCTCAGCCAGTTGCGTCCCGTCTGTGGTGAGTACAGATTGATTTCAATATTCCCCCTGTAGTAGATCTTTACTATCCCGTCAATCATAAAAGTGTGATCAAAGAGTTTCGAATTGATATATGATTAACTGTACAGAATACATACTGATCCTGCGTGTAGTATGTAGGGGATGGGAACCGGAAAAGAAGGTACTGTCAATGTTATGCAATTCTCTCGGTGGTGTTGAAGGATTACTAAGGCTTCCCCTTGACGCAAGGGTAATCACTCAGGGGGAACAAGAGAAAAGCGAGGGAAGAGATGGCACTAACGACACGCAAAATGAGGAGGAGGTAGAGAAACCAACCATGGTCCTCTCCGAATTACTACTTGGGTCGTCACATGGCCACCTATGTCAAGATATGAAGGAGCAAGCACAGAATCTACGGGAGAAGATTACAAAAGTAAACCATCTACTGGCTTAAATAGGGATGATACAAGATGTACGATTATTTACATAACATCCATGGATGAAATTTTACAAAGATAACTCAAGTACTTACCTATCTGGTACCCAATGTTAGGTCGGCCATGTCATCGAAAATGAACGTGGCACTATTGCAGAGTGACGTGTCGGTAAACCCAATGACCACATATTTCGACGCGTATGACAAGTGCTTATCTATACCTAACCTAGCGTTCATAATTTCAGGAAAGCTGTGAATAACTCTTGAATCAAGTCTACTGGAGAAAGCGATAGCGTAAATAGGCGACGATTGCTCTTATTGTTGAGGTAACCTAAGACGTTCTCATTAGACAGCTAGTTGTCTACCTGGTATGTAGACGCGATGGGCATATGCTAAAACATCATTCGGGTACAAGGTTGAACCTTGGAATCATTTTTATCCATGTTTGATACCATCACAACGGTGAATGGCCAAGTTGCCTATAAGTGTGTAACTCTAGCCCTGACTTCATCAACGACTGAAGTAGTTCTCATAGGTATGTTTGTGACGTTTAACATGCAATGATGTAAGATAGTATTGTCTCTTAATTATCTCTACAGTGTACTGAGATCAAGCTTGTTTCCGAATGAAACTTTAATGTATAGGATTAATCTACAATTCGGAGTTTAGTGACCATTACCCTAAAGGAGTGTATCAATCCTCCGATATTTGATTTTCGGGGCTTACATGCCAAACACTAGGAGTACATCGGGTTTTCTACATCAGCCACTGGTTTCCATATTCCGAAAGCCTGATCATAAGGAGAATCAACAGATTCCGAGGCCTCGCAAAGACATGATATTTGGACAACTCAGGTCGTGCCACAGCCTCATTTGGATCCAGCGAGCTAACATGGAGGATGGAAAGCCCCAGGTATAATACGAAGAAAATTCATTCAATTACTTTTATTTTCATATAGCTTCTTGTGGTGTCTCTTGTGTTTGTTGTTTTATACATATCTGCTCGTTGTGCTACGACCACACTAACAAAGGCTACTAGCTATGGCCCCTCAAAAAGTTATCATTGTAAGTTTACTGTACACGAGAATTTTCTTTTCGACTTCCATATAATTAACAAGTTATCTCACAATAGATCGGAGGCTCTGTCGCCGGCCTTCTTCAAGGATTGCAACTCAAGCGCCAGGGAAGTCATGTCACCGTCTTGGAGCAAGACCCATCCAAGGACCGAGCCAGTCACGAGTCTGGGGTATCTATTGGCAAGACAGTTGTCTCTATCCTCGATAAATACGATGCCACCGGGCGTCCCGCAGCCATTCCGGCTGAGTACATGAGTGCTGCATGGCGTCGACGACTTCGGGTAGCTAACACAACATGGCATCACAACATGAGCAACTGGGGAACCCTCTATCTGATCCTGCGGGCCAATTTCGACGGCCTCAAGTCTGGATGTGTGCCAAATCCACCGGAGCCGAAACCCACCGACGGCAAGGTTGAATACCATTCCGGAAAGCAGGTCTATGGTGTGAGCTACGATAAGGACGAGGGTCTCGTCACTGTATCGTACTCAGACGTCACCACTGGTGAGAAGGACAGTGTCAGTGCAGAGATGGTAATCGCTGCGGACGGAGTTCATTCAACCGTTCGAAGTTTGATGCAGGCTCCCACGCGAAAGGAATACTCTGGGTACATTGGTTGGCGCGGGACGGTGCCCGAGCGTTTGTTATCCAAGAGCACCATTGAGTATTTCTCAAACAGGCTCAACTTCTCCTTGCTAGGGGGTCATTACTTCATCAGGTTAGTGATTTGTATCTTCCGTGTATCGGAATTTCCATGATAGAAAACATCTTACGAACATAAAATAGCTATCTGATCCCGACCGAAGCTGGGCACGTCGAGCCGGGAAAGCGTCTCATAAATTGGGTCTGGTACTATGTCGTGCCGGACGGATCGCCTGAGATGGAAGCCATATTTACCGATGTGAATGGGAAAGTACACCCAAACACGGTTCCCCAGGGGCTTGTCAATCCGGACGTGTGGAAAGCCCAGCTCGCGCGCTGGAGTTCAACCATGACTACCCCCCTTGCTGAATTGGTATCCAATACCCCTAAGCCATTCGTCACGAAGGTCATCGAGGCCCAAACTACTACGGCCAGTTTCTATGACGGTCGTTTAGTCCTAGTTGGGGACGCATTCACCGGTTTCAGATCACACTTGGGTTGGGCCTCCGAACAAGCTGCGCGCCATGCGGTATCATTGGATAAAGTCTGGCGCGGGGAGATCACTATGAAGCAGAGGGATGAGGAGGCTGTCTTGTACGCCCAACGGTTCATTTATCTGAATCGTATGATGGGATTTTCGGGCCTTGGTTGGATGTTGTCATTCCTTAGAAATGCGCTGGCTTACGTGTGGGTGATGTTCCGCCATTACATTGGCGTCCTACTCGCATAGATGATAGGAGAAGTCGCAGACAGAATTAAACGGGGTTCAGGTTGAAAGTCCTAGTGTTAGTTTCGAATAGCGAGGAATATATAAGTACCCATGTACAACGTGTAATCCTCGTCTCGACGATATCTTGTTGCTGAGAGGTAGGTACCTAGTTACCTACCAGGTAAGCACTTACTAACATGCATTTGAATGAAACACTCGTTGGACTTCCTTCGAATGAGATTTATCTCGTATTAGTAACCTACTCCTATTACTCGCTTAATCTTAAGTAAATGGGCATATGGGTAGGCGTCTACTTGGCTTAGAAAAGGGGTCAAAATCCATTTCGTACTTAATTGATTAATAAGTCAGTCTGGAAACATGGTACCCAGGTACTTAATTATATAAATCTCTGACCAAATCTGCCACGCTGAACTAGAATTATGCGATCATAGGAATACTGTAACAATCCACCGCGACCGTTGTTGGCCCACCCTCATTCTCAATAAACCTCATCTGAGCGATAACGTAAGAGGTCTGCAAGTATGAATGCGAACCTCCTACGTTGATGATCAGCCTTGTATTTTGGCTTGCGCGGTTTCCAATACCTTCCTCCTGGATGTAGAATGGAAGTCCATCACTCGTGTACCCATAGACGTATATGAATGGATATTGAACTGAACCTCCATTCTCCGTGGTGGTATCATTCAGTACAATCGGAGAGGCGTGGCCCCCTTCAATTGTGGCATGGAAGTTGGGGCCATCGATTGTCCCACCTGTGAACGGCTCGACTACACGGACACCACCTCCGACAAGGGGAATGGGGCCGTAGCGCTTGCCGAGAGTCACATTGGCAGTGAACACATACGTTGAGTTCATCGTTGTTGCCGGAGTAGAACTTGAGGTTGAAGAGTCCATAGTGGAAATAGATACTGTGTAGTATGAGATGATTTTGCTAATGAACATGGAACTTGGAGATGGATGCAGGCTGGTCCCAAACTCAGTATAATCCAAGTTAATATGGGAAAGAATGATTGAGAGCAGCTGGGGAAGTAAGTAGATGAAGCTATGTCGAGCACCAATGGTGTTCATGATTCCCTGATTAGGGAGTACCTAATGCCATCCGACTAGATCGACTGCGGCTCCTTCCGAACTTCTCCGACTGACGCATTTGAATATTGCTGTCGCAAGCCCGTCAAACTCAAGCGCCGTCGTAGTTTTCACATTAGATCATATTCTGTTTTCGGATATCCGACCTTGAAATTCCCCGACCCCTTGCAGCCGGAGGATTCAGCTTTGCCCCACATTTTTAGTCAACCACCAACATAGTTGTGGATGACCGGACCATCCGTATTGTTGAGGTTACGTATCATGGAAGGACGGAGGTCAAACGGACCAGTTGCGCTATAAGGATTGTGTAAAATTTTGAATACCTACGCGTCGGTAAAATGCTTGCAAAACCGTTTTATCATCTGAGATTTCCTCCTATAATAGTGAGCCCCTATTCTGGCCATGGCATCTCAACTTTCCCGTCTTTCAAAAAGAACCTCCATCCACTCTACATCTTTAGCAGCTTATAGATTGCATGCTGCAGCTCTCACGTCAACATCAGATACCAACACAACGAGTATAAAGCCGTCGTCTGGCACTTCTCTTCCTTGTTGCTCTTTGACAACGAGTACTGCAACCCTTAAAAGCAAACCAGTTGGGCTACAATCAGTTGCAAAAGTCTCACGAGGACTCACTCTTCAAGCTTCCAAGATGTCTACCATGTCAGCTTCCCACGGGCATAATGAGGCTTGCTGCAACATTCCTCCTGTTGTCTCTGAAGGCTACGTCGCAAAGGGCTCATATCATGAACTCGGGGACTACAAGACTTGTAAGTGTTTCAAACCCTGAGATTACACAAAAGGGGCCTCTTTAGCTAATCTGGTATAGACGTTACTGGCCCAGCCGATGCTGAAAAGGGTATCATAGTTATCTATGACATCTTCGGTTACTTTGACCAGACACTTCAAGGCGCCGATATCTTAGCCACAGGCAAGAAGTCACAACGGCACAAGGTCTTCATTCCCGATTGGTTCAAGGGCAAGCCATGCCCAATCGAGTGGTATGGGCCTGATCTAAATTCGCATTGGGGGCTTACTTACTGATGATGTGGTGAAAGGTTCCCTCCGGATACTGAGGAGAAACAGAAGAGCGTTGGTGGATTCTTCAGCGACCCCGAGCATGCGCCGCAGACAGTCGCTGCCAAGTTGCCAGAGTATTTCAAAGCCGTGCAGGCTTCGAACCCCTCAATCAAATCCTGGGGTATCTTGGGTGTAAGTAAAGGAAGAACTTGTTGAACTACCTGTTGTCCTAGCGCACTGACACGGTTCGTCCCTAGTACTGCTGGGGAGGTAAAGTCGCATCGCTAATAACATCGGGCGACTCGAACCTTTTCCAGATTGCGGCCGCCGTCCACCCAGCGATGGTGGATGCTGCGGAGGCTGGCGGCATCAAAGTACCGTTCATTTTGCTGGCGTCAGGCGAAGAGCCTGCCGAGACAATCAAGGAGTTTGAGAGCAAGCTGAAAGTGCCTAACCACGTGGAAACATTTGCTGACCAGGTCCACGGCTTTATGGCAGCACGCGCTGACCTGTCTAACCCGCGGGTTAAAGAGGAGTACACCCGGGGCTACCAAACGGTACTCGACTTCTTTGGTAAGAACTGGTCATGACTACCTAACAGGACTGGACGCCTGAGCGGGATTAGAAACTTATGGAGAAAAGCCTTGCTTTGAATACCTAGGTAGATATAGGCAATATCTAGGAGCGATGTAAATGAACACTATTACTAGTCTGTTAATCGTGAGATGTTAAGTTGGTGTTGTGAAGAATTGAAAGTTCATATTTACCTAGTGAAAGAGGAAAAGGGGGAGGGTGATCCACTTATAAGAGGTGGGGGAGATGGAGTGTACAAGCTGGGAAAGTGCTACTTGCACTGTGGGGGGTATTTAAAATCTCCGCAGGAGATTTTAGAGCTTAGAGAAAAACAACAATACAACATTCTATCCCCCTTAATTCTTTTCTGGGGGTTAGTGGGAGCTAGCGGGAACTAGCAGGGACTAATAATCTCCATAGGGCTGGGTTTTCTCCCTGGATCGCTAAAAGTCAATGAATACCTCTACACGTCATTCGTTTGGCATCATCATCGAATACTTTTGATATGCGTGAACCAGTTGCGCAGACTTAAACCAGTCAATACGAGATGAATTACCCCTCTTCCAATTCCTTTAATCTTACCGAGGTATTAATCCTAGTAATCTAAATCTAAAAGAATATCATTGTTCTCCGATTTGCAAAGCGTGTATTTAATGATGGGGTGAGTTCTGTGCATTCAATGGTCGGTAGTACTTAAGCAGAAAAGGCGGATGGAGGGTCGGACGGTCCGGTTTGAAGGAATTGTGGCTTACTGGACCAGAGTGCCAGAGACCTCCTTAGCTAGCATTCGGCCGTAATCCGTCCCGAATCTCACTAAAATCTCGGAAGTTCACCCTGGATCGACTCGCATCACAACCCATTAATGAGAACATCGTTCGATGAGAGGCACGGTTTAGAGCATTCCAGGTTCTCTTATCGGTTATGTCGACATCTCACCAGACGCCACCCCCAGCTTCGGCTGAATCCCAGTCACCCACGCAGCGACGCGAGCAGGATGAAGCAGCCCCCTCGCGACCGCGATCTGGGAATCCCAATCGTCGACGGGACAAACCCCAACTTTCTTGCAATCTATGTCGACGGCGCAAATTGCGATGCGATCGCCAGCACCCATCATGTTCCAGCTGCCTTCTGCGGGGTCAAACCTGCACTTATGCGGAGAATCAGGGCCTTGCCATGCCGCCGGATAGAACAGCGGTCCCCAGCCTGCATAATCGCATCGTCTATCTTGAGAGTTTGGTCAAGTCTTTGATGCCAAATCCACAAATCGCTGGTAATCAAAACAGTGGCGCGATTGCGGACATGCCTCCGCCTCCTGAATCTAGCCGCATTCACGATCAGGTCAACACCTCTCCCGAGGACACGCTGATGGAAGAACGTTCCGAGGCTGGGAGCATGCGTCTTAGTGCCTCAGAAGTCCGCTATGTTGGAGGCGACCACTGGGCGGCGATTCTTGACAGTATTGCCGACCTCAAGGATCATTTTGACCGGGATGAGAACCTCAAATTGGCCAACACCCCAGATCAAACTCAGGATGACAGTGGAGGTGACCCTGTAGGACGGCCTCCGTCACCTCACGCCCTGCTTCTTTATGGCGCTAGGCGTGCAAACTCGCGCGATGAGATCCTCGCCGCGCTCCCTCCCAAAACCGCGGTAGATCGCTATATCTCTCGTTTCTTTAACCGTCTCGACCTAGTAGCCTCTTGTAAGTACATCTTACACAAAGCCGCATTACGCAATGCTGTGACTGAACCTTTCAACTCCAGCGGCTGTTCATGGTCCAACGTTTGTTCGTGAGGCAAGTATGATTCCCAACTTTCATGCAGTTTACGGTCCCCAATACTAACAGGTCTTCATAGTATGAGGCATTCTGGGCTAACCCCGTTGGCGCGTCTAGCATCATATGGGTTGGTCTACTCTTTAGCATGATATGCCTCGCCCTGCTCGCTTCTGACGCAAGCGACTCGGAGCGCGGGTGCGAAGCCGAACAATTGCAGATCAATCTGTATCGCGAGAAGATCGTACAATGTCTCATCATGGGCGAATACACCAAGTCAGCGCCTTATGGATTGGAGACACTGATCAATTATGTATATATCGAATTCATGATGGGCGTTGATGCTGGTAAGGATATCTGGTTCTTGCTCGCTCTAGAGGTCAATCTTGCGATGCGTATGGGTTACCAGCGAGATCCTAGCCATTTTTCTGGAATTTCTCCCCTCCAGGCTGAGATGCGGCGGAGATTGTGGGCTACTGTTCTACTAGGCGACACTCTCATCTCAAACCAGATGGGAATGCCTTGTATGATCTCGTCCAATCAATACGATACGGCCGAGCCGCGTAATCTCAACGACGACGACCTAGATGAAAGCATGACTGAGCTACCACCTCCGCGCCCGGAGACCGAATATACCACTACTCTCGGTATCATAGCAAGAAGGAGAGTGTTGGTGGCTCTGAACCATGTCTCCGGGGTTGTATCATCAATTAAAGCCGCTAGCTACGCCGAAGTGATGCAAGTTGACGGCATTCTTCGACAAGCTGTTGCTAGCATTCCCCCGCCACTGAAAATGAAGCCCCTAGCAGTTAGTGTCACTGATACTCCGCATATCATCATGGCTCGTCTTTTTCTCAGGCATCTCCATCTCAAAGGAGATATCATGCTCCATCGTCGGTTTCTATACGCGGAGTCAACTTCAAAGGACGAAGATACCTTCGCATATTCACGAAAGGCATGTTTAGATGCCTCGCTCTCCTCACTGGAGATCCAAGACTTGCTTGACAGGGAACTGTACTCTGGGGGTCTACTTCATACGATGCGCTTCCGAGTAGGCTCTCTCATGAACCATCATTTCTTGACAGCTACGATGATCCTGTGCTCCATGGTGCATCGCCGGCAGACTATGGGCCGACAAGAGGAGATATTAGCAGCTTTGCGAAATACAAGAATGATCTGGATGCGTAAAAGCAACACATCTAGGGAGGCAAAGAAGGCTGCGGAAACTATCAGCATTGTGCTGGCGAGGGCAGCTGACGCCAGTACCCACGGCGTTGGTCCTAGAGACGAGGATGTCAGTACAAGTGGCAAAGAGCCGCAGAACATATCGAACACGGATCCCTCCATTGCTTTCACTAATGGTGGAATGGGACTTGATAACCAAGGGATGTTTAGGGATTTGGGTCTTTATTCACGTGAGCTCAACACATGTCATTGCTGACACTTTATTATACCGATGCTAACACTATTGCAGCCGATGCTTTTACAATGCCGGGCGTACTTGGAACATTCACTCCCCCAGGCTATCCAAGCCAGTCCTTTGACTTTGACGTAGCGGAAAATTGGATGATGCCAGGCACCAATTGGTAGTAGTTAAGTACAGTTCAGGGTTACTTTGGGTACGCATGGCGGCGGCGTCTGGGCGCATTCGATTAGGGTAAGGAACACGTCTGGGTCTGTCGGATAAAGACGTTGGTCGGGGGTAGCACAGCAATACACAACAAGTTCATCAGTTAAAACAGTGGAAATGGCCTATGCCACAAGATTCCTAATACCCATTATGTTAAAAAGGTAAGGCATTTGAAGTTGCACACTATCTTTTGATTGAACTGACATATCTTAAATCCAACATATTCAAACCGTACCTCATCCTGTGATCCTTCCAACTTAACGGGATACCTAATAGAACCCGACTGAAACACCTTATTTGACATGAGACGCCATATACTACGTTTCTTCCTACCTACATATGAAGGCAGACAATAAGCTACCTAGGTAGGTAAGGTATGCGCAACCTTCCACTCCCCTAAGTTACTCCTCTTATCTACCTACATAGTCTCATCAGAGCGCAACTCGAGTTCCGGTTCGGGCTCCTTTGACAGATACTCTTCAAAGAAGGGCGTAGTATCAATAGCTACTATCCTACCGCCCTCGATGATTGATCCGTTAACCGGATTCAATAATGCCCCACCGGTAGCAACATACACCGTATTGGTATCTCCCCGAACCTTGCCGAACGCCGGTGCCACGGGTCCTAGCAAAATCATCTCATCCGGAGTACCGACAACGTAAGTCGGATTTCCATTCTTATCAATGGCAATTAGGCGGTTATCAGCGTTGAGCGCGGCGAATATAGTGGCGTTGTCCCTGGGGGCAATTTCGAAGTTGTCCACAAAGACCGACCGAATCCACTTGACTTCCTCTGGCTTCGCACCGGGCAAAGGGAAGCCATCGTCCGAGATAGCGATACGCCAGATAGTCGCGGCGTAGCTGAGCGTCCAGTAAAGGTACCCATCTCGAATCTTCACGCCGCTGATGCCGAACTCAGTGATGAACCATGGGAGCCAGGCCATGTGTTCTTCCCGGGCGGCGAGTTCGTACGTGCGAGCAAGGGTGTCGACTCTCCAAATCACCCCCTTATGAGTGTCTGCTACTAATAGCGTGGACGGGGTTTTAGGAAGTTGGACAAGACTCCCACAAAGCCCCGCTTCAGACATATGAATGATCTCCTTGATAGTGAACCCTTCGGTGTAGGACCCGTTGCCCGGACGAAGGTCGAGTTCCCATATGCTCATGTCTCCATCGATTCCAACGCCTAGAGAAGTTTGGTTGGCCCCTATGATGGCGAATACATCTGGTTGTGTCTCCGTTATGGCAGTGGTAGCGTTAACCTCGTTGAATTTGTAGATAAGTGTGGCTTCTGGATTATCGGTCAAGACGTCTGTCAACACCCATACCGATGCGACAGGCCAAACCGTCGTTACCATGATATCGCCGTTATCTCTGACATAGAGACTCTGAATATACCATGGGATGGGCCATTGGTGGATGTACCTCATGGGAAGTGGGTAATACGGATAGCTGGCTAGGACTGTAGTTACCAGCGGCAAAAAGAATGCAAGCAGGCTCAGGAGCCTAGTGGCGCTGAAGAGTCTCATTTTTTTTTAAAGAAAAAATCTCTTTAGACTCAATACATCGGGAGAATTGCGACAAGAATAATCTAGCATGTAGGTAAGTATTATTTGAATCTGTTGATCGTGGTACGGCTGACTTTTCGCGGTAGCGATATCCGAAGTCCTTCATTTGAGCTGAGCTGGCCGAGCCTGGACGTTTTGGCGCTCTCATAAATATTCGGAGGAGGATGGCACCCTTTCAGATACATCCGAATATTTCGCTTTCCGTATTAGGAAAATAGACCTCCGAAAGGGGGTCTGCCGGCGACTAACCGGATCCTCCGAAAATTCCGAATTTAGGGGGGATCCACTGCCAGCCGATCAACTGAAGCAGCCATAACTTGCTCCGTCCCGGATACTTATTGAATACCTAACTAGGTACTTAGGTAAGTAATTATCTGTACCACCTTCGCTGAATTTCTTCTGGAGGTTTGGATATTCACGTTCCAGAGTTGTTCAGGAGTGTTTTTTTTCTGCCAAATTTCGGACTCCTCTGCCCTAAAGCCATGAAATTAACGATAAGCTGTTATTAAAAAGTCACTCTTCACTCTACAAGCTACTTTACCAAGTCTCCATAGTTAATATCTTGACGAGAATATCAATTCCCAAGAAACTTCAAACCCGAAGCCATGAAGGAGACTCTCTTCTTCATCCTTGACTTCTTATTGGGAGGATACTTGACTTCCACATCACCTGTATCAGGCCAGGATTTGATATTACAAACACCCCAAAAACCAATTCCCCTATCTTCTTCATCTCCTTCGCTATGTCAGAATACACCAATATCTCGTAATTGTTGGGGCGAATACAGCACCGATACAGATTATTATACAACGTTTCCCGAGACTGGCAACACGGTGGAGATATGGCTCTCTGCAGAGGAGACTCTTTGCAGCCCAGATGGCTACGAGCGACCTTGCATGACGTTCAACGGCACCGTTCCAGGACCACTGATCACCGCCGACTGGGGTGATAACCTCGTTATTCATGTGACTAACAACATGAAATCTAATGGCACATCCGTTCACTGGCATGGTATACGGATGCTCAACAACACACAGAACGACGGAGTACCCGGAATATCACAATGCCCAATCGCGCCAGGGGAAACTTACACGTACAAGTTTAAGGCTACCCAATACGGGACAACCTGGTACCACAGTCACTTTTCCCTACAGTACGCGGAAGGTCTGTGGGGTCCTATGATATTGAGAGGGCCGGCTACGGCCAACTACGACGAAGACCTCGGCACACTTGTCCTTCAGGACTGGTCTCACACTCCTATATTTGGCGCGTGGGCTAATAAGCAGGAATGGGGTATCACGCACGAACTCGATAGTAAGATTCTTATATTGCGGTATCTCCTTGGAGACATCGTAGAATTGACCTAGCTGACACCTTACCTTATGACAGACATATTAATCAATGGCACAAACACGTTCGACTGCTCGGGTATGTCAGACCCCAAATGTACCGGCAACGGAAAGAAGTTTGAGGCTGTTTTCCAGCATGGCAAGAAATACCTAATTCGGGTGTTCAACGTCGCTATCGACAGTTACTTCAACTTCCACATCGATGGGCATAACTTCACGGTGGTCGCCGCTGATTTCGTTCCCATCCAACCGTACGAGACAAACAGCATCATGATCAGTTCCGGTCAGCGGTACGATATCATCGTCGACGCGAACGCTGAGCCGGGAGATTACTGGCTACGTAGTGGATGGGCACCGGCGAGTACTTGCCAGGGCGTTGCCAACAGTCATCCTGATGACGGCACTGGCATAATTCGATACGAGCGCAAGTTGATGAGCACGGGAGATCCGACTACTACTGACATAGTTGACATCCCGAAGACTTGCCACGATGAGCCGCCTGAGCGCCTGGTCCCCTATGTGAAACGCGACGTGGGCACTATTGTTGACACCACGGTCGAGGACGTCAACGTGCGGTTTATCCACTCCGGAATGTTTAAATGGACCATCAATAGTAGCTTCTTGGATATAGACTGGTCCGAGCCGACGTTGAAGAAAGCTCTGCACGAGTCTTCGTCGGCTACATTTCCGTCGGAGTACAATGTTTTGCCCCTGAATGTAAGAATATCAACAATAGACCCACGTGCAAGAGCATACTAATTTTTTCCAAAGAAAACGGATGATGCCGAAGACCAGTGGGTAGTCATCGTAATTGAGAATGCTGCCGTTGTTTTGTATGGAGGGTAAGTTCCTACCTTCAACTCTCTCCTAATATGCCTAATCATTATGCCTACTAACGGATTATCGCACAGAATCTCGCATCCCATCCACTTCCACGGCCACGACTTCTACATACTAGCACAAGAAGCGCGCCAGTGGGACGGGAAGACCGATTCCTTCCAATTCCAGAACCCGCCAAGGCGCGACACGGCCATGCTTCCCGCTCACGGTTATCTCGCCGTCGCGGTGCAGCTGGACAATCCGGGAGCTTGGCTCGTCCACTGTCACATCGCGTGGCACGCGTCCATGGGCCTGGCGCTGGAGATCCTGGAGAGCGCGGATTCGATCGCGGTTAGTGGCGCGGAAAGGAAAGCTCTTGGTGATACTTGCGCGTCGTGGTCTAGCTGGTGGGATGCGCCTGCGCCGTGGCCGAAGGAGGATTCTGGGGTATAGGAGTTTAGACGGCGAGCGTGTAGATTTCATGTAGGGATATAGATGTAGTGTGATTGCGTTGTGGGAGAAATAAGAGAGAGCTGCTTGGGTAGCGGAAGTGGCCGGTAGGTAGGTCGGAGAACACCGGAAATGGATAGCCATCTGAGAGCGAACGGCGATACAGCTCTAAACTTAGAATTAGTAGCCATAAGCAATATCATAGCACTTCTATTATCAAGACATTCTAGCGGTAGGTATGTTTTGGCTGAGCCGCCGTGGTGAAAGTGACGCGATCATATTGCTGGCGATTTAGTTGTATCAACACAAGCGTATAATCGCCTCGGATGTTAGCTGGTCTAGACTTATGCTATCTCTTTTCAAATTTAACTATCCTGAGTAGACACGAGGCCAAGAGTATGCCAGGCGGGATTCATGATATCTAGAAGGATCTCGCTTGCGCTGTCTTATCTGCCAACGGATGTCTTGGCGAGGCATCGCCGCTAGCGAGTTGATGATATAACAAAAGGCCATGATCGATCTATTCAAGCCAAGCCGCAGCTATGCTATACCTAAGTCCGATGACCTTCGCTTGATATAGCGAGATAACTAACAGATATATTGATCGGGGAGAACCAACTTAGGACTCAGTCTTATATAAGTGAAAGCTTGGGGTACTGCTAACCCCGTGTTGGCGCACGTGCCAATCATCCGCTTCGGGAAGATGATAAGATCGTGCAGCCGTGGTACATAATCCCACATAAACAGAGGCACGAGAATGCTGTGCTCTTGAGGTCGGAAGTAGGGAAAATATATGAAAGGTCTCCGTCGTATCACTATAGATAGAACACAACGTGCATAGGTACAGACTTCAGCTAGCGGGGGGCAAACAGCTTTCGACGTTACTTCTTTCTTCTTTCGTTCTTTGTCAATATACCGTCGTTTCACGGAGGGGAGCAATATGATGATATGATAGATAACGAACGCCGCAATATGTAAGCAATAGAACCAATCGGCTTATTTTAGCTAGAAGGAGCTGGGATTCGTGGGGAGACCCAATGTCATCCATGATTTTCATTTCCTCTTTAGGAAGATCGCAGTCGGTCTTACCGCGCCCCTCAGCTTCGTGTACCTGGGCGGTATCCTGAAAGTATTTGATAGATGCTACCACATGTTGTTGTTCAAGCCATCATTCTAAGCTGTGGCCAATAGAGTCTGGTAAACGGTGCCAGCTGGACGGTGCCTCCTTGCATTTGCAGATTGAATATGCATATTTTTAATTGGTATTTTATATGAATGTCTCTTGACGGGCGGATATATTAAGATGTATGGGTCGCCATCTTTCTTATTCCCTCTTTTCGTACTTATGATAGGTAATTGCTTGCTTGCAGTTTGTTATCTAGAGTTACTTGAAGGATTGCAAAAGTCGTACCTGGCTTTATCTCTAAGAAGCCTACGAGTGGATCTGTACCTACCTACGTGAGTGATATGTTTGACTGTGGGCGAACTACTCACAGGGATAGGTATGTCGCTAATCTGTTGATCTGAGGTTCCCTCGCCGGTTTACTATGAAATCCTAGCAGTAACTTGAAATAATCTTAAAAAAGATCTTGTCGAGGAAGGACATATCTTTCCCTCGGATTCAGATCCGGTCGCTTTCGTATTGAATACCTAACGTATACACAGATGTACCTCCATAAACGAAGTAACGCCGTGTGGTCTCCATCGATATCTTTGTTGGTGTTGCCGTGACGGAAGCGCCTATCAGTACGTACCGAAGTAAGAAAAGATTGGAGAAAAAGTGCAGGGCTTATCCATGATCCCAGCTTACCCCCGGCTTTAGAGCTCCTCGTTATCATGAGAGATTGTCCAATTAGAAGGGTAGACCTTGATGTTCGGCGGACACTAAGTGAAAAAAATGTAAAACTAATCCTCAGTTCTCCATTCCCTTGGTATGCCGCGTCTGCATCTATCTTTTCATGATTCTATTATCTCGTGAGGTCGTTCTGAGAAACTATCGTAACAGCACATCGTCGTACTAGATTAGTATAAAAGCGCAGACATTTGTCACTAGTGATGAGATCATTGAGATCACATTTCTCAACTGCCATTGAATCTCGTCAGCTTCAGTAGCGGTTGTGGCGTTGGGACCCGCCGATCGTCCACTCAGGGTCCTCCAAATCCAGATTCTGCGTGTCACTGCGGACTCGTACGTAGTGGATGTTCAAGGGTTGCCGTCTGCTATCCGTCTATCAACCAGTTGCCGCTCGATTAGATAGGCCGTCCTTCCCCTTCTAGAAGGCCTCCATACATACATGTATCTTTAGCGTCGACCGGGTTCATCTAGACCACGCGATCGCCCCGAATGTACGATTTGCCCTACCGAGGCTGACCTGGGAAAAGTATTAAAATTCCTACATGTACCTATCCAGCCTATCAATCGAGTATACCTGGTACTCGATGCCCTGGCCCGCGTCTCACTAATGATAAAATCTCGTCGCGATCTTCTTCCCGTTCTCCTCTCTTTTTTCTGATTTACTCGCACGTTAAGTTTGTCGGAGCATAGCGTGGTCTCTCATCCCCACACTTGGCTGGGACGAGAATTAATTTCTCCGAGTCGAATCGAAACTAGGAAGAAGGAGACGATCAGAGGAGAAGAGAAGGAAAATTTTGCCAAGGAGATTCCTTAGTTTGCGACATCGATTCGATGACGGTTCCCGAGATCAAGGGCCTCTCCGGCCATAATGCTTCAGCTCAAGAGGGTGTAACTCCTAACCCTGATCCTGCTCTTGATTTCGCAAACGAGCACCATCATGCGCATCTGCATCATGGCGGATTGGCCGCAAATCCCGTCAACCATCCCGACGAGGTTGTTTATTCAACTGCCTCGCCGCAAAAGAGCCTGGATAAGCCGCATGACTATTCTACCGCTGAGAAGTCTGTAACCGATCAGGAAAGTGGAAATGTTGGTCACATCGGGGGCGACGAGAGTGAAAAGCGTCCGAACTTCATTGCGCGCTTCTACCGAAGATACAGGCCTTTTGTCCACCTCTTCATATGGCTCGTATTCACCGCGTAAGTCTGTCACGACTCTTGGTGAAGCAACACAATCGCGCATGAAGCCGCGATGCTGACATAACTTAATCAGATGGTGGATTTTCGGTCTTGTTCGCTACCGACACGAGAAGAACTGGCTGATCCCGTTCCTGCTGTATCTGGCCATCACCCTTCGCATCATCTTCCTCTGGATCCCGGTTAAATATGTCATGATGCCCGTCAAATTCGTCTGGCGGCATACTGCTTTCAGGGTTTATGAGTTGATTCCGAAGAAGCTTCATCGACCGCTCGCGGCTTTGGTCACTATCGCGGTCTTCTTGATTGGTTCTATGGTGCCCAAGGAGGAAGGCGAAAACACCCGTGCCCGCCGAGCGCAGTCTTTGTTCGGACTTGTTATCATGATTTTCGTCTTGACGATAACTTCAAGGAACTGGAGGAAGATTCCTTGGCACACTGTCATCGGTAAGCAATCTGCAAAGCTCGATTTTGCCCCCACGCCCGTTTGCTAACTTGCCTTCTCCTTAAGGCGGAATGTTGACCCAGTTCGTTGTCGCCGTCTTCGTCTTGCGCACACAGGCCGGTTACGATATTTTCAACTTCATCTCTACGTTGGCTCGTCTCCTGCTAGGTTTCGCCGACCAGGGTGTTATTTTCCTAACAGACGAGTCGGTGCCCGCCCTAGGTTGGTTCTTCACAGGTGTCATCCCGCCCATTATCTTCTTCGTGGCTCTCGTAGCGCTCTGCTACCATGTCGGCCTTATCCAGTGGTTCGTCTCGAAGTTCGCCGTATTCTTCTTCTGGACTCTGCGCGTCTCGGGCGCTGAAGCCGTGGTTGCTTCTGCGACGCCATTCATCGGACAGGGAGAATCGGCTATGTTGGTGCGTCCTTTCGTGCCGCACATGACTCTAGCCGAAATCCATCAGGTTATGACGTGCGGTTTTGCTACCATCGCTGGTTCCGTGCTCGTGGCATATATCGGACTCGGAATCAACCCACAGGCGCTCGTCTCTTCTTGTATTATGTCCATTCCTGCATCCTTGGCCGTGTCAAAAATGCGTTATCCGGAGACGGAGGAGACTCTCACTTCCGGTCGTGTTGTCGTCCCAGATGATGAAGAGCACAGAGCTGCGAATGCTCTCCATGCTTTCGCCAATGGCGCTTGGCTTGGCTTAAAGATTGCAGGCATGATTGTGGCTACTCTTCTCTGCATCATCGCTTTCGTCGCCCTCATCAATGGCCTCCTTACCTGGTGGGGTGGCTACTGGGGTATTTCGAACCCGGACTTAACCATTCAGTTCATCCTCGGCTACTGCTTCTACCCTCTTTCATGGTTGCTCGGCGTGCCTAACGACGACCTGTTGCCCGTCGGAGAACTCATTGGACAGAAGATCATCATCAACGAATTCGCCGCGTTCGGTGCCCTCCAGTCCGACGATCGCTACAAGTCGATGACCGCGCGAGCCAAGCTTATTGCTACCTATGCCTGCTGCGTAAGTCTTAAGACCCCCAACTCCCATATCCATGCTGGACAAAGATTTGACACGTATTTAGGGTTTTGGAAACGTCGGTTCCCTCGGTACTCAAATCGGTGTCTTGTCGCAGATCGCCCCTGGTCGTAGCGGTGATGTTTCCAAGGTTGCCATCTCGGCCTTGATTTCAGGTATCATCTCGACTCTCACATCTGCCAGCGTCGCTGGTATGCTATATACGGACTCTATAGGGTCCGCTAATTACTCGTGATGATAGAGGATGATAGGTTTGGTGGAAACTGTAGGTATTTTTTTCACATGAAGAGTTAACGAACGTGTATATGAAATAAAAATACCCTGACACGCTTCAAATATTCTGTGTCTTATTCTGGATGATATGTGCTTATGCCTCGCGTCAAAATTGCACGAGATTGCGACATCTGATCCATGCTACCCCTGACTGCCTGGATCTCTGGATATTTCACATGGACAAGGTGTAGTGATTGCGTTTTTCTGGCATTTTGAATCACGAGATGGGCATTTGAAAGTAAACGAGGCCTCATGATATTTTAAACTCACTGTTTTTCTTAGGTACCTCACGTCTAGGTTGGTATTAGGTATGTAGGTAAGGAACGTGTTCATATTAATCATTATCTAATGAGCGTATTGCTAAGACTATCTAGCTTACAGCGAGGATAAATCAGTACGTAACCTAAGATTGGAAGCTCCTTGCCCGTTTCTCAAGTTGCTAAGTGCTACGAAAAGACGAAGGAGGCTTGGATGGCATTAACGCCATCAAGGGGTAAAATCCCGATAGAAGAATGGTAACGCTCCAAGGGTTATTCGAACAGCACGAATGCTCAGATGTAAAACATTGTGTTCTTCAAGCGATCATGAACTTCAAAATCTTCCAGTCCAGGTAAATCATCCGCGTAGCAACGAGCGCGCTGGCAGACAATATCCGCATAGTATGCCGGCGTGCAAATGCTGACCGCAGTGGTGCTGCGCCCGAACAAGTAACACAGACTGTGAGTGAAGGTCTCCAGCTTGTTCGCCGCCTCCGCACCAAATTTCGCTCGGAAGATCTCGTCGTGGACGACGAAGTAGTGGGCCGGGCGCGCCGTTCCCCTGAGCGGTTTATGCGACTGCAAGAAGAAATCCCAGTTGAGCGCTTCGGTCACGCCGCGATCGACTACTGTGCCTGGTTGTGGGTTGTTGCCGTTGGCTTGATACGTAGACTGTTTATAGAAGCGCGTGTGATGGCGTTTCCCAACCACGATGATGGTTATCTTCGGCGCATCGTCTTTTGGATACAGCTTTGTGCATGCTTCCCGCAACTTCGGCAGTTCGTGTTTACGGACATGATCGTATTGGCCCTGCGAGACGCCGTCGCGGTAGATGAGGATGTTTTCGGGATATCTCTTGTACCTCGAGCCCCATAATTGAAGCCGCGTCTTCAACATGTCTTCTAATTGTTCGACCATCTCCGCGCCTTTCTCTTTTTGACGTCTCAGTACGGCAGGCCATTGTCCAAGCTGTGCGTCTATGCTCGCCACCATTCCTGCGATGCTGGGGGCGTGTTCGATTGGCGAGTGCGTGACATCGATGCCGACAACCATTGTCTTGTTTAGATCAATGACGTCTTTCAGGCTCTGGTTATCGACAGATTGGTTGTTGTTCCTAAATTTCAAGTTGAATTTTAGAGCGAGGTTTCCGGCGAGGCCCCCGAGACTATTCTGTCCCGTTAGAGTAGATGCAACAATGCAGATTGTCGTAACTCCATACTCTTTATCAGCAAGCCTCTTAATCTGGTTATAGAGGGCCTTGCTTGAGTCTGGTAAGATTACGATCATGCAGTCGATTCCCTTGGCTTCATACTTGAAGACTCTGCTGAGATCGCGTTTGAGTGCTTCATTGCTGCCCCTTACGTTTATAGATACTGGAGGCAGCTGTTCTTTGATCTCTATGCCGTTGTTCTTCAACATTTTGAAACACTGTCGAAGTAATTCAAGGGCTCTTTCGTCGTGAGGCACCATGCGGAGAACTCTACAGCTCCACTTTCTAGAATCGCTTGGAGGTCTGAGGCTCTTGAAATTCAGGTTCCATCTGGTTTGGTTTTCCGGTTTCCCCTGACTGTACCGTATTGTAGGCGTAGGGAGAACACGACTTTTGACGGTTATTAGTTTACCATCGGGTACTCGAAACCCATACCTATTCTGCCTATTGTGAGACAAACTCTTTCTTCGGATTCATTTTGACTCACCATCATGGGATTTTCATCTTTACAAAGGCCGACCGCCTTCATACCATGGGATACAATATCCTCCATATTTTCCACAGGGTTGCGTACGGCATGTCCTATCATCGTGGTCGTTTGCCCAGTATTCCCTTCTGCCTTTGCCCTCTGTCCAGGCAATATTGTGCACAACTGCGCCGGGAGATATGTCGGCTTTTGGCGTGACCCGACATTAACTACCGGCCACTCAGTATCCAATATTGTGTTGCGTTCTAGCAATATTAGCACAGGCATGGAACGATTTTTGTAAATATAATAAGGATAATCATAAGCTCACCTTTCTCGAAGAAGTCGAAAACAGTGCTATATTTGCCCCGGTCCTGGACCCAAAACGAGACCTCCTTGGGTCCAGCTCCGTACCTCTTCACAACTGATGAGTTTTCTGTTTTCTGGCCTTTATCTGTCATGCCGTCATCTTGAGAAGCGAGGTCATGAATTCTAAAGCGCCGGCGAATCGGATTTTGGGCCTTGTCTTTGCAAGAGTACTCGATTCGAACTCCTCGAAGGAACTTCCCTAGCAATCGAAGAGTGGGATCATCCCATCTAGATTCGGTGTAGTACTTCTTCATGATCACCTCCAGCTTCTTACTCTCATAGAACATCCCGTAGCTGACGTTGATGTTGGCTAAAATCCGAGATGTGGCGAGACAGATGCTCGAATAGTATCCTTTAATTGCAACCAAACCGTATTTGAGGTCTATTATAGAGGATTTTTCATCTAGAGGGAAAGATCTTCCTGTGCCAATTGTGCAGTACTTGCTAGAGTCCTTTGTATAGTAATTCAAGAAGATGTTCAAAGCTTGAACCATTTTTCCTCTGTTAATATATTGGCTGGTAGGATGTGTGAGGTAATTTTCAAGTGCTGAGATAGGCAATGTCTCGTCAAGCTGGACTTTGATCTGGTAACTCTTGGCGTTGTCGCGTGGCCCTTTCTCGGTCTCGCTATAATAGGGGATTGTAAACGTCTTACCTCCTGCTTTAATGTCCTTTATGTCCTCACATGAGATAAGAATACTGCTGAAGTCAGTTACTAGCACCTTACTTTCCGGTTTCTGGATTTCTTCAAGGAGTAGTTTGATAATGCGAAAAAGTTTCTTCCCTGTCGGCTGTTGCTCTTCTTCGATTTTGATTGAGTATTTTCTCAACATCACTTGTGGGTTCGTCTTTAGTTCAATGTAGTTGGCCCAAAGTACGTTTTCTTGTCCTTGTGTGCCATACGCTGGCCGTTGGGGAATGATGCTTTGGTCCGCATTCAGATCAGGTTGGATGGAGTTCTCGTGCTTCGTAACTTCAACATTAGGTGTTTCAGGAACATTTCTGCGTAGCTTCGTGTAAGTGACAGCTAGGAATAGGGCAAGGCTTCCAATACAAGCCTTCCATAGTCTCCACTCACTTGTAGATTCCTTGGGAACTTCCTTCAGAAGTGTTGGGCTCTCGGCCTCTACTGCGACCTTGGTCACGATATTGGCCCTGTCTCTCACCAAAGCCTTGGCCATGACTGCGCCCACCACGTGGGAACTGACCCCGACCCCGATCTCCACCTCGGCCACGACCACGACCACGATCCATCAACGAGATTGGACTTTGGATCGCCTTGCACTATTCACAAAAAGATTATATAAAAGAATCAAATACGAAAGTAGAGTTATGCTCCTAGGATTGTTGATAATTGGAAACAGCACTGATATTACGGGTAAACCTTTAGTATCAGTTCAGTATTCAGAAAGTTATGTGCTCTAGAAAAACGGAACCGTAGTATTCTCTTAAAGAGAATTTTATGATGTCAAAGGAGACTTCTTATATACTTACTTATAATTGTCTATCGTTATCCCAAATCAAGGTAGAACAGTTCATATTGTGTGGCAACGTACTTTTTTGTGTGTTGGCATTTGTGGCATTGGTTTGTCGATTGGAAATTTGCTGTCAGCGCAACCGCCCCTAGGTTTGCAGGCAAAGATCCTTTGAATAACAAAGACGTCCTCATTACCACATGTAACATGTTAGATGGACTAGGTATTTATGTGACGATAGATGAGAGATTGACAACCGATTTATCTAACTCATCTACGACTCAATCAAACAACTCACTTGCCATACACATTCAAATAGCAGTTTTGCATCTCATTGGCCAGTTCTAGTATCACAATTTGATATTATCTAGATATTTGTTATAATCGATTTCTGATAACATTTAATATAGGTAAACATGAGTTATCAGATCTGATTCTGAAACGACGACGAGTTTGTGAATGATGAGAGACTAATTTACCAGTCCCCTTGTCTGCCCCGGACCCCTAGCCCCGCTTTAGCCCGGGATGGGGAACTGTTCTTTCCACCGCCCGGTGGACAACCCCGCTGTTGCCCCGAAACTCTCCTCTTGACGGCTTGGGTGTTTGGAAGCCCTCTAGTTTTTTGAGCTATGTATTATTGAAATTCCACTTAATAGTATGAACATGCCGGGTACGAGTGTGTAATTATAGAGGGGTATCCTATCAGCACGCAATGGTCTTCAGTCAAGAATTAGTTGATCGGTGGGGAGCACTATTTGTAGGTCACTAGAACGTGGCTGGTATGACTGGCACAAGGTAGAAGAAATGCAAAATCATATGCTGTCCATGATGTTGCCTTTATATTTTAGGTGCAGTTTGCTGAGCCAGATGAGCCATAGGGGAAACATACGGGGGGTAGGAACTGTTGCGCAACGGTGCCAAGGGCTGCCGTAACGGTTCCAAAAAGTGGTACGGTTCTAAAGTTTGGCACACTTGTAGATTTTGGCACGTCTGGCACGTTTCTAATTTTTGAAATCTTTACAAAGCGTACCAAAGGTTCCAGTAATGCCCACGATGCCAAATCTAAAAATTCGAGAAATTCTAAATAATTCAATAAAATATAAACGTGCCAAACGTGCCAAACGTGCTAACGTGCCAAACTTAAAAAGTGAGGCTATCGCGGGACTGCGTAAGCTAAAACTTTATCTACAGTTTTAGCGCGAAGGTTTGTACTGTAGATTATGTAATACTTAGATAGTGTAGCGGTATATCCTTAGCTTCGCAGTAAAATAAAAACCTTGTAATAATCCGAATCTAATTAAAATAAATAAATCGATTAATAAATAAATTTAATAAATAAATAATAAAAAATAATTAATTGAAATAAATGAATAAACTTAAATAAGTAAATAAATACGTATAAATAAATAAAATAATAAAAATAAAGCATTACATTTTGCTATAACTGTTCCAAATCTTGGCACCGTTCCGGCACCGTTCCAGTATATGGATGGGAAGCCTAATGATTCCTTTATTTGGTACGGTTCCAAAATCCGGCACCGTTACGCTACAGTTCCTACCCCACGTATATCTCCCCTATGGAGTACAACACTTTTTTTCAACCCTCTATGTAGTTTAGGTAGGTCCATACTCTCCCACAACAATTCTCTTAATGACCCAAGTGGGTAATGCAAGCAATGGAAGTGTATCAGAGTGTGAAATTACTAAAGAGTGGATGTGATGAGTATGCGCTATCTTGCACTGAAATATGACATTGTTAAAGGGATATATACCTGTATTTACAGTGAGGACAGGGGGGCTGACTTATCAGCTTACTAATCAAGAATGTAACCTGCCCTTCTGCCCCTCTTTGCTCTTAGCCCGCAGGTAGTATCACTCTTTTTTCTCCTTTAGAGGACATACGCAGTCCTATTCCACCATTAGTATCTTCCAGAGCCTTTTAAATATTGGGAATATAAGCAAATGAATCATACTAAAACTGGAAGTCTAGGGTTTGGTGGTGGGAATACCGAGGTTGACCCCGCTATCATCGCAAGTCAGTCAAATGGAAGCCATTAAGGAAGCCATTTACTAAAGGAAATATTACGTGCTATAGGACTACCGGTAGGATCGTCAATTAAATCCACAGAAAGTCATGGCGTCAGTTTCTGGGCCAGAACCGGAAGGATCAATGTTGAATTAGAAGATAGATCCCAACTATCCTTTTTCATCAAAGTTGTCTCAGGTGATTTAGGGAAGAATATGGTCGAGAGCGAATACGAGTCTATGAGAGCGATATATGAAATTCTCCCAGATTTTGTCCCCAAGCCAATTTCTTATGGAGCATATGAAACAGTACCGAATACTCACTTTTTTCTGTGCGAATTCCGAGATATCGTTAGCGATATGCCAGACCCTCATATTCTAGCTGAAAGTCTCGCAAAGATGCATCAGCAGAGCAAGTCTCCCACAGGAAAGTTCGGATTCCACATGAGTACGTACAGCGGCAACCTTCCTCAGGGGACAGAATGGTCAGATAGCTGGGAGGATCTCTTCACCAGAAATCTTCGAATAGCACTTGATCTTGAGATCAAAGCTAGGGGGTACGATCCGGAATTCGATATACTCATTCCGATCATATTTGACAAGGTCATTCCTCGTTTGCTTCGTCCTCTCGAGAGCGACGGGAGATCATTAAAGCCGTCACTAGTCCATGGAGACTTGTGGTACGCAAATTCTGGTATTGACGGCATTACAGGCAAGCCGCTGATCTTCGATGCCTGCTGCTTCTATGCTCACAACGAGTGTGAGTTTCCTTTGTACTTCGATGCATTGTAGATACCTTGCATACACTGACGAAGTCACATGATCTAGACGAGTTTGGGCAGTGGCGGCCAATATGTAACAAATTTGGTGAAGAATATCTTCAAGCTTATCATCACTATGTTAAGAAGTCGGATCCGGAGGAGGACTATGAAGGTCGTTTGGACCTCTATAAGCTGTGAGTGCGTGAGCCATACCTCACAAGTAACGAATAAAAAGATCTTAATAGCATCCCAGAAGGTTTAACACCCACGTGTCAGCTTTATTTCCACAGAATCTCACATTGAGGGAACAGTATGATGCCTTTTATTGCTAGTCTTTACAGCTCGTTGCTAACAATATGACAGGGTCCTTGGCGATATGAGAGACTTAATACAGAGATACGCTTAGGATTACACATACCTAGGAAGCTAACGAGTATAGTCTCGATCCGGTATTGTTATGTAGAGATGACTTCACCTTGGTGCGCGGAGGGATTGTGAAGATGGTAATATGCACGGATATAGAAAAAAGGTTGAGTGTTGCACAACGAAAGCACCTTGGAGACAGGTAGCCATTGGGAAAGTCGAGATAAATAGGTACCTAGGTGCCAACAGCAACGGGACAGATATCTCCAGCTCGCTGTTGGCTGTTTTTTTTACCCTTTGTACATCATTGTGTAAGCCACTTAGAAGAATCTTTACCTATTCTTGTGTCCCGCCATTGCAACTTCTAGAATGCGATCTTGAAGTCCTTCGAGGAAAACCATCCTGATACCTGCTTTTTCGAGTCGATCTCGGCCAGAATTCGCGAAAATAAAAGTGTTCGGCTCTTGTATTCCGACGTAAACTGCCTTTATCGCTCCGTCCAACCCTATGATCCTGTCTACACATGACTTATTTCCGGTCAGCCTACTATTGCAAGGTTCCATGGTCGTGTATAAGACGGTATTGGGCGGTAAGACGTTGCCGATCTGTACTTCTGCCGTGTTGAACTGCTCGGAAATCTTGATGAAGCAGCACTGTTCCGCGTGGGTTCGCCCTGGATCTCCCGGTCTGTCGCCCGGCAATTCTAGAGAATATCCAGTCGAGAGGATCCTACCACTGTCTTCGTCCACAAGACACGCGCCAACGCAGAATTTATCAGGGCCTGGTGGCGATTGGCTGGCGACTTGTAAGGCATATTCCATAAATGCCTTGTGATCGCGGGGCGCAATGGTGGGATGGATTTGTGATGGCATCTCAAAGACGCGAAGAAATACTAGATTAGGGGGTAAATGGAAGTTTAGGTTCAACTCCTACTAGGCTTGTCGCTGTAGAACATCAAGATTGGGCGATATCCTACAGGGGTACAGGGGTCTTCCCGCGAACTATTCCCGAAGCTGGGGTTTAGCAGCGGCGCAGCTAGCGCATTGAATCGATGGATGCATCTACGAAGCATTTGCACATTTCCTTTATTACAAAAAACCATACTAACGGAAAATATGCAAGGATGAAGTATTACGGAGATATAAATTTTGGGTGGCACCGGGTCCCTGCAAGTAGGTATTAGGATATCATAACGCACTAAGTAAGGCGCTATAGAATAAAAATTGATACTGTTTGATTGCATATCGAATGGTTTAATACGTTTATCAATGCACATTTCATCCAATCATGCTTACTTGCATATCCGACTCAATAAATCACATCTTGAATAGGCCATTTATCGCCAGGTATTTCCTTATTAAGCTCTATGTTATAATATCGTTAGCCCCCATCATCCGGCATTTAACATAATATTAAACTCTCAGCCGCAATTCGTTGACTCCCACAGGAATTAAGACCTGCGCTGGATTTTTGCTAATTTACTTTCGCGTCGATCTTGTCTCCGTGACTACTTGGTAGGGCGACATGATAGATGGAGCCCGCGTCAAGATGCTGCAGACAATAGTACGCAAGAAGTTTTCGACTAAGACTAGCCATGAGGTTTATGAGGTAGGGAGGTGCCTATAAGCGCCCTAAGCTACCTAAGTAGGTGAAACCGCTTTTATTAGAAATGTTCTATAAGAGAGCCTTGAGCAGATGGAGCTACCGAGACAGACCGCATGTAAATGCTCATGGCGTTCAAGCGACGCACTCAAAGATTACTTATATGTACCTCAGTCTCTCAACCCTAAGCAAAGACCCCATCGACTCCCACTTGACGACTCAGCACAACCAGTCACTATGTTGAGTTCCTTTCTCTACTTAACCGCAGCGATCTTAGGGTTGGGAAGTGCTTATAACACCACTTCAGAGTGCAACTACAAATGGATAACCCACCCATTGACCACTTCGGCGCTTCCAACAGGACATTCCAGCAACGCTACAGCATCTTTGATGAGTTCTACAAGCCGGGCGGACCTATCATGTTCTTCCAGGGCGAGGAGGGTTGGCTCCTAGACTGTGCCAATATAACTGTTATGTACGAGTATGCCAGACAACTCGGAGGGCTTGCCGTTTCTCTAGAACATCGCTATTTCGGCTAAAGCCTCCCATTTGGACAGGCTTCCCACAGTCCTAGCAACATGAAGTATCTCACACTAGACAATGTCATGGCAGACGCTGTTTCATTCATTGACCATATCAAAGAAATCAACAACGGTGCTTCCAACAGCAAGGCCATAACTGCCAGTGGTTCTTACGGCGGATTACTCGCTGCGGCATTCCGCTTAAACCATCTCGATACCTTTTCGGGTCCCTCGCCGCCGCAGGAGCTGTCAAGGCGTTCTCCAACAGCAGCGATCCCGACACATACAACTGGTGGAGATGGGTTAATCAGATCTACCTCGACCGTTCTAAGGAGGCTGCAGATAAGATACAGAATGCTTTCACTGTCTTACAAAAGCGTCTTCAAACGATAGACGACGGAGGTGTAAGTCTGGAAGAGGAGCTTATTCTCTGTTCCGCACCTTCTTCAAACGACAGTGTTGGCAACTTCCTGCTCGTCTTGGATTTGACTACTGTCTTTTCGTTCGCTGCGGAAATCAATTACCCTACGGTTCAGCTGGGTAGAAATCCAGTCGCTGACCCATTGGACAAGATCATCAATATAGTTCTGACAGAGACGGATCCGGTACAGATTTTGAGCAAGACATTCTGGCTTTGGTTTGGCGCTCCAGGCCCGTCTAATGCTCTGTGCCTCAACTATACGGACCCCGGCTTCATCATGACAACCGTTCCACTTATCGAAACAGCGCCATTCAACTATATCACTTGCAATTACTTGCCTTTAGCATCATCAAATATCCCGGAAGGGACCATCTTCCCTGCTTTCCTGACAGCTTCGGACAGCCAGCCCCAGGCCTGTAAACTCAAGTACAGCCATTTGCCAATGACTCAGGAGGAGACATCCCAGCGTTATCACTTCTCCCCTGAAAGCATCAAGAACTCAACACGAATCATCTGGTCCAATGCCTAGTACGACCCGACGGCTGCTGTCAGCGTTGATTATCTTCCTATCTCAACCGACGTATGCGCGTCGAGGATGATCTTGACGAGCAACATCGCGCACTGAGAAGATTTGTTCCTGCCCAACCCAAATGACAGTGTGACTCTCACGCAGTTGCGTAATAAGAAACTGCAGATCTTCAAAGAGTGGTTACAGCATTGTTAATGGTGTTGGATACGCCGAAGTACCTACGTATCGTGGTAGACGATATAAACATTTAAACCCAGAATTTATTATATGGCACAAAAGAGTCCGCCAATCATTCTCGCAAAGCTAGTTCGAATGGTCCTATACTATGAGTAGTCGCTAGCACTTCTTGGACAGCCGGCTCCGAACCTGCCTCGCCTGCATCATCTGTTTGCCGTTGATTTCTCTTCTTCTGTCTTAGGTAGTAGACAGTGCAGAATAATGCTGCTAGACCAATTATGGTGACCGGAATTCCAATATCAACCTTCGCTCCGACGCTGAGTCCACCTGAGTCTTCTCCAGTGTTTGATTTCTTCTCATCTTCTATGGGATCGGAACTAATAGTTGAAGATGGTGGTGTAGTGGTACTCAGGGGGTTCGAAGGAGTGATGGAGTTCGTAGTGCCCGAATTATTGACAGCGTATCCATCAGTAATGTTAAAGAAAGGTGACATTGTCCAAGGACTTGAATCTGGTGGATAGTGATCTTCGACCGCTAGGAAGTAAAATATATTCGAGTTCGTCAGGTCAAAGCCGTACAGTTGGACTGCCCAATCAAACTGGGTTGCTACACTATTTGACATTTCTAAATAAAATTGAAGGTTTGGTTATGAAATACGACAACATAGGTAACAACTCTTGTTTTCTCTGACTCAACAAATACTATTAGACCATGTATACCAATATATCCGGGTACCAGTTGCCGAATAGCAATGGAGCAATTCGTGAAGGGGAACTGAAATTTGATTGTTTGGATCTCGCCAACTTCCCAAAGGGGTTGTTTCGCCGGAAGATTTGAGAATTCCCCGGAGTACGGCCCATCGCCCAACGTCCCAACCACAAATAAGGCTATCGAAATGGTAAGAATTGAATTTACCATGTTAGGGGTGAGCAATTTACTATTTGAAATATAAATGCTACAAGAGGACGATGTAGATTTAAAATCCCTGAGCGTCTTCGGTCATGTTAAAAGCGGGATCATGAAGAAATATTCCGATTAAAACGTGCCTTGTAATTGGAAAAACATGAGCTCTTAGGACTCAAATATTATTAGATAATTCTGGTTTATGTCAACTTTATGCTGTCTGATCCCGATTGCTAAATTAAATGAATGATTTTCTGTAAGCTGGGTTACGGTTAGACAAATAGTTGAAACACCCTTGTCTCTACTATAGGGGTTTAACCCCTAAACAAGGTAGTTAAACTAAATACCTATACCTTCGGGTACTACTTTCAAATCTCATTGCGTCGTCCCTCGACATGATCACAATTTACCTATGTACCATTCTTCGAAAAGTTCCCCTGGTGTTAAATGACTTGAGCGTATATATTAATTGATTCACTGTTCAAGGATTTTCCTGTCTAGTATTAGCTATCTTTGATTCATAGTAATTTTATGCGCAGCTGGTTTTATACGTATTTGACTGGATCTTCTATATTCATGATGTCGCAATTGAACTCTCTTTTTACTACCTATAATTTGTTATTTTCTATTACCAATTCTTTATGGAGGTTGCTTTCATGATGGGTGTTATATCCCATCCACACGAGTCATTGGCACATCTATCGCCGTTTCCATTGCTTCACTTATATAGGTGTGTTTCGCTCATCATTGCCTCTCTCTGGCCAACTGCACGTTCAGAAGCAGTATCAGTTATCCGTACATTAAACCGCTGAACTAATATCTTCACATAAATAGTTTTAGGGGGAGCCTCTTAGTTGGCTTTTCTTCACGTGCAGCTCGTCGTGACGGCAATTTCTTTCAGGACGCTTCGAGTAACCTGGAAATAAAATTTGTGGCTGAAGTGAACCGGAAGGATACCTAGGTACCTATACAAAATAAAGCCATTCCCAAAAACGTTCGAACACGATAGAATGAATGAGGCGCCTTCGGGCTCGTAGGGCGCGCATATGAATGCCATTCAAAAAGATGGATGTACATGTATTAATTAGGTGCCTATTTTAATAGTTCCACCATGGCTTACGGACTTACCTTCCGCTTTGATTCTTGAAAATGACTCATGTTAATTGAGAAGTTAGCATCAAGTATCAACTGATAGATTTTGTATTATTAACACGTATCCTTACACAACCTTTGCTTGGAGCTTTAATGTCAATATACGTCGATTTAACTTAATTAACTACTCAAATCCATCCCCTAAACACTAAAATCTTTCAACCTCGCCGTACGAGTATGGCTGGGATCTCCTTTGTATTGGTCATTGTGGGATGTATTTTCTGCTTGAAAACAACTCGACCTTACCCAAGGGGCGAGTAATCCATCAAAATGACTTGACAGTTACGCAGAAACGGTATTTGTAGATTCTTATTGAACCCTTCATGCTGGAGGAAAACTATGCCAACCATACGGGAGTTGTTCATCATATGCGGGAAGGCATATGTTTACTCGAAAGGTTAGCACGCAATAAGTCAAACGGGGGCACGAAAGCTTTTACGTGATGAAGGTGCCAAGGATCCCATAGATGTTTTCGACATCCTCCTTCGATCCGGCTGCGAAGGTGCCGAAGAACGGAGGTGCCACAATTGCCTCACAAACCGACCAGTTTTCTTCCCTCATCACCCCTCAGTTAACTCTCTTCGTGCTTGAAGCGATATTGGAAATCAAGAGGATGGTTCCAAAACAAGAGTTTCACTGATGTGATAAGGTGCAGTGTAGGGATCAATGCTGATGTACTAGGTACCAAAGGGTAGCACAGGTTTCGTCGATCAATGCGTACCCAGACATCGACGAAACGGAAACTTGGGGGGTTACTCATAAGTTGGTATAATGGGACGCTTAGTATATTCAGGAGGGTGTAGCTCAAGCGAAATATAGGTATTTATATATTATCCAACATGATAACGAAGTTATTGAATGTGATAGTTATTTCAATGACTTTGACAATGGAGGCCCTGTTCAAGTTTCTCGGATGTTTGTACCCACCTGCTGTTTTGAAAAGGGGCCTAGCTGGGTACGCTATGCTACAGGTAAACTCAATGTCAGCGCTTAAAACACTTCTTTTACAAAGGTACCTAAACTACCCTTTGGTTTATTATGTTACGAAACATGGAATGTCGATATGCCAAATCACCGAGAGCTGATTACGTAATTAGAAACTGATGCCCCTTTTAAGGTTCGTTCATGCTGATTGGTTGGCTCTAAACAACCATCTAATTCGCACTTATATATGGATAATCCACGGCTTCTTTGCTCGCAGAAAGATGCTGCCAGCTTCAAAAGTTGACGGTTGTCAGATAGAAGTACGTAACCGAAGGGCCATTGTTGCTCGGTGTACGTGATGTGTTACACAGGGCGTAGATAGTAAGATTCGTTGCGAGTCTAAAATGGAAGGTATGAGACTTACGATGTACAGCTCACGCCATGAAGCAGACGGAGAAAGAAAAACCAAAACTGCATTGCCAGAATTTTAGTGGTGTGTATGACGGACGGCCCCCACTGCTGTGCCTCGATACCACTTTAGCTGCAACCTCGATTCGAGACGTACGTAAGCAAAGAAATTGCTATGCCCAGTTATCCCTTGCAAGTATCACAGAGAGATGTATAATTTAATTGTCGCGTTTTGCTGCAAAATGGGCAGAGTGGGCATCTGGCTAACAGCTACCTATTGTTTCTATCTAAGGGGCTTGGGGGGCTGGCACCTCCTATACGTCTGCACATTGTTCTCTCCTAGGTAATACACTAGAATATCCTGTCGAAGAAATTAATAGGGACAGGTACTTCGAAATCATGATTAAAATTCACCCTTTATGCCGTAATCCGGAATGCTCCGTGATAGGCAAGCGGGCAATTTCGACCATCACGTTTCATTTAACGATTTCTTGGCGTTGATGTATAATAGGTCAAAATTACGACGGTTTAAGTCAACAGTTTCACGCAGCAGCCACGTGCCTTGCAGTTCGATATTCATTTTTTTGCCTTACGCCAGGATTCGCATCTATCCATAATAGTGAGCTACCTATCCGCTAAGTTTTAATGGACAACCGCTATAGCTTATGGGATGTAGCTACTAAGGGTGCTACACGGCCGGGTACGAGCATTCTTCGAGTTATACAGCCTTAGCTTATTTTAAATCTCAACAAAATATTTCTAGAAACCTGCACAGGTAGAGGTAGGTACCTAAGTAAGGTGATTGAAGACTAAGTAGATCTAAAAAGATCAGTGCAAATCATAACAGCTGATACTTTTAAGCGTTTGATAGATAGGTACTTTTCCAGACACAACTTGTCAATTATCCACTTGCGGCTCTTCAACGACCAAAATAGGTAATTATCATGTGCTTTCGGCAGGATTTTAGGCGGGTCTTCCCTGGGGGTTTCACGGCGCAGGTAGTGTTGATGGCCCCCGATTGATTCGATTTTGATGTGTCAAGTACGACGGATCACACGTCTTGGCTCACAGGGGTGACGAATCCTAATACATAAAACTCTAGAGATATTCAACGAAAATAGGACTGCTCTCTTGATTTTCTCCGTACGCCGAAAATATGTAGGTTTCTTCATCTACCTTTTCCCTAGTTGAACCCGACTTCTACATCCCTCTTCTTGCAATGGCGACGACAACGTTAGTAAACTCCTGGACTCCAACTTTGTCAGGATGTCTCAGGACCAGCGATTACTGGATTTGGGATTATGAAGTGGACATGGATCAGCGAACAGTTTTAGGAGGCCCATCGCAAATTCAGAATTGCCTTCCTTCTTCTTGGGGTGGTACTGTCACGTACTCGGGAACGGGGTGTCCTCCCGAGTATACGTCTGCCTGTCAAGGCACAGACTCGGCATCAGCGGTCACATGCTGCCCTCGGTACGCTCACAGAAAAGCCAATCCGGATTCACAAAATTAATAGAAACTTCTTTTTAGGGCATATGGATTTACATGTCAGCCCACAACAACCGGCGGACTTCATCGGGAGAGTTTTCGCTGTATGTCACAGCAAACCGGCACGGACACGATACACGTTACGCGGACAGCTTTGCAAACTAATACGATAGCCTTTGAGACTAGAGTTGAGGCTACGTCTCTCCATTTATTCGCATTAGCAATCATATACACGACACCAGTCAGTCGGTCATACTTTCCAGTCATCAGCGCAAACTAATCAGAAAGGCAGGCCTCGACAGCGACAGATGGTTCTTCGATTGCAACAGGTTCTACAACTGGGACCTCCTCAACTCCCGAGACTTCGTCTGGAAATAATTCCGCGGCCCTTAGCCCCGGTCAAGCCGCGGGTATCGGGGTCGGTGCCGGAGTAGGAGTCCTCCTTTTAGGATCTATTGTAGCATTCATTCTATGGAGACGGAGCGCGCTATTGAAACGCGCTGAGAATACGCCGAATGTGGCTCAATACACGAATTACCCCCCGCCCCCAAAGCCAAGAGAGCTACCCACAAATAGTGAGCCATCAGAACTGGACGCGTTCTCTGTTAGATGAGTACAAGCTTAGTCTTTGGTATGATTGGATATGAGAGGAAAATCTATTAATGAAGGAGACTTGATGGCGCTACCTAGGCGGGCCAATGGGAAAAAGGGGGCCACACCACAGATACCGCCACCACAAAATCTGAGATCACTCAGTAACTTATTAATATGCACAACTACAGCTTTCTGGCAAATATTGGCAAATTTGTATATAATTTAATAGTAAATAGAATTTAAAGAGCGTATATCAGTGCCATATCCATCGTAGTATGAGGTACGTTCTTGTCGTCTCTTTTTCCCATGAAATCCCTTAGTTCGTAATTCCCAATTCCTCATAATATCATACAACATGATCATATATAGAAGAATCAACCATCTAGCTGTAGTTGAGATCTATTCCGATGCCGAGTGTTTCTCCGCGACATATCCATACGGTTAAAGATATGAGAGAATTTTTAGTTGCATGTTAAACACCCACAGCCCTCGTTCTCGGAGCAAACGCCGTTACAGCACGCGTTAACATCGAATGTGCAGTCAACTAGTTAAAATGTCAGTAACTTAGGTAGTTTGTAGAGTAATACGCTAGTTAAAGAAGAGGATGGTTTAGGTTAAGTTAACTTACCACCTGTAGCCAGACATCTTGGTTCGAGAGGGAGTAACATGTCAGAACCTGCCGGTATAGCAGAAGCTACGGCGAAGAGGGTAGCGATGATGGTGAGAGAGAAGCGCATTTTGTTGGGTGATAAAGATAGTCGTCTTTGCTTTTTTTAGAAGAGGATAGTAGAGGACTTGGTCTCTTGATATAGAACAGATTGTCTTGAGGAATGGTCTATTGAAAGCTGTTGAAATCTGAGAACCACATCGTCTTAAATAATTCTGAAGACGGCCCCCCTTACTCTACTAGCAACTGTAGGTTAGCCACCGTCTCTTCGGACAACATATTTCTATCGTTGTCATTCACTGCATGGCCTCCTCTTCTATCGCGAAACTTAATCCCTCATTTGCGATAGCTCCCCCATCGGCCGTCGATCGCATCGTGTGAAGTCGGTGGTGAGGTCTTTTTTGCCGATGATTCATTCGCAATTCCCGCTCTAGCTTACCAACTACATCAAAGCCGCTTTGATAATTACTCTTTTGTTGGTGGAAACCGAATCATCTGACTGGTTCTATCACTCAGCCGGGTCGCCTTACGAAGGGAAGACCCGCATTAGACTAGCATACCAGAGCTGCAACCTTTTCCTGCAGAATAACTGTACTACCAACAGCTTACCTTTTAAAGCTCATGGTCCCCATCTCCAGTCATATTCCATTTTTCCTACAAGAGGATTACCCCCATCGCGATGATCAAAGCCCTGCCGGACTGAGCGGTATTTTCAGTGGCTTTCGTTCGCCCTAGCCTCTCAGCTGCCTATTTCCAAAGAAGATCATCTGATTTAGCAGTTATATGTAGATAAGCCTTAGGTTAGTAAATATAATATATCTCAAAGAAGATAGCGGCCCTTTAACAGCGATACTAGTGGAATTCGGATTAGCTGAAAGTACCTTTACCCCAGGCGAACCTCATATACGAACAGCTTGGCTGCCAAACTCTACCTATAGATACCCCATTAGTTAGTAACTGTAGTTCAATCACAGATGGGGCGTATTTTCACGTCCATGGCTCGATATTGTGTGCAGCTTTGAGAAAGAATCGAGGCCTGTTCTATTATACGGCATACACACGTAAAGATACAAGCTACGATGCAGAAGTTCCTCGAGCATACCTACCGGTAGGTACCTAGGTAGAACTAAAAGTAGCAATCACGGAATCAAACTCAATTCTCCGACTGAAATTCGTACTCTATTCATCGTAAAAATATTCCGAAGGAGGATCGTCTCGCATGATCTAGTGGTAGAGATATTCTAGGTAGTCATCTGGAAACGCTCCTTGCGTTAACCCTGGTATCGCCTCTTACCCATCACGTCCACGTTCCATTTGGTGGTCCGAAGTATCCGACGTCCGGCATTTGCAGCCACGGCAAGCCTTGCCCATCAGCAGTGTTTTGCCATCTAAAAGGAGCTGTCAGCATAATTCACGACTACGTAACCAACAGATTGGCGTTAGTAAGGGATGCTTACACTGTGTTTCCCCACCAGTCTGGGAACTGCACGTTCGGGCCGTATGTCACGGCGAAGAAGATAACAATACCGCTAACAGCGAGGCCCGTGTCCAGGGCGGCTGCGAGGACGTAGTTGTACTTAGTCCACCAAGCAAAGAACTTCTTGTATATGATCTTGTTGAAGACAAGATTGACGATATACCAACTGCTATAGTTAATGCCCGTGGCAGGCGGGACGTTATATGTCCCGACGAAAATCAGGGGCCAGTTGATCTTGCGGACGAATTCGCTGCCCGTCTTCTTCCAGATAAAGTACGTGATGGGTGGCAAGATCAGGCCAATCCAGAAGAAATGCAACAGACCGCTGTAGATCTTGCCAACAGAATACAGACGCGCGGGACCGACCAAGCCCCAGATGACGGAGCTACTGTAGACGGTGCGTCCCACTGGGCAAGTAAAGCCATTAGGTTGGTCCGATTCACAGATTCCGGGTATATTGCCTAACATCCACAGAGTAACTCCAACTTGTGTAAGGGCACCAAGCACCGTTGCTAAGCCTTGCGCGAAGAACAGAGTACGTGGCGGAATCTTCAAGTAGTGGCCCAGCTTCAAGTCAGCAGCAAAATACAGCCCTTGACCCACCACATCCGTCGACAGAGTCTTGAATAGGATGTTCGCAATCGGCCTTCCCTGGAACAGGTATCCGCCGATGAATTCAGACAAGACGTTAATCTGATTAGCGTCGACATTCGTCACGCCCTGGATCATTCCGCAAGGCACCATGTAAATCATTCCCATAGCGAAGGCGAGAACAATGCCGTATACTGGCAAGCCCGTGTGATAAACCTCCGTCATAGCAACGCTCATTGCGAAGACAATGACCACGATCGAAGTCCACCAATACCATGGCGCATCCTTGTAGGCTTTCATGAGGCGCGCGTGGATATCGAGCTTGAGAGTCCCACGGACGGCGTGCTTAATTTCATCATAATGGAAGAAATAGATGTGCGATAGGACGCTGGTGATAGACGCGAAAGACAAGCCGTAGACGAATGCAAAGGTCGCGGGTAAGTACGGTGGGGAGTATGCCGCATACTTTGCCTCGTCAAACAGGTTGTTGGTGATGACTTTGGTCGTGTCGTAAAGTTCTCCGAAGCGGTCATACACGTCCGCCGTGCAAAGGGGCAGATAGGAGGTGAACCACGTGTTGGTGTAGAAAATAGCAGGGGTGACGATCCAGAAGAAGACGGCAAATCCCACGAAGACATTCAAGGCCGCCCAATGGGGGCTCAGCAGCGGATTGGTATTATATACGACCATAGACCAGTCGAAAGTTAGGGGGAATAGTCCGAGGCCGGTTACCATTCCGAAGACTTGATTCACCGCTAAGTTGTTCGGCGCGAGCCAGCAGATCCAGGTGAAGTAGCTCAGGCCCGTGAAGATCAAGCCAGGAAACCAGTACCACACGAACGAGGCAAAGCCAACGACCATGAAGAACTTGATACGGGTTATCTTCCAGCCGTCAGCCACCGCATTGGCTCGCGAATGGATGGAACTCAACAACGCAACATTGCCAAGAACACCCGGCCAGATCATCGTAGCAGGCTCGACAAGCAGCTTTCGGGACAGGCCAGCAACGCCATAGCCGCACAGCTGGCAGCAAATGACTACCATGACCGAGAACCCGGTCTTCATTTCGAAGCCGTAGAACCGAGCGGCTTGAACAATGTTCGTCGCGTCGGCAGAGCCGAACCCGAAGGAGACGTTGCTCATGATAGTGACCATAGCGTGCTCCTTGATGTTGAAATGGCGATCGGGGTTAAATCGGCCGATGGGTAGTATCTTGGCGAGCGCGACTCCAAGCGGGAACGCCAACAGTTCCGCGACAAGGGACACGATGTGAACTCCCGGATAGCGCAGCGAGAAGAATTGATTGACCCCGGCACCCAAAAACACAAAAATCTGTTGTCGCACATTAGCAACGCGTCCAAAGAATTATTTTCTACTCGTCCCTCCGAAACGTACAATACCCAGAAACCAAGCTCGGAAGGTGTTTACGGGCATGGCGGGATCATCCGTCTCCGGTACAACAGCCCTGACTGCCGGGAACGGGCTCGTGTCGGCATCGTAATCGCCCTCCTCCTCGACCTGGTGAAGAATCTCACCCATATCGACCTCGAGGTCGGCCAGGTGCCCACGTTCGATCTCCACATCGTGACTTGTCGTGTATTGGTCCTTTCCGGTCTTGTGGTCAGTAGGGAGGTCATTGCTATTGTTGTCGCTAGCGCTGTTCTCAAGCGCTAGGCCATCTTTCTCGGCTGCCATGATTGGCGGTAGGACCTCTCTCGTCGAGGAGTTAAACGGGTGAGTGAACAACAATATTAACGGATGAGCAAACGATTGCGACGAGGCGACAAGCGCATTGTTATTAGGAATTGAAGTCGGCTCTATGTTGACGAATCCGGCATGGGGGAAGCCGAGGTGTTGGCCACCATGACGCGGTCGCAAGACGCTGTTATGTGGTTATCTCAAAGGTGATAAGCTTAGTCTCATTATTTATCTCATTTATCGCCGTTATGGCACTGTTTGTTAGCAGTTCTGTTATCGTCCGCCCTCTTTCCCCGAGGTCTGGGTCACCTCGCGATAGATAAGATCGACCAGACCACGGGCAATTCTGAAATAGGCAATGCTACCAGTCCAATGCTGGAGTCGGTGCTACGACGGAGCCAATCAGATATTGCGGCTTTATCTGCTTCTCCTCCTGCCCCTTTTAGCGACATCAGCTAAATCAGGACTAATCGTTTTTCAAACGTTAAGCTGAAAAAGCAGTTATCTATAGCATAATGAATAAATATTTAATTACTTCTTGAAATAGGGGGTATCCATACAGTTTATCAGGGACGTTGCCTATAAGATCAGCCATAAGGAATGGGCCAATCAACTTTTGGGGAGGTCCCTGATTAGGAAAGCTTTGTGCGACAGCTGACAGCTCTTCGTTATGCTGATTGGCTCTCATACTGTTTTTGTCAGCTATCAAATACGGTACGATCGCTCGCTTACGCCGTCGACAAGTTATATATAGCATAATTTCGCCCGACACTATCGAAATCAAGGTTTAGAGCTCTTTGCACGGCAAAATCGTTGCCACCTAATCTCCTAGGTACGCATCATAACATCAAGTGCTTCCTGCATTCCCAGATTCTTTGAAACCACAGCGTGTTAGCCTCCCATCCAGTCAGGTCAATATCGTCGTATTTGGAAAGTTCAATCACAATCTTCTATCCTGAGAAGAGGCCTACCAAGGTCTACCCCATTGCACTAAACTATATGAACATGCTCAAGGTTTGAACCGCCAAATAAAACTTTCCTTAGAGCCATTTCCTCTGCATTTCGATTATCCTCGGGATGTTGATATTCGAATATACCTACACGCGTATAACGGCCCGTACCCTCTGCGTCGGTGACGATGAGACCGGTAGGTGTATCACCTGACTCGTAAAACGGTACAAGCTCAACAAGAAACACTCGCTGTTCTCCTCTGTTGCCTCTGTCGATGGTGTACATCCCCTCTTCCGTATCCGGAACAAACACGAGCGTAGTGTAGTCGGTCTTTTCAAAAACAGTGGTGGGGTTGCTTTCGGTTGCAATCTTGTGGTTGTGTCCTTGAATTGTGCTTAGCTCTTTAGTTCTCGCGTGTATCTTGACGAACCCTCCCTTAACAGCGCTGAATGGCGCTATTTTATTCTCGAGCTCAACTCCATATTCGCATAGTCTTATATCCTCAGTTTCTTCCGCAATGTTCCAATTGCTACTAAACGGGTATCGACTGCATGTTATGATACGGCCGTTGAGTGAAGACCAACTCCACGACGGAGATCCAGTAGGAATGCGGCTTGTACTCCGCATTTGGTACACCCTCCATAAGAATTCATTTCGCCAGGAGTAATTTTCTGGATCTGATGTATCTACCATGAGCCCCGCAAGGTATACCAATTTCTGATTTCGCTCCCTCCCCATGGGAATGAGGCTCGATGCCAGAGCAGAAACTGCCGGCAGCTTATCCGTAGAAACACCCAAGTATCTTTGCGTGTAGTCATTGATGAGGTTCCTCCACACATAAGTAACCGGATAGTCCCGAAGTCCAGATATAGTATGCACATTGGCAACCCGAGATTGATATGTCGTCATGACGCGAGGCTTTAGCACCGGCTCGAAACCACCGCAGCTGGCGTTGGCAACAGTACAGGTGAAATATAGATGGTAAGAGGAGAATATTAGAATACGCCTCGATAGCAAGGCCTCTTGGAGCGTCCATCCTCGTAGTATGATAGGTTCCGGAGGTCTCCGTCCGTTGAAATAATCGAATTCAGCTAGAGCCTGGACAGATCCAAAGGTACCTATTGAGGTCTTAGCTCGTAGCTTTATCGGACCAAATTTATAATTCGCAACATCTTCGTCGCGAGATAAAATGAAGCCTTCTGAGCACCTGGATGCCGACGCGGCGCAGATCGTGACTGTGCTCTGGCCATAATAAAGCTCCATGCGGGATATTTCATGGATCTTATCCTCAACATTATCTTGGATGATACAGAGAGCATCAATCCACAGGTATTTCAACCCTATTTCGTTAGTAAGCCATGCTGCGTCACGAAGACTCTTTGGCAGCTGTGCCACTGGGATGCCATTCCCAAGATTGTCAACGGTATCACGAGTTAACTGTATGGGCTGTGGTCCTCCCCAGCAATAGGATAGGATTGCGAAACCTTCATGGGATACCGTCTCACTTTCAATAGCCGAAGGCGAGCTACGGCCAATAAGTTGAACGAAGAGCTCCGAATTCTTCGTCACTAAACGTAAGAGGCGAGAAGGAATAGAATTGGGATCGATTAATGTTGGCCCCTGACGAGCCATGATGTCACCAATCGATCGCCTACATTGTTCGTGATCATTCTGACACGACCGAATACAGCGACGAGAGAACTCTATACTAAGGGGGGAGGCAGGATCCAATTCATAAGGTCTAGTGGAGATATCGACTGTGGCGGCGTTGCCTAGAAGCGCGGTATTAGAAATTTGATATCATAGAACCATAACTTGGCGAAAGTAGCATATATATATATATACATTATCTACATTACCTTCATGTGTCCAAAGTGATAAACGCGAGTAGCCGAGCACATTATTTTTCCTTGCTCCATCATCTGCTATTTCATTCACCGTAAGAACAAGATCTGCTGGAAAGTCGGGCAAGTTCTCTTTCTCAAATCGAATCGAGAACTCTAGATTTCGATTTGTGCTTCGAAGTTCTTCCAACCGAATCTCCCTCTCCAAGCTCACGATGAAAGCATGAAAAAGATTACATCGAGCTTGGTCAGCTGCAACGACTTCCTTAACCCCACACGTGAATTGCACGGTGTCTCTGCTTAGCCCGAAGTCAAGCGTAACCTGTTGACAATATTCACAAGTATGAGGTGATTTTGATGTAAAAATCATGATGATTCGAAGTTCAAACTGGTCCAGGGTCAAGAATACGTAATGGCCTGTTTGAATTGGTAGCCTCAAAAATCGAACAGGGCCATACCACGCGCCCAGATCACGTACGTCTTATGTAGGATAAATTAACGTGATAAATGTTAGGAAAAGTTTGACGTAAACTTCAGTGGCGTTGGGAACGTCGATTCTAACAGAATGGCCGCGGCGGGGTTTGGTAAAGTTAGAACAGAAACGTTGAAATGAAGCTCTATGGTGGGCTATTAAATCGAGGCGGCCAAATAAGGCAGAAGGATGACGACCTAAAATCAGACAGCTGGCAGCCAGGTGATACCAGGTGGCTCCATCTACGCCTCATAAGTATCCTAGAAGTGAGGTTATCACGAAACGGCATTCTTCCTCAATCAAATGCCGCTGGTGGTGTTTTGCCGGCACATTTAGATGGACAAGTTCCATGCTCATACCCTGGGTACCTAGGGTAAGGTACGTGGAGTAATCTCCGGCTTGAGAAGTGTGGCTGTTGACTAGCGTAGAAGCTCAGGTAGCATGCCCGGAATCAGGTCGGGAAACATCATGAGGACTGTTCGTGACTGGTTTCTAGTTAGTAGTATTTATGAAATGAAATTTACTTTCAATTTCCCTCATCTATTTGATCCATGCTTTCCTAATTGTTTCCAAAATCCGTTGCTAAGATGCTGAGCGCGGTAGATGAAATGGCAATTTCACGCGCATTTTACTTGGATTGTTTCGGCAAAAGTCTTCCTTCTGGTCAATGCGTTAAAACATGCACCAGTGACCCGTCTTATTGCAATTATATCAAAGTGTTATGCAGAAAAGCGAAGAAGCTGCTTATAGGAATTACTTATTCATCATCTCGCACCTACCTACCTTTAAGTAGGCGATGCATGGATTGTTCAAGCGAATAGATGCTCAGGTATTCAATCGCGACCGGTTTCATATTTTTATGTTGATCATTAATTTGAGGTTCTATTATTGTAAAGTTAAAATGTAAATATGCATTGCCGAGAAGTGTCTTATACGTCATATGAGTGTAACGACTACGTCATATTCTCCTCACATATCAGCAGCTCTCACGAGTACATAATCGATACAAGTCCTTGTCTCAGTCAGTCTTTTCAACATTCAACTACCAACCTATACCTATGATGCTTTTTCTTAATCAAGCTTTGGTAGTCAACACATGAATTGAACTTGCTTATCTCCAGAGTATCGTTGACAATGGCTGAACAAGATCGCTACGGTGGTTGGTTCGGCGGGAACAAAGCCGACAAGGTACAGGAAAAGGCCCAGCAAGCTGTTCCAAAGGCCTCTGGTGCTGAACAGGACCGCTATGGTGGTTGGTTTGGAGGAGACAAGGCAGACCGGGTGAAAGGGGCAATGCCACAAAACCTACCCAAGGGCTCTGGTGCGGAACAAGACCACTATGAACGTTCCTTCGGTGGTGACAGACTACCTTCCGCCGGCCAGGCTAGCGAGAGCCTCCCTCAAGTATCGGGTGCTGAGCAGGATCGATACGGGCGCTGGTTTGGTGGAGATAAGTTCACTGACATTGAAAGACGGCTACCGAGGACATCAGGGGCTGAGCAAGATCGATATGAGCATTGGTTTGGAGGTCACAAGCTTCCCACTAGACTCGACATCGAGAAAAGGCTTCCTAAGACATCGGGAGCTGAACAAGATAGGTACGAGCGTTGGTTTGGCAGACACGATGGCCCGTCAGCTACCCAGCTGAAGGAAAGCTTGCCGACAGGTTCCGGTGCAGAGCAAGACCGTTACGGATCTCACTTTACATCCAACCGCCCAGCTAACGTCAGATTTGTTGGCACGACCTCAACGCTGGGCCTTCTCCAGCACGCAATTCTTCCGTCCTTCGGTTTCCATAGTGGCCTTAGCGTGATTGCTTACGGCGTGGGCCGGTACACTGACACAGTCGAGGCCAAAGATTGGCTATGGCCAGCCGGGCAGGTTGCCAACGCTTGGTGGAGCGCAATCGGAGCTCCTGTCGTTTACGAAGGGCTATCCTTCTCAGAGGCATGGGATGCATTGTCGTATAATCAGAAGCTTCTCCTTGTTGGAGTCAGTGCCTGGGGTATCCGCCTGTTCTATCGTATTGCATCGCGCACTCTTCGACGCGGCAAAGATGACCCACGTTACGAAACGTCTGCCAGGAAGCAGCCAGATTTCTGGAATAAGGCATTCTTCACCATGTTCCTCCCCGAGGCCCTTATTCAAACTTTGATTTCTTTACCATTCACTCTGCCGTTCCGAGCTCCAATTGCTAGCGCCCTGGCTGCCCCGTTCCCCGAAGCGACCACGATCTCTCACAGCCTTGCTATCTTCCTGTTCACAGCTGGTTACTCACTAGAAACCGTGGCCGACTCTCATTTAGAAGCCCACAACCGCACAGCCAGCGCCGAACTAAACCGTGAGGGCGTGTGGAGCATTGTTCGCCACCCCAAGTAAGTTTCATTGCCGCCTCGAAAACATTAAAGACAAAATACTGACCATTTACAGTTACCTTGGTGATGCTCTATGCCACTTATCATTCCCTCTCCTTCTCTACAGTGCTGGGCAACTCCACCCACTCACAATTGTTGGTCCCATCGCCAACTACATTTTCCTCCGTTTCATTAGTGGAGACAAGGCAAACGAAGAGAATCAAGAGAAGCGCTACTCAAAAGAAAATCCCGTGAAGTACCAAGAACTCCAGCAGTACAAGCAATCCAAGAACAGCTTTTGGCCCGGTTTGGCAGAAGTGAGCAACAAGTGGCTGTGGGCTATTGCTGCAGCTGGTGCTGGCGGTGTCGTCGTCGAACGATCACTCAATGGTCTCTTGAGATCCTAAAACTGTATTATAACTATAAAAATGACCTCCTGGTCCTATACTTGTATTTCCACCCATGTTCCATAAGAAAATTAAAAATTGCCGGCGTTTTCATCCCAAGGAAGTTCGCATGTCGTGGCTAAATTCCAATTCACGTCTGTCTGCGATGTTTGGCCTGGGCCAACGAATGATGAAAACATGGCAGGATCGATAGTAGCAGGGTCGATAGTAGCAGGATCGATAGTAGCATGTTCTATCGATGTGCTAGATAGCCCAGTTTGCTCCAGTTGTGATGATGCTGGCACCACCTGCTGGCTGGGAAGTTGGTATACCTCTGCGCCTGCTCTTTCGGAACTTGAGGATGTTTCCCCCTGGCCTGTGTCCGATTTATTGGAATAGCTCTCCGTGAAATCGTTTATGAAACGATTCAACAATCTAAATTCGATTGTCTGAAGCATCGCATCTAGGTCGCGTTCCTCCCGTGGGGTATCATAAGAGATTTCCCCATTAGCTTGCAAATGTTCTGGTATAATAGCAGGCCCCCTCTCGTGTAGAAACTCTCGAAGACTCGCCAGCGTCTCGTGGATCGGTCCTTGAACGTAGGGAGATAATGGTCGTTCTTCCACTCCTGGGAATACGATGTCCCACATACTGTACCATTGCTGTTCAACGCTGAGTTTCTTATCCACTTTGTTTGATAACTCGGAGAGCTGATCGTGAGATAAACCCTCCGGCTCTTGGAAATCTCGCGTGCTGCACCGTCGTTCTCGTATATGGGATCGCTCATCCGGCTGAGATTGAAACACTTCACCGCATGAGGGGCAGTAAAGTGGCTGGATGTGTTTTCGTCGGAGGTGTTGTTTAACGTAACTAATTTTCGTCAGTTCTTTGAGGAGACAGTCGCAATGTCGGACTCTGTCGTGTTTATAATACGGACACGCAAGAGATAATCGCGTTGCCGTATTTTGGCCTTTGTCAAGTGCCCCTTTCCCCTTGCCTGATGGGGCCCGATCCTCGTCCGGTTCACTAGATCCTTCTTCGTCTCCTGTCTTGCGTCGTTTGCTAGATTTGGAAGTATTCGGTATTCCGGTAAAGCCTACCGATGGTCTTCCACCGGCTTTGCCTCCTCCTGCGCAACTTCTCCACGCAGCAAATTCATGGAGCGCAATTCTCTCTATTTTTGGGATGGTCCGATGAAGGGGGTGCCCTTCTTGAATGAAATCATCATCACTTGAGTCCAAACTCGAGTCGAGCCCACTAGAGTAATCGGGGGCCCTATCCTTTGGCAACATTTCAAAGTTTTTCGGTGATCCGAATACTGGATGTACGAATCTTGCCATTTCTAACGAAGACAGCCCTGGTACAGGCATCGGCATAATCAATGCATGGCTATGATGATGATGATGATGATGATGATGATGATGATGATGATGATGATGATGATGATGTCGTTGCCCTACTAGATGTGGTGATTCTTGTTGTGGTGATTCCCGGAAACCCTCGCCGTCTACGCTTCGAGGACGAGGCTGCGCACCGGCAGGAGACGCATTGTCATCATCAGAGTGTGATGGTGGCTTGGGCGAAAGTGGGGGGCTGGAGGGAGGAGAAGCCATGTTTGTCGTTGAAATGTCATAAGGTAGATAGTAATTAAATACAGGTAGGTAGGTAGCTAACCCGGATGGAAACACGTTCAGTAACCACCTTTGAAGAGAAATAGTAATTTATAACCACGACAATATATCTTTTCGGGTGTTTCCAGTTCGAGGATGTCCTTTGATTTATAGTTGAATAGTGTAAGGGGAAAGTTCCTCAATGCCACCTATCCCATACAAGTAGGAGCACCATTGTGCTCTTCAATATCCACTTCACTGATGAATATGAGGGCACTATTTAGGTACCAACATCACTACCTAACAGTCGTCTGACAACAGTTAAATGGAATGATTGGGTAAGCTGCATTATGATGTAATACAACTATACCTACCTAGGTACCTACCTATCCAAAACGAGATGTTCACTTTGGTGGCGTTTACTAGGTAATTCAAATGGCATTTAAGACACGTCGGTTACTTTAGATGTACACACCAAAAGCAAAATTATTTTCAATGGAGACAACACGATCCGTTTTATTCTCTCTAGAGCTAAATCGGTGGAAACAATCTGATGCGAAGGGTAGAGATATGTACAAGTGTAGAATATATACGGCCGTAAAGCCTCTGTCCTTTAACAGCCCATGGCTTAGACCTCGACGGTGGAGCCAATAGGTCCGAAGCGGATGTTGGACCAGATGACCTTGCTGCGGAATTGTTAGTCACGGAACCGTTGAGAGTAGAAAGAGGGAATACGTACGCATCGGGGATCGAGGCCTCGACGTCGGCGGGAACGCCGGAGTCCTGGGCGCAGTCACCACGGTCACCACCGGGCTGGCCGGCCTTCTCAGGGGGGTAGCTGGAGTCGAGCCAAAGCATGTTGGCGTAGTGCTAGAGCGCGAAAGAGTTAGCGAAATATGGATCGAAGAAAGGGGGTCTGGTGGGGAAGCTTACGTCGTCCCAGATGGACATGACAAGAACCATGGGGACGTCGAGGGCGGCGTTGAGCTGGTCGAAGCCACCGACCTCGGTGAAGCGGTCGCGGTCGCCGAAGGCGGTGACCTCGGCGGTGCAGTACTCGGGGGTGATGTCGGAGGTGGCGGGGAAGCCGTCGCCGGTGGGGGCCGGGATCTCGATCTTCTTGCCGTCCTGGACGAAGAACTGGGTCAACTTGTTGTCGCTGAACTGGCTGACGACGGTGAACTTCTTGCTGGTGTCGACGGTCTTGCCCTTGCCGTAGAAGTCGTGGTTGCCCATGCGGTACGGGTTGTAGTCGCAGCCGTTGGCGTCGCATTTGCCGGCGAATCGGTCCTCGGAGTAGGTGCCGCCGCAGTTGTCGGTCTCGCAGACGTGGTAGTTGTTGTCCGTGCAAGGGTGGGGCGTGAAGGCGAAGGAGTGCAGGTTGGACTCCCACACGTCGATCTCAGCACAGCAGGCACCGTACGGGCCGACACCGGCGTTGGCGTCGTTGGTCGAAGGCTTCCATCCCTCGACGTTGGCCTTGCCGCCGACGAACTTCAGGTCACGCGCGCACTGGGCGTCACAGTAACCGGTACCGTACTTGGCACCGGCCTTATTGGTGGGGTAGCTGGCCATGCCACCGTCCTCCTCCATAGCGACGAAGTAAAGAGCGGCGTTAAGACCGCAGTCGACGGTGGAGAGGTCGACGTCGAAGGTGAACTCGTTACCCTTGAGATCGAAGGTCTGGTACTTGTCCGCGCCGTTCATCAGGTAGAATCGGGAACCGATGTTGGTGCCGTAATCGTGTTTGGTCAGGAACTTGAGGGTGAGAGCGTCGCCGCTGGTGGTGGCACCGTAGGTCGTGCTGTAGTCGGCACCCTCGACGGCGCACTTGGTGGCGCAGTCCTCGGCGGAGCTGCACTCCGAGGTCCACTCGTTGCCGTCGTAGCAGTTTTCCGTGCCCTCGGTGGTGTGAAGCCATCGCCAGTTGGAGTCGATGGTCACTTCGGCGTCGGTCTGGGTGCAGGAACCGCCGCTGGTGCACTTCTTCCAGCTCAGCTTGGGGTGAGTCTCAGTCTGCTCCGTTCCGACCTGCTGGGCGGATGCCAGCCCGAGGAGGGCGGCCGACACGGCGAGGGACAACATTTTTTTTTTTCTTTTTGGCGGGTGACTGTTACCAAGGGTAAGATGTTTTCAACCTGGAGCGCGATGGTGAAGCGTAAGATCCGGAAACATGGTGTGGAAACTGGGACTCGACTCGGTTATATACACCAACGACGTGGCGGTTTGCCCAGCGATAAACTTTTCTCGACTCCATATTGCCGGCAACAGGCTCCGTCTCGACAAGGCCAAGTCGTGGCAGGGCATAGTCGATCACTGACTTTCTCGGTCCTACGGCCATTTTGGATTAGATTAAAATATCAATTATGCTACTAACGCTCCGGCGGGTGTTCCGAGAACGAAGGGCTGTGGTTGGCTCCCCACGACAAAGTACAGCCTGCACCATGTTCGTTCTCGAATCTTGGGGGCGACGATACCAAACGGGAGAGTCAGTACATCTAAGAGGTGACAAGTCATTGCCCAAAACGGTTCTCGTACGTTGATACGATTGATACGACCAATAGGACAAGCGCGTTCGGTGGGTGTGGCGATCCAAATAATGAACCAAGAAAAATGCCACTGATATTAGATGCCTACCTGGGTGGTTCACCACATATTTCCGACTCAATATAGATTGGATGGTATAAGTTTCAGGATCGTGGCCCGAAGTAACCTGGGGTATTTGCGGGGAACGGGGGCAGACGTTGATTTGGGGATGCCAGGCGTGGCAAGATGAACGTATTTGCCTCAGTGGTGGCTCTGCGGCCCGTTATGTCCATCCCGGAGATCGAGCCGCCGCGTTGGGATGGAAACGAGATAGGTAGCGCAGCGGGGCCTCCAGAAGAAATATTCGCACTAGAACGGAAGACGATTCCTCCACCGGAGACTCAAGCGAGCATAAAAAACGGAAATGACGCGAAGTTAGAGCCGCGACCAGTCGTATCATACTTCCGAATTTGTATCGTAAGACGACGACCACAAGTTATGATGATATAGAGCATTGAGAGGAAACGGATCACGAAACAGACGCCCACATTTTCGCAGTTCTTGAACGCACTTCAGGGTGTTTGGGTTTAGCCATGCCAGGGCGCCACCATACGACCGCACGAGGGGATCTCAGCGGCAAGATCTGGTGTAACCCAATGGAGCGATAGTATTGGAGGAATAAGTTACTAGGGAAAATGATCGACAGTTCGAAATGCCGTTAACGTCTACGATGCCGCGACTGGGGTTATGGAAAATATATTTCGATATTATCCAGGAACGCCAAGCCTGGTAAGCTCCGTGGAGAGAGCCTGGTAAAGGCACTTGCTACCGTCCAATATGTTTAGCCAATTGATACCGGAACCCTTGGATAGCCCTTGGAGTAAACTGATGCAGGTCCTCGCATGGTATGGTTCGTCCAAACTTCATCCTTCATCTCAGCAAGTGACCAACTTGCCAAGACCAGTCTAACTCTGAACCGAACATCTAGGTAAGTAACTATTTGTGATCCTCCCCCGACACGGCGGTGGGATGAAGCCTTTATACACTAATAAGGAGACATTGCTCTATAGGTAGGGGATCAGATGACTTCAGTCTCTTGGCTTATGCGTGACAGTCTTCAATTATGCTTGCAACACGATAAACTCATGGCGCTTGGAGCCGATAATTTACTTGAAGAGATGACTTTAGGCACCTAGCCGCCCACAATATCGGATTTTCAAAACGAGAGGTAGGATTAATACGGCTCTCGGTTAACCTGTCAATGTCAAAGCTTTCATCTTACGGATGTTGCCATTCTTGAGTAGGATGAGAATATGTCCCTATTATATCGCGGTGGGATAATCTAAATATCATGTCTGCCTGCTCTGTCGATCTAGACCACTCAATGGGAGAGTGGCGACTATAGACATTAAGGGTCCTTCGCTAGGCTCCAACGTTGCGATTTAATATACTCTGTAAGCGCCTCATAGACGCGAAGCTCCGCTGTTGGACAATGGCAACAACCTATTATTTCATGGAGAAACTAGGCAATTCCCCCCTCCGCGCTCTTCAAGGTAGATAACCTTTCCTGGATGGTGCCAGATATTTTCCGCCGAGACCATAAGTAATATATCACGTCCTTACATATATTCTCGTGTTATAATCGACGCTAATATCGCAACATCAATATCGGAGTTTGCCCCTGAGAAGTTACCCAAGGGGAGCAAAACTGCGTAGATAACCGGGATGTAAACATCACTCTTATATATACTCATTTAATAAACTCTTTAAGCCGTCTCCTCCTTTTGGTATGCGACTTACGAGTCAAAAGCTACGCGACAAGAGGTATCGGAGACTAGTTAGTAAGAGGGGGTTGGCTGGGAAGAATCAAGGCATGATCCTCACGATTCGAGGAAACATACATCATGTACGAGAATCATTGCAAGCTGATGGATTTGATGAAAATACTCCTTGGGGAGGAGTTGGTCATAGACATTGATCGAGATTATTCGCGATGCAAAGGCATCAGAAACCCATAGCAATATCAAATCAAACACGATTTACTTAGGCACACAGCTAACACCAAGTCCTTGACACCAAGTCCAAGAAATCGCCGACGCAGCAAGCTAAGCATCAACAGTAGTAGTAATCCAGAAGTCCTTAAGCAATTATAGCAAAAGCAATGAAAGCTAAAAGCACCGAAGCACCGAAGCGAATTATAACAAACAAAAGCAGGACGGCATATAGGGGGTATCCTTTAACTCAACCCAACTCAGCGTACTTTCAGTCCCCCCCAGTTCAATCCGTCATTAACCACCAATCACCAGTTACCAGCCACCAGCGAGATCATAGGTCGTAGGTCATCCATTATTGTCATGAACCTGAACCTCTCTACCCAGCTCGGCTTGAATCACGCCCCTGTCATATCGTATCATATCCCATTACCCCCAGCTCATCTCATCTCATCTCATCTCATCTCAACTTAACTCAACTCATCTTCAGCAGCGACACCATCCCACTTCCTCGCCGGCAGCTTGCGGACCTTCTTCTGCGGACTGCCATTGCTCGACACCTTGAGGACCTTCTTGTTCTTCTCCTCGCCGCCGTTCATGCGAAGCTGCTCCATGCGGTTCCCCAGCCCCGCCAACGCATCAGCTCCGACCGTGGACGATCTGGTGCTGGGCACGTCGCCCCTCTCTTGAAGCGGCGAACGCTTGCTCGGCGTGCGGCCGGAGAGCTCGCGCTTTAGGATCGCGACTTCTCTCCGCAACCGCTCGTTCTCTTCCTCCAGGTTCTCGATAAGTATGTTCTCCTTATCCTCGTTCTCGGCCTCGTCGTCTTCGGAGCTCGGCGCCGTGACTGTGACTACGCCGACGCTTCGAGCGAGCACCTCGACCTTGCGGTCCCAGTGCTCTTCGCCGCGCTCCTGCTCTAGGGAGAGCGAGGCCTTCCAGCGTCCCATTTCCAGGGACAGCCGCTGCTCGAAGTCCGCGTAGCATTCTTCTCGAATCTCTTGTTCGAGGTCTGCGATACGATCTTCCATTGATAGCAGATGCGCCTCCGCGGTCATGCGCTCTTCTGATTCTCGTGCTAGCTCGGTATTCAACTGGTCGATGATATCCGCCATCCTAGCAATCTCCAAAGCCGCGTTCTCCATAGTCGCCCGCTCCGTATCCGTCATAGGCGAGAACATCCGACCATGACTATTATTAGACGGTTGGTAATAAGGCTTTTGGTGAGACATAACGGGTGAGCTTGTAGGGCTGCAAGAGCCTACGCTTGACTCTGATTGACCTGACTGCATTGTGGTGTTTGCCAGGATAGTAGACGTGATGGAAGGGATACGTGGAACGGTGACCTCGCGAGCTAGAGCACTATATCTGAGGATCTGAGAGGTCGCGTTGAAGTCTCCCAATGGATCGGCAGTAACGATCATGACAGCCTTCTGAGGCGCACGCCTACTAACAGCAGAATGTGATTGAGAAGCTGAAGGGAACGAGTTAGAGAAAAGCAACTCGGTGAGTTTACATTGACGGAAGGGGACTAAGTTAGGCTGTTATCGATGGTTAGCGGGACCCCTGAAACTTCCTGGTGGAGCGCCATGCATACCTTTGTGGTGTTGCTAGCATCACTCTGCATCTGTAGACATTGCCCGAGATACATCAGGCTTTCGTTGATCTTGCCCGCCTCAGCAAGCGTGGCCCCCTGAGTCTTGGCGTCTCTCGCTCGTTCACTACCAGCCAAGTCAACGATGCTAAGGGTGCTAGTGCCCCAACGTCCATTAGTGCGGCCACGACGCCTCTTCTTAATCTCGACACAGAAGAATCCATGACTTCTCGACGAAACACTATTACTGCCGGTGCCGGCGACTCGTCTCTCGTGTAGCCCAGCCTCTAGAACCATTAGTGCTTCATTCAAGTTACCGCAGATGACCTTCCGAAGTCCAGCTACAACTTTACGATCGGGGGATAGCTCCGTGGGCTTGAATAGGAGTGGTCGTCGTCGGTATTCCTTCGTGGCATTCGACTTGACCGGGGGAGTTAGTAGGTCGAAGATTCGATCATTATATACTTCATACATGGAGATGACGATAGCATATTCGGCAGATGGATCGCAGGACGCTCGAACTGAACTAATATCGGGAGCTTGAGGGAGAGCGGATACTCGTTGTAGGTGACGTCTCGGGGTCGGTATCGGCGGTAGGGGGTACTCGCCCTTGATTGGAGTTTTAGTAACAGTCTTCTTATTTCTTACAGCTGAAGTAAGAGACATGTAATGTTTCTTGGGTGACAAAGACTCGGCCAACTTTGGCTTAGTAGACGCAACTTGCGTTGGTGTACGCGGTATCATAACCTCCCGTTGGCTGGGAGGTGTTGAAAGTAGGGTTACTCTTGATAGGTCATCCTCGTGACTAACAACTCGGATACTCTTAGGACTGTCTGGAAATCTACCAGGCAGAGAAGGGGTGGCATTGAATATAGAAGGTCGAACGAAATTCTGTGGGGGTCCTACAATCATTGGTGTTGCAGCTCTGGACCCAGCTCTAGACGGGCCATTGTAATCGCTATAGATAGTTTCGAGGAACGCTGGAGCAGAGTGGATGGATGCTTCAGATGCATCCGAGGCTCTTATACTGGCCTCTAAGGTAGGAGACGTTTCACAGTCAACAATGCTTGAGTCGATAGATCGGAACACTACATCGAGAGCAAGCTGCGTTAAGCCTCGCTGGTTCTTGGATCCAAGCATTGTATGCGTCTAACGACATCATAGTTAGTAAATATTATTGTTGTTATTATTATCATTTTCGCGACACATCAATTGTGCATACCTTGCCTGAACCAGTGACTCCCAGAGTCGCCAGCAAGCCATCTGTGCCTTCACCTCCATGAGGCGCTAATACGCCCTCAACCAACGGAAGCACCTTAGTACCCTGGAATAGATCAAGTTGTGTGGCATCTTCTTCGAAGACTTGAGTGAATGCGAACTTCTCAATCGCTCGTCTTCGGTCGTTCGGAGGGTTCAATGTGATATGTGTGGGCGCATTGTGTTCAGCAGGTTCCTCGACCAAGAGGAAACGTTCAGCATTAGAATTACCAGCTGGAGGAGGCCGTAGTCGCAAGTAAACCTGGAAGAGGTTCGCGTGCCCTTTTTGAGGCGGTTCCATGATGATGATGCCGTACTACTGAAAAGGTGTGAAGCGGTGAGAAAATGAAAATGTAATGCAAATGCAATTACATGCAGTAGAGAAGGTGCACAAATTGGCCTCTAAACTTGTACTTTGTTTTACAATGCAAGAAATATCCCGTCGGTTGCGACTGTAACTGTTGTAGTGAAAATGGTTGGAGGTTGAGTTTTTCGCTTTTGGTTTTTGGAGATGCACATGTCATGTAACTTTGTATTTTCCACCGTCAATATTTACTTTGGAAGGTCGTTGTTTCGCCGGCAACCATTTGAAACCTCCAGGTTGCCCTGCAATCCAGCGTAAGCCACATCTAAGACCCACCCAATTGAGGCTGCTAAGCTGCGGCTCACCCCGCCCTACCGTGCCCCACCCAAAGTGATAAAAGAACATTTCCCCTCTCGAATTTTATTTCTTTTTTCTTTTCTTCTTCAGCTCTCTTTGCCGTGAGTAACCTCCACCATACCCTCGACCCGTTGAACTCTTATGCTAACAATGATACAGTTTTGGCTTAGATCAAGTGTAGTATCTGTTCTTTTCAGTTTAATCTCTGAAAGAGTTCTACTTGAACTCAATCGTGATTATTCTAATTTTTGTACCGAGGGGGCGCATCCTCTGGGCTTGCCCATGATCGCTCCCACCGTGTCCCTGGTATTACACTGCCTCCAGGTGACGCGAACACCCCACCTTTTTTTTTTCATTACGATCCGTACCTTGTGTAGGGGCGTGAGGAAGAGCGGAAGAGTCATTCCAGAATGTTGATCAAGCGGAATGAGAGTACAAGCGCAAGCTTCGTGTTGCTCGGATGCTACCCGGGCAGTGTGGCTTTCTGCACTGATCGCTAGATCAGCCTGAGTGTGCCTTCGGTTCCAACATGTACCATGCCCCCTTCTCTGACGGGCGCCTTGAGTAACGAGGGCCACGTCTTGAAGCTTCTCCATAGGCACACAGTTCTTGATCTAATAGGACGACAGACATTTGGGAAAGTAAAATCATGCATGAGACCAATAAGAAAGGCACCCGAAACGTGAGTCAAGCCATTACACTAGCTGCCCGCCTGCATAAGCAGCCAGCAAGGCTTCCGAGTCTATTTCTGGCTGGCTCAAGGTCAAATTAGACAGTTTCAATTCCATGACATGCGTCACTCGCAATTGACTTGTCAACATTCATATTCCAACCTCCCATAACGGAGGCCATTTCAATGACGAACCTAGCTAACTAGTCCATTAGAACCCCATTCTTAGATTGACTTGAACGGGAATTCCAGAATAAGAGATCTCGATTGCATGCAAAATGCACGTCACTGATGATATCGCCTATTCAAGTGGAGGAATAGAATGCTGATGTTGGTCCACACCGAACAAATATGGTAAAAAACGGAGGAGAGAAAAGCAACTCATCCGAAAAGGAGATCATCTTCTACGTACATGGATACACTACCCTTACTACGTATGTACCTTTATGGATCGCCTTGGAAAATTCTGATGGAACTCGTCTCAACTTTCGAGTGAAAATCCGGCAATAGGTGGAGATGAATAGCCATGCATATAGGTCCCAAGCTTTTTTTTACTAATGTTTTTCTATGGGGAGGATGGATACGTAGGTATGTATCGAGGTCGATGGGCCTATGGCGAACATCGGAAGTGGACCAGAGACTCGACTGCTTCCCCTACAGGTATGCAAGCAGGTATGGAGTATGTACATATATCGTGGGATGCTACACATCTGGCTTTACGTGTACAATGGTCTCCATCTCGCTTAATTTGCAGTTTCTGTACGTGGAACTGCACACAGGAGGTTCACCAAAAGTGTGTTAATTTCTACACGTGGGTTGCAACCCATTTCATATAAATTTGTAAGGCAATTGTATGAATATCCAACCATTCGGAACGGCATCTAGATCAGGAAGCTAACAACAAATTCCAAGGGTCCTATGTATATACGTAGTGTGTAAAATATTTTCTTGGCCTAGGGTCTCTCCAAGCTCATATATGGTATTACTATACTAAACGTACGAGCAAGATGGCAAAATGAAAGCCTCCACTTTCAAGCACTTCCCTGGCGGGGTTGGAGGGGCTTCATGTGTGTCATCTCTGGAAATATGACTCTTCTTCAAATGCGTCACTAGGGCCAAGGACTCTCCAAGCAGATCGTATTTCGGTGGACTTATGGATACCTTGGACCAGAATTATGTCCGTCGTATGCATGTAGACGGCGGGACATGGGATGCTCAGGATCTTTCCTGTATTTTTTACTGGTAATAGTATTGGGTCATGGCCATTAGGAAAAGACTTGAGTTCCACTGTTCAAACGCCTTGGGGCTTCGGATTAGCGCTAAACAGCGGCAGGAAGACCTCAAAAGAACCACTCAGGGTTGGTGATTGGGTTTTAGGCTCTAGTATACTGTGGGCAATGTGGGTTGATGCAAGTAAGAAAAGGCGGTGACAGACCCTTAATCGTATATTCAGTGTGTATTTTGATGTTGAAGTTGCACACTGGAAGACTAGTACGCAGTATGATGGCAAGTGGGAGAATCCAGCGTTCTAGCTCCAGTGGGTCTCTTCTCTTTTTCATAGATCATACAATCCCTGTGCTGTGCACTTGCTCCGTGCCAATAACTTTGTTGCCAAAAAGGGTATAGCCAATCTTACGCACGGCGGCAGACGAATCGGGGTGGATCACCCCACTAATGGGACAGCCGAAGTAAAAAAAAAAAAGTTTAGTAGCAAACGAATGAAAAGAATCTTTTTTCTCCCCTTCAACCTTTTCCTCCAAGGAAAACTCAACCACCTCAAGACAACGAAGTCGCATAACAAAAGCTATCAAGAAAAGTTACCAATTAGAACATATCAAACTTCGTCGAGATAATGCCTTCGGCCGTCGCTGAGCTGTAAATACCCACTGAGGGACACGTTTGGCCATCCCAGGCGTGTCCCTCAGTCCAACAGTTCACCGAGATATTCAATCCAAATTCGACCCTCGACGAAGTTATACAGGCTTTCACTGTCTTGTGTGCCCTTTCCTGCCAAAGGGTGCTAACCGGAAGCCTGAATACCTCCATTAGAATTACTGCGCATTTCGCCCATTGATTGCGGGCCTTTACAACTTCCATCTGGTGTCGACGAGATTTTCTCATCTTCATCCACCCACCAATTATCCCATACCCCGTCCTACACGCTATTGCGACAACATACCCTGGGTCAACCCCTCAAAAGGGAGAATACTTTGACCCGAGAATACGGCTTCAGATTCTATATTTCCGAAGAGCCACATTTGTATCGGTGATCTTCGAATATAGTCGGGCTTCACCGCCGTTTGCCTCGATCCCCTCAGCCCCGAGTCCGGGGGTGGATCCCTTGTTGACCCCTGCATATCTCACATATCCCATACCATTAGCACGTACATGTCACGATGTCACGGAACGTGCGCCAACAGAGGTTACCGACTACCCCAGTCAAGGCCGCCAAGCGTCGGGGCTCCGACGCTTCATCGTCGCTTGACCTATCCGACGAGAGCGGCTATTCCGGGGTAGAAGACATCAGCGATTCCGAAGACGACGATGAGGAGGATGTAGTCGCGGCCGAGGAGGAGCATATTGTTTCCGACGAACTGCAGCAGACTATCCGCAGTTCTGTCTCCCCCCGGCCGCATGGTAATAGGGACGAACAGGATGATGATGACGACGATAACGATAATGACGACGACGACGATGACGAAGAGGATCACTATGAAGGTGATGATGACGACGCGGACGAGAATGCCAGCTGGGATGGTATTTCGTCTGACGCAGATGCTGATGATGACTTGACTATTGATCAGGGATACACGAGCACGGAACGCCGTGTTCGCTTTGACATCCCTGACGACTCATCAGACGGAGATTCAACCGAAACTGATGAGGATGTAGACCATGGCTTCTTCCCCGATCTCTTCGTTGATAAAAGCATTCTAGACCCATCTTTCCGTCGAGAGATCGAACATGATCCCGACCCCTATGACTCATCTAACTCGGAAGCATTCTGGGACCACTACGGCAACGATACAGACTGGATGGGAAACAGCATCGACGGCGGAACCTCTGATTATGAAGCTTTTCTTAGAGAAATAGGTGAGGACGACAGCACACCAGTCGCTACACCTATGACAAGCCACGACCTATCAACTGCTATCAACACGCCAGTCGACTCTTCCGACAATGACGAAGTTTCCCTTGATGGATATCAGAGTGAGTGAATGGAACTTGGTTTGTATCTAAATATGTGCTAATCTTCCCCATCCAGCTGATGGGGATACCACCGATGAAGAAGATCCACCTGAGAAACCTGTTCGACGTAAGAGTCGGCGGGAAGCTGCGGATGATTCCTCCGATTCGGATGTTGTGACACTTATCCGGCCTCGCCGTGGCCAGCCACGTGTCGGGCGATTTGACCTCGACAAATCTAGCAAGAAACCAATTGCGATCTTAAATCCCAGAACCGGCAAAATGATGATATTCACTCATCAGTGTATGAGAGGTAGAGGTTTTGATCTCTCCCCAGAGCAGTTCAATTTCCAGTATTTCGAACAGACCCAGTCATCTCCTATCCTCAGCAACCCCGGCAGTATCATGATGAGCGGCATGATATCATCTAGCACATATGGGGACTTTATGAATTCCCATGCCATCGGCCCTGCCGAGGCTTGGTACGTCCAGGCATCCGACGGTAATGTGGTTGAGACTTCTGAATCCGACGACCAAGTCGTTGATGACGCAGAGAAAAGTCTCAAGCTGGAAGATTTCATCACCCTAGATGATGACGACGATGACGATGAAGACTCGTCGGAAGCAGAGAAAGTGCTCGAGCATGACGAAGTGGACGATCAAATATTTTATACGCCGGGCCGCACTCCCGGCCGTCCCAGCACCGCGAATAGTGATGTGACAGACCTTCTCAACCACTTCAATCACAATGCCAACATCGTCGGTGCATTCCGTCGAGACCAAGTGAATCATCAGTTGATCAGCCGTAGCAAAGCTACCCGAGAATCGCTTGCGTTCTCCGGCCCCTATTTCGAAGGCACTCTTCGTGGCATCAAGGATGGGCGTATTGCTACCACCAACGTCCCTATTTCTCCCATGCGAAAACAGAAGATGCCCGAGCTCGCTAGTAGCCCCCTCGCGACTATTTCGCAGAAGAGGAAATCATCGTCGGAGCACCATTTGGGTCATAAGCGGCAAAGGAGCATTCCAGACGTGGATATCCTCAGAATTTAACCCTTTGCACCTCTACCCCTCGCCCGACTCCTTACCAAAGACGCCGATGGACGGTGTGGCCTATTCCCATAGACCATTCCCTGGCCATTAACCATATCAATACTACACAAAATTCAGCCTATTTCATATCACAACTCCCTTTGTTATTCCCTTTTCTCCAACTAAGTACCTGCACCCACACGCTTATCGGACGGATCTTGGTTTTCTCGCCTCTTCATTAGCGGTTCAACAAGATAGGCGTGGTCAGGCCCACCCATGACCATGTCTTTTGAAGATCTGATAGAAATTTCAGTTTCTTGAAGGTACTAGAACAACCAGGCATTTCGGAAACCGACAGCTGGGATTTATCGTCAATTTCCTTCGATCCCCTTTTCCAGTAGCAATCGAGCAGATAATTCGGTATGCTGAATACCAACCCCTGACACATTCAACCAGCATTGGACGGAATTGGAGCATGATGTCCAGCTGTGGACTGGTTGTCAGGATATTTGCAAGGTACAATCTGTGTTTGTAATCATACCGAAATGTATGGCTACATTCACGTCATTTCTTCTCCCTTAAATAAAGAGAAGATACCATGCAGTCGCATAATTTCATAGCAAACTCAATAAAAGCCTTTCTCACACATTATTAGTCTACCACAGTGCTCATCCTATTAGTTATTTGCGTTCGGATTGTAAGCCCTGCGAAAAGGAGTCATCATTCTTGTAGTTCTTATAAGGTAGCCGTCCATCACCCATCCCATGGTCTCGCTGTCATCTTCACCCTCAGATCATCACCACTTCCTTCTCGTCCCTTAATACTACACATCTCTCCTCGTGTAGGCCTCCAGTTAAATCGGTCTCTAACATATAATTACATCGTGATACCCACGGCTTCGCCTTTTTACCCAAGTATTATCCTTATGTACGTCTTAGCTATCCTCTAGACCTCGTTAGAATATTCCATTCGACTGTATCTCGATGAAGTGTATGATTCTAACCTTCCACATCCTCGTGTTAGCAACGTTAAGGGGTAAACCCAATCTCCTCATATTACTCACGTAACTTAACTCTAGTTGGTACCATCTTTGTCATCCCTCCCTTCTCTGGGAATGGAAGTTTTATTTACGTACTTCAATGGTATTACCTTAAGATCTACCTCCTTATCATAATATTATCACAGAGTCCGGCGGCAATGTCAGGTGTAAGTGGCAGAGGACTACACATAGCAAGAGAAACAAACGTCACGGGAAGATTTAAAACACCCCAAGACTACAGCGTACCATTTACAGTGTCCGCAGGAGTAGTGCCAGACAACACTCTGAGGGAGGCTTACTGCTGGTGCTAATATCCAGGCACCATGATGCACAAGTCCATGCGGATGCCTCGACTTGTCTAAAAGGGAGAATTAAAGAGTCCTCCTCATCAAGCTATACCTGATTAACAAGGTCTCGCCACCTATCTTTCAGACGTCGCTACCTTCGTAGGTCATCAACCGCAATGTCATTCCGCTTGCATGACACATACTTTCTTCATCTTGGCATGCTGGAGAAGTCGACAATCCTCCGAAAGAAATTTATATAGACTGCTATCAACTTATTTTAAAGGAAATTGGTAAATGAGGATCCACGACAATCCTAGTCCAACTCCTTCCCCATTTCCTTTGTCCACCTCTTCAATTCGAGGGAAACCCTCTTATTACGAACATCTTAATAGATCTATACTCGATCTAAAGTGCAATAAGACCGTCGAAGTCGAAGAAGGAAATGGACTCGTACTTCTGGCGACACGATCTACCCGGAATTCTTCGGAATGTGTCTCTCGCGCACTTCGCAGATCACATCTACCATATGGCACACCTGTCCTATCCACGACATCTACAAACCCGGTATTACCTAATAATAACTCAATGAAGGGTACACTCCCATCGACAAACCCGTTGCCGAAATTATCAGACCACAGCCGTCGCATTCACAGCGGCATCCCTAAAGGGACGGCAAGCGGCCATCGACATCTCTACCTGAGGCAGCACAGACCAGGGAGCGCTTCCAGACTACCAACCAAATCAACCCACCTCGCAGGACGACGGAGCGAATCAGTACGCCACGACCAACATCCACCACAGAAGATTTACGACTCCATCAGTCGTTGAAGCCGCACACATGGAACATACGGCCCATACCAGCGACCGGAAGAGTTCAAGAAAGGCGCAGAATGCGAGTTGAGGACCGCATACCAACCCCACGCTTTCCAAGATCGGAAAAGACGAGAAACTGATGCGGCTGCCAGAACAGATATCCAAGTAAGATGATGTCCCTATCTTTCTGCCGATCGAGCCTATATTCCAGACATACTAGGAGTCATGGCGGACGGCGTGGCACACACGCCCTCGTTTCTGAAGATGCAGACATGCCCGGAAAATATTGCTGGGTTCCTCCTCATGTGTGAGCGGTGTTATTCACAGCTGTTTGAGAACCCCTTTCCAGTGGTAATGGAGATGATGGATACCACTACTAGAATCTACCATGGTTGAAAATGCTCCCGAAGGATTTATGGGCGGGAAGGTTACGGAGAAGTCATCAATGACCTCTTAATTTGGCATAGTGTTTTAGTAGATAAATGAGAAGAGGACACCAGCTACAATGCCCTCCATGGGATACGTAGGTAGACCGGACAAGCCCGACGTCTCAATACACTGAAACCATAGCAGTAGCAAACGTAGCATTAATAATTCGTTAGGCATGAATACCAATAAAACAGGGAAACTAATCTCACAATCTTATTACTCAATGAAAGCCTGACTAGTTAAACAGTGACTAACCCTTGCCTCTTGTCCCTTTGCTCGAACTCCAGAACTGAAAAGGGGTGCCCTTGAAAACAATCGTAACCGTCATGCTTCCCTCGTGAAATCCGTGCAAAAAGAAAGTCAGCCAGACATAGAAATCCCCCCCTTTTTTTGCTCGTTGCTTTTCAGCTCCGACTCAGGTATCGAAGACTCTCTTCATAATCGTAACCTTCCAATTATGTTGTTCCCTCTCGTACGCCTCAAGTGCCCAGGGTTAACTCCCATGCCAAGTTGGTAAAAATAGTAGACTGAGTCTACAATTCCTCCTTGGCATCGCCTGCCTTCTGCTTCACGGCCTCTGATCCAGATTGAATCTGATCCAAGACCCATTGGTATACGCCCTTAACGTTCTCACCAATCTTGGCGAAGGCAGTGCTGGCGGGGTTTGTGGTGCCGTACTTGAAGTAAGTAGCTTGCTGACGTGCTTTGGCTCGAAGTTCATTGATGGTGGAACCTTGAGGAACAGGCTGGGCGACGCATTAGTATGCTAGCAGATAGAATGAAATGACAACAAGGGAAATAAACTTACGACGCCGTAGCTGTCCAAGTACGCCTTCAATTCGCTTTCGCTCCACGTGTCGAACGCGGAATTCTTCGCAGCATCTGTGGCCTGAGAAAGATAGCTTGTGGCAGAAGCGTACGAACCGCCACCGGCGCTAGACGCAGAAGAATAAGCAGACTGAGCAGCCTCGACAAGATCATCACGGGTAGCAGAGCTACTCTCGCCGACTTTCTTGGCCGCATCGTTGCCACTGTTAACGAGGTAGTTCTTGAGGTGCTCGTATGATAGGTCATCCCAAGTCCAGGCGGTGTAAGGGTGAGCGGCCTTGTGAGAATTTCGTCGTACCAAAGCACGCAGCTCATCAACCTTAGATCCCTGAGGAACCGGAACTCCGCGAGCGTCAAGGTAAGCCTTAAGCCGACTTGCAGACCAAGCATCAACTACAGTGTTGAACGCGTCTTGGGCAGCAAGTGTTGCATCATCAGTAGCTTTAGCCCACTGGTTACCAGCCTTGCTCGTAGCAGCACCGAAAGCATTCGTAGCCGACGCAGATAGATTGTCACCGAGGATCTGCGCACGGTTTTTACGTACAAGAGCACGTAGCTCGTTGACCTTGCTGCCCTGAGGAACTGTCGAGCTCGTTAATATTGAGAGCAACATGATGACACGGGATATTCTTACCATTAATTCCGTTCTTGTCACAGAACTCCTTCAGTTGAGACTCGCCCCAAGCATCAATGATCTTGTCAGTGAGGGCGGCATAAGCGGCACTTGCACTGGCGGAAGCAGAAGCCTGCTGGTCTTGCATCTTCAGGTAGGCAAGGCGTGAGTTGCGTCGAACCAAGGAGATCAGTCGGTTACGCTAAAAGTTAATAAATGTAAGTGAACTATCTAGCAAAATGCGAATGGGATTTCTTACCTCAGTAACTTGGGGAGCAGGGAATCCGTGAGTGTCCAACCACTCTTTCAGGTCAGACTCGGACCAAGTGTCATAGAGCCAATCTCCAGGGTACGAAGCAGTCTCTCCTGCCTTCTTCGCCACTGTCTCGTAGTTGGAACGGATCTTCTGGAGAAGGGTATCGCGAGTTCGAGGCTGGGGGACTATCTCTAAATTAGCAATATGTAAAAAAGGGTATCGAAATATTAGTATTACCTGGGATGTCGTGCTTGTCAGCAAAGGCCTTCAGGGCACTGTCAGTCCAAGTGTCCAAGATCCAATCCTGTACGCCGGTCCAGGCGGTTTGAGCCTTGTCTTCCGTCTCGTACCAAGCGTTGGCTACCTGGGAAACGAGTGCATCCTTGCTTGACTTGGCAGAGTCCTTTGTCTCTACACCTTTCGATGAGAGGTAAGATGTGAGCTTGTCGGTATCCCAGTTCTTGTAGGGAGAAACGGCATAAGAATCCCAGTTCTTCTGGATGAGGTCCTCGAGGTCTCTGCGGTCAGCGGGGGTAGGGTAGGGAATGTCATGATCGGAGAGCCATCGCTCAAGTTCGGTCTCATGCCACTTGTTGTAAGCTGTTTATATTGCCGTATTAGCGGACGGGTTAAATAGAAAAGCGAATCGAATGCGATACACAGATATAGAGCGAGTGACAACAATTTATTTCAATCACTTACCTGCTTTGCTGAACCAGCCGCTGGCAACGACGGCATCCGCCGCCAGGGCGAGAGAGAGGATGGTTGATAACAACCTCATGATGGATCAGATTAGTAGTGCCAATTCGCGATAGTTTTTTCTCCGAGATCCTATTCTTGCGATTTTTGATCTGTGGATTTGTTGTAGGAGAGAAAAGTTAGGCGATGCGGGTACAAGTATCGTGGAGGATGAAAGAAGAATGGTAACGGTGTGTGTTGTTTGGCGTAAGGTGGAAACGGGCTAGAAGGTGGAGTTGGAAGAATGTATGATGAAGGGTGATGATGATGAGTGTTGCCAAAAATGTATCACGTCACTGCTTTTTTTTTTTTGTTTACCGTCCAGCTGTTCCAGCTGCACCAAGCCTGTCACGAAACTAAGTTGTTCAGTTGGAAGTTCGCCTTTGGTCAAGAAATCCAGCTCAATTAGGTGGTAGACCTGCCGTGAAAGATCCCTAAAGCCCCGGAAGTTGCACAGAAACAAAGGTATCCTGCCTAAGGAATTCAATGAGAAGGTACCTTACATCACCCCATCAGCCCATTCAATGAGGAAGCTTCTACCTATGCCCCGTGCTTTGTGTAAGGGTGGCCACTGCGTTATACAAATATGACGTAGTAGCTACAGCAACTGCCTGCAGACAATTCTACGATGAGCCAAACTTGCCGGACTAGTTTCAACCCAGAAAGAGCCACTAAGCATTTGACTTGCACTTCATCAAATAGAATTCTTCTCCTTCTTCCATGCGGCTACAATCTCGATCCTAATAAGCTGCAAGGCTGTCTTGGCCGCTACTCTTTGCATATCACCATGAGCTGAAGGCTAGGGAGTAAACACTCCGGTGATGTCATGGTACCCACTCTTGCTCTAGCGTCGGTACTTACAGAATAGTACTCTCTAAAGCCACAAGTTTCAATCCATGATTACCTAGGTAGGTATCCACAAACGGCCAAGGTGGGGATGTGTGGCTGGTGACGTATAGGGATGCAAAGACATTTACTCCATCTACTCCATTTACTCCATTTATCATGGGCATAAAATAAAGCCCACCTTAGCAAAGAGCCCATCGACAGTCCTTTCGTCGCTTCTCCAGGAGTCTATCAGCCATATGTGGGTAAGCTCAGAAGAAGTGCATATATATGCTAGAATTATGGCAATAGCTACACATGTACAATCAAAGATCTTCGTACAGATCTAGATCTTTGATACAAAGCATCATAGGCAATGTGTGCCCACCAAATAGGATCACCAGATCCCGGATATGGATCAAGACGTAGAACTCCCAATAGTCATCCTCCGCATCTTGATCGTAGGTAGGCCAAAGCTGCCTTGCTTTTTAGCCTTGGGCATCTCTTCCTCTTCCCCCTCCCCGCGCCAAACGGCACTTCCACGAAGAGACTCCAATTTCACGTGAGATCGTGGGAAAAGCCCTACTTTCCCATTCTTCTTCGTTCCTGACCAACACCAATCGTCTCGGTTGATCCCTGTGGAATTGTGGTCGTGGTTAGTAGCCGATTATCACGGCAGAGGGGAAGAGGCAAGTGTGGACTGTGGACCTACAGGTGACATTAGATAAAGTCTCGTCTTTATCAAGCGGTAACCATCCACTCGACATGTCCTTCACCTCCCACTTCCAGCGTGTTGTGATGAACATCCCATCAGCACTTGTGCTCGGACCTGGAGGTCGTGTCGGTGGTTCTAGAACCACATGCTTCGCAACGAAAGAGCCCCATTGCCCGTCATGCCAGCCAGTACACCATTTTCCCTTCCACTTCTCTGGAAATTCTATTCCCACAATACGAGCACCTTCCAGGAATTTTAGTACCTGGTCCGAACTACCGTCAGGATCCGTTAGATCACGCCCATATCGCTTGACGTGACTCTTAACGGCTACGGCAGATGGTAGTTTCGCTAGGGACGCTGCATCTGGAAGGATACTAGCAACCGGGGGATTCTGGAAATGAAGATCGTAATCCTCGGCATGGGGATTATCCTTATATACGTCGCCGTATAAAATCACTACTCCAGGTATCTCTGGTAGAGGCTGTGGGTGGCGTGATAAATGTTTGAAAAGCTGCTCTTGTGTGGTGAAGACCGTCGCATCGTCCGCATGAACGGTCTGGCCCTTTTGCGCACAAAATAGGCAACCAAATTGTGATGTAAATGCTGTAGTTGAGGTTAAGTGCGATTTGTATAGAAAACGGAGTCGGTACATAACACCAGCTTTACAAAAGTTCGCCGTCGCTATGAAATGCCTTAGTTCATCAAGAGTATCTCCACAATTCAGGGGGTTTCTTACAGTCCTGGGCGGTATCAAGTTCAGCTTCTAACAAGTTTTGCGTAAATTCGCAGTCCGTACATCGACAAAGACTTCTTCTCGTTCCCTGTTCGTGACTAGCATTAGCATAAGTTGCGGTTTGCGCCTTCATATAAAGATACCCGTATGAGGTAGAAGAATGGAGTTCGTTTGTACTTACATATTCCATTACGGTTTTAGTAGCGCTTTTGCGTCCTTTAACTCGGTACGTCTGCGCACCAGAGCATAATCCCTTCTGTATATATAGACTACTGTCCAAGCCTATTTGGTAACCAGAGGACGAATTCGCCTGTGGCTCGAAGAGCTCTTCTGCCGGTATGAGGCCATCTTCATAAACCGGGTGCGCACCTGGCAACGGCGGTTCAAGATCTTTTGATCCGCGAATCTCAGACGGACCCGGCCTTGCGAGTGAAGTCGTTCTTTGGTCACTCGTTGGGATATGAATCGATGACCTAGGGCCCGAAGCATGACTTCCCGTACTGGTATACCAGGATACTCTACTATAAGAGGTACCTGGACTATAAGGCGCGTTAGGCTGTGTTGCCGGCACGGGTGTCTCTTTGCCGTGTAGAGCGACACTGTCGAGATTGTTGAATATCATAGGCTGTCCCACATAATAGTCGTCCTCGGGAATTGAATTGCTTCGAGGCCATAATTTTGCGGTTGTCGTCTGCTCGCTAACCCACGCTGATGTCCGTGAATTCGGAGGTGGGGCGCTAGAAGGACCAGACACAAGACTGATAAAGTCGCGTTCAGCCCCCAAAATGTCAGGGCTAGATGGTCGCCTAGCTGGAGTATTAGTCCCGCTAATGTCGGCATTTTCGTTCATCTTTGAAGTGGAGGTAGAGCCCGTGTTGCTATTGGTGCCATTCGGACCCCGTGTTGATAACGGCTGTATCCACGACGGAATAGTCGATACTGACGATGCGCTCTCTTCAATGTGTAATCTCCTGATGGTTTCCATGAGAGTAAGGGCGAAAGACTTCGATGCCGCTTGGACATCTGCAAACTTCACGGCATCGAACGAATCGACCTGAACGAAATCGTCCAGGTCATAGAGAAGATCTTCCAGCCGTCTCTGACTATCGACGATTTTATCTAGAAATTAGGTGTTAGTGGGCTCTATATACCATATCAGGCTAGGACACCGTTCACCGGCGGCGTGGTATAATATCAAGGGGTAGAAATTCACCATTCTGTCGCATAGCCTCCGTGAAAGCGTCGCCGTATTTGTCGACACGTTCTTTCCACAGCGGGAGCAGTCTTTGCAAAGCCCTCTCACCCTCCCTTGTTAGCGAACGCGCCGCCTTGAGCATCTCCGCCGCATCTTGGTCGCCAGACGGGTCGGCGTCATCCTCATTCTCACCACCGCCATTCACTGCCTCGGCATTAGCAATGGCTTCCTTGCCCCGCTCCACGACCTCCCGGAAGGGTTGGATGACGAGCTCCTCGACGTCGATGGCCATCATCGACTGTCGAGATGCACTGAGATCGTGCGCCTCAGCATCGGCCAAGCAAGTGTAGCGTAAATTTTGACCACTGAAATGCGTTGCGCTCTATCAGTGTCAAGTTCGGAATTCGTAGGCTGCACAGCATAAGCTAAACCGGAATAGGCCATACACGGCCACATGCATACAAACACCGTCTCTACAACCGGGATACCGTTGGAGATAGCACAGACAGCGGGGAGTATCCCCAGGCCGATGACGCGCGGTGTGTGTTGTGTAAAGTAGAGATTGATTAAATTTGATTTCGCTTCCGATCTGGCGGCGCTCTCGTGCGATCACCTTCCCTTTTGTTTTGTTATATTTTCCCATCTCCTCCTTCGGGGCGCGATCCTGTGCTCTCTAGCTCATTCAGGCGATCATCCAGCCTGCGGTAGACTAGACGTGGGGGACCCTGAATCCGACATCCTGGTTCGTCATCTCTTGGCCGGCTGTTAGATATAATACGACGCGTTATAGTGGGTGTAGGCGAATCACGGCGTCTCCATAATATTCGTTAGTGGGGTTTGAATGTGCACTTACAGATGTATGTACTCGATTATCTATTGCCGCATACATACTACTTACTTTGACGGTCGCTGATGGCCGCCGCAATCTACCGCAATCTACCGACGCCCACGAATTTGGAATCTCGGCTGACCGCCATATCGTGAAACTTGGGATCCTTTGTTAGACTACGCCTGGTAACTAACTGATCCCAATTGGTGGTTTCGGCGCGGTTTGAGAAATCCGTATATCCCTCAGGCGGATTCAGCTATCTTGAGCTGAACCATGCAAAGAAGACGAAAGAAGAAAAAAAGAATTTCTCGAAGGACGCAATGCGGTGTGGTTTCCAATTTTTCAGGGGTGCTGATACCAGGTCAATTACATAATCGATCATACCATGCCCGACTACCGATGGCTTTATACTTTCTTGCACCCAAAAGTTAATTTTACATCCGTTTCACATGGGTACTTAAAAACGTCATGCTTTAAGTTTACGAAGGGTTATTATATCGTGATTTTTTTTTTTTTTTTTTAAAAAGTTTTTTAAAAAATTATTTAAATAAATAATTTTAAAATAACGTTTTATTAAAAAAGTTTAATTAATTTAAATTTTTAATTTAATAAATTTTTAAATATATTCGGTTTAAATTTAATTTATATAATTTAAATTTTAATAAAATTTTAATAAATTATTTAATTTAAATTAAAAAAATTTTAATAAATTTTTTTATATAAATTTTAATTAATTATAAAAAATAAATTAATAAATTTAAATTAATAAATTTTTAATAAATTATTTTAAATAATTATTAATTAAATATATTATTTTTTTTTAATAAATTAAATTTAATAAATTTTTAATAAATTATTTAATATAACCGTTAATTAAATATATAATTTTTTTTAATAAAATAAACGTTTTAAAAAATTAATTTACGTAAAAATAATTTTTAATTAATTAAAATTAATTAATTTATAATTAAATTTATAATTTAATTAAATAATAATTAATTTATAATTAAATTTATAATTTAATTAAATAACCGTTAATTTATAATTAATTTATAATTTAATTAAAATATAATTAAATTTATAATTTAATTAAATTATAATTAATATAATTAATTATTTATAATATTAAAAATTAA